CAACTCAGCATTTTACTTTTTCTACATAATTTATGCAGTCCCTTTACGGTGTAATATGGCTCACGTTTAAAAAACTTTGGCTGTTGTATATGAAAGAATAGAAGAAAGACAAAACCTCAATAATTCATGTTATAAAATATTTGACAAAGAAGGTAACGATTTAAATTCTGCTCTCTCTTCAGTCAAATTTTTCAAAGCAAAGCAGGGTAAAATTTCCACACAGCCCCCGTACTATATTATGCATTCAGTTCTTGGGTAGACAAAACAATGACAAAAACAATACTTTGCCCTTGAGAAAACAGATTTGTTTTACAACAGTATGGGGTTGTGCGGAAATGTTACCCAAAGCAGGGTCAGAATGTTCCCAAACGTGACCAAAGTAATCTTGAAACCTTACTGATAGATTTACTTCATTGTAAAGTGTAAGCTTAAGAAACTGCAGCATGCAAGTGACCGATTCGATTCTCAGAATTATTCAAGTTCCAGTTGCGCCGAGCGTTAGGTAAGCTTAATTCAAGCCGTTATACTCTTTGATAAGATTTTGATCACATAACGAATATCGCAACTTGTACTCACCACAAACTTTCTAAATCCTAGCTTTCTCAATGGCCACTCGATCGTTGTTTGTACCAGTCGATATATGTCAACTGTCGTCCCTTCTTTTAACTTCACGGCGCCAACGACTTCCTTTCATTTACAACACTCACGCTGTTCTCGTTTTCCCATTGAATCACTATAAACCCATCTTTAGAAATGTTAAATTAAACAAAAAAAAAGAAAGAAAGAACTTAAAGCCCGAGCGATCAAGCGATTAAAAGTACATTCAAAGATGAGCGCCAAATAGAGTCTTTTTTGTTTCCGACACGGGCATGATCACGTAGATGGTTTGGGAATTGTCACTGGCTAGCAAAGAGAATCCACTGGCTTGCCCTATTGCGGTCTCAAGAGAAGCGCGCAAAACTATTCTGTCTTTCCTGACCGGTGCTGTTCTCTTGGGTGATGGATACCTTGGATCCAAGTTCTGACGATGATATAAATAATGATGTGAATTCACTCTATATAGAAATAATCGAACAAGAATGCACGATTTGTGGCCGAAAGTTGTCGAGGAAACAAAGACTCGAACCCACTTGAGTTATGTTCACGGCAAAGGTGAGAAACAACACAAGCCAATCACAATTTTGAATGTGATTACAAATTGTATTTTACCCTCATTTTTTTATAAGAAAGATACCACATTACGAAGTATAAGAGATACCTAGATGATCCCAATGTACCAGTACCCAAATCAATAATACTTGACCTTAACAAGCGTTCAGCAACACGTTCCAACACAGCTAGCCATCTCGATTCCTCAGTCGGTCTTTCCACTGAACTAGCAATGGTGCCACCAGAATCAAGTGCGTCTGACAACAAAGAAACATTTGCACGAGAGACAGAAGCAACTATATGCGATTACAGAGGTGCATTGGAATTCTCGTCTACAAATGGTTATGCACAGTCCGAAGCGTTCCCGAGCTTGGAAAGTGGTGTAGAGAACGAAGATACAAGGTTGTCATTTTTTTTTACTACAAGTAAAATTTTATACCTGACCTACAAAGTATAAAACAATTTTTTGATAGCAGACTCAGAGAAGAACAACAAGTAAACTTTATAGCAGTCATTATTGAAGTGTGATTTGCACTTTTCATTGGTATATAAAGAAGGACTTGTATTTTGCGCCAAAAATATAAATTAGAAGGTCCAGTGATTGGGACATTTAAGAAATTAAGTTATGCAAAGAAACTCAGTTTATACTTCTCACTACTAACAAGTCTTGTTTTAAAAATATTTTCAGATCAGAGTTTCAAATAAAGCAAATTGAAGAAGTCATTTAAAAGGTGTTATTTCTTGAAGGGAACAGTGACCACCTCTGTCTTATCTGCATGCCAAATATTTGCAGAGTGTGTGGATGATCCATGAGTATTGGAACTCTTACAAAAATGTTTTGTAAGAATAAAAGCAGCCAAACAATTAACAGCAATCAGTCATGAAAACAGAGCAAAAGACAGAAAAAAAGCAACAACAATCATGAAAAAAGAAAGATTGATTAGGTGCTGAATTTGTTAGTCTAAGGCATAAAATTCCTACTAAGAATAATCAGAACAAAAAGTCTCTGACAGTGCTTGAGGCAACTGAGCTTGACTGATCCAAGGTTTTCTAACAAAGGCAACCAGTAGTGTAGACTAGGGAAGTAACTTATGTTAATATCTAACAAAGTTCTTTAGGGTAGATTAACAATGTAATTATTAAACGGTTAAGAATATATGTATATATAATATATATATACTTTCATTCACTTCAATGTAATTATTGTTACACATGTAGAAGTTGTGTACCAAGGAACAGCTGATGAATTTTTTATGATTTTGGCACATCTGTGGACACAAGACATTTTGCATTGCAATAAAAACTTTTATGATCTTGGGCTCCAAGAGTCCTTTGAGGTAAGAAAGCAAATCTGTGATATGAGTATATTGGATTAATTGGCAATTTGCATTAAACAAAATATGCAAATAGCATGAAAGATTAGCGGTTGCCGCGAACATTCCCTTAGGGGATTCGCCCCTGTACGAGACTATGACACCTTCCTGATTTATTAACTTTTATTTGAAAAAAAGCTTTTTTCCAAATAACTCGGCTGCTTTTGAAGATTTCAGAATTTTTTATGGAAACGTTTGGTAAAATGTTTGAATTCAGTTTAATCCATGAAAAGAAAAAACGATTTTTTCGGTCTCTTAAGGTGGGAAGTAGCCTTCAATTGTGACAGCATGAGTCAGCAAGGTCCTTGTTTTCGAGAGAGAATTCGACTGTATTATGTTCTGAAGATACAGGAGTATCATTTGACGCTTGAAACGATTGAGTAGATATTTTGATAATACATTTCTGGCGGCTATACTAAAACAAAACGGTGCCGTTTACAAGATCCCATGTGAATGCGGCAAAGTGTATGTCAGTGAAACAGGGAAATTCATGTACGAAGATTTACCTCTGTTCATGAAGTAAATGGTTTTTGAACATCAAGGCATACGGGCCGCTTAGGTCTCACTTACTGCAACCTAAAGACGCCCTAGAACGAACAAAATAAAACGGTGTCGTTTGCAAGATCCCATGTGAATGCAGAAAAGTGTGTATCGGTGAAACAGGGGAGATCAATGTGAGAAAGGATAAAACAACATGACAGAGATAAACGGTTTGCTTCAACTGAGACCTCTGTGGTTTCGGAGCACGCTAACGAAACGGGGCATATTCCTACTTGGAGCAAGGTTAAGTTTGTTGATCGTAACCCTCAGTAATATACACGTAGGGTCAAAGAGGCTATCCATATAAGACTTCATCCTAACAACATCAATAGGGATAATGGAATCGAAATTCCCGAGGCTTGAGTACCCAAGATCAAACAACACAACAGCCGATCATTGCGGACCTATGAGGGAATACCACCTAACAACCGGAATGATAATGAGATTCAAGGTTACAATTTTAGAACCAGTACAAAATAGAAGCATGACAATAACAATAGATAAATTAATAAAACATTTCAAACTGCCATACGCGAATACATACGATAGTGTACAAGGTCTGAGCTTAAGTAAAAAAAATTACGATTTTTTGTTTGCAATATACCATAAAAATTATTTTGATAGATGTTTTTTTTATGTGGATCGCTCTAAGAAGAAAAAGAGACCTTAAAATCGTACAAGTCTTTAAGATTCGAAAGAAAAATTAATTTCTCTAAAAAAATCGTCGGTAAAATTACATTTCACTCAAAAAAATTAATTGATATCAACAACAGGATAAAAAAGTAGGCAGAGGAAAAAAAGACTACATCGACACTGAATGGTTCAAAACACAGTATCGAGATAATAAAGCTACTTATTATGTAAAACGCTGTTTGAGGTTTCAATACTAGAAGACAATAAAGTAACAAGCAATATTACTGCCGATAAAAAAGGCAATAGATAAGTACATACAATTACAAATTGTTAATTAATGTGTATAAAATGTAATGTCACTAGGAAATAGAAGAAATCTCATGGTAAACTCAAAAGGATATGACGTCACGATCCATTAACAAACCAAAATCCAAAGAAGTTAGAAAAAATTTTCCATCGGGTTAAAAATGTTATAAAACAATTGGTTCATGCGTCAGCTGTGCGTTCGTCGAGATATGAAGCACAAGGGAAGTTTGGGTAGCACTCAAGAAGCTAAGTTGCTCTCGGCTACGCCTCGAGCAACTCTTACGCATCTTTCGTGCTCTCCAAACTTCTCGCGTGCTTCATATCTTGATGAACGCACGCTGACGTATGAACCAATTGTTAAATGATATATAGTTTTTCCAAGAATTAATTCCATATCGTTTTCCCAATAAATAGTTGTCAGCAACTGAAGCCAGGTCACAGTAATCCAAGCTCAAGAATCATTTGACGAAACCTCTGCGATGTCTAAGTTGTGCCAGAGATTGGAGGAAAAATGCGATCACACCCCTAACGATGCGCAAGTTGCTGAAACCATAACTTGTTAATTTGCGATGTTACCCCCCATAAAGTGTATGAAAATAAATACTTTTGTTCATTTTGGATTTCCGTGTTTTAGCCATCGCAATATAATATAAAACAAGGTTTCCCACTCACTCACATATTATTTCCATTCGTATTCCTAAAACCTGTTTGAGCTAGAATGACAAATATATAAAATTCCTGCTGAAATAAGTTTTTTCTTTTAACAAATTCCTAGCGCCTAAATGTTTCCAAGAGAGCCTTTTAGTCATAGAAGATGATGCACTCAATGAAAACTCTCTCTAATTTGTCTTTCAGGCTCGTGACAGACGTAGACGTGCCAGCCAAAAGCTTGCAAGTGAAAAGCAAAATCCTCCCGTGCAAGTCTGCGTTTTTTGCTATTGGACCTTTTTAAGAACGTGCCTAACAAGAATCGGTGGAAGAATATTACCACTTTGCTTCATGGAGCGTTCGACTCTACTGGTAGGCACGATTTTTATTTCATCGTTTTTCTTGATCATAACACTGTGGAATGAAGCAAGCTATCCACGATTCAAGCCTTGGAACAAAACAAGCCATCCACGATTCAAGCCTTGGAATGAAACGAGCAACAGGACAGAAATCGCATCCGATCGAACTTGCTTCAGTAATGACACCAAAATCATTTTGTTCTACACTCCTTTTTTTGGTGACAAACCATGGCCCACAGCCAAATCCACGGAAGAGTATCTTTCGAAATGTCCGACAAAAAAATGCAAAATAACCTATGATGTACGCGATATAGGAAAAAGTGATCTAGTTATTTTTCATGTTCGTGATATACTACGTTCTGTTACATCGGAAAAAATTCAACAGATTCACAAGAACCGGTCCCCACAGCAAAGAATGGCATTTCTTACCCATGAATCCATTGTCAATGAGGCAGATTTAAGGAACCGTCTTTCTTGGCCGGAGGGGTTCTTTAATTGGACAATATCTTACAAAAGGGAGTCAGATATTTACTATCCTTATGGAGGTTATTTTCCCTTGCCGTCAGCTGAGAGACCAGCGAAAATTCCTAACTATGCAGCTGGGAAAACCAAATCTGTGTCATGGGCTGTTTCAAATTGTGGAAGAGCTCGAGATAAGTACGTAAAAAAACTTTTGAAATACATGAAAGTTGATATATATGGCCGCTGTTCGGGAAAATTTGGCCAAAACAATAATTGCCCGCGATCAAGAAATTGCGATGATATTTTCAGCTCATATAAATTTTATCTGGCATTTGAAAACAGCGTGTGTCCTGATTACATTACTGAGAAATTTTGGCGCACATTTGGTTGGAATTCAGTGCCTATAACACTGACAAGAGATTTCTATACACCAGATATAGTCCCTCCAGGCTCGTTTATAAGTGTGCAAGACTTTCCATCTATTAAGGCTTTAGCGGAATACCTGTTGTACCTCGACAAAAATGACACTGCTTATAATGAATACTTCACATGGAAAAATGAATTCGTCTCTAGACTGGTGAATGGATTTCCACATACAGCCTGTGACATATGTGATGCTCTTCACGATGAATGTGTTAAACCCAAATTTTATAAAGATATATTCAAAACTTATTGGAACGATGGTGCTCGTTGCAATGAAAACGAGAGGAAACTTTTACAACTTATAGATAGTGAGGAAGAGTGATCAATGTAAGTCAAAAATCCATGCAGCCTAGTCTGGGGTAATTGTGGCAAAAAATTATCTAACAAGCTACTAAAACTACAAAACCGAGCTGCACGTGTAAAAAATTCATCAAACTATGACGTAGATGTCGAATCCTCGGTTCGCGAATATCTCACGTGTAAATTTATAAGGTAAAATGAATCAAACTATTCTCTGAGGGACTCGGTAAACAAACTTGTTGTCCCCTTTCCAAGAACTAACTACTTGAAAAATAGTTTTAGTTATAGCGGCGCAACCCCATGGAATAGCTTACCCTGTAAAATTAGAGAGTCTGGTTCATTTTACCAATTTAAATGCCTTCTCTATCATAATTTTTAAAAACGGCATTCACGGAAATCAGGTTTTTAAGTGGCACATTGTTGTAAGTTAATATAATTTTAAGATTAGGATTTTTAGGTTCTTAGGATAATAGCCATTGTATTGGAATTTTTTGCACCCGATAAGTTTTTACCGTGTATAAATAATGATTAAATAACTAGATAAATGAATAAATTTGATGTTCAAATGTAACTTCCAGTTCCCCCGTGCAGATAGAAAAAGTGGATCACTGGCGTGAGTAACCAACAGAAGCTGACTTTAGGAAGGGGTCCACTCCTGGGCTCTCTGAACCGGGTCAAGGCTCGAGAAGTTTGAAGTGCGATAATGAAGGAGTTGAAAACAACCAATACTCCATTAACTACAACAGCAAAAAATGTTCAGTAAAACTGGGTTTAATTGAATGAAAGTAGCCATTACCTTTTATTTTCAATATACTTGATTTGAAGTTGACAAACATCGGTTTAAGCAGCTTTTATGAAGAAATTAATTTTCAATCGTCTTTAAAAATGCCGCTTTGAGCTTCCGTGTGAATTGGGTCTAATGTTAAAAACACGCTTTTTATTAAAACGTCCCTTAAGTCTATTCAAATTGAACTAAAAAATTTCCCTTCCGTTTCCTCATTTCAAATGCTCATTTGTAACTAAAACTTCCTTTTTAGACAATTACAACTTCTAAATGATTGTGGATATAAAAAATTCATATCTATGAACTGCAGATTAATAAAGGAATATGAGACGGTCTTGACTGAATTGAACTCTACTCAAAAGGCAACAGAAAAGTAATTTCAAGCAGGGGCGAGTTGTCTGAAGGCAACCTCATTGACTGAATGCTCTTGATCAATCAGAGTTTTCAAAGTAATACTAATGTATATGATTATTATTAGAATCTGGATATTTAGATAGTGCAATTCAAGAGTTTTTTATCGGCATATACAAATATGGTAAGTGTACGCGTCAACTCAAAATTAAAACGGAGCTAAATGATTTATATAAAATTTAGATTTTGAGGCGTTTTTAACAAAACAATTTTTCCACTTCGCTTGTTAGATATGAGATGATTATCTATCATTTCATATCCAAAGCGCACTCATAGAATAATTGTTTATTGTACATTAGACTTACAATGAAAACTCTGATTTATCGAGACTGATCAAAGTTTTCCTAGTTTCCATTCTCCTCGCCGTTTAATGTCCTTAGACTTTTGCAAAAATAAATTATGAAAACATTAGGAACACAAAGTGTCTCACCTGGACCTACCCAATTAAAAAAATAACTCTTGCATGCTATGCATGCCTATGTTTTAAGATATGGCAACTATTCTGGGAGGTTAATTTTCTTCCATATGAGAATAAAGCTCCGCACCGTCCGCACTTATAACCGTTTCTATCAGTAGAGCTAAGTGAAAAGGCATTTTTGATAGGATGCCAGTTTCCCTCGTCCGCAAACGGTCGACGACCAGTGATACAACATGGCCCGGGTGAAGAGAAGCATTCATATCCTAATACAGCAATCTGATTGGTGCGAGATACATACCCTAGTGCGGCAATCTGATTGGTGCGAGATACATACCCTAGTGCGGCGGTCTGATTGGTGCGTGCAACATACCACTCTCCACGCTAACATACTTATCTTTTTTTTTATAAAAGAATAATTAAAAAAGCGGTCATCGTATCCTAGGAACGATCAAATTTTGTTTGAACAGCTTGCCTTCCTTGTTACCTTAGTATCGAGTTTACTTGATTGCGGGTACAACTAAAATTTATCTTTTCAAAAAGCACTAATACACCTCAAAGAAGCCGTGATTACCTTGAAATTGTCATGTAAATAGCGTCACATATTTGTCGTTAAACTGTCAGTGTACTCAGCCATCACCAGATCTTCTAGCTGCAGCGTAACTACTTAAACCGAATCATAAAATCTCTCATGCAGGACAAAGTTCCCCCCTGATAGTGGAAATTACGAGTAAAATATCAAGTTTCATCTGAGGAAACAGAACATAGAAGTGCTGCTTTTAATGAAGGCATTACCGTTAGCCAAATCATAGAACTTTCATAAGGGACAAAGTTGCCTCTTGATAGTGGACATTACGAGTAAAATATCAAGTGTCATCCTTATATACCTGAGGTAACAATTCTGTTTGAACACTATAAAGTTTAACTCATGAAGCTTTACTTAACCAGGTACTTAACCTAATGATTCCCTCGCATCATGTGAAGACAGTATCAATTTGGTGAGGTAGAACACCTGAGAAGAGGTGAAATCGGGCTGCCTAGGATTTCACCCACTTCTCAGCAATTTTTGTTCGTCCAAATTTTGGTATCTTAGATCTGAGGGTTTTGTTTCCTTTCCAAGAATGTATTACATTTCCGCTGAAGTTACACGTTTTTCTAATTTTCAGCGGATGAAGTCCCTTTAAGGCAAGGACAGGTATAGCCTGGCCCTATTATAAGACTATGTCAGTGGTTGGCAGAAATTCTGACGCACTTCTCGTTGCTAGACGCTCCTACTGTAATGTTTTGAAATTTGATAAAGGCCGAAAAGAAAGGTTTATGTATGTTTCCTCAATGTCATGTTTCTTTAAGTTGCCACGGACCTCTGTTCTTTAATTGAAAAATGTTCCCGCATGTAACATAAGAAAGATTCATATTTATTTCTATTTACATCAGTGGTAAAAATGTCGTGGACTCACGAGGTTGCGCCTGGTGAGTCCTCAGTAAATTTGACCACTGTGATGACGAATATCGTAGTCGATAAGACTACAGACCACGCTACACCACTTTCGCCCATGTATTATTCTCTATTTTATTTTGATTAAACGCTTCCTGATTCTAACATAAGAAAGAATCATATTTATTTATATTTACATCACAGTGGTCAAAATGCCGTGGACTCACGAGGCGCAGCCGAGTGAATCCGCAGTAAATTTGACTACTGTGATGACGAATACCGTCGTCGATACCAGACCACGCTACACCAATTTCGCCTATGTATTATTCTCTATTTTATTTTGAAAAAACGCTTCCTTCAGTAATAATTTCTGCTTTATATTTAGTGGTTGTACGCTTTATTTAGCTGGATTATTCGTATTTTAAAGCACAGTTAGTTGACATTAACGAGTTTTGAGCCGAATTCATTAGAGTTAGAAGCGTTTCTATTTGACGAAATTTTAGATTCTAACACCTTTAAAATCCAAGGTGTTCGTTACAGTAACCAAACGAGTGCTGCACATTTCCTGCCCTTGTATCGTAATTAGCGTCATTATTATTACATCAGGTACCTCGGTAATTTATCTAAGAAAAGGCGAGACTTCAGGTCAATTCCATCTACAACAGAACTATTGTTCTACGCAAGAATACTTAACGTCACTAGCTCTGTTCTTCATGAAATCTTGTGGATAAGTATTGACCAGATTCTGAAAAACTGAGCTTTGAAATTTTTACACCGCACTTTTTTGGTTCGGCCAGCTCCTCACCAGTCTAAGAATGATAAGGCAACTTCAACTACAACTTTTAGGAATGAGTCATTGTGAAAGGGCAATATTTTCCGTCGAGGAAGGTGTTGATTACGCAGAAATTGAGCAGGTGTACTCTAATTGGAAGGTCTAATTCGATGCTCCAAACAGCTTAGCCGCGATCATTCTCCTCTTACGACAGCTTACCTCGATAGGTTATATTTTAGTTCGTCAAAAGCGATGGAATATCGACAGACTGCGATTTAAGAGGACTTTGGTTATACAAGCATATGGGAGAAAAAAAGTAAAACTATTATTTTTTTGGTTTTGGAGTAAATTTATCGTTAAACAAGCCGCTACAATAATCATTAAGAGGTTTTAACTTCACATATCTGTAAGCTCACAGCTTTTAAATGTTGACGTATTCCATAGGCTCTAATAAATGATTCAGCAACGGGATAACGCCATCAGCCAAACTAAATAGAGGATTAACCTTTGCCCACGTTTCTTTCCTCAGAACACGCTGCAATATTGCAACAAAAAAAACCAAGTCATGGACGGTAGGAGGACGCGGAACACGTTACCCAAAGAAAGCAAAACCTGTGATGCGCCAGAGCCCATCTCGAACACAATATTTTTAACTCTTACTGTATCTGCTACACTATCAGCCATAGTGGGGAACATACTCATCTGTATGGCTGTGTATAAAACCAAAACCCTAAGAACACCCGCCAACTATCTTCTTGTCAGCCTCTCTGTAGCAAGCCTTTTGTTTGTTCCCGTGTTGGGGGGTTACTCCTTTTCTTTCACCATCAAAGAATGCGATCCGAGGGCTAAAACCTTGTGCACGTGGTCTTCGAAAATGGATTGGATTTTATTCTGTGTTGTTATGCTTCACTTGCTGTTCATATCGTTGGATCGATTGTTAGCCATAAAACAACCCATGAGGTCTGTGGTGCAAGAAGAAATTCAAATATTGTCGTTTGGATTGCTACTTTGAATTAGCACGCCAGAGAGTACTTTTATTCCCACCGGTCCAACCGGGTAACTCGAGTCGGCGACTCAAAAACAGCCTTCCAGCTTAGGCACTGACAGAAGGGGGCACATTTTACATTCTATTCTATGATAATTACGTGAATGCATTCTTGTCTCCACTGTGTAAAATCTCTTTTCGTATTTACTTCAAATTTTCCGGGATAGAAGTAGTTAAAATAGAATTTTGCGCACATTCTCACCCTTTGATCATAATTTAACCATCAAATTAAGCCCCCACGGTTGTTTCGTATCCAGTCGTTTCGTACCCAAATTCGAGTCGGTTCGTACCCAAACCGCTGATCGATTCATACATTTATTCGAAATACTCCACGCACAAGCGCGTGAACAGATGCCCATCTTTGCCTACGACAATTAAGTAGAGTCAAGCGAGTAAGATACAAAACAAAAAAATTTTTGTGTATAGCCTTGATATTCTTAACAAAAACAACTTAATTGTTTCCTGGCGCAAGGTGAGTGTGATATTTTTAACAGGAAAGTCTATTTTTCATATTTGACTTTTTCTTAACACGAACAACTCGTGTCAAACTAATAATTTTTCCGTTTGTGAACGTCGAAAATATACTTTACTAGTTTGGGTGCGAAACGACCGGTAACCGAGTAGATACGCCGGCGTGGCATTGACGATGGTGGATCCATTTCTTCCATTTCTTGAACAGCTTATTTTAGTGATAGAACGCACCAGTGGAAAATATCCTTGTTAGTTAACTTAATTTTTCAAGATTAACTTCACAACCCTTCCTAGCCAAAATGCGACAAGAAGCAAGCAAGTGAAATCTGGTTTGGAGGCTACGATTGAACGACAATTCAACAAAGCCACTCCAAACCAAAATGATTGCTAATTGGAGGAACAAACTGGAACTGCAAACTATGTCTTTCATGGTTATTTCTCCTTTTCCCAACAGATACCCTGTCTTGGTGACTACAAAACGTTCGCTCGCTACAATTACTGCCCTGTGGGTCGTGGGCATATTAGAAGGCGTAACGCCGAACCTGATCAAAGAAATTATAGGAAAGGAAGGCCACGCACTTCTGGAGCTAGCGTATGGTTGCCCCCGAAGCAGCCTTATTCCACGGGAAGCTCGCATACAACCCATAATGCCTCATTACCTTACTCTCTTGGCAATAGTTATCTTGGTGCCCAGCGGTATCATGCTAGTTTCACATGCGTGGATTTTCATGATCTCCTTTAGACAGTACAGACGAATAAGAACACTAGAGGACGCTTTCTCGCGAAGGCATGTCACTGAATTGCGCGCCGCCAAGACCGTAGCTGTCATCGTGTTTTCAGCGTTGGCTTGTTTCGTACCTGTTCTCGCTGTGACTCTCATCACAACATTTGAGCCGCCCAGCGGTAACTCACTGAACACTGGTGAAAGGATTGTTAAGTTCAGACTCTTTCCAAGTCTAAAAATTCTGTACTTGTTAGCAATAAGTTTGAACCCGTTAATTTACGCTTTAAAAAGTGAGCCTTTCAGGCAAGCAATCAAGAGGACAATTCGACCACGTCGTGCAATCTGTCGCCCAAACCCTTCAGGGAACAAGTTCAATGAAGAGCTTGCTGTTCGAAATTAGCTCCCAGTCTTGCAAAACAATAAGCGAATGAGGTCTAGTCAGTTAGAAACCAAATATCTCACAAAGTCAGTAAGTAACTTTTTTTTAAGGGGGGGGGGTGGTAAAATTTAAATTGACCTAAAGAACATACAGTGGGAAAACTATTTAAAATAAAATGACGAGGAACGATTTTAGATAAGAGGCATTTTTAGGCATTTTTATGTTTATACCAGGTTATGGGAATCATAAAACAAGATATTTATGTATGCAATGCGTATCTGGAGTTAGTTATGACTCAACTTGTACAGAGAAGTCACCATGTTACTGAGTGTAAATCAAACAATGTCATTTCATGTAGTTTAGTCGTAGTTTCATCGATTTGTTATAATTTAATAAAGCCGCATGAACCAATCATAAATGTGTACATGAAAATTAGCTCAATGGCCAGTAAACAAACTTACTATTTCTTTCATTGTATGGAGGTGTGGTGATGAAAACAGGAAGTGGACATAAGAGAGAACATGTCTAAAAAAACAAGCTAGAAATTTCAGATTCATCGATGTTTGTCACCAAGTCTTTAAACCTTGTTACCATCTGAGATGAGAGTACATTTCTTAAAGAAAGAAAATTCATATTGCATATGTGCCAAGTAGCCCATATACTACGGGGGCTTATTTTCAGTTTCCATAGACACAAGACATACCAAGATGGCATACCAGTGCCCCACCCTGACCATACTCGTCCCCTTGCGTGTCAAATCCCAAATTAGTGAAACGAGGTTTGGTAAAACCTGGCCTTGAGTAGAAAGAAGCAAGGTGAGAAAAGTGTCTTGCTTCAAGTACTACACAATGATCCTTGCCACACTTAATTGTCAAAATAGGGCCTTTTGAATCCAGCTGTGCACGAACCATTGTATTACTTGGATATTGTACAAAAAGCAAAATAATCAAGAACAAAACCAAAACCACAAAAAAGGGAGAAGTGGCCATTATTTTGCTTTCCCATACTAAAAGTCCCCTGGAATGACTGGGCATCAAACACAAGCTTGTGAATCAAACCACCATGTAAAAAAATCTTTCATGTCACTGAGAATAAGCCTCAGGAAAGAATATTTCCCTTGATACCCTGCTTCCTTCACACTCCAAAGTAAACTGATACTTTTTGAAGATAAAAAGCTTTTCCAATTTGTATTTTATTTTGCTTTGCTTGACATGTCTACCACCAAATGGATATGACATGACTCTTTTACTGTCCATGGCAATGCTCAATATGCCCATATGCCAGTTTGAAAAGAGAACATAGGTAAGACTGATCGGAATGATTTAATGTCTTTCCTAGGCTATAAAATAGTAAAATACGATACAATACAATACAATTCAACAACATTTCTTGACCTCTGATCAATATTATGAAACATCACGTGTCTGAAATAATCCACTCATGAAAAAAAAAAGGCTCTAATATCTCCAGTCCTGCTTACTTTGATCAAGGTTGTTTTGCCTTCATGTTTGACACAGGTCTTGGAAGGATTTCAGTTAAAATGTTGAAGTTCTGTTTATAAAAAAGCAAAAGTGTAGGTAAACCTTTTATCAATAGATACTAAATTTGAAAGACCTGAGTGGGGTAGTTTTAAAGTCGATTAGTACATGCACACCTTGATCATAAAAGTGATCTATGAATTGAAATACATGTAATAATGTTCATGATGATGCTGCGACAACCTAAATGGAGGGTATCAGTGCCCAGAGACGAGCTTCTGACAATCACAGTTGCCAAAACCTTCTCTCCTATCGTTCCTTAAATAATCATTCTGCATGACAAGCTGAAACGCACTGATCAGACTGTGCAATTACAGACCATGTAGCTTTAAGTTACAAAAATTTTTCATAATTAATTACATACCACAAGAGCAAGATAGAACATTCCCAGATATGATGCAATACCAAGTGCTAGAAACAAATCAAAGACGGCTGGCTTCACCCTGAAAAAAAAAACATACAAAATTCTACAAGCTGCATTTATAAAAAGACATGTGACATGTAAATCCAATTGACTTGGTCAAAATGCAGCAATTCCTTAAACAAAATTAAATGAGAAAACACCATTTTTAAATAATAAAATTCAGAAAGTTATACTCTAGTGGAACAAAACTTCTGAAGTAATTGTTTCAACCTTATTTGGAGTGCAATGTAGTTGTCATGTTTTAAATCTACAAGAAAACCACCAATCAACTTTTTCAATAAATATTTCCTCAAGAAGTTTTTTTCCCCATAAAAGATCTTTCATAGATGTGCATTGGGTAAATCAACAATACACAAGGACTATCTTTCAATTCCCATTTCTTACCTGTACGCAAACATCGTTGCATCAGGCCGGTCATAAAAGACGAACTCAGGGTCCCTAAAAACATGCACATAAAACAATATAATTAAAACTGGTTTAGAAAGTCTTAAATGTTTGAGAGATTTCTAAAATGTTACATGTACAGCAAACAAAGAAGTGCAGAGTAGAGAACTGTGACCTCAATCACACATGCATACTGTTGACATGGTAAAAATGGTGAAGTTCTGCGCAAAAAAGTTTGGTATTTCAATCTCAGTATGCAATGTGCAAAAATTTCACATCAAATTTTCATTGACTTTTATAAAGCTTCTCACCTTTTATCAGCTTTTGCTGAGAATCTCTTAACATCTTTGACAAATTTTGAGAAAGTCTGTGAATGTAAGTAAACACATTTCCATTACATGTATACAAATTATAATTATTCAAGGGTTTTATTACAAAATTACACTAATTTACCCGTTCTAATCTAATACCACATTTCATAAAAAAGAAACTACATCTGGGACCCAAACTGACCATTTTCCATCTCCTCACCAAAGAGCTTATTGATGACTTTATTTCCCAAGTTCTTTTAGCAAAATAGACAATACCAAGAGTCAAGATCATTTTTACCTGCTCTAATCCAGTAAGAAATGGATGGTCTTTATGAAAAAGCTGAGCTGCCCGTGCTTGGGATCCAAGATAATCCATCCATGTTTTCACAAAATGTGAATCTACAGCCTGGTGAAATTAAGACATGAAATTCATATATTTTGGTTTGAAGAAAAACAAACATACATCAATAATTTTAAAATTCCTATCAGCTTCAGAGTCTAAGGTTAGTGCAAGTACATGTACAATGTAGCTCCAAATCATGAGAAAAACATCACTGATCAAGGAACCATTCATCAAAATAATAAGCCAGTCAACAAGGTTTGCAACAAGTGATAAAAGTAGTGAGCTTGTAACTACATGTAAAGTGGATATTTTATTAGGTTTTTGGAGCTTCACTGACTTTAAACTTATTGCCAACTCACCATTGAAGCACTGAACACTCTCATATTCTCTGGATAACCCTGCCAAAAAGAATACAAAATGCAACTGTTGAAACTAACCACTCACAGTATATAGCATTATCCTTCCTAAGGCTATGCATGAACATTCAACTTCATTGCCTTAAGAATACAAGTACTCTTGCAAAATGCAGGTAAAAGGTTGGGTCCCCATAATTATTGACCACAATCCTCTTAAAAAAAGATAAATACAAAAAGCATATTTAAAGTGGGAAGAAGCAGCAGCCAAGAAACACAAAAATGATCACTCAAAACAAATAATAGTCACCACTTGCCAAGTTATTGAAAATAAGAGAGCAATGAAACAAAACATTAACTGTTCTTATACTGTAGTTTTGGTACCAGATCTCTGAACCGCAAGGACTCTGAAATGGCCTATTGCCACTTAAGTATAAATATGTAAAAGGAAAGAGGCTAACAAAGCCTGAAAAAATGCTTAGGGGCAGTCTTTAACCAACTCCTGGCCAACCCAAGAAAAATGAATACAATATAACTCCCAGTCCCTCCATGCAACAGAAATTAATATTAACCATGGCAGCTAAATGTACATGTAAAAGTACATGTATGCAAGTGAACCTGGTTCTGTACACAATCCCAACCTTTTTGTGATCACAATTTGCCCATTTAGAGCTCACCTTTGTTGTTAAATTAAAAACATGTCTGGCCAGAACTTCAGCAATATACTCTACATTGCGCTCTAATTTCCCATCATTCTCAGAAGATCTGAAAATAAAAAAGGGGAAAGAAGGTCACGTGTATGTCAACATTCACATCGCCAATAAAAGCCAAAGATGACCACAAAATCAAAAGTTTTAAAATGAAAAGTGCTGTCATTATCATACATTATACCGTGTGGTTCTTTTTTGAAAAAAAATATGCATAGTGCAAATCAGCATCATCTTACATGTTAAAACTAAATAAATATAAGTATTTTTATTTTTGTAATGTACTATTAAAAGTAAAATGAACATGTAATAAGTGAGTAAACTGGGGTTTATTAGAGCATAAGACCAGTCAAACAGAATTTACTTCCTAAAAAAGAGTTGCTTATCTTCAATGATTGATGAATGTCTAACAAGAGAAACTTTACTGCAGCACTATTTAGGAATACATTATGAAATTGCAGTTTTCAGACTGCAAACTCTACCATAGTTTAGAGAACTGACCCAACTTATAATTACAAAAGGATGTTAACCACAATGTTATTATTTGAAGCGCTTTGCACACTTTGTGAGTTCAATTTATGTCTAACTTTTATTTTTGTTCTTCAACACATGAAAACATTATATATTGTTATAGTATTTTACTCTGCTAGCGGGTCAGAGCAGAGCTTAACCCCTAACTTGCAGCCATATTAACATTTCCTCCTAAGTGGAGATGCAATCAACATTCAATGGGCAAACCATTCATTTCATACAAGTACATAAACAACTCACTTCTTTTGTATGTAAATAAAGAGTTTCCTCCCAAAAAGTTATAATTCTACCTAGTTTTTCAGAAGCTGGAGACAACATGTGATGTTGACAGCTGAAGTAATATAAGCAACTAGTGTCAAATATAAAATACATGTACATGTACGTGTTTTGGTTTATGTGGGCTAATTTTTGGCAGCTAAAACAAAACAAAAAAGGCCAATAAAAAAATACAAACAAAAGACAAGAAAATGATGAAGTAATCTCACCTAACATCAAAGATTGATGACCTTCCTAAAACTTGTGGGTCCTCCAAATGAGATAATGTACCAGCTGGAAGACGCTGTGTGTGCAGAGAAAATCTTTCATGTTCCCATGACAATGTCTCCTCTGCCAAGTTAATTTTCTTGTGGACCATAGTAAAGTTGAGTTCCTTGAATATTTCTTTTGCGACCTAAAAGAGTGATGGAACATAATTCAAATTAATTGATAACTTGACTTAACAATAAATGAGAAAATAAGAGAATCAAGAATTGCTAACATCAGTTAGCATCTACACCTACAGGACAGTACAATTGCTGAGAGGTAGTAATGCAACTGCCCCACCACTATTTTGGTTGCTATGGAATGTGAAAAAAAATCAAGTGACAAATTTTGAAGCAAATGCTACCAACTAGCACCTCTGCACTAAGTGGTTATGTAGCAACATGATGAAGTGTTGTGTTTTTTTGTCTACAGCTTGACTGAGATAAACATTTGCACAAAACATCATTAGGTATTGTGGTTACAATTATTTTTACCTTTTTAATTGCAATCTTTTTACAACATTAGCTGTTAAATACAATGGAGCCCTGAGTTGTTATATTCATCCGAATAAGTTGGAAATTGACTTACCATTTTAAATTCCTGTTGGATTGAAGAATAAGATACTTAAGTTAATGAACAGTGTCTTAACTCACAAAAAGTAGAGCCTACATGTAGATATACAATTATAGAGCTGATGATGACTTTCCGTGGTGGAGTTTATTCAATCTGAAACTTTGGACGTATTCTGGGTGTTGTCTTAGTCCAATTCATCATGGTTGTTGACTCTGAGTAACTTTTACCTTACAAGTCCAATCATTTGAACTGGTTTTCAGATGGTTTGATAAGATAGAAATTTGCTATAGTCTGCATGGCTATTATAGTCATCCTTGTTTTCCTGACCGCTACTGCAAACACTTTAAGTTTGTATTTGACTCACCCTGAGGGCTCATCAAAATGCGGTATGACTCAAAAGTGCTCAGCGATACTACACACCAACAAGTGTAATGAGATATATTGAACTCACCTCTACTAAAGAAAATGCAGGAGTTCCTTCTTTAGGAGGTTTGGAAACATGTAAAAACATATGATCTGTCTTCCCAATGCTATCCAGACATAACACATAGTCCACATCACTGAGTACACTTGTTTCTGTTGGGACATGCAAATCAACAAGTCATGAAACAATTGTCCAAAAGAAGTTCAGTAGTGTCAGAAATTGATGATTTGATCCTTGGAACCTAAAAGGGATAAGTGTTTAATTTCTCCTCACAATATCACCCTTGATTCACACATTTAAGTCACCAGAATAGAGAAAATGACCACTAACTAAAGAAACTCTTGATTGTTGAAAAAATTCTCCTAATCAGCTCCTTAGGATATATGGTGAACAATATGGAGAATACCAATACTAATGGTTGGGTGAGAAGGGTGAATTCTTGATACGTTAAGTGCATACAGTTCAATTCTGATTTTTTGAACACTCAATTTTCTTTTCACCACTCCTGACTCTTGTGTACACATATCTACAAGTACCTACCTGGGTTATCGAGATTGTCTTCAAGCCATCTTTTTGTCCCTTGATAATTGAATTTTCCTCCACCAGACAGAAAGAACACCAAATTATATCTTTATAATGTTAAGAAAATTTACATTATCAGGTAAACCAGTAGGTTAGAAGACTTGTTTCTACATCAAACTATCAAACAGTAAGTGTGCTACTTCAAAAGAGTATTCAGTAATTAAAAGGATACCTTGCTTGCATTCTAGGATCTGCATACAATCTGAAAAAATCACAGAGAATGCATCAAAGTTTACCCAACAAATGGAAATTATATTGATTGCTGTTGTTTGAAATGTTCTAGCATCCTGTTGTCTGAATTTAAAATTTTTGCTGCAGGCTTTACTTTCTCTTCTATTTGAGGCATGTAAAAATCAGCCTAAAAGGGTTTTTGTTTTACATACATGTACAACTGTAGCCATTATGAGGTTTTATTACATATTTGAGGCACAGACTGTACATGTCTGCAGATGTACAATAAGTTAAATTTCATCAGCATTTGGTAGCAAGTGTGAAAGTCAATTCCTCAAATTCAGTCTTCAAAGCTGTATCATGATGCTGTGTGTTTTGCAATGAAAGGATGTGCCATGTTGCATCCTGTTGTTTTGATGTTTTTTAAATGAAGTAAAGTATGAATCAAATTTCTTACTAACCTTGAAAACAATCTTGCCAATTCCAAAAGAGCCACAACTCCACTACCATTATCATCTGATCCAAAAGAAATACTCTAAAAAGAAAAGAGATTATATAAATACAAGATAAATATTGCACACATTTTAAAATATTGCATACAATTGTTCATGCACTAACTATCATTGCACTTCAGATTTCATCAATTATTGGTTTAAAAACACCTATTATTATAATATTAATCGTTTCCTTTCTACCAGCACACAAAGTATCACCTTGATACAAAAACTCAGGACTCATAAATCCTTACTAGGGTCATTCCTCTGAACAGCTACATGTAAACTATAAAGTTTAAGAGCAAGTCTTAACATTCACTGCAAGTTAACAATTGCCTTACTGGCGCTATGCCAAAGGCATCATAGTGAGCTACAACAGCAATAGTGGGTAGTTGTTCATCAATTCCCATTCCTGACAACTTCCCCTAAAATCAACAACAGAAAAAAACTCACAAAACTAAGCATGAATCTCCTGCTGCTAGAGGTTAGAGCAGCAGACTAAAATGAGCAAGTTAATGGTTTAAAAGTCAGGTTAAAAGTTCTTGTCTACTCAAATCAAAATAAAATCACCTTTAAATAGAAATCAAATCATAGTGTGTTCTAACAAAATAAATGCACTCCATTTATAAAAATGTTCAAAATGTTGCAAAGTTCTCTTCCACTCAAGGCAATTCATCTGCACAAAAGTGGCTTTTAACAAAGCTCTTGTTCTCCTTTCTCCTCTCGGCTCAGATAAGGCATGGTATGTAACCAAACTGAGTGCGATTCATGGAGAAAGGATTTTCAAATCAAAAAAATATTGATAATTTTTTCAATCCAGAGTCCACTCAAAATTTGTTTTTCAAAAACATTTTCTCCAAATTTGAGTTGCAAAAATCTGTTTGTAGCTGTGAGTGCAGTTTATAAACTGGTGTATACAGTAATTATGTAATTAAATGGTAAATCAAAAATTTAATCTGAATGATACCTGTAAACTTGTAATAGCTGCATCTTTAATCTGTTTGGCTTCTCCAACATTCACGACCATTTGGTATCCACTAGCTGATGCAACTCCAAGTAAAGCTAAAATCACATAGTCAAGAAATATCAACTAACATGTAAATTGTTGGTAAAAACTCAAAGACTACCAAAATCATTGCTCTCTAAACTTGATCATACAGTAGCTACATGTATAAAAATGTAATACAACTCAGTTATGGGTACATTAGGAATTCACCTTAATGTTTCACCAGTAATAAAAGGGTCTACAAGTATTAGTTAAGACTGATAAGGCCTGGGTATCCCCAGAACCAATGAGCTGGACTTTGGGCTCAAGCCCTTGTTGTGTCCTCGAACAAGACACTTAAACTTTCACAGTACCTCTCTACTCTATCCAGGAGTACAAAATGCTAGCAGCAAAAAGTCTGAGAAACTGATAAAGATGTTGTTTGTCTTGCCAAAGAGTCTCTATGGAGAATTAAACCCCTTGAATATTGACAGAATGCTACATACTTCTTATTCCAGGCTCCTGAAAACTATTGTAGCTTGGAAGGACTAACCTTCTGACTCATAGGCTACAAGTGGTTTTGTCTTTTTACCAACAACTCTTATTGCACATCTTTTGCCTTTCCTTACCTGATCTAAAAATACAGAATTTGTTACATACCTTCAAATGCTGAACCAGCCTGGTCACTGGTCACAGCTGTTTTGATATCATCATAAATTTTTGATAACTCTTTGTCTTCATAAGCAAAATATACAGCCACTGGAACTTCAACAGTCATAAGATCTCTCTCCAGTTGCTGCCACTCCTAAGAAAAAAGGGGAATGTTCAAAATACATGCAGGTTACTCTGTTCAACATTTTGAGGGCATCAGCAACTCTACATGTCCGAGATACATGTACATGCACTCTTAAAAAAATTTGACCTGCATAAAATTTCCAGGGGTATACATATACATACAGTGTACATAAATTGTTTAAATAGCTCTTAGTTCTCTATATACTATGAAGGTAACTTAGACAACTTTCTTAGATAACTTCATTAAGAAACTGAAATGATTTTAAACACTTCACTGCTCAAAAAGGAATTCAGAGTCAACTCCTTTTCCTTGAACAAGTATATTTGCATGTCTGAAATAACCACAAAAATGAAATTTTGCAGTCTCCTTTCACCTAAACTTGTTAAGTAATAAACTGCCAATTACTGGCTATTGTTTATCTATCTCCTCTTGCCTCATATTCTTGGAGAAAAAAAACCTTGAAACATTGCATAGAATTGATTTAAATTTCAAACAAAGAACAAATCATCAGGCACATGTTGAATACTTCTTTAACAAAATGGACAGAAACAATAACCTCAGTGAAAAGCCATCCAATTAAGAGTATTACTAAGCATCAATACTATGCTCAGCATAGTACTGCGAGAATGAAAATGGAATTCAGAAGGAGTCAAGTTAGTTTGCCAAGATGTTCTTCCTGACTCCATCTTAGAGGGTAGTTAAGTAGCAGATTTTAACAGCTAAGCAGGCCATCAATTAAACTCTTTTATAAGAATTTCTACCTCCAACTGTTCAAGGGAAGCCACAGATGTATTTTTTGGGAGCAGAATCAGTACTGCCCCTGCCCCAAGGGTTTGTACAGCATCCTTAAATTTATCAATGGTGAGATCTGATAGCCTTGTTACCACACAGCGTCTTGTCAACATATCAGAGGTCAGGGGTCGTGCTTCCATGTTTACCAGTGAGCTGCGAGATCCTATGATGTAAAAAAGTTCATGAGTTTTGTCTACCCTTTACTCATTTGACATAATTTTCCTCCTTTTTCATGAATAGAGAGTACACTGTGTGACCTGTAATTAATTACCTACAAGTAGAAATAGTCTCATAAGTAATGTTTCTTTTGTTCCAGCCTTCTATGAAGATTAATATTTCAGGAACAAATGAACACTGATATGGTGCTTCACAAAGGCACATCCTCATTCCACAGAGATAATCCCATCCCTAATATCTGAATACACAAAAGATTGCTCACAAGCACTATCCTTCTGCCCTTTATGGTGCTAGAATTCCATTTATTTTTCTGCTGAAAATCTCTCCAACCCATCACAAAGAAATATCCTCATTTAGTATCAACACAACGACAGACATGTAAGTGAAGTTGGTGGTCTTTTCTACTAAAATCTATGTTAAAAGATTGACAATTATCTTAATTAGAAACTGAAGTGAATCATATGACCTTGGTAATGATTTGCTCGGGTCGTATGGACCATAAAATTGTCGTCCAAATACTGAAAATGGGGAGAACTCTATGTACTCACCGTAAAAAAATATATAATACTGTCACATAAGAAATTTTTGTACTAAATTTATTTGAGATTTTCATCGAGAAAGCGTGAAACAGGGAGTGTGCATCATGTATATACATACGGTAAATGGGACCGTTGAAGAATACTCTGTGAATAAATCCATGAATGTTCTTCTATTGTATTGCTTTAGGATGGAAGATTCAGCATTATTTTTGTATTAATGATTTATTCATCGGTGAAGACTTACCGCTTTGAGTTTGGTGAAGGTCAAATTGTTGCATTCTGAATACTGGAAACTCGTGCGCGGCCATGACAGGTGAAGCAGGGCCACTCAGTAGAACTATTGGTACCACAAACAGAACTGATATGGAAACAGGAAAGTTCCTGAATAGCTCCAGAAAATCAGGTACGTTCTCCCACATTTTTATCACGAAATATTAGCGAAAACAAACTACTGAAGTATATTGCTGCCCGAAGTATTTGACAAACCCGCTCACGAAATCTCGGACGCTTCTTAAGCGAACACGTGGTGTTACATGTAAGCGGTTATCTTACCAGACCCAGACTCCTGAAGTTAACGGTTACCTGTTAAATTGTCAAGAGATTGGGAGCTAAACAAATAACAACCCTCTTGTGTGCTCTGTCCCAGTGTTAAATACTTAGGAAATAGCATGAGCACGAAAAAGCGTATGGTAAAACTCTAGACGTAGCAAATCTTACAAAACTTCATGCCATGGTAACATCGCAGTGGCTAGTTATGGCCTCCATGTAATCATGAGAGGCAGCTTGTGGTGATCTTAGGGGAGGGCCCAGGGGCTCCACCACTCCCCCCATCAGGGTTTTTTTTCGCTATTTGACTGACACCAAAATTCTGGCAGCATCAGGATCTCTTGTGACTACACAAAATGAACTACTTAGAGTGTAAAATTTTGAGAGTTTTTCTTAGCTTGTCTAGCTGTAGTTAACAAATAAAACATTTGTGTTTTCTGCATCAAACTTCAGGTCCCTCCTTATTGAAATGAATTCGTAGATCTACATGTACCCCTGAGAAAGAATGCAGGCCCTGTGATCAAGGTGAAGTCCACCTTCACTGTGAGTTTGTCAGAACCACAGGGTTTAAATATCATTGAAAAGCTACAGAAAAAGTAAGAAATTCATTTCCCCAAAACTGACACAACTCAGCTGGCCAAACTTTTTCAGTATCTTAAAGCAAGCTGTTTCGACTAATCAGACCATATTCCATCTTGAAACATTGTAAAGGAAGTTTTCTGAAATACTGGACATTTTCCGGGGTTTAATATAATTACATGAAAATTTACAAAATGGGGGAATGTTCCATGAAAATGCACCCTTGGTTCCTAATAATCATTCCTAATAACTGCCAACATTCTCTACTAATATAAGATGGTTGACCATAGAAATGATATATTGCAAGTTGGAACCACAAGTCCAACTGTGAAAATCAGCTTGGAGCACAGTACTAAATAATGGCAAAATGGAAAGGTCAACTGGACACACTATGCCTTATCTATCCACAGTGGCTATATAACAGCCTGAGGACAATTTCAACCAACATGTATGCACCAGGCAAAATATAACATAGATATTAAACCTTATGTGTGGGTGTTTGAACAATTTCAAAATCACTAACAAACAAAGAGGAACAAAGCTTAATAAGCAAGATTTATGTTCATTCACTACAGAAGGAGAATCCTATGAGCAAGAGTAGACAAATAAAAATAAATAGACAAAGGAAAATGTACAACAAACTAAATCATGACAAATAAGTTATTTTGCATTTTGTTTTACAAAGCACAACGTATGCAAACAAGTTTCAAACAGCCAGGCTGTAGTATCAACTATCACTAACTTTTTATCATTGCATCATTTCTCACTGTTATGAGCACAAACTATTCCAGATGGTAAATGATTATCATAACTAATTCTAAATGCACCAGATGATTCTTATTATGGTTTTGTTCTCTTCAGTCTGCTGTTTAATTCTGCAACCTGTGCTTCCACTCTGTCAGGTAACTCAGGGTCTGAAAAGTATTCTAAGAAAACGAAAAAATAGTACAGTGTAATTATTTGACACCATCTGAAAATGTTGATAAAGTGTTGTTTTAAGTATGGCATCACCAGGAAAAAGAGCAAAAAATTTTGAAACATATAATTTCTTGTTCTTCTCTCTAGTGAAGCCATTTAAGTACAGCAATTCCTTGCTTGCTTGGGTAATTGTGGGGCAATCCACTCAGGATGTATAAATCTCATACATTGAAAGTACAGACAAAATAAAACCATTCCATAAGGCTTCTATTTTTTTGCACATATATACAGTAACTGAGCAAATAGTGCCCTCTCTCTGCGAGACATTCTCACAGTAAATACTGTGCATCAACTCAATGGAAACAAAGGCCTGCTAATGGATCTATTCCAAAATAATTTTCAACATGTGAGTAGCATTCATGGACACAGCATTAGATAATTATGCTTCCAAACAAACTTTGTATAAACCTAAAGTATGTATTAACTCTGGAAAACAAAAAATTGCCAATATAACAGCTAATCTCTGGGACAAAATCCCAGTAGTACATGTACATGTACATGCTATGTGTTGAGGAACTTACTTGAAGCGAATTCTCTGACATTCTCAGGTCTTTTTTGCAAGATACTCCTACAAATCAAAACCAGTAAAAATCAGTGGAGCATAATGACTTATCAGAAATTAGTATAGGTAATAGCATGATTTCAAGTGCAATTTGGTGTTAATAAGCATGGATAAATTTTTCAAAGCCAACAAAATTGCATGAGCGGGTTGGGCAAGTGTAATTTGTATTATTTGAAAAATTTACAAGTTCTTTCTGCACCAAATTGCAAGAGAAATCATGTTAGTACTTGTTGAAAATCTACATCAAAAAACATTGCAGAAAGTCAAGACAGACAAAATTTTGAAAGTGTTCACGTGCTTTTTGTAATTTTGCTCTAGCGTTACAACTTTACATTTGTGTTACAACTTTGCTCTTGTATTACATGAAAATGCACTTGTTTTCAGCCAATCAGAAGTGCATAATTTTTTCATGTACATTGTTATATACTAAACAATTATTGGTCAGATCAATTAATGAGAAAGCACTGAGCTAAACTCTAGCAACACAATTCTTTTGGTGCTAGTTCAGAGAATTGGGTATTAGATCAACTAATAATCCCTTAATTGATAGTTTACTTTATTCTCATCTCTTGTCTGCTTGATATTGTATTGATATTGTGAGGAGAAACTCTGTCTTGGTCATATAACGTGATACAAAGTTGCATTTCAGTGAACGTTCATTTAAAACAAAATAGCTAAAAGGTGGGAAATAAATCGGACATTCAACATTTCAGGCTACAGAAAAAACAAAATTTATAAGTTTGAGCAGTTGCAAAGATTTAAAACCGAAAACAATAAAGATTTTAGTGAACACATAAGCTCATGTTGTGTATGCGTAAGTGTCAAGCAGTCGTTCTTCCGTGAGGAATAAAGACGCTTCTTTATTATGAATATCTCCAATTAATTTAATGGATACTCACCCTAAAAATCCAGTAAGAAGACAAGATACCTCTGGATGTTCTCGCAAATATCTTTCATTTCCAAATCTTGTTTTTATCTAGTCATGAACAAAAAATCATGATATGATTTTAAAATTATAGTTACATCTGACCCTCTCCGTTTATTTTCTTCTCATCTCAAACGAAAAGTTACCTTAAACTCGTTAAGTTTTTGTTGTTGTTCTGGCGTCAATGCTCCAACGTCATTTTGTTCCATTCCATTTATTCCAAACATCTTTTTCTCCTCCATTTTTCGAGTGTTGCCTTTTCAATCTTGTGTTTGCTTTTCACTTCGCACCAGTTCTCCCGTTATCAAACGACGTTTTTACATCGATCCTTGACATTTATCACAAGTGTTCCTGTTTACTCATAAAAATGTCGCTGGAAGGAAAACTAATCCATATCTGAAGATTTGTGTCAGTTGTTTGGATAATTCCTTCACGTACAAATACATGCACTCTGAATTAGTTGCTTAGGAACCGCGTCAAACATGATTATTCCTTTCTTGGGGGTGGGGTTAGGATCTTGTTTGCTTTATTGTCTAGGAAAAAACACCTCCGTGTTTCATGCTTTTCTCTACAAATTGTTTCCTGCCATAGGAAATAAGCAAGGGTTGCAACGAGCATTATTTTCCCCTAATAATGAATCTGGAGTTTCGATAGGAATTCCTGCAGGGTCTCACACGGGATACGGGCTAAGTCCCCGCGCGATCTCGAGATGGCCCCGAGCGGGATCTATTCTTAGCGCGACTAGGACGGAAAAATGTCCCTACGGTATTTACGTACAAGCTTTTCAAAGCGATAAAGTGTTAAATTTTCACATTTATGTCATTCTAGATCTCACAGTGAACACTAATGTAATAGGGAATCGCAAATGAATAAAGATAATGTTTAGATGGACAGTACCATTGACATGGATAAGTCTCAAAACAGGTCAAAATCATTTGGTCAGATAGAAACACACCCAAACTACTGTGTCATGCACCAGGTCTGTTAGTAAGGGCTATTCTTCAGGGTTCTGATATTCAAAATTACACCAGAGTTAAGATATATGCACTTATTTCTAAGAACTCAGAAAACAACACACCAGAACAGATGGGTTCTCAAGGCAACCCACCCAGTTTTAACTTTGTTTATTACTTTTAGATATGGTTATACTTGGACAATTGGTCAAGAAATTGGCATTAATGTTCAAACAATCAATATGATGATAATTAGTTATTATTACAGAAAACTAATCATAAAATTGACACTGAGTTACTGAAAACAATTCATACTTCATAATATGGGATTCCAAAACATGCTGGTACACATTTTTTTATTTATTCGTTCCATCTAACATTTGGTTGGAACTGTTTTTGTGATAATTTTTTTGGTCTTTAATTTACTGTGGTGTGACTTTCCTAATCCAATGCAATACAATAGTTTACTGACTGTTGCGGATGTATTTTCTTTCCCTTTGAACTCCATCACTAGAGATATAGGCTCTCTTTACTGGATTCTATTATTGCAGGAATGTTTTTGTGTTTCGTTACCATCTCTTTTGCTTTTCAGACATTGTTTTTCTACCACAAGAACATTTTCTTTTTGAGAGATTTTTTGAACCCTGTCCTAGTATTAATTCCTTTTCACTGATTAATTTGAAGGATGGATCAATTAAAATTTGGCAAATTTCTACTTGGTCCTGATTTTGTATTCCTGTTTAATCTGAAATAAAGTAATAAACCCTGGTCAGCTTAATAAGATTCACATGCTAGATTGTGTAATTTAATAGGACTGAGTAGTCTTTGGTCTGTAATCTGATTTCATCTTCATTTTTTTTTTGATTATTCGTTCTTGCCTAATTTGTTTTTCCTTTTCAAATTAGTTTATACTTCCTTTCGTTCATTTGTTTATTTTCCGCGTTAATTTAGGTGTTTATCTTTTCTGTTAGTTTTCGTTGCCCTCGTTATTTGAATAGTTTTATTTTCCGCATTTTTAGCGTATTTGAATATCGTAGTTTGTCAGTACAGTTTGTGAGTTCAGTTTGGTCCGCGCTTAGCGCAGTTCTGTTTAGTTTGTTTCTAGCCTCTTCGCGTTATTCGCAGTCTCTTCCTTTACAGAAGTTTTCTCTGGCCAAAACAATGTAAGTGTATTTCGCAGTCCTCGTTTTGCAGTTTTTGTAACTTGTAACGTGTTTTGCAACTTGTAACCTTTTTGCTTTTTTTTTCGTTTTAGTTTCAACCCACACTCTTAGTATCAAGCACGTTCGGCTCCAATAAATCTTTTTCTTTTTATTTGGTGTGTGGTGTTATTATTCAAGGCCAGGAGTCTTGCAGGTTTATGGCAGTTTCAATAACAAAATCAGACGACTGCATAGTGGGAGTACAATTTGTTTATCACGAGTGTGATTACAGACCGAAACGAATGACACAAAGTCCTTTTACCAATTCATCATAAAAATTACAATTTCCAAATTAAAAAGAACACTTAAATATTGTCATTGCTCAAGGGAAACCAATTCTCTGTTTTGAAGAAAGCCCCAATTTAGGAATCTGTACACTGTTTCTATGGTGATTGAAACCAAGGTTGTGATTGATTGATTTAAACCACAACTTTGAATGTGATTGGTTGACTTAAACTACAACTTTGAATGTATTTGGCTTATTGAACTGTCCAACAACAACTTGGCAAGTGAATTAGTGGAAAATAGGAGTTTTTAAAACTAATCACAATCGAGGAAATTGTAATTCCCATGTTAATGGATTTATTGATAAACTTTATCCCTTTCATATAATACAAACAGAAATTTCCAAAATTGCCTGACTATTAAGGTACTGACCTATCCATGATAAAAATAAAATTTCCCTGATGAAATGGATACAAAATGTCCAGTCTCCTCTTCATTAAAACATTGCTGAGATCATCTGAAATATTTCTTCCAGCATGGTATGAAATTCAGTGATGTAAAACTTTAATTTCCTGACTTTTCCCTGACCTTGAAATTTCTATCCCTGGCCATTTTTTGGTCTGTGGTAACCCTGGTAGGGCAAGATCAACACTACATGGCAAGATGGAAGGGAAAATGCTCAAAGCTCAATGACTGTCCTTTTCAGACGAAAGTTTAGCCTGTCTGCTTGGCAAACAGAAATGAATGAATTCCGCTAAATCATTTCAGAATGAGGCAATTTCAAATGGGGATTCCTTGCCTTATTTTACGAAAATGATTGTAGTTTTTTTTTTTCAAAAAAAAAGGAGAAGAATTTTGAGGGCTACACTCTCCCCTCCCCCTATGAGTTTATGTTGAAGTCAACCCCAGGACGTTTTGTACAATGCAAGACAATGCTAGTTTGATTACGTTCAGCTTCAGTTCGGTGATATCGTTTTTTGTAACCAACTGCTCATTTTCTGATATCTATTTTATTCTATTTTGACGCTAACCGAGTTCCTACCTTGGTTTTGTCCAGGGTCTTTTTATTCTGTTCGACTAATGCCTTCCATTTGCCATAATACATTCGCGCCAAGAATATGCATCTCTTTCCTTTTGTGTTCTCATTTCTCTGTTCTCCCTTTCCCTAGCTGTCCTTGACAATCGTTTACGTTTCCTCCTTTGATTTCGCATGCTGCGTTTTTCTTTGATTGTACTTTCCCGAGATCGTCGTGGAATGATTACTTTGCCAAGCACGCGCCAAGCGCGCGCTTTTTGTTGGCGAACGTCTTCGATACTCGATTCCCTGTGGCTGAGTTTGTGCCCGCGTTTCCATACTGATATAATGTTGTAGAAAATTCTAGTGGACAGCGGCCTATCTCAACGCGATAAAACGATAAAAATTAACCGGAAAGCTTTGTTCGCAGTGAATATACAACTACGAAGAATTAATGTGGATGAAACAGGGTACAAGGTTTATGCAAGGACTACCAGAAAAAAAAAAGCAGTTGAAATCCTCCAAGTATAAAGTTTTTTTAAATGTAAAATGCATTTTCCACGCGTTTCAATATCACCCGACCTGCCACAGACTTCTGATCAGATTTATTTATTATTCCCTCATCGGTAGTAGTATATCCTGTGCCAATTACGTAAGTGGAAGTCATGTTTACTGACAAAGTTTGACAAGCGATGACGTGTCATTGATGCCTAACATTCCCTCATCGGAAAATTGAGACATGTATAGGTCTGTTGGTGTTCTGGTTCACTTTCAGTTAAACGACATTTCTGTCACAAAGTGACGAGATTATGACGCCTTGCGGTAAGCATATTGAAGCAACCTGGAGTGCTACCAGATACTTCAGAAAAAAAGCCCATACAAAGCCTTAGAAAAGTTTTCTAAGGCTTTGTATGGGATAACGGGAGGTACTTACAGTGCACGCGTTTTCCGTCCTGTCATGTTTGCGAATGAGTATCTTTTGTTGGCAATAAAAAAAATCTACAAAATAAAGTTTTTTAAATTTTGGGGGTGCGTCGGTTTTGCTTCTCTTTGTGATAGCTCTCCGGAACTGTACCAGAAAAACTTTTATGGCAAACAGATGGTTAAATTTAGTCCATTTTTACGCCTAATGGATGATTTTTGCCCTTTCACGGCTAAACTTTAACTGTACTGAGATCCTCAACTGACCAATATAAACTTCCCATAACCTAATTCGCTCACTAAACAGAATATCAAAATATCTGCGTTACGAAGTTTAGCAGATATTTGTTTACTGCACGTTCTGAATGGCATTTTATGTTAATCAGTGAGTGTTTCGGTATGTTTCTTATGAGTTAAAATATTTGAATAGCGCTATAACAGGTAAAAGTTTTCACCGATAGTCAGAGTGCTGCCAGAATAGTGTCCATAGGTAGATCTAAAGCTCACCCTCAGTCAGCTGCATTATCTGCATTTCAGTTTTGTTTTGCACGGGATATATCCCTCAAGTCGCAGTGGATCCCCAGATCGCTGAATGAGAAAGCTGGTCAGCTCATTAGGTTTGTCGATAAAGATGATTGGTCTCTGAATCCATCTGTTTTTCAGTTAGTGGATGCCAAGTGGGGTCCCCCACAATCGACCGTTTCGCAGCCTATTACAATGCTCAGCTCCCGAGATTTAACTCGAAGTTCGCTTCCCCTCGTTCCACTGGGGTAAATCCCTTGGTGCAAGACAGGAGCGGTGAGAGCAACTGGATTTTTCCCTCAGTCAGCCTCGTGGTCGATTCCGTCCATCATCTGACGTCACGTGCTAGTCGCGGAACCCTGATCATTTCAGAATGGCCCTCGTCGTATTTTTGGCCTTTTCTACGCCAGGGATGACAGGATTTTCTTTTAATTAAGCGCGTTTTTTTCTAAATGTTTGATCCGCTATATGTATTAGTTATTATAATTCGGTTTTAATACCAATCACCTGTTCAAATTAAATGGTTTTGATATGACTCCTTGTTTTTGTTTCAGACGTTCTTCTTTCCAGGATCTGGCATGAAGCATCCGAATTGCAGGACCAATCACTACTTCGTTTGGTTTCAGGCCTTCTACATTTGCAGCCAAGATCGAGGGCTCTTTCCACTGTGACTATGTATAAGTCAGGCTGGTTAAGATGGCGGAAGTGGGCCTCTTCGAAGATTGGTATATCCAAGCCCTTGCACATCGCCTTGTTCATCACTGAGCTTACAAAAATTTGTGTGGAAAACAATATGGGTGTGTCACCCATTGAAGCTGCGCTCTATCGTATTAGATAGTGTCATACTATGGCCGGGATGGAATCGTTTCCCTGACTGGTTATCAACTCGTGAAGTCACCTGTCGGAGGAGCGAAAAGGAAGCTGGCTCGTCCAGTGCAGCCTAAAAAACCTTTGTCCGCTCATACAGTGCAAGCAATTGCCGAAGTTTCGGTTACGAGTAATCCTCTCTCTGACGTCCGCTTTTTATTTATTTTGCTGGACAGTGAATGAATGAATGAATGAATGAATGAATGAATGAATGAATGAATGAATGAATGAGTGAATGAATGAATGAATGAATGAATGAATGAATGATGTGAGTGAATGTGAATGAATGAATGAATGTGTATTTATATACCGCACATATCACATACTGTCTCAAGGCGGTTTACAATTCTAATTGAGTGAGATCGAACGTCAGCTTGTAAAAAAGTTTAAAAGTTTAAAGTTTAAAGACAGTTTAAGCCTTAAAGACGTTGCTATCAAGGGTGATCACATGATAATTTATGTTGCTAAGCGCAAAAATGACTAAAACCGAGAAGGTCATACTTCCGATCTTGCTAAATCAGCGAAGTCTCCTTGTCCGGTTGCCATAACCCAAAAACTAATTAAGCTCTTGCCGCAGTCAAGCGATTCCGAATATCGGCTTGTTCGTCGTATGGTTAAGGGTAAGTCTCGCGAGTATTTCCACTCTAGCAAAAGAGTTTCCGTAAATACGCTGAGATATTATTTTAAAAAGTACATAGAACCTTTCGTGGACGACGTTTCCAAGTTCGGTATGCATAGTATTAAGTCTGGTGCCGCGTTCAACTCCGCTTATAGGCGTATTCCAGGTGACCTATTGGATATACACACGGGATGGAAGCGCCCTTCTTCAAAGAGTAGATATATTAAGCACACAGTTGATGAGCGTTTAAGTGCGTCAAAAGCACTTTTGCTGCAATTTAGTTGTTCACGTATTTTATTGTTCTTAGCGCTACTTAGTCGTAGTGTGTTAATACAGTGTATGTTTAACGTAGTAGTCATATCGGAGGACGTGAGTTGTGCCTGGCCCGTCTCAGATTTCCTTCCTTTTTTCCCTTAGAGGTATTTAGGACAGGATTTTTCAGGCCACCCTAGCACGCTTGCAAAATGATTTTATCAATTCTTTATTTGAATTTGCATTATATATTGCTGATTAAAGTGCGGATATATGGCGTTTATTATATCGAGAAGATTCATTTTTTAGCTAAAAACAAAATAGTTGTTAGATAGAGTAACAATTGACTGAACAATGATGCATTTGATTTATGTTCCCGAAATCATTTGGTACTAAATAAATCTCGAATACATTAAGAAAATACATATTTTTAAGGAAAACACTCTAAGAGGCAGATATTTCACCAGGTTTTGATTTGCGTTATATTAATTTTTCAGTTGCCCACTCCTTCATTTGACCAAAACAATTAAACTTTAATGCTTTTTGACTTGAAGTCGTTCAATTCTTTTAGAACTTGATGTTGCTCCTCGTTAAAGAAGCTTGGCCGAGGGCCATGATGCTCCTGAACGATCCAAAGGTAGTCTTGCATTGCAGGCCGGACGTTTTCGTGTGTGTTCTCCCAGCTCCAGTACAAATGGGTCTTGTTGATTGCCTGTAGGTGACCATAGCTGAAGAGAGAAGACAACGACGACATTATATTAGTACAGCTGGTTTAATCTGCTCAGTAGACCATGAGATAATAGGATTTTTGATCAAGCGCAGAGCTACCATTATTTTAAAAAAATATATATAGACATCCTCGATAAATTTAAGCGGCCCTGAATGTAATTCACAAAGGGTTAGGAACTTTACAAGGAGAAGAATCTTCATATGCTGATTAACATGCTACAGGAAAAAAGTCCCCCCCCTTCCCCATTTATTCGCACATCAAGCTGTTCCTGAAATTCTTTGTGCTTGCCCGTCATAACAACTTAAATTTAAGTTTTATGATACTTAGTCAAAAAGCACCCGAGTAAATTAATCATCCCAGTTCTGCCACAGGATCATTGTAAGACGAGGGTCTCAATGGGGTGATGGCTTTTATGGCTAACAGATAAAATTTTGGCCAGTTTACGGCTAAAGGTTAATACTTTCCACTGCGGTCAACAGAAAGATTTTTTTACGTTTAACTACTTTTTCACGACTAACGGTTAAAACTTGACAAATTTTTACGCCTAACGGTTAAATCTTACGGCCGTTTTACAGTTAACAGTTAATCCCATTGAGACGAACTTGGTACTGAAACATGAGAATTTCACACTTTCCCCTCCCTGCCGCCTTCAGTAGTCCCCCTCCTCTGGACGAGAATACTACTAACCCATAATCTTCGATGTATTTTGCCAGATCTTTTGGGGGAGCTGTACCACCGGACAGCTTTTCCCTTGAACCCGCAGATCCGGCCACAATGATCGTTATGTAATCAGGGTTAGTATATACATGTTCTTCTGTTTGATTATCCACTTTACCGCCGTAAGCTGGAATCAACAATTAAATTCTGTTAGAAAAAGAAAATATTCCTGACCATGGTAAATTCGCAAGGAAAGGTCTCTGCTTTGGCCTTTGAATGATCTGGCAAAATACATCCATCTGACCTCTGGCAGGAACCACAAAGGAGGCGTGAAGGGGGGGGGGGAAATGAAGGTTAAGCTCTCACACACACAAATTATATTCGAAAAAAAACAGTTTTTCTATTGCTCTACTAGAACATTGCTAATTTATTAGACGCGCAGGTGGTACTAATCGTTCAAAAATGACAGGGTGGTGCGAAAGAGGCAAAACTTTTAGAAACAAAAAATTCCCGACCGAAACCCGAAAATTCTATCCTCCGCATAGCAACGACTTAAATTGCTGTCATTCGATAGAATATTTTGTGAATGAATTAAACGACCGAAATGAATCATGAATTCACATTATAGTATAATTCACACCACAAAAAAAAACCGTAAATCGTAAATTGGAGAGAGTACAACCCTTTTTTGAGTTACATCTCAAATATTCCACCTTTCCGGTTCAGCGACAAACTTCCAATCACTGATATACATATCACTGTGTCATGTATCCACAAGGATTCGTGATCGATGTTCTAGTTATACAAGTTCCACTCCCCAACCTATCCATGACGATCCTAAAAATATGCCTCCCTACCGACCTACCCATAGTCGTAGATGTATTTTGCCGACATTCTGTCAGGCGCACGAGTCCAGTTGGAGAGTTTTTCGTGAGATCCAGCAGATCCCGCGACAATGACTGTGTTGAACTTAGGATTTACATAAACATGATTGTCTGTTGGATACTCCACACTGTCGTTGTAAGCTGTTTCAGAACAACAATATTGTTAATGGAGAAATCGTCTGAAATCGCTTCACGGAAAACTGAATATAACGCATCTATGGACTGGAGTAGAACCTTCTCAGACGTAAGTTATACCTGCCAACCCTCACACACGTGATTTTCAAGTGAATGTCACATGAGTCTCACACGTGCTAATCGAAAACATCGATCTCAAACATATACAGAACTACCATTTGAGCCTAACTCACGAGTTTCGACTCCTTTTTCACATCAAATGTTTACAAGTCATCTCCAAGTTTAAAAACTTCAGATGTTATTGATATTTTGGTGGCCAGTTTTCCTCATTTACCTCTTTCACAATTGTATTCCAAACAAAGTGTCATCACAACTCTTAAGAAAATGTTCGGAAGTCGTGTGAAAATTTCAAAATCCCATGTAATATGACTGGAAAACCTCCTGTATTATGTAAAACCAACCATAGCATATTGCAATTCCTGAGTTTTGACTGGTTTACAAGTCATAGGCTTCGAGAGAGTTGACAGGTATTCTAGTAAAAAAAGTGTTTTGTTAGTCTTAATTTTCCTAGAAGTGTCCCTTGTCACATTTTCATCAATTCAGTTCGATTCCTTTCCGATATGCAAATTGTAGTAACTTAGATTTTTTTGTGTCATATGTCAAAGGAAATAACACCTCTTAATGTTGTTTTCTTGTTTGTTTTGTTGTTTGGTTTTTTTCAATCGAGACACTCACGAACCATGGAAAGAATCTTACACGGTCACTTACTTGGGTAGAGCCGCTGATAGTTGTGTGCGTGGCCGCATAGATGTAAGTCCACACCATACTTATGTAAAAGTGGACCAAAAACAGAAAAATCCGTCTTCTCCATGAACCATGACTGGGAAATAATATGGAACAAAATGGGTCAAACAAAGAAGGCGCAAGTTAGGACAGAAGCATGCATGTTCCAGATCCCTTATGATTTGTCATTTCCGTATCAAAAAGCAATTATGAAAAGTTATTGCAGTGATGAATGGCAAAGCTGAGAAAACGATTGGCGAAGCGCTGGAGCACGTAGGAAGGAAAAAAGGAAGAAACCTGTCAATTTTCCGTTGCTTTCGCATTCTCGCCCTGGTTACCTTTCTTTTCATCGAGCACCACAAAGAAAAAAGAAAAAAACGTCTTCTCCGTAGCTGAACTATAATCACTGCTGTGAACTTATTCTGTGACGCAAACAAATTTAACAGTTCACAACTCAACCAGTACCTTGTGGGCAAGGGAAACTATCCATGGTGTCCTCTCTCTGTTTTGGTTTGCCTTTAAAAAGAAAATTGCCAGTGTCTAATCAGCATGATTGCTCAAGTGGTTGAATAGTAATTTGCGAGCTAAGTGATCGATGATTGCCTCATAGCGCGCGAGGTGGCCATTTTACTGAAACGCAAATTTCTGGCTACTGAAAGTTAATTTTGTGGAAGAACAAACAAGATTTGTTCTGCTAATCACAACAGTAGTTTTATTGAAATACTTACTCTCCTCAAGTTCAGGCTCAAAGGTGCTATCAAATAATTTCTGAACATTAAGCCTTTCACTCCCAAGATATAGACATAAATTCTCCTCACTTTCTGCCCTACAGCTCTCATACTTTCAGCTTTGAGAGTTTGATGTGAAATAAGATGATGTCCCCTACTTAATATTTGGATCAATATCAGCATCTGGGCAACTGCCCACCTACCCCTCCCCTAACCCAACATTAACCCTGAGTTGTTGTCAATAGACTGTTGTTGGTTACAATAGGGGAGGGGTAGGTGGGCAGTTGCCCAGATACTGATATTGATCCTGATATTTTTCTTTCTTCTCAACAACGTTTTACTCGCTAACGTGTTGATATTGTGGGGAGAATTTTCCTTTTGGTCACACATGGGAATAAAAGGGTTAAAATGGAGGACGTTATTCGCGTTTGAAGTGTAACGCGTCTATTCGAGGAAAGTGACGACAGAGCGAAACAAAATTTCAATAAAGTTGTTTAAAACTTGATAAAAACTTGATCAAGTTTTAAACAAAAAAACAAACAAATGCATTAGGAGAAGGTGAAGATTTTTCGATTCACGAGGAAGTTTCGATTTTGGGGAGTGGACATTACCTTGATTAAGTCAGCCTCGAGCCAATTAAGTTGTCTCTGAATTTGACCCTGCAAATAATGAAATAGAGTCAATGACGTTCTGACACTCCCAAATTGACAAGCAGTGATATGACATCATAAAAGAAAAGAAGAAACACTTGATGACAAACGGCAATCATCGTGGAACACAAGAGCGTTGGATAGTTGGTCGATCAGTCTCAAATCTGTTGAAATATATACTTCAGGACGTTCTCTCTATCAAGTGATGGTAGTCATGTTTGGAAAAGAAGTTAATCGTTCAGCTGTGCTCTGTGAAATTCTTCAGTTTAAATAATTGTGGACCAAAGAAAATAGATGGTACCTTATTGGAATAATAGTAGTAGACCTCCGAGTCGAATGCCACGAAATGAATAAGTCCTATGTCCATACTCCACCTTAGAAGAATAAAAATCAGTAAGGCCGGTGAAGCTAAACTAAAGAATAAAAATCACCAAAGCTGGTGAAAACGGAAACTGTACTGTATGGACTAAAATTTGCTATCTCGAATGTTTTTTTGAGGAAAGAACTAAATGTACGTATGTTTAAAAGCTGGAAACTAACAAACCGAAAAGAAAAAAACGGAAAAGAGCTCCCCGATTCAGCCACAATAGCTCTGTGAAGCTGGTGAATATGTAAATTGAACATTTTGTAATAGGCTAAAAAATTCATTTACCAAAGACTGGTTCCACTTCCGCTCGTCTCTCCAACGCCTAGCTCCATATTAGAGAAGCGGTGAACGAAGTGAGTGAAGTTATACATTTGCTGTAAGAATGAAAGTGCGAAGATTAAAAAATGAAAATGAAAAACCGCCTGGTTGTGACATCTTCTTCTTTCAAATGTACCTCGTGATTTCCTGGTAGAGCCATGTAGGGGACTTTAGTGGCTATGGCTTGTATAGAGTTCATAAACCTAGATGAATGGAAAAAGAAACCGGTATTGGGCTATGAGCAGAGTGCTTGTTGGAGAAACTCCAGGGTTACATTGGTTTCCCAAACAAGTCTCTGTCCTTATTGTAAAGGGGTCACACTACACTCTTGACCAATGAAAAGCAAGATCAAATAAACAGCGCGACTCCATTACTCGCGTTTTCCCGCGCTTCAGGACTGTACCCTGAGTTTTCGCTGCATTGGGTCAGCGGTAGTCATCTGACGATGAAACACCCCTCTAAAAGGAAACACCTTCCATACTTACTCATCTCCAGTGGTTCCGTCTTTTTCATACATATCATAAGCAAGGTCTAGAAGTAATAAATTACCAATTAGCCAATGAAAATCGTCGTTAGAGCAAGTGAAACCCCGAATGTATCTGAGTATAAAAGGTGAAATTACATCAACTCTAAAATTACACAAAAACTCATCCGCCTCTGTCGGAGAAAGTTTGTCACATGCTACGTGAAATCTGAACTAAATCATGATTTCAACTTGTACAGGCAAACTTATATTGAAGGTCAGAAATTACAGTAACAAAATAGGGTGCTTAAGTGATGCAGAATAGTTGCCTGTACCTCCAGCGTGAATTACAGCGTCAAAATCTCCATCGCTTGCTTCCTTGATAAGTCGATTCAGGCTTACAGCATTTGTGTAGCCCATATCTCCATATATCTATCAAACAATAATGACAATAGCATTAATATGGAGTTGTTCGTTCACTGTTTTACGGGAGAGGACTAGCCACAACGGTTTTTCACTCAGACGAGGCAAGTTTGATGGTTGGAGACATACTTTTCTAATTTCAGTGGAGAAAGTCTTGGCACGATCCCGCGTCCGATAAGGTCAGGAAAGGGTCTAATTACGGCATAATATTACTTTTAAGAGAAAAAAAAACTTTTGCATGGCTCAAAAGATGCGTCGTTTAGAAGATTTATCCTGAAAAAAATCCTTTTGGGAGTATTACGTAATCATCACTTATTTCTATAGGTCCTGTTACAACGATGTAATTTTTTCATTTCATCTGAAGATGGGCAAAACGATGCATATTTTGAACATGATGGAAAAGTATATGTTCAGTTTAAAGTTTTAAAGGGAGAGTCCGTGAAAAAAAAATACACCTCGTATCATTGAAGTTACGGCGGAAAGGTAAAGACTCATATATTTTTTTAACTAATAATGTACCTATTTATTCATAAACAAATTTTTTTGCTAACCCCTTGACACCTTGAATTTGTTTCGGGATAAGGTAACTGAATTATGAATCGAGACATTACATCAGTTGAACTCACCGCGAAAACTGGGTTGCCTTCTTTAGTAAAGAAAGACATGACTTCACTGGTTCCATTGTCTGGTACACCAACTTGGTAGTAGTAACGCGTGTTAGGCTCAAGACCTGTTAACTTTATAACATGACGTAACATTTAATGAAATAGAAAATTGCGTGACGTTCCATTAAAAATAATGACATAGCTGAAAAAATTGTAACATGTGAGCTTTGGTTCCATTGACGGATTTTTCAAGAAGGGAATGGATACAATTAGTTCATTCTTAAAGTATAGATGGTAGACCATCGTAGGTTTCAGTAAAATTAACAGTTTGCTTTACGACTGTTTGTGTGGCTTTGTGGAATCGAAATCACTTCCGACCGGAAATCCTAAAAATCGAGTACCTTCTGTTTCAAGTCGTGTTTATAAATATTTGAGTAGACTCCTTCTCTCTGTGTATTCATCTAGTAGAAAACTTGCAAAACAATTTCTCTACTCTTTAATTTAGACGATTTTACTAAAACTGCGGGGTTGATCCAAGGTCTCTTAGAGATGCACTCCTAATAATATTTAACATAGTTCTTCTTACCTTCACGTTATGAATTCTAAAATAATGTCCGTGGGTGCCGAACTTGAACGATGTTCCAGTTTCCTTTCTGGTTAACTTATCTGGGCTAGTTCCATAAGCCACGACTGTCCCTGGTTGTAATTCCGGCGACGGCGTCACGTAATTCACAATTCTCTCGCTGGAAATACCGGTGTAAGCGATGTGAATTTGTTCCGGTTTGTTGTCGTCTGCTGCACTGTACGTGAAACAGATTAGGAGATGAACCAGAACTGTAAACGTAGACATGCTCACTGAAAACTTGACTTCAAGAGCTCGCCCGGCTACACTGAGGCCTCAGAGCTTTCCAACTAGCTAAATATTTAAAGACCTTTGGAGCCAGAGGTGCACGTGACAGTCATGAGGGGGAATCATGACGAGATTGAAAGATGACACCCTAAGGCGTTATAGCGCAAAGCATGAGAAGGCATGTATCTCGTTGCAAACTGAAATTGTTTATACCATTCTTTAAGCACCGATTCTTTCGTTTCACAAATACTTGTTTTTTTATTTTTTTAATTAAGTATTTGCAGATGCTGTTATTTTAATATTCGTATGTCAGCTGAGTTGGTAGATCGAGTGTTTGAGCGGAAGCGGAAGTGAAGACGTTGTACCGTCATAAATGGTTAACGGTTATTGGCGAAAATCTTAGAGGAAAATAAATTACGTTTTTTCGGCAACGTTTTACAACACGTCGCCGTGGTGACATCTTAAACTCCCTAATTGTAAGTGCGACAACAACCGCGAGAAACTTCACTCCGGAATCCTAGGGTCGTTAGATTGTATGTAAAGGCGGGCTATTTTTTGACCACAGCTGAGCGGGTTACCTCACTTTCCTGGGGTTCCCCACCTCTATCTAAACAGGCCCTAACTTGTTATTTCAATTTGCTAAATTAGTCGGCGACAAACATTACTTTGAAAAGCTTCTAAAACAAAAACAAACTCAAACTGTTTGACAAAATAGCTTTTAAAGAAAACATGTTTAACCTTTAGTGTGAATGGGGTGTTAGTTTATTAAAAAAAAAAAATTCGTTTATCAAATTTCCTTTATTACAAGTATGTGGTTATTACAACAAAAAGTGATTTGTAAGAAAAAAAACTTGCGACGTTTAGAACGGAGAAAATTATGCACCAAATGAAAAAATTGCAATAGGACCCTAGTTGAAATTAAATATTCTTGAAACAAATAAAGATAAACTAGTAACAAAACAAAAACACTGTCCTTGCTAGACTATAAGTGGCAGTATCGTTACGCCCGAGCAGAAGATACGGATGATATATCCCTCTCTTCTGAAGAAAATATTGTATCATCCAGTTGTGATTGGCATTTTCAATTTAAATAGCATACATTGACTTAACGAACAGCATGCTATTCATTTTCAGAAAAAAAGAAAAAAAAGGAGCTTACTGCGATAGACAAAGTAAGGATAAGATAAACTGAATGAACTGCACCATCAAAACAAAGCAGTTCCACATATAATGCGATGTTTCTTGTTTTTCACTGTCTTTGCTCGGGGTATATCCGGAAATGTTTTTCAAAACACTTTGATTTAGATCATTCGTGATCTTTGTAATGAGCAAATTATCATCGATTTGTGGCTGGTATATTACAAACAACTTGCCAGTAGCCTTGGTGAATAAGTCCTCTCAGTGGCAAACATAATAATTGAAAAAAATGATGAATAGACGAGCATAATAGAAATAGCCCCGAAATTGTCATCACCTGAAAGAAGTTTATTTAAATTTTAGGGCGAGCAAAGTTATTAACGCCAGTGAACTTCCTTCGGCGACTAATTTTGATCCCCAAATCACCACGTTAAGCGTTTCTTAAAAGGGAAAAAAAAAGCTTTTAGCTCTTGTTTCTTGGCCAAAAGCCCGAGGAAACTCAGTATAAATAAGAAAGCGTGCAATATCGTGGACTTCACGCAAAGTTGACAAATAATAAATTATTAGGAGGGAAATATAATTCAATTAAGGCATAAATTTATGAGGAAATAATCCCTGCTTCTGACCCCTACGCAATGACTTTTTTTCTTTTTTTTTCTTTTTTTTTTTTGAGCCTGAATATTTGAGGTGAAACCGAAACATAATTGAATAAATAAGGTTTTTCTCAATCTAGCCTCCAACGTACACAAACAAAACTCCGTAAATTTCTTGGAACGAAATTGTTATGGCGAATTATAAAGTATTAAGAGGGAAGAGGGAAGAGGGAAGAGGAAAAAATAATTCAATTAGGGGTATAAATTTCTAAGGTAACTGATCCTCTTGCAGAACCCCAAAGTCTATAACTGTTGTTTTCCGAGCTTTAAGATTTAAGAATGAATGAAAGGAAGTTGTTATCCTAAATTTATGTTTACCAACCAATATCGTGCACAATGTCCAAAATGAATATCACCAACATGCAACCGGTCTTCTGTGGATTTACGAGATGACTATACAAAAGTAGTATCGTTTTTCTGGGAAAGACGCGATTTACAACTCGAATTTGTGGTTTGTGATTTGCAACTGGCCGGCGTTGATAAACTTCCTCTCAAACGTCCTCGGCGGAGATCTCTTCGGTAATTTAAGACATGTCGGATGGCTTTACGAAAGTCCGGCTTAAGAAAGGAGTATACCAGTGGGTTTATAAGCGAGCCAAGAGCGATCGTAAATAACGAAACGATTTCGAGATCGTTCGGGATGAGCTCAGGACGTCCTATTTCGTGCACGACTGTCATATATTGGATAGGAAGCCAACTTACAACAAACATAACGGCTACTATTATAAAGACCTGAGCGAGCTTTCCCTCTGAAGAAATCTTGCTCTTCCGTTGTAAATTTTTCCTCACCGAGGCAGTGATGGCTCTCTCGCGTTCGACACTTCTTTTCACCTGCGTGAAGATTCGTACGTATCCTACAAAAATGAACACGTAGGGTAGTAACACGCACAGTCCAATTTCGCTGACAACGTAGATCTTATGCGCAAGCACGGTCGTGTTCGTTCCCCAAATTAGAGGGATTAAAGAGATAATGAAGGAAAATAACCAGCTTGCGACGAGTATTCCTTTAAAAGCGCTCCTCATGATATTCTCGTACTGCAATGCTTTTAAAACAGAGACGTAGCGATCGAAGGTCACAGAAACAAGATTAAAAACACCTGATAGAAGCGTGATAGAAATCAAGTAACCCATCTCGACTGAATGAGGAGAGACCAGCGCGGCAGGAATTAACACACTTCCAATCAAAAGATCGCTGAACGCAAGCGATACCACGAACCCGTTGGTGTAAGTCCGCATGCTCTTTCGTAGATAAACAATAACACAAACTGTCAAGTTAGCAGCGACGATTAGAGCTGACAAAAACACGAACGTTATGACGAGGGCCAGATTGTCCGTCATGACTGGTGCGTACGGTTTTTGCGGTGTTTGCTTCGCCAGGGCTGTTTTGCATCAAACGCCTGTTCTTCCAGGCGTCGAGGACAGATCAAAAGGGGATTTGTTTTGGTTGAGTAAATGTCCGCTGTCTGCACGAAACAGTGATCTCAGCCTGCGCAAACGTCGCCAGCGAGTAAAGCGCGCAGAGTTTCAACTTCCACATGCACTGACAGCTAATAGTGTTCAGATCATGCATGGGACATGCAACTCATGAAAAGCTTCTCGATCGTCTCCCACCAAGATGAATGATATTGACCCGGTGGTTGGTATCTGAGGTGTTAAGTCACAGGAGTCTGGTTATTTAAAGTTTGATTATCCTTTCAGGGTGCTTCACACCACCAACTGGCTTTGACGCATACGAAATCAAACTTTCCTGGCCGCAAGTGTTAAGTTTCTACCTCATTTTCACGGAAGAAATTCTGTCAAATGAACTTGAAACCGCTGGTGTTATCGATCGTCTAAACGAAAGAATTGGTGGTTTGAAGAATTTCCAACTGCTGATAATGAGAAGTAACCGTAAGTATTGGAAAGTGTTTTCAAACGGTTCCAAAGAACGGAAAACTCCCCTTTCTCTTCAGCTAGAGCTACCGAATCGACTCGATCCTCAACTCACGACGATGGTTAGCTTGACGCAATTATAACTTTGTCCCTTTTCGAGAATGTCTCTGAAAGAAAATGTAACTTGAAAGTTTTCCGTGACGGAGTAACAGATCCCAAAGTTTCGACTATTTATCCTGCGGCGAAGTAATTTATTCCAAACAGAAAGGCTTTCACACCAACCGAGACAGGGAAATATATTTATTCACAGCCGACAGGTGAAGATGATTAATAATGAGAATGGATTTCCTTTCGATGGGCTTTTCCAATTTGGCAGCCATTCAAGAAAAGAATGGTGGCGATTTTAATAACCGGCGACAAATTTCCTCACTGACACAGCACGAACAAATGGCATTTCTTGCCGCGAACAACGACGCACCACGAAACAAAACACATTTAAAATTATTAGTTGAATTTTAAACCTTGACAGCATAGCAGAGTAAACGGTCTTGCGTTGAAACAAACAATTTATCCAAATTGTTTTGATCCTCAATAATCTCAAGTATAAATTTAAAGCAAATCCACGAATCCTAACTAGAATTACCAAGATGAATCAAGAGAGAAATATGAAAATATGAAACTCAGTTTGACGTCTTTTTGCAAACGTTTTTACGTAGCAAATGTGCCTTACAAATTAAAAATTTAACGAGAAAATAAAACATCTGCAGTGAAGATCTTTTGTCCGATGATAAAATTCTGGTTGTAACCATTTTTCATATCCGCTGCTCGAAAAGCAAACATTAAAACAAACATAAAGGTAAGCGCTAACACGGACAAAAAAACAGAATTTTCAAATATTCCATAGGTCCAAACTAATTCCCTTGTTTCTAATATGAATTTAGTCCTACTAGAGTTTTCTTCAATTCAATTCAGTTCAATCTATTTACTCTTAGTGAGTCCCGAAGTTCAAATTTCACAGTGTGAAATCTAGAAGTTTGAAGGTCTGTCCAAATAATACTGAGGCAGGAATAGTTAAATCAAACTTAGCAATTTAAGCGTTAGATAAGATAAATTGTTTGAATCGATGTTCTTAATCGAAATTCGATTTGGTAAATTTAGCCTTTTTTTGGCAAACTTGGAAGAAATGCATAAAAAGTAACAAATGAATGCTCAATGTAATTTTGTTCCATTTAAATAGTCGGTATCTGATAAAGAGTAAGTTTGGACTATCTTTGAAGATTTAAATTGATTTATTTCTCTATCCATTTTATTTTAATTACTTCGCTTACTACATTATCGGTTTTAAATCACATATGCTTCGGCTTTTGTCTAGAAACGATTAGGAAATGAAATATCTCAGCGCAATTTGTAAATGGGTCGCTTGAGTTGTTTTAAGCTTTATCATTTTAAGCTGAAAAACAGAAAACATATTGTTATAAAAATAATCAAAGTGGTTGGCGATCGTCTTACGCTTATTGCTCAAAACACGTTTCGTTCATGCACAATAAATAAACAATCGCTATTAGACGATACATCGTCTTTCCTTATCACGGCACGCACTTATTGGACAGGATAAGAGTTAAAGGAAAAACTTGTCTCATGTCTTACTACTAAACGTTCTATTTTGAACCGATAAAATTCCTCAAATTATACTTGCACAAAATTTCTGAACCGATTAAATTCGTGAAAATTCCAGTCAATTACCAGGGCAAATTTTATTCGGCACAACACTGTGCAAATAAAATAAGATTCTTGTTCTATTGGTCTAGACAGTGCTAACTTATGCATACAGACCCTTCTTGTGTTCTGTAATCAACTCTTCAAATGCAGTAATTGCTAGCCGAATTCAAATTTTTTAGACCAGACAGAGCAGATCAACCAAATGGGACATGAATAAAATGATCTTATTTTTCAACAAATTAAATTTTTTTTTTAAAACTCATCTCTGCAATTTTACCAGTTCTTAATTAACGTCAAATCTTCTGGATTCAAGGTTCTCTGTGGAATTCATGAACAAAGATGTAACAATTAATTGTTGAAGAGCATTTTTCGCGAAGCGCTTAAAGCAAGAAAGAGTTTTAGGAAAGCGAGCCTCAAACATATTGTTCAAATGCGCTTACACGGAATGGTGTCCTTACCTCTTACCAGAGGGCATGATGGCCTGCCGAAGTCTTTTTATGATGGAGAACTGTTATATTCATCCCTTTAAAGGCGTCTTGGCCTCCACATAGATAGCTTTTGCAACGTTTTAATAAAGCATTCGTCTAAGTTTCCTTCGCGAAGGCATTTTTTTAGCTCTTTTATTTTGCTCCAATGGCTGCAAATTAACATTCAAATTCGGATGTGAATGTTAAGTTTCATTGTCTTGCAAAATAACGCAGCGAACTTAAAAGTTACACAGAGAAGAGAAAGCTAAATTGTTCCGTTGTTTGTAATCAGCAGTATTGTTCTTTTTTGATAACCACTTCCCAATTTAAAATTTAAAAGGCGAGAAAATGTGTTTTGTACCATCTTTTCAGACACGAACGAGAAAGCGAAATAACAAAGGCAGAGGAATAATTCCGACGAGTTTCTAAGTATTTGATATGATACTGCGTTGGGTGTCCCAAATACATAATTAAAACCTTGCCAACGACTAAAGTTAACGACAGTCAATATTTCCCGAAAATACACAGTCAACAAAGTTTACAGTGAAACCGAAAATTTTAGCGTGTTTGGATTGGTACCATTTAAGAACACACCTCGACAGAGTTCACTGTGAAACCGAAAAGGTTAGCGCGTTTGGATTGGTACCATTTATGAACTCTCTCTTTTCATCTTTATTACAAAAACAAACCAAAGAGGCTGCAAACCAAGGCCAAAAATTTTATTCAGCTTCACCAAATACACTTTTTCTGACGCTCATGTTTTTCTATCAAATCATTAAAAAAACTTGTGATACTTTAAGGAAAACTTTAACATTGTAGATGATAAAATATAATCTCTGATTTAAGTAATCGGTATAATTTGGTTAAAGTTATACCGATTTCTGGTTACCTTTTTTAAGAATAATTTGTTAACGTGAATAGGAGAATACTTCTAGTACAAATCATCGTCAAATAAATCTTAATAAGTCCACAACCGGTCTACAAGCACTTCAAGTCCACATCATTTGAGTTCAAGGTTGTTCTACAGAAATACAGATAAAAGATACCATACTTTAAGTTCTAGTCCTGGGGTGAATATTAAGTTCTTCAGGTGAAAACACTAAACATCCTGGAACTGTATCGTGATTGGCTATGGAACGTCTGATCAAGTTTGAATTATGAACCAGCCGGGGTACAATTGTTGATTTGGGTGGGTCCAAATTTCAATCGAATATGGCCCATGAAGAGCTCTTTGATTGAAATAGGGTTGAAGTAAGACGACTTAACTTAGACAGCTACTGAATTAATCTTCGTTTCTAACATTAGTAGGGGTGTTTTAGGTGTGTTTCAAGGTACCATGTTAACAATGTACATGAAAAAAAAATTACGTGCTTCTGATTGGCTGAAAACGAGTGCATTCTCATGTAACAGGAGTGCAAAATTGTAACACAAGACCAAATTACAAATAGCGCGCACACGCTTTCGAAATTTCGACAATTTCGTCTGTCTTGACTTTCTGTGATGTTTTTTAATGTACATTATTAACAAGTTATAACATGATTTCTCCTGTAATTTGGTGCGCTAAGCACTTGTACATTTTTTAGAGACTACAAATTGCACTTGCCCTACGGGCTCGTGCAATTTTGTTGTCTTTGAAAAATTTACTCGTGCTTATTAACACCAAATTGCCAGAGAAATTTCTCTAGTATCTACACAAATTGAACAGCCTAAAAGAACAGCTGATACTTTGATGTTAAAACAATTTACGATGTTAGTTAAAATTTGGTGTGGCAATTCAATTGTAATTCTCGCTGATGGATACTACAAAGAATATTAACACATGGTCATCTGACCACTACCACTCACCGACAGGATTCAACCCACACATGTCCTTTGTGATCTTATACATCACTGTAGCGGAAAGATCTGTAAGAGAAAAGAGAATCAGGACTGAAAGTGGCCAGCTGAACTGAATTAAATGACTGTATATAGGAAAAAGTGAACATGAAAGCGATCTTCGCGGTAATGAACAATACTTAAGTAGTAGTGAAAATGAGGCCTGAAAAAGTATTCAGGCCTGAACGGGATTTAAACCCATGACCTCTACAATATCAGTGTAGCGCTCTACCAACTGAGCTAACATGACAAGTGGGAGCTGGTCATTATGCTGGTTCCAAATAAACCCTTACTAAATATGACTGTCGTTTCGATAGGCTGGTTGGAAGTTCTCATCAGAGTCTAGTGACGAGTTGCTCATTCCTAGAACTTTAAAAGTGTGGTTCTTGAAAACGAATTGGTCAGTGCGCTATGATACTTAAACCAATCACTGTGGGTTGGTCAGTTCGATCTGTCGGTAAGGTGACGTCGTTCTGGCACCTCTGGTTATGTGAGAGTAGTGAGAAAGTTTTTTTTGAGGTGCTGGTAGTTGCAGAAAAATCTTTCGTGAAACGTCCGTTCTGAATTAATTAAGTAGCTTTCTAAAAGCAATCGTTGAAAGGAGTTCGTGCAGTAGACCTTTCTTCAAATGGATGACCACACTTTAAGATGAACTCTTACTCCTGGGCTCTACAATCTACTGTACATAATACTCTATCGTATATAAGTAAATCTAGTGAAATTTCAATTCTAGAAGACACAGACGTCCCTCTAGTCCATACAAACTATCATGTTTTGTTTGAGAAATACTATAAGGCCTACCACTGACTTCAGAAGCTAAACTTTTAGAGTCTGAACTGAACAACACTTTTTAAACCAAATCAATTTTAGAGTTGTGACCCTGCCCCTTGTGTGTTTCAAGCATGGATAACTAAAGCCGATCACTCACCGGTCTCGTAGTAGTCATATACTGTGACGGAAGCTGGTTTGGTATTCTTCACCACAGACGATTGGAAGATTTTGAACGAGAAATTAACTTTGTCAATCTAAACCAAACGAAACAACGTTAGTAACGCTTAAATCCTATTGAGCTTGACTGACGAATTCTCTCTAAAACAAATTCCGACCGGTTTAAGTTTACAAGGATAGGTTATTTTCTTCGTTGTTTTTCGAAGCCGTTGTGGTCTTCTTTCCACACCTAACCCTTTAAAACCCTAAGGGTGACTAGCATCTAATTTCTCTGGATATTATCACCAATAAATAAAAACATTAAAGTTATCAGAATACAGGAAATGACCACCAACTTAAAGAACTCTTTATTGTTTAACAAATTCTCCTTGTCAGTTACATAGGAAATGTAAAAAGAACCGTAGGGAGAATGTGCATACTGATGTTAGGATGTGAGGAGTTAAAAGAGGAGCGTTTTCAAAGGACAATCCTTTAGAAACCATCTTCGAAAAGCGCCGTTTTGATCAACTTTTTCTGGTGCTTAAGTCGATGTATAGTAGACACAAACACCTCATAAATCCTGCGTGTAACTAAAACCCATTCGAGAGGAGAGGGCCTACAGAAGAACTATATCGTCCGCATATATTGTCCGCTGAAGTCAAGAAAAGCAATCTTTATTTCTTTGTTTTCATTACAAATGGTTCATTAATTCGTTGGCGTTGTCTTTCAAAAGCGTTCACACCAGCTTCTCGACGGCCATTAGCAACAAAACCATTCAAAATGCCTATCCACAGATACTAAAGTGAGGTCATAAGAGATTCAAAGCTACGCAGACTGGCTAAAAGAGTTTTATTTCTTAAGATCACTTTGCTGATACGTATCAATTTCACATACCTCGTCAAAGTACATGATCACGTGTTGACCTTCCATCTCGTATCGCTTCAGGCCAAGCTTGGGTTGGTTCGTGAGCTAAAATTATATGGGAAACAAACATAACAAAAGCCAGCAATTTTCATGCTAAATCTCGCAAGTACCTACTTATAGCGTAGGAACACAGCACAATTAGGCTGTAATGCAATTAGGATAAAGTTCCTAGCCTCGTCATGCGATTAGCATGATTATTCGCGACGAGAATAGACCAACCTACCAGCCAAAAAATGCTGCCTCGATATAACATCAAATTCATTCAACTTTACTACAAAAAAAATACAAAAAAAAGCAAAAGCTGGAAGCTAAAAGAGGGAACTAAAAGTCAGATCGTCACAACTAAAGGCTTAAACTACTCGGTGTGAATTTCTTTCCATAAAATTTAACTTCTCAATCAGTGGTTGATTATGTCTCTTGAATCATCTTTTGGATCACGAGCAAGTAAGGAAGCTCACGCTCTATGCGCTCGTTCTTACGCGCTCGCTTCAGGCGCTTGCTTTCTTTACCTAGAAACAAGAAATCACGCCACTGGAGAGACTAAAATTCCACATTAGTTAGAAAGTGTAAACTTACTCTGTCTAAGCTTTCTTCATCAACCTGATAACCGGATACTAGTTTGACATCAATGACCGCCATGTTGGATGTATCTTCTCTCAGCCACCTTAACCAAACAATAAACAATGCCTTGAACACCATCACAATCTTGCCTTAACTCAAAAATTACTGACTTATCTGTGCTAACTGAGGATGCTTTCTAACTTGTTGATCCTTATAGTAGGTGAGACGGGTGGCAGATATGAACCAGGGATGGTAGAACCATAATTCAAAGGGTCCCCTTAGAACCATAAAAAGAGTCCCCTTTGAGAGAAGCAACACATACAAATGGTTATGGGAACAGTTCATCAGTTGGGACCATATTTTGTATCCCTTGAATAGATAAGTCTCAATTATGTTCTTTCAATAGAGGTGACCCTAAATAGAGGTGAGTTATGTATTTTCATTCAACCTGAGGCGCACACTTTTTGCAATGTTAGCTTAGCTCCTCTAATTGTTGGTTCCTAATAGTCTTGAGAAGTGATTCAGAATGTCTGAAAATTGAATTTACATCACGGAGAAGCAATAAATTTGATAAAATGTTACACTGAATTTGCGTTTTATGTTTATGAAAGCTATGTATATAATTAAAACTTTGGGTCATTGAGTAAATATTTTAATTCTCTAAGAAATAATAACTCAGTGCCGTAGAACGCTCTCGATTTAGTCGACAGAGTAAAGAATAAAGTGACCACAGAATGCGGGGATCTAGTTCCAGATTTGCTTCAGTTTTGTCTTTGATTGGTTGAATGGTGCAAATTCCTCTTTACCAATCAATGTCTGCAGTGCAAAGCAAAACTAATGCAATCTCGGATTAGTTTCGAAACTAAACCGAAAACTGCTTAGCCTTCAAGCAGACTATAACTGGCACTGCGAGAAACGCCCGTACGGCAACGCCGATGAAAGCTTGCCAAAAGGCTAAAGATTTGGTCTCGACTCTTACTTGGCACTGATCGAAAAATCCAAAGGCAAACACAGAGGATCACCGGTTTCTGTTGACAGTGGAGCGAATATATCATCCGATGGTGACAAGGTGACTTTAAGATCAAATGCTGGTTTCTCCTTCACATCTGGGATGTTGTACGACACGTCCGCCTAAACAGATATCAACAACATCAGTTGTAATGTCTACCTATAGATTTTGATATATTTCTGCAAAAATTCTTACTTGATGGATTTAATGCCTATCAGTTACCAGCTTGAAAACTAGGCCAAGACATAAGAGAGTTTGAGGGATTTATTTTTTTTTTGAGAATTTGATTCATAAGAATAACGATAAAAATAGAGATAATAATGATCAGAGTGATGGTAATGATAAAGATAATGATAGTAATAATAATAATGATAATAATAATAATAATAATAATAATAACAGTAATGACAACGATAGCAACCACGATAACTGTGCCGTTAAAATACTTATCACAATGATAACAACAATTTAACGACTTGTAAGGTGAAAATTATTTATACATATTTAGAGGTGGAATTGGAACATTGGTTTTTACGAACAAAAGAAAGAGCGGCGGACTCGGAGAAATCCCTCGAAACAAGGACGTGAACCCTAAACAAATCACCCCACAGGTGACGGAATTCGAGAATCGAACCCAGGCCACAGTGGTTGACACCAAGAGCTCGCTCCACTGCATCATACCTGCTCCCTCTCAGCTTTACTTATATATGGACTCAGTCATATAAAAGAACTTCATTCACACTGGATTAAAAGGTCTGATGAAACAGCTTATCACACCAACCTGCATTAAAGCACAGCCCTGTCCGTCAGCCTTCACGAGCATGCTCTTCAGGGGAAGAATACTTGATGGAACCTAAGGGATAACAATATTATTTTTCTTCGCGCAAAAAATAAAAACAATTCTAAATCGAACAGTGAAAAGACCATTCCGCTGAATAGCTCAAAATTTTCACAAGATTTCATACAAAGTTAACATCGTGAGACTGAAGAGGTTCAGCCCACCAAAATGTTGAAGAACCGAAGGGCGAAGAATGACTTACCGCAGCCTTTTGTGTCACCAGCCTGTTGTTGTCTGTGATGCGGAATGTGTGGCTAAACTGCTCGTTCTCTCCTCCAAACTGAACAGTGAGGTCTGAGGAGTTTGTAAACGTCTCCCTTGCATACTCGCTAAGGGCTTGTAGGGCTACACATGTATCCTGACAAACATGAAAACAACGTTACTACCGAGTTCATTCTTTTCAAACATCGCCTTTTTCATGGGAATAGGGACTTAGAGAAGACTACGACAGCGACAGCAACGAGAACGAAACAAAATATCGGATGAGCAGAAGAATAGCGCAGCATGTGCCTTTAAGAACTTTGTACATACGTAGTTCGGTTCTTACAGAACAACAGCATGAAATCACAAACTTTTGCGTGCTCTTAAAACGGAAATCTCGACAGCATTCCAGTCACGTTATCAATTTAAACCCAGAACTACATTCAAATGATATGCCGAAGATGTTACACACTCAGGAATCGTAAATATAAAAAACTGGCGAAATTCTTAGGATGAAAGAAAGCGGTTTTTTGGGGGGCAACGTTTCCCCAGGTTTCGCTGTATTCACATCTTAAACTTCTCCCTTTTTAATCCAAAAAGACTTTCAAGGTTATTGTCATAGAAGACAAACCACCGACACCTTTCTTTGACCTATAGCGTTTACTTCCCCTGTTTATCCTCGCTTCCATGAAGAGGCTTGGTTATAATTCATAGAATTGCCTATAACCTGTGTGGATGAAAATCCTCCCAGAGCATTCCTTTGTTTAGAGAGCCATCTAACAATCGACATGGCGTCGCCAATTAGAGATAAGTCATCTTCAGCTCGAAGGATGTAAGTCATCAGGGCATATGCGGTCATCTCGATGTCCGCAGCAGGAGCACGGTAATACGGACTCCACCAAAAATCGTCTGTAGGAGGGGTTTTCTTCAACTTCTCCTTTTCCCAGTGAGTCATTCCGTCTGTTTTGAAAAATATATTAGTAAGCTACAGCAGACGCTGCTTTAACTACAGTGCACCAGTGTGAGCGTCGTGAGAAGTGGAAGGAAGCAAATATATCGCAACTAGATTCCACGTTGTCGTGCGTTTGTACAGTAAAGATCACAGATGACATCAAATGTTGTAAGAGCACCAGGCGCAGCCGAGTATGTGATTAATGTTCTAATCAATTTTGACATCTGTTGTGATCTGTTGCTGAATAAGTTCCGCTGCAACACGGAATCTATTTGTTTCATATGTTAAAAAAGCAAAAATTTGTTAATTTTGACGTCATACATGCGTCTGTTCTCCAATATATCATGAGTAAGAGCCATTCAAAATGCGTTTACTATTCAGCTTGTCATAAAAGCATCGACCGACATCATAAGAAGCCTAAACGAATTCGAAGTAAATACTTAACCGCGTGCAAACACAGATATCCAAGTCGCGATTGGTTTACTGATATGTTAACAGGGTGGCGTGAGTTATTAGACTTATCATAAAACGTTGATAAGTAAAAACAGAAATGGCCCCAGATTCCTGGTAAAGGAGGAAAACTGTTTAGCGAAGAAAGGGAGCAAACGGTTTACAAAATGGGAAAAGTCTCCATAAAAATTTATTCATCAAAAATTGCCTCCATAGTAAGTGACAAAATAACTGCAAGTACGATCCAAGACAAATTATCAATATATCACTAATTAAATGTTCAAAAACCAAATTAATCATATCGACCAATCAGAACGAAGGTATACATCATCACCATTAGCCAGTGTGAACTCAAAGTGAAAATAGGCAAACTACATGAAGCGAATGAATGTTAATGAACAAGCAGCGATTGTTTTCACTTTTGCGCCTGATTGGTTGAGAGGATGAGCGGGGAGTTTCCCGGACCAATCACAGAGCAAAGTTAGTAAAACCAAAATAATACCGGAGTACGTGAAACTCAATTGAAAATTGCTCAAACATGTACAGGACCTGAACTAGCTGGAACTGACCTTCTACGATGGCTTTGCTTCGCAGTGCTCCAAATAAATCTGCACCATATTTATCCTTCGCCAAGTTGAAGGTGTAACTGAACAAAGCCAAGCTGTATGAATCAGTCACGTTTGAAATGAAACCTCTTAAACAATTCAGCGCCTTTTGAATGACAAAGTCCTGTAAAAAAAAGTTGAGTGATAAATGTAAATAAATATACCACAATCCTGGTTTGTTATTCATTCTACTTTGTACACCTTGCTTTTGGACGCATTTCGGACCTAAGCGCTTTGTATGTCCAAAAGGTACTTCTCTTCAGTTAAGAGGAAAAACATCAGGCAGCAAGTAAACGTCAAGTTAAAAAAGAACCTCCACTGTCAGGCTGCAAACATGTTTCCATACTCAAGAAACCAATGTTAGCTTCAAATCTACCGTGGAGCATATGGTACATAATTAAGAACAAAACGAATCTGATGTATTAGTAAGCTTGACTTGTTGACAAAGAATACAGTAATACTAAAACGCTTAACCTTTTACACCCTTATATCAGTTTGCAAGTTCTCCACACCGTTTTCTATACGTTTCCTATGATTTTTACAAGAAGAATTTGCTTAAGAATTAAGATTTTCGTAACCTCCTGATCATTTCCTTCATTCTAATGAACTTCATGTTTGATTCAGGTGTGACACTGTTGGGAGAAATTAGCTGCTGGTCACTCCTACGGGTTTAAAGGGTTAAAAAAGGATCATAACCAACCTGAGGTGATATCCCAGATTCCATGAGAGAAACTGTCACAAATGCGGTGAGAGTAGCTTCTGTTGATACACCTCCCTAATAAATAAATAAACAAACAAATAAAAATTTTACATCGGGGCATCAACATTTCTCCCCTTGGAAGAGAATCGCCATTAAAGTTATGGAATAAGAACGATATCACGATTGCATTTCTGTTTATTACCCTGACCAGTTACGTTTTTTAACTTTCGAACTTTTTTCTGGATTAGCAAGATGACCCTTCTGCTTATCGAGTTGTTGTTGTGGTTTAGTCGTTGTTTACCTTAAGGCGCTTGTTGAAGAGTCTCCCATACTTGGGGAAGCATCCATTTGCAAGTTGCTTGCTGGTTATCCAGTTCGCGGTCTGTTTAAGCTCGTCTGAATCGACAAAGATAAACGTTTGTGCCTGGGCAAAGGAGCGCAGTACAAAGGCTGTTAACCTACAGGAACACAAACAAACATGAATGGCGACAGATGAGTAATCCAAATATTAATATCAAATGGTAAAAATATACCAATCATCTTAACGTCAGTATGTATATTCTCCATACTGTTCTCTATACATTTCCTGAGGCGCTGACAAGCAGAATTTGTTTAACAATCAAGAGTTTCTTAGTTGAAGATCGTTCCCTTTATTCTTATGACGTTAATGTTTTATAAAGGGATGATATTGAAGGGAGAAATTAGAATCTAGTCCCACTTAGGGTTCAAAAGGTTATGTACTTTAACTGCATCAAAAAAAAAAAAGGATCAATATCAGTATCTGGGCTACTGCCCACCTACCCCTAACTCAACAACAGTCAATTGATAACAAGTTAGGGTTAATGTTGGGTTAGGGGAGGGATAGGTGGGCAGTTGCCCAGATACTGATATTGATCCAAAAAAAAGCCCTCCATAGTCTGAAAGTTACCGACTTAAATAATTTAAAGAGGTAGAAAAGTTTCCCTATGAAGTCTGATGATGACATGTGCTCAGGTTTTCGGGACGGAAATCACCCTGTGTAACGAAAAACACTCCTTTTTTAGGACCACCCGCATCCAGACGATCAGACAACACGATCAAAGACTGTTTAAAAAAGCTAGCGCGTAATGTAAGCTTCTCCTTTTAAAGAGAACAACCTCTGCAAAAATCTAAAGGTATCTTGATAAATATAACGAACACCCCTCTTGCAATTTTAGTTGGGAAAACAAGGAGACCCTGCCAAAAAAAAAAAACATAAAAAAAAAATACAGAACTGGTTCAAAGCACCGATACGTACCACATGTTGCCTTCATTATCTCGGTTTCCAAAAGCGCTGTAGGATCCATCAGTTCGTTTATAGGTCAACTCCCTCTGGTAACCTAACACAGACGGCAAGAACATGCTGAACCTCTACTTAACACCAGCGCAAACGTAATGGCTCACTAGCCTTTTACACCCCAATATCAATGTGTATATTCTCCGTACTGTACTCTAGACATTTCCTAAGCTGCTGGCAAGGAGAATTTGGTAAGCGACGAAGAGCTTCTTTATTTGTGATCCAGTGGGATATTGTAATGAGAAATTAGATGTTAGTCACTCTTAGTTTCCACTCAACTTTATGCTTTGCTTTTAGTGTAGAGTACTTCAGAGCCTTTGCATACAGCGCTGTGTAAATGACTATTTTATCGTTATTTTCTTATCTTAGAGGTCAAACGGTTTAAAATACCATACAGGAAATCTTTGAATCTTTGAGTAACTTTGGGGTTACCCTTCGTTACATGGAAAATACAGAGATTGTTATGTTTCAACAAATATAACTAAAAAGAATTCCGTTTTAACTCGTGGATATGTGAACCAGGAACGAGTAATATGGGAGTTCGATGGGCAAATTTCGTGGTGTTAACGCGGCTTTAGGTGTCTGGAGAGAACACCTATCTTATTAAAGTTGCCGGATTAATTGTTAAATATGGCAGATCAATTGGGGAGGATTTTTGAAGGAATGACGGCTCAATTCTGTTACTTGAAGTCACAGGATCCTTGGCTTTTACTACACTTATAGTATATTCTAATTATATCCTGCATAGTTTATCCACAAGTTCACCATAGTGTCACTTTGACTACCTGTTGTCATGATGTTCTTGGCTTTGTTTTCCACAGAGGTTGTCATCTGCCCGACAGCTGCCAGGTATTGCATGATGTAAATGCTAGGAGCAAAGTTAACCATGTTTTGTTCACCACATCCATAAGGAAGCCTCAACAGGCCTGCTACATTCAAGGTTGGTCCCATAAGATCACCTTAACCATAGACAAATCATGAGATGATCAAACATTAGACTTGCATCAAGACAGATGGTGAAAAAAACAAATTCCTGTTCTAACTTAGTAGAATAAAACTTACAGAGGGAAATAAAGAAAATTCACACCAGCAACCATTAGCACCTCAAACTAATTAGATACAGGGCGTTAGCCCACTACTTACCAACTGTTGACACAACTGCATAAACAGAACCTGGAACATAATTCTTGGGCAGAGAGATTTCCATGGAATCGTTAAACTGTGAATCATTGACTGAAATTTACAAGAATAAACCATGATACGTTATTCCTGAATATACACACTTTGTTAAAACTCTCCTACAGACACAACAAAGATGAAGTTAAGGCAATTTCTCATTCATTTTTTCGTCTTCTAGCAGTGCTCCTTTGACACACAGCCACGCCTTATTCACGGCCACGATAACCTGTGGGTAGTTATGTAACTAGTTGGGTCTTTTAATATGCAAGAAAAGAAAAGAAAAGAAATTTGAAACTAATTGCACGAAGAGCATTTTCAATTGAGTGTCGAAAGTAATCTGCGATTGCTTTTGTTTTGCTCGACTTCGCTATGTTATTGGTCAAAAAACTCGCACCATTCTCTAAACCAATCAGACGCAATACCAAAACCAACCGCGACTTAGTCGCTCGTGCGGGTTTTCCCGCGCTTTAGGCAGTTTGGTTGTTTTTACTTTGAATTCTCATTGGCTCTGAAAGGTATTTTCCTTTCTTCTGATTAGCTGCTGTGATTACTTCGCTTTTGATTTTACGACATTCAATCGAAAAGCAGTCTAAAGTTCATCAGCTTGATAAATTGAAATCTCGATAGGAACTGAAGGTAAAAAGAGAAAGCCCTTCATACCTTTGAGGCATACAAAGCTGTTGTACGTGTACTCCTGTCGGATTCCTTCAGGCTAAATGATCAAGAAAAGTACAAATGTAGGAGTGAGAAACTACAATAAAGACGACCTTTCACAAAACCTAAAGTTCTCCACAGCACCGAATAAAACGGTGGTAATCACTGGTCTTAAAATGTGAATACTAAAGAAAATTCCATAATATAGCCAGAAATTAGAGACCACGACAGTGTGCCGATCACCTTAAGAGCAGGCAAGGTGATATTGTTACTTAAACCAGCACCTCGAGTTAGAAAAGATTCACCTGAACACCACCTCGATTTTCATTTGATAACCGCAACTTCAGTGTAGTTCATGAACACAGTGTAATAATAGGGTAAAAAAAAATCACTAATTGCACCTCAACAAGTAATTTCCTTGTGACAGCATCAGTGACACCAAGAGCAAACTGTTCTACTCCTTCATCACACATTGATGAATTAATATCTTTAGCCACAACAGTCAGAGGGATTTCACCCAATTTCTTTGGAACTATGTTGAAGCGAACAGAGATGGCTTCATTGCTGCATACACAGACAGAGCGAGACTTATTGGACACTATCCTGTAGTAAAGAGACTCTTCGAGAGTCAGGCGAATCTACAACAGAAGAAGACAGAGAGAGACATGTTTAGCAAGGATGTTAAAAAAATCTCGTTCCGACAAAAGGGCTAAAATGTGTTTCTTTATTTGTTAAAAATGTCTATTACGTTTTCCTTAGAGTGCAAATTGCTGTTATAATTGACACTATTCCATGAGAGTAAAGAGTAAAGTTTGTCAACCCTTCAGTATCTATCTTTTCCATGCTCTTCTCTATTTCCTCTGACACTGTCAAGGAGAATTCGTTTTAACAATCAAAGCTTCTTAGATTGATGATCATTTCCTTTATTCTCATGATCTCTAATAATGCATGATTCCGAAGTATTACTGTAAATATTCAGACTGAGTAGTGAATATTACTGTGGGGAGAAATTAGAAGCTGGTCACTTTCAGGATTCAAACGGTTAACGTGCTAAATAAAGAATTTATCCCACAGTACCCAAATAAGTTCCAATTGAATGTTATGACTCAAAATGGGGCAACCAAGCGTCTTGTTCACTCTCAAATGGGAATGTGAATTATGTATAAAAAGGTCAAAAAAGTATGGATGATGTGAGAATGTGTCTTCAATTCTGAGTAATTTATTGAAACAAAACCTCAGGTGAGTATCAAAAAATTTTTTGCATCCTCAATTGTCCATAATTTGCTGCACAAATGCATGCGGATCGGCAAATACATAACAACATAATCTGTATACACTTCTAAGTTGGGGATTTCGTAATTCAAGCAGGGATACGTCCCATTTTGATTCAACACATTCTATCAGAAATCAAAGAAATTAAGAACCATAGTTATTCCTGCAGTTGGTCGCACTTACCGTAAGACACTTGCTCTCATAGTTGAAGACTGTTGCTATAATGAACACTTCCTCGCCACGGATAACAGAGTAAGGCAGGGTTATGGAAACAAAGAAAGGCTGGAAAACCTTGATCGAGGTGGGCTGTGAAATACCAAGTCCAGCTGAATCAGACATAGCGAAAGCACTTGCTACCCAGGTAGTAATTGTGTCAGGTACCTTGGCCATGATAACTTTCTTTCCAGTATCAGGGCTGTTCAATTAAAAAATAATAAAAAAAAAAAACAGTAATTGTCATGACTTTACACTTTACTGTTTCTTCAATCAAAGTCCTCCTCACGTTACAGAGATGCTGGTGTTTTGTTTGTTTTAGCGAGATAGCTGTTTCAAATTTTGTTATGGTTACCCCTCTCGTTCTACGAAAGAAATAAATAAAAAATACAATATGTAATATATGTATACAGATAAATACAATAACATCAACTTTCTGGGTAACTGCTCCAGAAAATTTATAGGTCCCCTGTAATACACCACAGGGCAACTCTTCACTGTCCAATTCCAATTCAGGAAATTGCTGTCTTTTAATTGTTTCTAAAATTATGTTAGCAAGCAATGACACAAATTGCATTCATTCAAAGACACGCAATTTTCAACAGTAACCAATAGTTTAGTCACTCAGTAAGCAAGTGAGATTTAATATCAAGTCTTACGCCTTCCGCCTAAAATGATCATAGCCTGCAAAACAGGCCTTCAGTTTTAACCTAATCAGGCAAGCCGAGGTGAGTGCTCGGCAGATGCAAATCAGGAGTTATGGCTTGACCTTTTCCCTCATCTTGATCTCCCTAAATATGTCAAAAAAGTGCCTGTTTTCAGGCTTATGCCATTATGGTGAAATTGACCTATCAGTCTCCACCGACCAGAATTGTTAAATTCAACTGACTAGCAACTCTTCCCTTGAGTATAATGTTGACTTCCACTCGGGTTGTCGAGATGCTACTGACAGTCAACAACGACAGTTCCTTTCAAAATTACTCACACTCAACCAGTCACATCACATGATCAAAAACGAACATTTTACTTCTTAAAGCAGGACGGGTCACATCATTAAGATCGCAGCTATGGAACACTGAACTGATCCATAACTCATACATTACCAGAAGTATATAACTTCTTGCACAAATAAAATTATATCGTTACAATAATAGCACAATTTCACGCTTCTTTTACTACTACAACTTAAAATACACATTAAAAAGAATTTTACCAGTACTCATGTTTTTCATTGTTTCCTTCCACATTACTTCAAACAAAGAGCAATAGGAACATTAAGAAATTTGTAAAGATTTTCTAGAGTTTGTTACTATCACGGAGTAACCCTTGGCCTTTGTTTGACTAACAAACGTGCACCGTGCAACTACCTGGTTGTCAAAAAACCTGAAAGACGATGATTTTGACACAAAAAAAAATCTACCTGGACGACCTTACATGCATGCAGTGCTTTAAATGCTGTAAATGAAACTTGTTTCCAGGCTTCGTTCCCTTTTTCCGAAACAAATTTCAGGACTTTTTCAGGATTTTTCCAGGACTCAGATTGATTTTTCCAGGTCTCCAAAGTTCACCTTAAACCCTTTCACTACCAACATATCAAAATAAATTCTCCTAACCATCTGCACACATTTTTATAACGTAAATTCTGAAAACTTTATTGCTTAAGTTAGGCAGAATTCCGGACTTTCCAAGACTTGTAGTCTTTTTCCAGCGCAGTCCTGGAAAATGTCAAAATGAATCTCCACCAAAGATTTCTAAGCTACGTTATTCCTATCTTACTTGATTACTTCCTCCGTCCAGAGCCATGTCTCAGGAAAGTTCTTACGAACAAGCTTTCCTGTTCTTTCATCTTTTCTTTCCTTTTTCTCAATATTTGGTTGTTTCTTTGGTTTGTTTCTGTGGTATGTTGTCGGCCTGACTGACTGATGAAAGTTCAACCATAGACCAAATGACCCCCTTCTTCGAGCTATTGTTCGAAGATGATGGCGCCCTAAAATATGAACATGTTATCTTATTCTTCATACACCATACCAACTAAGTGATGCACTCAGGTAGCATCCCTTAAGGTTTACCAAATAGTTCATTGCTATCCATTTACACTCCAGGGAGGACAAAGCTATTCCGAGAATAAGGTTACTTTCTCAGCATAGTCATATGATCTTTAACACACTTTGAACCAGTCCTTTCAGTTGGAGTTCCGCTAGTTTGTCACCAAACCACCCCACCTTTCCCAAATAACATCATTATTCTGCAAAGCCACAAAAATAGCAATTCGACAGAGCAAATGGTTTGTTACCATAGTGAGTTAAAATGCATAGCTTACATCGCAAAATTATGTTATTTCTAACAAAAGCTACTTTTCAGTTTCTTGATTTTGCCAGTTAGAGTTGACAAAAATTTTGCATTAAATTTATGCTATAAACCACCCTCAATATAAATTTTTTTAATGCATTACACGAAGAGTGAATTCATGAAATAATGACAGCGACAATAAGATAACAGAGAATGGGTTAAGAACATCGTTGTGGCAGAATGCATGATTGAGTAATAGACTTAAATGAAAGTCTCTCCTTTTCCCTTACTTAACCAAGTGAAATTTCCTTGATTATCACACGGTGGACAGGACAGTACGCTTCATCAAAACTTGAGATCACTACTTTCCAGCTCATGGGACAGAAGAGTTCAACAAATGTTAAAAAAAATAATCCTGTAGACATATACTCTGAACTTGCATAAATTCCACTCAATTAAGTTGGAGTCTTGGATGAGAGAAATAATTCTTTTCACGGGGCAAATTGAGCGCGCACAATGTTATAATAATAACAATAATAATAATAATAATAATAATACATATCCAAGATCAAATCATAAACTTGTGAAAAAGTGTCTTCTATCTTTAATGTACTCCTTCTTTGATAACCTGTGTCGATTGTGCCATTCCCCTCTTAAACACAAATTCGTCTTATCAACAGAGGAAGCCATGGTCTGCCAAAAGCAAAAAATCTTGTGGTTGATTGGTAATGTCTTACATTAGCCTCTCTTGACAAAGCAACCAAGTAATAAGCAAATTCATGAAGGAAGTTCACTCTCCTTTAGCAGCGCCATTTGGGTCAATTGTTCGAAACCAGTGTTGTGTGCTCTTTCTGATGTATATGCACAATCCACATCCAAAGTGACTTCATTGTGAGACAAATGATTATACTTGGAACAGAAAGTGTGTTGACCACGATGACAAACTGTAACAATTTATACGATATAACCTTTATAAGCCAGTCTCTCTCTCCCTCTCTTTCCTTCTCTCCCCCCCCCTTTCTCCCTCTCCCCCTAAAGGAGCGTTTTCTCTTCTCTTATCCAACCATGTGTAGCCTCTTGATTATCAGTCTGTACAAAGTACATCACTCCTCATAAAAAGTATATATATAATTGTTCATGGCTCATAGGACTGAATAGTATGTCAAACGTGAAAACATCTTAAAGACATTTGCTCTAAAAACCATCCGTGATTGGTCACTGAGTCTATTTCCCCTTCAAGAGCAGGTTAAGTATGTACATAGTTTTAAAAAAAGATTCCATGAATGTACAATGAACTCATGGGGTGGTGTCCTCTATCTTTGATGATGTGCCCCCTCCTTGATGGAAAAAATATACTTCTTCCACGATGAAAAAATATCTTCCTCTTCAAAGGAGCTATGGTGTGGCAAATGCTAAAATCTTGTAGACACACGGTTATTCATTCCGTTGTTCTCTCTTGAAAAGCCAAATGATCTTCGGAAACTTCACAAAAGCACTTTACTGTCCTTTTAAAGAACTAGTTTGGTACTTATGTATAGCCGGCACTGGGTACAAAACTTCATTTATTTGCACCTCCTTTCGTCCAGCCAGTAACTGAGAATAAATCTTACAAAAATATTTTTCTCCGCACAGGCTCGATCCAAAACGAACAAGTTACAAGGTAACCCTGTACTTCCATCCCTTCCTTTCTAGCACTTTCACACTTTTACCACACCAAGAAGTTCCCTCCCAGTAATTAACAACTAATTTAAACTTATAGGAATCAAATTATTAGATGCAAACTGGGTAGCACGAACAGGTAATTGAATTAAAATTTTGGTGAGCGAATTGGAAATAGTGCTAAAAGGAACTGACGTTGTCAGATTTCAAAGAATATCATTTGAAAAACGAGTTTGCCAGTAATCAGCAGAAACTAACAATGCTGAGGCCTTGGTCAATTTCTGTCCATTTTAGGTAAAAATGAAATAGTGTTAAAATATAGGAAATAGTGCTAAAAGGAACTGACGTTGTCAGATTTCAAAGAATATCATTTGAAAAACGAGTTTGCCAGTAATCAGCAGAAACTAACAATGCTGAGGCCTTGGTCAATTTCTGTCCATTTTAGGTAAAAATGAGAGCCTAATAAACAGACCTGTTCCTAACCAAAATGCAAACAACACTCCAATTAGCTCTGTGTTCAGCCTGTTATGACATTTCATTGACATGTTTAAACAAAAATGTACACTAAAACCCTGATGAGTTATTGAAGAAAATACAGATTAGAACACTAAGGGTTCTTAGACACAAGTAACACAAGGACAGATAGTGAAGTCTTACTTGACTGCTTCCTCAGTCCAGAGCCAAGTCTCTGGAAATTCTTTACGGACTTTGACGGACTTTGTTCCACTTCCTTTCTGCACTTTGGGAGTGTCAGTGTCACTTCTAATAGATGTGTCCTCAAGCCTCTTCATAACAGGGTCAGGCCCGATGTCTAACATCAATGGCGCAGCTGTGCCAAACCCTGAATGACGATCTGAAAGAGGTATTAATGTTTACATGCCAAAAACTGAATAGGTTGAACTGTGTTTAGGGTAAGTTCAAAGTTTTTTTTCCGTTCTAGGAAATTAGCTTGATCTTATCCAAGTTTCAACCTTGTCAAGCAACAACAGAAATAGGGGTACCACTAATCCTCCTAAATGGGATGTTACCTGGCATTTTCATTCATTGCTACCCAGTTATACTGCAGGGTGGAGAGAGGAATTGTGGAGGTTGGGGGCTTGGCTCTGGAACACATCACAATGACCCTAGCCAAAGTCTAAACGAACCCTTTTGATCAGAGTGCAGGGTTTCTTATCATCAACTCACCCGAAATGTAATATTATTTGGCGAAGCTGCCAAAAAGAGTGTGACAAAGCGCGTGTTTGGCTCTCGCATTCAGTAAAATGCGTAAAGGCATATTAGTTCTAAATTACTATGCACATTAGGAAATATGGCAGACTTTGAGCTGAGTGGTGGAATTAGGAAAAGTGAGAGGAAAAATTGAGTATTGCAGGATACATATCACAGATGAACCTGTACAGGTCTAACTCTCCAGAAAGCTCTCTCAAGCTTATGTAAGAAAGAAGAGTGAAAACTACAGTTGAACGCGTAGTAAGCAGTACTGTAAAAAGAGGCCACCCTGTACTTAGCAGTCACTTGTCAAACTCCCGTGGTTATTTACCCCAAAACACTGTAATTTTCACCACTATTACGAAGTCACCTCTATTAAGCCGTTGAGTTCACCCTTCGCCTAGTCCCAACGGCATGTTCCTGTTATCTTCCACCTGCATTGGACAGTCACTTGAGGTGGAACCAATCAAATAAAACTAACAAACTTTTCAGTATCCTAAATCCACGTTTAAATCCTGAAACCAATGCCACTCGTATCAGCTGTTTTTGAGCGAGTTTTTATACATTGAGTGATCAACTATGGCATAAAATGGCGCTTTTCACCATTTTTTTACAATACCCCTATTCTGTAGAACCTGATTTAAGCAGTTAACCTGTGTTAACCCTTTAACCCCTGAGAGTGATTAGCACCTAACTTCTCCTTACAATATCATCCCCGAATCATAGATTAGTATGGAGAGTTTGCATACTGATGTTGAGGTGTAAAGGGTTAAACGGTCACCCTGCCATTCCCCATGGGTGAACCCTTAATACAGATTTGACTGTACTGTATGAGGACTGAGTGATAACGAAAATAAAAAGATGAATATAATCATCAAAAGAGGACTATCAAAGAGTTTGGTACATTGTTTAGGCTGAATGATTGATTGGGTTGTACAACAAATAAAACAGCATTATTTAACCATGTGTGCCTTCATTGATTCTCAGTGCAAAGTGCAAAGCACAGCCTTCCTCATAGTAAAGTTGATTTCAATGCTATCTAGATCTTAGAACTGAATAGCATATCAGAAACATGTGCTCTAAATTCAATTGCGTAAAATCCACTCTACAAAGTCACTTCTCTATCCATCTTTGATGGGAGTCTATTTTCCTTTTAAGGAGTACGTTGAGTGTGCAAAGAATTAAAACAAAAAACCAAAAAACAAAAACAAAGGACTGGACAATGAAGTTATGGACTAGTGTCCTCTATCTTTGACGATCTGCTTCTTCCTTGATGGGGTAAAAATGTACTTCTTCTTGGGTAAAAAAAATCTTCCTCTTCAGCAAAGGAGCTGTGGCCTAGCAAATGCCAAACCCCTGTACACACATGGTTATTTCTTGCATTGCTCTCTCTCTTGAAAAAGCCACGTGGATCTTGATTGAATTCATAAAAGCACTTCACTGTCCTTTGAGGGAGCCAGTTTGGTACTTGTGTTCACCTCTTGATATATTTGTAACCCTTTTCCTTTGTTTATATATTGAGGATAACTCTTAAAAAAAGAGCGCTCTGTGCAGGCTCGATTCAAAACGAATACGTTTTGAAGTAACCCTGTAAACTTCCCTTACAATCAAAATTGAACTGAACGTGCATCATTTTTTAAACCTACACATTTTTCCAACACCAGGTAGCTCTGAAAGTAATTGAAAACTAATTTGTCTAAAAAGGAATCAAACATTGGATGCAAAGTGCGTAGCATGAACAGGTAATTGCTCTTGCCTTGAGCCCACCAAAATTGAAATTAAATCTTAGCTAGAGAATTGCAAGTAGTCCCGAAAATAACTGATGCTGTCAGAATTTGAACAATGTCACTTGCAAAAGTGTTTGCTAGTAATTAGAAGAAACCAGCAAGTGCTACATGTGCAGGCCTTAGTCAGTTCCTGTCCGTTTTAGGTAAAAAAAAAAGAGAGGCTTGGATACAAAGCTGTTCTCGTGAAAAATGCACAAAACATATCAATTTGCTCTCATTTGATATGTTGTGTTCAGCCTGTTATGACAATTTAGTGACATATTTAAACAAATTTTTACATCAAAAGGCGGATGTGTGCTTGAATAAAACACAGATTAGCACACTTCTAGCAGTCCTTCAGATCCATGATACAAGTAACACAAGGACAGGTCGTGAAGTCTTACTTGATAAGTTCCTCAGTCCAGAGCCAAGTCTCTGGAAATTCTTTACGGACTTTGACAGACTTTGTTTTTTTTTTTGTTTTCCTTTCTTCAGTATGGGAGTGTCAGTAGCAGCAATAGCCATGGGTGACAACTCAGCTCTCTCTTGAGGAGAATTATGCGAGTTCCCCCAGTATTTCATCAGGTTTCCCTGACAATTTGCTGGTATCCACTATACACCAAAGGTAGAGAGGCATACTGTGCATACCATGTCTCTCCATACAGTCTCGGAAAATAATGTTCACCTAATCTAGGGAAAGGAATTTCTTCTTTAGAGCTTCACTCGATGCATTCTTTAAACGTAGTGCCTAAACATGAGTCACTCCTTTTTTTCATAATTACAGTGAAAACAAACTGTTACGTGGTGAACTAAATTATAGTGCGTCATAAGAGAGATATCAAAATCAGTACATCAATTTAGTGTCAGTGGTTGTCAACATGTCTCAGAAATGGTTATCACGAGTGTAACTATCACAAAACAGGAACATGGGTAGACACAGATCTGATGCACCTCTAAGATGGATGGATGTCTTTTCCATGTATCTCACAAACTCAGTTATTAAATGTACCTTGATTGTTGAAATGTTAATATCGCATGTGTACATGCATGTATTAAATACTGTCATCATTAAATATGCTTGTACAAAAATGAAAGTTCGCGTCAGATGCACTTCCTTAGGAAGGATCGAGTCTTTTCCATGTATCTTACAAACTCAATTCGTCTTGGTCACTTGTAGGAGTTATAAGGTTGAGTTCCCTTTATGACAACAACAAAATCTGATTCACTTCCAAGTTTGTCACTTAAAAAGGCAAGCTTAGAGGATATACTCCAATTTAAGTCTGATCGTGTAGTGCTACCACCTAGTTGCTCCACTATCCATCCACTTTTTTGCCCTGATGTACAGTGTAATAATGGCTCATATTTAGTATGATCTCCAACCCTAATATGTTCTTACAACGTAATAGTGGAAGTGCAACTTGACCAAATGAGCTCTGTGATAAAGATGTGTCCTATCTAGATACTGTATAACATGTCGGTCAAACTATGTAATCATATAGCAGCTTACCAATACATGTGAAAACTAAAGCTTGTGGGCAAACGTTGACATTTGCAGGGATGATTAGCATTTATCAAAATATCAACTCACATTTTTACAGCGTGTTGAATAACCGCTAAATGGTACTTTTTTTCTAACTTGATCATCACTAGTGTCAGAATTATTTGGATATCTTCAATTTCGCGTATGGCATGGAATTTTGTGCAACAATACTTAGGTAATGTATGTATAACTGTTGTGTGTAATTTAAGGGATTACAAGGAAATCTTGGTAAAAAAATATAGGGAAAAGTATTAAACAGTGAAAGAGGAGAGAGATTAAAGCAAATATTGAGCTAAAACTTCTTTAAAAGCACACGTGAGAATCACAATTATTATCACTGGCAGCCTAAGCACACAAAATTAAGATGAAGTTAACGACAAAGTCAGCAAGTGACGTTTAACTGCACTGTTAGCAAGTTAGGAAAAACACCTGTTTCCCCCATATATAACAAACCACTGCAATATGTCGAATATTTCCAATTCTGAATTTCTGCATTTCCCTTTAGCTTCCTTTTCCTGTCCTGTGTCCCTTAACCCTTAAACCCCTCCATTCTCCTTGGCCCATGTATTCCCGTCTCACCCTCCTCCTGTCCCATTTAATTAATGATCCCAGATAATGAAACAGAAGCAATGAACTTGCAAATTCTGCTAGGATGACAGTTAAATGGTAGGAATAATGAATAAGTGGTAGTAACAAGATGGTCATTAGGCAGGATTCCACTGAACTCAAAGATTCCATTGTCCAGATGTCATAGCATCTGCTACACTGACAAGTACTAGACCTTAAAATCCTCAATGACAACAACGAGAAAAGAAAAGAAAACTTACAATGATGAAAAGGCGTCTCGCATTTGGCAGTTTTAATCGTCAGATCAGAGAAGTATAAGATTCCACTATTCTGCAAGGTAAGAAGGAATAATTGTTGAACTTCAATTCATTATGTAAAAAAAATCAGTGAAACAACCATCTTTCTCTTCACCAACAAACTCCATTTAAATAAATGTTTAGTGTCAATTTTGTAGAGATTTGTTCCAAGATGTGATAACTAACCTCAAAAGCACTTGAAGCATCCAAATCTTTTGAGTATCCAGGGAAATATGATCTGCGTCGCTGCCATGGGCCTCCCCACCAATGTGGATTATAGCAACCAGAATAATCACTACCTCCAGAGGGCCCAACATCCTGAGAACTGAGTACTTGGATTGCCTGATAAGGTAATGTTTTAAGATGCCTTTAATTACATCACAAAATGGGTCAATCATTACTATCTTTCTTGTTAGTATAGAGTCCATGCATATTCTCGCAAATGGTTTTGCAAGCCTTTTCAAAATTGATATTTTAATTTACCAAATTTGAGGTTATGGTTGCAATTGCATGGTCTTAGTATGAGCTAAAAAAAAACCAAAAGCCATGAGAAACTCAAAGTAACCCCAAAGCATCGTATGATAACAATAAATGATACTGATATATTGACCAAAGTGACTTTTATGGATTTTTGCTGTAGGGTTGCTTCTTACAAACATTACATATAGTAATTAAGCACTTGCTGCCGCCTGAAAAAAATCTTGAGCCAGTTAAAGTGTTTAAAGATTCATTTCTGACTACAAACTTTTCCTAGGTCTCGAAAACTCATAAGCAGAATGTATGTACATTTTTAAGGAATTAACACCTTAATGGATGTACCCTGGTAAACAGAGTTTGAGGAAACACTAGCAAAAAAGTAGTAATAATAGTAATAATCTTACATCATCCTGAGAGAGCTCATTTCCTCCTTTCAAGAGATGAACACTTTTGTCGACAGCGGTCACAGCTACTTGAGATCCCGGCTCAGCTGTTATGATCAAACTGGTAGCTTCCCCTGGTTTTCTGATGCTATCACTAAAACGAATCTTTACCTGCATGTCAGACAAACACTCTTGATGTAAACCATGTTGTTGCTTTCTTATCAAAACAGTTATCACTTGTCTCTTCTCAAACATGTTTTCTCCATAATGTCTTAAATTAAAGGAGGCATTATACATTGGCCACTCGCAACCTGAATTGAATGCTCAGATGTAAAACATCATTCTGTAATTATTTATTTACATAGATTAATTCTCCAAATGTTACACTTGTGTGTGACACGATTAGTTAAACTTGTAATGATACAGTAACTGTGATTTCAGATATTGTCACATGACTTAAATCAATATATAATTTCATTTAAGGTTACTTCCAACAAAGAAACCATAGAAAACGTCAAATCACAGTAAAACTTATAACGTATAGATGACGAAACTACAAAATATTTTCACAGTTTTTGCTTTGCACGCGTGAGCTGACGGTGTTTGCTTTACTGAATTACCAGCCTCTGTCTTACCGCAGACCTCGAAACAAACTGGACAGTGTCACTCAGCAGATAATAGGCCAACAAAGAGTGTGAGGCATTTACGATACTCCTATATTGTCAGTGGGCAATTGGGATTTCAAGCTAAGATAAAAGAAACTCTAACTTCGATTTCGTCCTCTCTTTGGCCATTTGATGAAGACTCTTACTTCTCAGCGTTTTGCGAAATGTGCCAGACATTCCCTTTTGTTTATGCAGTGCAAGATGCGATGTAAACACAATATGCAAATCGAGATCCAGACAAAAAGCCCGCGGAAAACGTCAACACTCTGTTGGAGGCCTTTCCTATTATGACAACTTTTTCTCTTTAGAACAGGTTCCCCTTAAAACATTTTTTCAGCCGTATCTCCCGTTCTTTTTTTTATTTTACAGTTACTTTTACCGCAAATTAGACTTAACTTCTTTCTCTAAATGAAGAGAAAAACGATAAAATTTTGAAATTTTAGACCGACAGTAAATTTAACAAGTAAAAGCAAAGCAAACGGATACACCACAATAAATTAATGATGACAAGAGTCATACCAAGACATGTTTTTAGAAAGCATTATCGTGAGTTTAAAATTTGTTTTGATCTTCTGGAAAATGTGTTCTTTTTATTTAATAGCGGTATAATGAAGTTATTGAGAATCACTTCTCAAATGCCGGATTACCTCATTTTCCAATTTGTCTTCCACATCAATCTGCAAATTATCTGCAACAGTTTCCAAGTCATCGCGCACATAGAACAATAACAGACGGGATGACGGTACCATCCTCTGAGTAACAGCAAACTGAACAAATCCACTGGTAGTAAACATCCCTTTCCCTTTAGAATTCTTCATTTCATGGAGATTCCTTCCTTGAGCTACGAGAACTCCACGGCTGAATATCTGAAGATTAGAAAGCAAAACATTTTTAACCCAACGATCCTTAAAAGGTCTTAAAGTAGGCAGTTTGAGTCAACCACTACTTCACTTGGGAAGTTTTTAGTGAAGTTTCTTGTTTGCCACCATTACCTGTACTAGATCTCTTTACAAACAAAAGATTTTTTCAGTAACAAGGCATTTCTGAGATGTCTAATTTCTTTGCTTTAAAAATAACGGTAAATGCACAGGCTTAGATAGAAATCTATCTACATTCTTATCGCGCAAATAAAACTTGTTCTCACGTCAAAAGTTTGCACTTGGCCTGGTTTTGAAAGTGAGGGCTTATGAAACTTGGAAATGGTCTATCATTGTTTGATAGTTGCAACAGCATGCAACTGTATTGGTTTAAATTCATCCCAAAATGGTTTTTAGCAGCAAAACAACATACACATTGACTGTTATTTCTTCCAATTTTTCATAAAGTATACTGCTCATTGTGGAAAAGACATTGGAAGTATTTTGGTTGGAATGCTAAACTCACAGTCAAGAGGGCCAATTGGAGCCTTGGAAGGATCATTGTGTTGTGCCCCGAGACAACCCAATATGATGTACTTAGCTCTCAAGGTATCCCTTGCTAATCTAGAGTTCATCACCCTAATGGTGGTCTAGCTAAGTTGAAAAACACTCACTTGGTAATAGAAAGTAATGTTCTTTGCATCAGCTATGGTGGTGAAGTCAAACTTAACTTTTGCAGTTGATCCAACCTGTTTTAAAAAGCAATGACTTTTATTACAGCGTGATATAAACGTGATAATTATTACTAATGTGTAAAGGCAGGAGAGTTATTGTAATGTCACGACTCATCAAATGTGTCCCTAGCATGCACACATAATATAACTATGACCTGTACTACCTTATTTGAGTTGGTTTGTATCGTGAGTTTGACTTGTAATGGCCTTAAATAAATTGTGTTTAACCCCTTAACTCCCAAGATTTCATTACTTCCCCTTACTGACTGCCAAATGATTCTCATTGAGTTAGTTTGGAGAATTCGGTATCAGATTAAATAGTAGTCCCATAAATGATATTTTTCTTTATTCTCATCACTTGTCTGCGTGATATTGCATGTATATAGTAGGGAGAAATTCTGTCTTAGTCACTCATGGGAGTTACAGGGTTAAACTCAACACGGAGTATTACTGACAATAATGTAAATGAACTGTTAAACCATTGTAAATTCAATGAGGTTGCAGTGTGACATGTGTGACTTGTGTCATACCACTGAGGTAATAATATATTCAACAACTAGGACCATGTGAACAACTTGTTCATCATGATAATCACACACCTAACAAACTGAACAAATACAACCATAGATGGTCTGGGGATCAACACTGGCTCCTCACAACATACATACATGTATGCTACTTGAGCCTTAAAATTAAGAGAAAAAAAAAGACCTTTCAATACTGAGAAACAATTCTTTATAAATCTGACTTACAATATTTGACAGTCAAACAACCCCTCTCCACTCTGGCAACTTCTGCTCATGTTGTGAAATGGTCTGTTGTTATTAATAACACCAGTCCTTATTTCACTAACCCAGACAATCCCACTAAGAGATAGTCTGATGCTCACGAGTTTGCTTTCTTTAATTTACAACTTAAAAAAAGAACATGCAAAACCAACCTTCAGTGGAGATGGAATTCTTTTCATTGATATGTAGCTGTTACTTGGGGAATACCAACGCTTAGCGTTATAATATGCTAATGTCTGCCATTGGTGCTTGGCCTTAGGAGTATTTAAGAAAAACAGCAAACTATTTAAGACGAATCAACATTTAAACTTTTCTCATAACATAACTTAAATGTTAATCTAAATAGCAGGAGTCTTGCTTACTTAAAAAAAACTTACAATCTGTTTCATCTGCTGATATCTTAAGTTTAATGATTAAATTTCAAAGCTGTTGATATATGTCAATCTCAATGCATGCAAGGAACAAGCCCTGGTACACTACACACTGATCCACCTGATTACCAGCACATAAACAAACTTGGACTTTGTTATGTTTTACAAACATCCTGTCACAGGATGAGAACATGAATAAAAGGTTTAAGTCTCTCACGACTTACTAACCTGAAGGTTAAGTGATTTGGCATTAGAGGGAATTGTTGAACCATTAATCGAAAACTCAACAAGTCCACTTTCTGGTACAATGAAATATTTATCAAGCAATCTCCGCCCTCTTCCACGTATAACAATCTTAATTTGTGCCCCTTTCATTGGACTTCCATCAGGCTTGGTGGCTTTTACCTGTATAAGAAAAGGTAAAAATAAAAGAGAAATGAAATTCAAAAGATACAAGTATCCAATTCAGTTGACTCATAATACTTTGAACTGTCATGAGAAATCATGATTTCTTTGATAAGAGTCGAAGTTATCAAAGGATGAAAAGAATTGAACAACATGATGTGAAATGAGGGGGAACACATCATATTCCCTATACATGTTTCCTTTCTGTTTAAAAAATGTATTTACCAGTAAACAGATTAATTCAATTAATTATACACTTTAGGTAAAGAAAATGAATTAATGAGACTTAAAACAAAGCAGAGGGTCTGACTGCAATACTAAACTACGGTGTTATACAAGGATTTCCAGCCCTGAGAAAAGCCATAACAATGCATGTGAAAAAACACAATATCTTTCCACGTGTGTTTGATATCACTAATCAGCTGCTGACACTTCACTCGCCTTTCACGCCACTCAGTCAGGTTGATGAATGAACAGCAAAGCCTTTATCATTCTCAATCTGTGGTTGTTTGTAACAATTTTCTCAATCCTTTCATTTTTATTCATTAATAACGTTGACTTTTCTTGTCAGTGAAGGGCTATTGTGTTTATATAATAAACACTCGAAGAGGAATTCCATATCTACGCGCGCCATGTATTATTCTATATATATTGTTCACGTAATCAAAAGAAATGACTACTGTTAGGTTAAAATTAAGGTGGGAATAAGTTTAGTTCGAGTAAGTGCAAGTTTTAAGTCATCAAGGGTTGAAGTAAGAAGGAATCAACTGCTCTATTTAATACAAACTTAATAGGACTTAAGTATTAGAAATAATTGTAAGAAAAAACAACAGACTCTTACTTTTTACTCGTAATTGCTCGCCAAATTAATGGAAGCTTTTCTTATGATAATGCTCAGCTGGCTGAGGTTTGAGAAGCTTGTTTCAGTTTTTATCCTAAGCATTAAAGGTCATTGCCTGTAACTTCAAACACTTGGTAGAAGATCTTTGAAAACCTTTACTGCATTAAGGATACATACCACTGAACATTTTAAGTGGTAATTCACTTCATAGTAACAGGCATTTTGGCAACACAGACAAGTTTAATTATACATTCTTCTGTGTGACAACTGAGATCAAAATTTACTGTTTTCTTCTTGTTTGTTGTATTAGTAGAAGTAATACAAACCTGCCCACTATAAGCCATGCCTGGCTTAAATTCTTTTGGTGTACTTGGAAGAAACTTCAGTTTTGCTGTTCCTCTGACGATCTGACTTTCTGTTCCCGTAGCATTTTGAGAGATTCCTGTTGCTGTTTCCTTTACAGTGGCATTGATGGCAATCTTTGAATGTTCACAACCATAGCAATAGTAACTGTTGTACTGCGTAAATTTTTTCAACACATCCTCTGTCTTGATAGTCACATCCGTGCAGCCGTTAATCTGAAAAAGACAACAATGCCAATTTTACATGTAACTAATAGTTAGTTAGAAAAAAATAAATTTAGATCCCTGACACCTAAATGTTTAATTAAACAAGTTTGTGAAACAATAGCAATAGACAGGTACAACATTTTCAATTAAAAAAGCTCTTTGAAACAGGATGAAAACTTGTCTTGGAGCAGGTCACCAAAGAAATTTCATTATATCTTTGTCATCTAAAACAAAAGTCACATGGAAAAATTCAACAACTTTGCAGCTCTTTCAAAATGACTAAAACATCAATGGAATGTTTTTCTCCAAGCTTTTCATCAAAGCAAGTCAACAAAAAGGTTCCAGAACATGTTTTTCCTCTAAAGCAAAAGCTATGTGCAAAATCTTCGCAACTTTGCAGCTACTTTGAATTGACTAAAACATCAATGGAATGATTTCACTCCAAGCCTTTCTATAAATTGTTACCTCTTTTTCTGTTGTTATTTGTGTTTCCAAAGACTTCCCTCTCCAGTACCAGTCAGGCAATTTCATTTGAAAGAGCACTGAAACAGTTCCTTTCACTGGCTTTCCATAGGTGTATCTATGGAATCATTAATAACATGAGTCTGGAATCTGTAAACTGACTTATTACAATATCTAAGAACCTGTCTGTGCAGCAATAGGGTGAGTGATGTCTGGTTTCCATTTTACCTGCAACACACCCTGTCTTACCCTTCTTTTATTCCAGTATCTTTCATCCAAAGCTTTTGCTCATTATTCAGAGAAAAACAGAAGGCTAGAAGTCTGCTGAAATTTTAACCACAGATCCTTTCACTTAACTGAAACACTTCTCAAAAAACTGCATTATACTTAACAAATAGAGAAGCCTTGACTGTGCTCTGTTTTGTTGTAAAGCAGGCAGGAAGTGGCTAGAGCACTCAAGAAGTGTAGGGAGAAACACAAGACATAGTCTCATGCGTGTCTCTCCCCAATTCTTGAGCCATGATGAGCCAGCCAAGATGGACTTCAGCATGATTGCAGTCACTTGGACACCATCATGATTAGTGTGAATTTTAACAGTTATACCAGTTTTTATTTTTTATTATTCCTGTTTGTTTGGTTTTCTTTTTGAACATGAAACTATGTATACTATATGAGTATTAGCTGTATTTGATTTTCATTACTGTACGTAAGCTTGCAATCCAGCTAACTGTGCGGGTCTCTGCTCACATTAAAATAATGTAAATTACAGTGCCTGGCATGTTTGCAAGCCTTTGTTTCACTCTCCTGTTCCAAAATTTCACTTTCAATTAACAAAAAAAAAGAAAGAGAAGTCCAGGAGGTGGTCGGACATAGTACAATTTGGCAGATGGTGTGACAGCTTTAGTTCAGCTCTTGCTCTATGTTCTATAGTCTGATAGAGCACATGCTTTCAACCAATGACAGCATGCATTATATCTGAACTTTATTATAAACAGAAATATGCATTGTTTATAACAAAAATTTCAAGAATGCTCTCAAAACAAGACAAGATGTCTGACTTACTGGGCACAAACCGTGGCTTTAATATCTTTGCTTTTCACTGCTACAAATGATGGAGGCTTAATGGTCACTTCAAACTTTGGCAGCACTGTAAGTTAAAAAAAGTTACAACACGTTACAAGTTGAACAACATAGTTGTTTGCATCCCACACTGAGTAAGAAGGGGGTTGTCCGTATAATAGCTTCATAAAACAGATACAACAGACAGCAGTGCAAACATTTATGTTTGGCATATCAACCTGCAACCTAAAAAGTACCGTAAGGATTCCATTTAGCACCCTCCTTCCAATAAGCTAGGGTACATGTACATTGAGATCAACCGTGCTTCATCTTCCATTAATTTCTCATTCAAAATAGCAGTTTATGCACAGTTCCTTTATACAAATGATCTTGTTTTGTGGTGATTACTTGGCTGATTGTTCTAGCAAGGAAGGATCCATGGAAAACAAGTCTGTTTTCAGGTCATTTTGATCCTTTTAAAAGAAACAAAAAAAAAAAAGAAAGAAATATGCACCCTGCCCCCAATTAACACTCTGGTTCAAATAGGCTCCCTTCCTTGAGGTACCAAAAGTAAATATCAAGGACCCCAGGTGCCAAATAGAATCTTTAAGGTATCGAAGTTTATAATATTGATATCATTGTCTTTCATACAGACACTAATGTTTTGTGTAAAACAAACCATGGGTGAAATGCTTACAAAACTATGGTTTTTAATTTATGTTCTGTGCGTGAACTGAAAGATGGCATACATGTAGGTTAGCCAATCAGAACTTAGCATTCACATTACAAAATTAGACAGTACAATCTCATTAAGATATTTGTTCATGAGAAGACATACCATACTTATCCACTGAAAAGACAAGTTTTCCTTTTTCACCCTTAAATGGAAGGAAGAAATTGTTAAAAAGTTTGAATTACTATTAGTTTCAAATAGACAGACTCTAGGTAGAAAAAGCTCTATAACTGGTCAGCCAGGACAAATCACTTTAAATTTACTACAGCTGTGTTTCGCAGACCACGAGGCACAAGCAAAGAAAAATAAGCCATTTACTGTTCAGTGCATGTACTTAGAAAAAACCTCACTGGTCCCTTTCCTTAAACTTAATTGAAAACATGTAGTTCTCAGCACCCCATCACAAATTATCTTGAGTAAACCCTTTATAGGTCCAATCTTTGGCCACTAAACAATTGGGATATAACCCAGTGTTTTTGTTCTCATTTTTTACCGTTTTGTTTTGTTTTGCTTTACTAAGCATTGAAAGGGAAAGTCATGCATGGACAAGTAACAGTTGAACATTTTTGTTTTTCAATATTTTCTGGGACATAACTATTATTTTCATGACCTACAATAGAATTTTTCCAAGACCTATAATAGGTAAACTGACAATTAAATCACGGTATTTCTTTCTTTACTGATCTCACAAAAATTCAATACAAATTAGATGACTTTCCATGTCTGGAAAATGAGATCATGAAAATTCAATAACTTTACAAATTTTTTGCAGACCCATGTGGGTTCTGAAAATACCTTAACTTCTGCTTCAATCTTCCAGTCGCCCAGAAGAGGCTGGCTTGATAAAGGAAACTTTAAACTAACAATTCCTAAAGTATGAATAAAAATCAAAACAGAGTATTGCATCATTATTTTTCTTTTTTTGGGTTAGAATTAAAGGAAACTGAGGTCCTATCTGAAGCAATTGATGTGTGAACAAAAAGCCTACATGAGTGACAAGGATATGCCATGTATCTATGCTCTGTAAGTATGTTTGGATAATAAATAGAACTTTGGGATTATTCTGTATAAAAGACAAAAAGAGCACTTCATTAATGACTCACCACCAATGAAATCCACATTGTCCCATTGCATTGTACGTACTTTACCAGGACTCTACAAGAAATAATCAATACCCAGCAGTTGAGTGCCATAGAGAGTTGAGTGCCTTAGACTTATATTTGATCTTACTCTGGTATTGTTCGACCATTATTTTTTCATTCCTGACAGATTTTCAGAGAGGTTTTACACAAAAAACAAATAGGAATTATTACTTTGAGCAAAAGGTGATTTGTAATGTAGCAGACAGGTAGTTGATCAGTAGAAAAGGTACTGGGCACAGGTAGCTTTTGAAGAGTTAATTTGCATCACAGTGCATGACAATGTTCCTTGTTCAGTAATGTTTAGCTACTCAAGGAAGTTTAGGCAACCTTTAACTGGTTAAAAGGTCTCTTGAAGATGAGGGTTTATTGCCACTCAACTGCAGGACAGCTGTTTTTATTTATAAGTTTACACTTATAAATTGAATCATCTTTGTTTAGGAGCCACCAAACTTGCAAGAACAATGATCAATTTCTATCCATGCAAATATCTTTACGAAGTTCATGTTACTTTACTCTACAGACTTGTAAATTTTAATGATCAGTGTTAATTTATGCAAAGTTACGGCACATTTTTCAGATGCTCTTGCAGATAAACTACACCCCTGAACTGCTGCAAAAAATTTTGGGAAAAAGACACCACTAATACACCTGTGTTTACAGCACCTCCTGTTCATTAGTTTAAAAAAAAGATGCTACATCCAAAGACCTTTAGGTAATGGAATCTTTCCCTCTAAAGAAAATAGCTATTGAAAACAAAACAGTTCTACTTACAGTAATGGAAACTCTTTTGACCTGTGAAGAAACATCACAAGAGGTGTAATTATTAATGATTCTAAAATGCAAGAGACATATATTTTAATATACTGCTGTGTAATAAGTCAACTACTCAAAAGAAGCGTTCTGCTACAATAGCATTTTGCTGCATGATTTGCCTAAAAAGTCAACAAAAATTTGTATTTGTCAGAGTTTACCTGTCCTGTTAAGGGCTTGAGGTTTTCATCCACACTAATAATACGCATGCTCACTAAAAGAAAGAAAAATTAACCCTTTACACCTGAACATCAGTTTACATATTCTCTACAGTGTTCTTTACATATTTCCTAAGTGCTGAAAAGAAGGTTTTGTTTGAAGGGAGAAATTAGATGCTATGCACTCTTAGGGTTTAAAGAGTTAAATAAAACTTCATTGATGAAACTGCACACATAAGCTTGTCTATTCTCTTTACCTGTTTGCAGGATAACATATATGAGTAATGAAGGGAAGACGCTTCTTAATCACTTCTGCAGGTTTAAGGGGTTAATGCCCTTCCGGGTGAAGATTATGCCTCTTTCTCAAAATTTCGCTATGCACGGGTCAATCTCTTTATAGAGATTTAGTGAAATTACCTGTCTGGCCTGGTTTGTAGATTGGCTTGTCTGTTTGAATGAAGACAGAAATCTTTGGAATTTTAATGGTTATTATTTCACTGTTCTGAATGACGAGCCCTCCATGAACTGGTCCTCCAAAGACATTCAGCTTTGCTCGAATGCTGTCCCTCTTGTTGGTTCTCAAATTTCGTGGTATCTTGAATAAAACAAATAATATGCAATGTAAGGTACACACACCTATGCCAATAATGTTTGAATCAACAACTTTGCATTTTTTCTGTTGCAGGAAGGCATTTAAGAGTCATAACCTTAAGTGATATACAAATTTCCACAACATAGCACTTATATGAAGGAGTACACATAGATGTGAGCAGTAAATGACAAAATATTAATTAATTAATATTATGAATTTGCAAGTACACCATTGCACACATGGAAATTTTTTATTGCATGAGTGTTACTAAACCCTTTGTAACTAACACCAATTACATGCCCTTAATGTGTGTGTGGGGTGCTGCATTACATATGAGCAGTACTATATTAGTCTCCTAAATATATATTAAAATTTTCCACAATCCCAAACAAATTGCTTAACCTGGTTAAGAGTAAATTTGGATAATTTTTTTCCACCAAAGTTCAAAGAGTAATGTAAAGATATGCTCTGCCTTCAAAAAGGTTATAAAAAGAGAAGATTAGTAGAGTTATTCTGATTTAAGAAAAAAATTGCTCTTTTTTCATATCTTGGACCTTTGATACACTTACATTGAGTTTAAGGGTTCCTTCTGAGTCACTAGTGAACTGTGCTCTATCACTAGCTATTGCTTCACCAGGTCCCGACCTGTAGGTCAATGAAGCACTGATGAACCATGTTTCATTGACATCAATGAGACTGACAGATAATTCTTGGGTGCTGCCAGCACGGAACAGTCTTGGGCATGTTATAAGGTAGCCACTGCAAAGAAAGAGAAGAATGAAAACAAAACTGTAAAAACCAACAACTGTTAATAAGGGAAGATTGGGGAGCTCAATATGTTCTGCATCTGCATTGTAGGATGTTAGAGACTTATAAAGTGGTAAGGTCCATGGAAATTTGTCCTCACTATTTTTATTTGTATGTTGTTTGAATGTTTTTTCTTTTTAATATTTTTAAGGGGATGGATTGCAAGGATCAAGTCCACCATTATGCACTATTATCCAGGGGTTTCAATGAAAGCCAGTTACCAGTGGTCTACCTCCATCTGCAAGACATCTTAGTGCTATCTGTTAACCCTTTAACTTCCACATCAAATTTGCCATTCTCTATACTGTCAACCATACAATTTTTGTAATGTTAGTTCAGAGAATTTAGTATTGGATCAACTAATTATCCCAAAATTTACATTTTTCTTTATTCTCATCACTTATCTGGTGGGTATTGTACTGATATTGTAAGGAGAAATTATGTCCTAGTCACACATGGGAGTTAAAGGGTTAAGTCTGTGAGCAGGATCTCATGTTTGGTTGTCACCTCAAAACACTGTTGCAGCATTGGTAGCCACTTATGGAAAAAGTTGTTAATACTCTGACCACCACTAACATAGTATACAATTATTTTCCTTTCAGAAGAAAACCTTCACCTATCAAGTTTCTTGTGTTAGCTGAGAGCCAATATAGAACACAGCTATACATAAGAAAACAATTTTCCAAAAGATCTAATTAGGGTTTTAATTTTACCACCTCTGGAATGAGGTAAAAATATTTTACATATTACATGTACTGGAGTCTTCACAGTCTCCCATTCAATCTATTTAAAACAATCAACTGAACTTTAAACTTCCTTTGGAAAATCTCTTGTCAAAATTTGGGAAATAAGTTGATAACCAAATCATACTTAAAATCAAAAGGTTTTAAGAAAATTAACTTAATACAGGAAGCTTGGAAATTAGAAGTTATCAATTTGAGCACTAAAGTTCAATGGAAGCGTAATTTTGCAAGACTTCAAGGTCTTGCTAAAAATATTATACCACAGCCTTTCGCACAAAGACCACAATCATAACTCGATCACAAAAAAAGACAAAATTTCAGAGACAAAATTTTTCACACGTGCAAATCAATAGTTAGAACAAACTCATAAACATCCGAACTTTAAAAAATTGCCTGCACACCAATGTCTAGTATTTCTTTTGCTTCTCTTTCTACGTGAAGCAAAGAAAATGAGATACATTTTAATAATGGCTTTACGAAGGAATAAAACGTGACGAAGGAAGTAAACTTACATTGCTACATTCGACAAATAGGTCACTCGGCTCTTTCAACATGCTTCGTTTTTTTCTCATTTAAGTTCGTTGTTGTACATCTTTTAAGTTTCTCAAATATTTGTTTAATTCGTTCAAAACATAACAGTACCCTTTTTGAGCACTAAACCGACCTATTTGAATCTTGGGAGAAAACTTATACCAGATGAAGCTGGAGTATATTTCAGACATAGCGAAGACATTGAGCGAGGACTTTCGACTCAGCCTGAAAACGAGGTTAAACTTCGACTAAACCGCGTAAATGTGCGGGTATTAGCTGATTTAAGAGGTTATGAAGTGATGAGAAAATACGTTTCCGACAGAACACCCCAATCATCTTGAAAATGCACAGCAAGATGAAACGCCTGCTGTGACTTGAATCAACGCCTGCTGTGACTTGAATCAACGCCTGCTGTGATTTGGTTTCAACAGAACAATAGTAGATACAAATATCGCTGATCAAATTCGTGACCCCTTGAATAGGTCAAATATTCTGCTCGCGAGCGATTTCTTACATCCATTATAACGAAGGTATTCGTTTGAAAATTGATTGGAGATTGAAAAGCGTTTTGGTGTTCTTACAGAAGAAGAGGTATACGGTGAAACCTGTATTGATGGCAATTCAGCCAGCGCTCTATGTTCCAAAACTCTGTTCAGTGGACTTTTAACTCAACCCTTGTGTGACCCAATGTACACTTTAAAAGGTTTTACAATATACCTTAGATTTTTCATATTTATAAAAAAACAATAAACAGTGTTCGTAAAATCGTGCTTAAATTGAGAAGAGGCACGGGGTTTCAAACAGGTAAAAAAGTAACCAATGACATCAGCTCACCAACAAGATTACAGGAGAAATTAAATTCTATATCATAGCATAATTTGTGTAGCAGACGGAGATCATGTATCGAGCTTGCTCTGGCAAGGGTGCCGTGTTTGTTTATAACGTCATATTAAAGTGAACATCCCGGAACCAGGGTAGATAACGTTTTGAAAGCGAGTTAAGAGTGCGTATTTACTTCCCGCCACAAAAATATATTTTGCCGAGTCACGGTTTTTTTCGCACTTCGCTCTCGGAAAACTGTTTTGCTTTTCGGAATATATAATGTCCGGGGACATGTGTCCGTACATATTTTTGCATAAACTGTATTCTATTGTTTGTCTGATTTAAAGGATAATTTGCGTGATATTTGATTTTATACGATTTGGAACGAACGTGAGTAATTTCTCAAGATCTTGTGATTCCTAAAACAGACTTCCTGAAAAGCTGAAAAGCTTCACCTTTCTTCAAGGTTGATCGTTCGGGCTACAATTTTTTCATTGAGGCATATGTCACTCTTTACTATGCAGTTTCATTTCAAGCGACCGGTCTGTCTAGGAAACAATTTAAGACTGTAATAAATCAAATGTTACACAGGTATACCATTTATCCACCTTCTTTCTTTAACAGACTTTCACTCTCTATCTTTAATGGACTGTCATCGAGGTCCTAGTACATACACTCCGCGGTTAAAATTATCACGGCTTTATACTGAATCTTAAGTTACGTTGACATAGAAAAATATTAAAGCGCTCGGACGATTTTGAAGGAGGCATAGCGCGTAAGATCTCCATGCACGTCGTCTGATAGCGCATTTGCGAGAGAAATCTTTTTTCACGAGCGATGGTATCTGGAAAATTGCCCGAAGTAAGAAGACAGTACATGGTTAGACTTACCTCTCAACAAGACTCGCGGACTGAGCTAAAACTGCAGCAAAGACCAACACAACTGTTGCCTTCATCTTTATCTTGCTCGCGTCTAAAGAGCAACGATATCTTTACGTGTGAGTGACCCAGAGAAGTTGTTTCTTATATATTGGGGGAGGCTTAAACGGTTGCGCAAATTTGAAATTAAGAACTTTCGCACCCACGGCTTCCGTTCAAAGAGAAAGGGAACATATCAGGAGATTCTGACATCATTACGAAATCTAATACTTCCATTTGATAGCTCTTCTCCACAGGCGATGAAATTTGTAATTCAACCCAAAAATAATAGTGCAAATACGTTCTGGAATTTCAAATCTTTAACTAAAAAACATGGAATAAATAATAAGATACTCGGAAGCGTGAGAGTCTGAAGGGATTTGTATTAAAAACGAGTTTTGGCTGAAAGTGAAATTTCCCTGAGCGCGTTCATATTAATGGTGGACTGGGTTTGGGCTTCGGGACTAAAAATTTTAGCGAGGAAGGCTTTCCCAAATATTCTGATAAGTAATTCTGTGCTTTAGCTGCTGCCATTGCTATGAAAATATGAAACAAGAAAAAATTCCATGAGCTGAAAAGTTTGACAATCCTCATTTCCTTCTTCCCGACTTCCATCTCATAAGGTTGTTTAAGGAAAAGATTCTCCTTAATAGATTCTCAACGATTACTTTAGGTATCCAAAATTCTATTCTCAAGCAGGCTCCACTTCAAGACTTCAGTGCTGACGATTTACACTTCTGCAACCTCACCCCAAAACCCGTCTTTACTCAGAAATGCCAAACAAGATCTTAAAAACCACAAAACTGATTAATTCATCTGGTATCGTTGAGGTATGACTTGTCTTAATCGTTAGTCATGACGACTAAATTCTTCCGTTGAAACAGCCTCACGTACAAAGTTTGTTCCATAGAGCTTTCTACAAATCTTACATCTTGAAAGAAGAATTTAGTTCTTCACGTCCTCTCAGTTATTCGTCATTGTAAATAGGACACAACAACAGAATCATGCACGTACTCTAGTGGATACAAAATTTAGGGCGTGATTATTGTAGATTTTTTTCGATAACCTTGTCACTACGACTATTTTACATCTAAGCATTCGATCCGGAAGTGACGTTCGTCAAACCCATACCGGACTGCCTGCGGTTAAATTAAGTAACTTTGTTCCCCCATGAAAGTTTTACGTGATTTATCTTTTGGGGGGAACTATCTCTTTGTCACGTTGAGGGGTAATTGTAATTTCTAGAGAAAAGAACATTTGTATGTACATTAAGCGGCAGGAAATCACCAAGAAGAAAAACATATATTTCTTCTAGAATGTGTGACCAATCGAGTCATACGAAGGGAAGCTATTTAGTCGATAGATGATTCGTGGATGGATGTTTCGAGTGAGCTCGAACACCAAGAATACAAGATGCACAGCCTTTGCATATCTTTGATGTGTGGTTTCACGAGATTTTTTCCGCGCGAACTTATAACTATTTTTTTTCTAATGAGTTCCTGATATACAGTGTAGTCTGACCCGTTTCTTCCGTGGCAAGAAGAAATGGCCCCAGGCAACAAACAACAGTTATCTCCTTTGGGAAGTCTAGATATTATTCATTATTTCTTACGTTTTGAGTCTCCAAAGGATAGTCAACGACCAGGCCCACAGAAATAAGTCGTTAGGGAGTTTCAGAAACGAAAACGGGACGCCGTGGACAACGTTGGTTAAAAAATAAACTTATATTCTACCTACGAATCTCCCAATACTCTAAAGTAATTTATTTTGTTTATTACTGTGAAAACTATCTCGAAACTGAATATGGAACACAGCGTTAAATCGGAAATAGAAATTTAAAAAATTAGCCGTCGTTGTTCTCGTTCTCCAGACAACGCAAAGTTTGGTCATTTCGCGTTGTAGTTTTGCAGAGGAAGCAAAGAAATGTACAAAGATTTACAATACACGTGCACAGCCATTGTTCTGCTCATGAAACCTTTTGTTTAATGACGTTCCTGTTTCCGTTGAGGTTTTCTTAACCCTTTACACCCTAACATCAGTATGCATATTCTCCATACCGTTCTCAATATATTTCCAAAGGTGCTGCGAAGGAGAATTGAACAATCTAGAGCCTCTATCATTGGTGATCATTTCCTTTTTTCTTATGACCTCTACGTATGATTTTGGGGGAGATATTGTAAGGAGAATTTAGATAATAGTCACTCTCAGGGGTTAAAGGGTTAAACTCCTTAACATTAGCGCCTCATCACGAGGGTTTCTTCACCCGTAGGAAAGTAGGAGGGTTTTTGCAAGGTGTCTGGTGCCATATCCCCGCCAAGCCTCTCCCCGACTCGTCTCAAGTCTTCCCGCGGGTGGAGAAACGTGCATCCTGCAGCGTTGATAATAGGGACCTTTAATAGTCAGGGGGGCAACGCCAAGGAAGATATCGATTGAAAAATGAGTGTCTATTTTCAGTTAGAATTTTGAAGATGGCTGTATGTGTTTACCGTCTCTTACGGCACCACATCTCAACTTCAGTATAATGTCTATGAGCAACGTTGAGTTCCAGATGGAAATTAAAATAATTTGCCGTCATGGTTTCCATTCGCAGACGACGAAAATTTTGGTGATTTTAGAAGACGGCTGAAAAATGTACAAAGTTGGAAACGCATGTGCTGAACCATTGTTCTGCAGATCAGATCTTTTGTTTTGCCATGTCCTCGTTGCCGTCGCCGTCGTGATTTGCTAAAGGTCCCTAATAGAGGCCTAGCCATAGGGTAACCTTCATGTCTGCGACCAAAATTAGCCTTAAAATGCACAGAACCCACCGTTTTGAAAACTCAGATAACTAATCCTGGACGGATCAGGGGCAAGAATGATGTTTTGGACCTCATCACTGTTAAACAAACAGCAAGGATATGGGAAAAAATGGGATTGAGGCTATGTTACGTCACATGCAAGCAACTAGGTCACCAAGAAAAGTTTAAAATGGGGGCTTCCCTAGTCAAGCTTTATGCTTATTGAAAACTTTTAAAAGGTTGGTTTACTCTGAAGAACCTTCGGAGATATGAATCCGTAGTTTCTGTGGCATACTTTTCGATGCAAAGAGACGAAGGAAACGTTGGCGAAGTGAATTGAGCCGTGTTGGCGTGAATTCCATCAGTGTGCCGCCGAGCATATAACTTAAAAAACCACGGCAGGATAATGACTCACTACTGAAATAGCTCTATGTAGGTTTTTTTATGTAAGGAGTTTCATAAGTCACCACCTCGAGAAAGAGTGACATGTTATCTAAGTATGTCTTTAACAAATACGACTGAAATAACAAAGGCTCATTTCTCAATTCCAATTTATTTACTGCCATTTAGGACTTTTTAAGTAACTTTTCTTCTTCTGAAAAGAAGTTTTAAAACAGAAAAATGCTTCATGCTGAACACAACATATTGAAAATTTCAGTTAGAGTCGAACCAAGTCAATTGTAAGCGTACAGATTCCATACAAGTATCGGTTATAACTTAAATGGTCCATTAGTTTTAGACAGAACCTTATCAAACTCAGCACTCCTTGATGCGTAATGGACCATTCATTTTCAGACTGCAATTCCTTGCGATTGAAAAATCTTTCAGACTTAAGAATGGATAAACTACGAACGGAATCAACCGTTAGTGCTGTGCTGTGAAGACTGAATTAAATTTGATTAGGGCGACAACTAAGGAACACCATATGCAAATATTACGCTTGAAATGATTCGATCGTAACGATGTTAAAAGTTGGCAAGATAAAAATAAATATTAAAATGGAAAACTAAACGTCAGTTACTTGTATGAATGCATACGATTCATTTACCAGTGTTTAGGGAGCTAAGTACCCGTAATATTTGGGGAAACATTTTTTTGCATGGAGCAGAATTTCCGAACAGCTACTGACTTGAAAATATTGGTTCTGCAAGGGAGACAAAAACCAGGAGGAGACAACGAACAAGAGAGAGTAACTGGGACGAGGATTGGATAGAGATAAATGAATTGTAAATGACACAAAACAAAAAAAAACAAAACAAAACAAAAAAAAAACTCGGCGTGCATCCACTTGAAAAGGAGGTTTGCGTCGATCGCTGAGACAAGACTGGTACAGAAAAAGAACTCTCGTTAACCCCAGCCACGTTTCTATCAGTACAGTCACTTAATATCATGATCGATAAAATGTGACTTAAAACTATTTCGTTACACTACGCTTAAAAAGTAAAACGCTATACAAAAATATGAGGCCATACTACATCCTGAGGGGAACTCAAAATATATATCACAATCTTCTCTGTTACTTGTATACACGCGTGCGCACTTACCACTTAGTAAAAAGTATATTTACAAGCAAGGCGTGACTAAGTTTTGATTACAAGTGGATAGGCATAATATTCGTGGAGATGAGAGGTTAGGAAAGCCGAGCCCTTCTGTGTGCTTTCGCTTAATTTTTACGTTTTTTCTATTATCGAACTCATTGTACACAGCGTTCATTAAGCATTCAAATCATTCTGGACCAAGCAACCAAAAAATATTACTGTAGAAAGCAACAAAGGGTGAATCCACACGAAAAGATTGCGTACAGTCGAGGAACTCTCAATTGAAACTGGAGCGCCGTTTTCCAAATTTGATTTTCTCGGCTTCCCTCGCCCGACACCTTTCAAAACTATTCTATAGTCTTCTAGATCGTGGATACCATTCTCTACGCTCTCATACGAGCACAGAGATCGCTAGTCGTTAGAAGCAAACTGTACAAATACTGAAGACTAAATAGAAACCACGTAGCACCCTACTCAGTCTCAAGCCAAATTGAAGGAGTTTGACCAAATTAAACACAGCCAATGAAAATACACCGATAATCCTGAGACGCTGTAGGACACATTGTCTCAGGGTGCGGAAAGAGCGGGAAAACGCAGTTTAAGTTGAACAAAAGTCACCATCTGGTTGGCTAAAAACACAATACCTAAAACTCATCGGTGAGGGCAAAATGAGCGGCATTCAATAACCCATCAGAAGTTTGCATTCGTAAACATGCTCCAAATGCGAGCATCTCGTATGAGACAGTCTTTACAAATTGTACAAAGACAGGTAGTCGAAAAATACATCTTATTTGATGTCCATAAAGACGAGGGAGATGACACTTAAATAACACAATAAACACATTTTCTTGTACATATGTACATTTAGAGGGATATCTCCAAATAAAATAATTTTAAAAAATATATCAATGCATCGAGCGGGACAACATGCCGACGAAGAATTCTACAAAAGCGTCTCATGAACTGACTATTCAATTTAAAACACAAAGATTTGTTTAAATATAGGCAATTCATAAACCCAAAGTAGAAAAATATAAAATGTCGAATTTTGAAAAAAGCTTTCTGTTGATGTTTCGTGTAAATCTAATAGCTCCATGCTTTACTTTCAAATAACACATCTCGAAAACAAAATCTGCGCACAACATAAAAAATATAAAAAGAATTTCAATGGTGTTCGAGCAGCCATGATTCGCAAACATTTCAGGCGCACGATTGATTTTTCGCTCGTAAGCTTATAAGTAAGCACACTGTAAAAGATTATGAACAGATTTCGTTAAGACTGACCATAGATATTAAATTAGGGAAGTGTCAGTTGACAGAGGAATATCAAAACATGAGATATTTTTTTAAAAGTAGGGCAAAGTCTCTTGGGCGAATCTCCAGTGATTATGATCTTAAGCAACGATCTCGTCGCAGATCCTAATGTTCAGAAAAAGGTCAAAACTCCGGCGCCTCGCTGTCTGAATTGTCGTTGATACAATAGTTCTTTGGTGAGAATTCGACATCAGGAAAAGGTGTCGCAGCATTGAAAAGCTTGTTTCAATTCTGTACCCTTAAACTGACACTTGCGTTTAAGTATAAACCGAATGTGGTCACTAAAGAAAGCTTTAACTACCCTTTGTAAACACTCAGTACCCTAGGTTTCGAATAGTTCTGTTTCTACAAAAATGTGTCTGGAGATCCTTGCCAATAAAACTAATTGCCCCAGACAGGTAACTGAGGAGCTAAAAATTCGACGCGTTAAAAGAAAGTTAAAAACAAATTTCTTCCCGACGGGCCTCAGCTCGAACCCATGCTGAAGCGTAACCTTATTTCCAGGCTCTGTTTCCAGGCTCTGTTTCCAGGCTCTGTTTCCAGGCTCTCTCGGGCTAGCTAAAGGACCGTCGACTTACTGCTGGGCATCATATGAGACGGGCTGGGGTAGTAATATGAAGGAGGGTCTCCTCTCTTTGAAGGACCGGACACCTTGAAAGGAAAATATGGGACAACGTTGAAATAGAGATACACGCTAACACTACCAGGTACTGTGGCCTACTATGTAGGTTGGTGTGGTGCGCAATTGTTCCGTATAGCTTCTCTATATTTCTTTGTAAGTATGTAGAGTCAATTTGGTGTTTCATTGAGACAATACCCCACAACTAATAAGTCTGTCTATTCTCGTCACCTGTTTCCCAAATATTTCACTAATAGCGGGCATTTAACCCTTTAACTTCCGTGAGTGACCAAGACATAATATCTCCTCACAATACCAGTAAAATGTTAAGCGGACAAGTGATGAGAATAAAGAAAATGACAATTAGGGGATAATTGGTTGATGTTACACCACATTCTCCGAACTAGCATCATAAGAACTGTTTGGTAGACAGTAAGGAGAATTATGAATAAAATCTTGGTAGTAAAAGGGGTTAAGGGTTAAGATCCTTAGAGAGCTTCACTAAAACGATTAACAAACATTTCAGTAACACAGTGCCAACTTACAATTATTTTCCTTTTACTAAACATTAGCATGCCTACGTTTCAAGGCAAGTTTTGTATCACATCCATTTCAAATCATTTTCACCAAACGATAAAATTTCCATATCGTTTGAATACACTGTCAGGTAAACAGGTGAGCAAATGAAGGAAAATTATCATCCAAGAAAAAGCCTTGATTTAAACAGCCTGTAAAGAACTATATTACAATAATTGGTTTGAACACGGGGGTAACGTAATGGAGAAGTCTGATCGTCTGAGTGTTGTTCTAAGAAGGACCGCTGTGGGTGGAAGAACCGGACTATTCTCTTGACTCTGATGATGACTTTCGGTCAGGTTTTCGTAAAGTTAGTCACTACTCCCGGCAGCAGTCCTTCTCAGGACTACACCCATCCGGACGATCAGACTACTCTATCACAGTGGACTGTAAGGCCATCAGTTGAGAGAATTTTCTTTCAGATATTGCAGTTGATATGATTATAGCGCTCACCACCTCGATGTAATCCGTAGCTGAGTACTTTACTGGTGAATTGTGATGATTTCGACTTGTTCCATTCAGCTGCAACGCCGCCTGATACATGACATGACTGAAACAGGCAAATGCACATATAAAAATTACGAACTTACAAAAGAGAGGCTCTGCTGGATGTACACGACGCCGAAAAAAAAGCAGTTTTAAATTTAATCAACTCTAGGAGGAGTTTCTTTCCATTTTTGAAAAATTCAAAGTACGACGTAAAGGAGACAAAAAGAATGTAAAGGAAAAAAAACTTGTCTGTCTGAAGCGCGAAAGGCGGGAGACTGGGTTTGGTTCTAATTTTGCATCTGGCTGGCTGAGAGTGTTGCGCGAGATCTTTAGACCAATTGTGAAACTCAAATAATGTAACACTTTTCGATGGAGTGTCGGAAACCAAAACCTAAGTAATCCCAACGGCCAATCAGGAGAAAGGAAAATACCTTCAAGAGCCAATGAGAACTAAAAGAAAAATTACCAAACTGCCTAAAGCGCGGGAAAACGCAGGTGACCAAGTCGTGATTAGTGTAAGTTTTGCATCTGATTGGTTGAGAAAGTGGCGCAAGTTTTCTAGACCAATCACAGAGCAAAGTAAAGCAAAATCCCGGATTACTTTCGGCACTCAATAGTCCATTTCACAGTTGCGTGCTTGGTTGCCAAGCCTTTGAACAGGAGTGAGGCTAAGGGTGACCTTGTTGTGATACAAACCTTGCTGGTTTTCAAATGTAAATTACTTTGTTGTCATGCTAACTAGATATTGGTCTCTATCACAATAAGGTCACCTTCAGCCTCACTCCAAATCAAAGGCTTGGCAACTTGGTACACAACTGTAAAATGGCCTATTAAACGTTGCTCCAGTTGCTCTCTTCACTCTAAACAATAAAAATCTTACTTAGGGATACGTCCTTGATTCCTCGTGTCGTGTATGATCACTCCGTTTGGGTACTCCACTTTCACGTACTGACCATCAGGGTTTCCATCCCTGGGTAAGGGAGCCTTTCGACTTGAAAACATTCCCTGCTGTTCTTGACCAAACGAGGGTCGCCTCGGTGAGGAGTGGTGGCTGTTTGCACCTGTAGCAGACCCTGGTCCAGTTTGAGGGCCGCCTGAAAAAACGAAACATTGAATACCTTGACATCTTTTCTTAATTATTAGATAAGTTTAAGTTTACACACGTTTTGATTGGTTCTTACCTACGATCTATTGGAAGACAAACGCATGGATGACGTCACCTTAAACAACATTCTGTTTTTTTTTAAAAATAATTTAAAACAAATAGATTTCATGTTTCTGTGGGTCTGTAAAGAGGATGTCAAATTGTAGTTATAACACCAATGACACACTCAACTGCGCTTCGTGAGCCACCTATTTGCTTCTATCACATTTTGTCATCATCTGCCATCTCCTACTGAACGTATTAGATGATGACGTTATATACGCGCTTATTACTTAATTGATCATAGGTGAGCGCAAATTCAACAACATTAAATCATAAGCTGAATTATAAACACATTTTGACTGGTTCTTTGTTATGATCTACTGGAGGAAAGCCGTACCGATGACGTTACCATAAAACGTTTTTTTTTTCTTTTTCATTATATAAACTGAAACTGATTTCATGTTGCCGTGGGTCTGTTCATTCATAGATCAGAAAGACGTCAAAATGTGGTAAAAACGTCAGTACTACATTTGCCAATGAAGCGCATCTTTCATCTACTACTGAACAAGACGCACGGCAACATAGAGTCCTTTTATAACATGTTGCCGGCATTTGGTTGGAGAACTTTAACTGACTAAACCCCTGTTGTGGTCAATTAGCCAACAACAAGCTTATCTCGTAGGAAAGGTTGTGGTTATTCATCGTGGTGAATAACAATAAAAGCTAAGTCTTTCGTTTGTCTCACGATGAAGTCACGTGTGATGTAGATCGCGACGTTTCGACTGCATACTACTAGTCTTCTTCAGGCCTGAAGAAGACTAGCAGTATGCAGTCGAAACGTCGCGATCTACATCACACGTGACTACATCGTGACACAAACGAAAAACTTAGCTTTTATTAACAAGCTTATCTTAGGCGTAATCGCAAACTAGTATACTATCCTTTGACGTAGCAAGACTATCATACAGATTATCCGAAAAGAGACGACTACACAGAATAAGAGATGTACACCTCTCTTTACACTCGATACATTTTCAATCTGTAACTCTGGAAAAATTTGTTGGAGATGCTTTAAACGTGAAATCGTGTCCTAAAACCTACAAAATTGTTACCTGCAACCTCATTCCCCCATTAAGTCTTGGATAATAGTAAAATGCAAACTCTTCTACGTTTAACCTCCTCCTCGAAACGGGATGAAAAGTAGCAAAATGCACTGAGGGTCCTTAAGACTGTTCAAAATGAAGCACCTTACTTACCTGAGCCATGTTTTGGAGGTGACGCTGAATCCGGACCTAATTCTAACAACACCTGTGAGCCCTTAGGAGCCGGAGGAGCTGACATGGCTGAATACCCTGATTCACTGGACTGATATCCTTGGTGACTATGCCGGTGTTGCCGATGATGGCGATGTTTTCCACCACTTCCTTCCTTGACTCGGGCTACCGCCACTCGTGAGCGGATCACGTCCAGCGCTGGAACCATCTCCCTGCAAGTAGACAAACAAAATCGCATTAAGCTCGTATGAGTGATTAAATTAACGACCCGTTACCACGAAATCTGTTCACAAGTAAATGACATTTTTGAGAGAAAACTGAAATTAAAGGTGTCCAACGGTCTCCAAAGTGGAATCTTAGAAAATGCCGACTAACCGATTTCGTGTGAACTTACTAAAACGGAAGTCTCTGAATATTATTACGCGGCAATAGGTGTGAAAATCGACTTCTTCAAAGAAACTTTGACAGCACAGGCGGAATTGCATGTTGCAGCCGAGTGAAAGGGCACGAGTTCCATCAACTTCGTACGCACATTTTAACCTACTCTTTAATCTACACATAGATTTCCGACACTGGATTCGCTACATTCCACCAGGACAAGACACCCCTGTCTCCATCCAGTTGTAGAAATTGGTTCCAGTAAAACTGCCGGAAAAATCTGACGAAAAGGCAGTCGGAAGGGGGAGGGAACTGCGATGAACCATGTAAGATCCGTCTGGAAGAGCAGCCAAGCGGGCAGTCACTTCCTTCTAAAGAACCGAAACAAGCGTCACTATGCAGCAACGCGAGTCAGTCTCGAACACAGATTTACTTTCTTTTTCGTTTATCTTTAGGCAATTGGTGTTGTGTACTTACGAGTCAGCATCGTCGCTTGTAAGTTTACTATGGCGATGTCTGGACGCCGACCCGTCACTTCGGGCGTCTCCCTCTGATGTCCGATGTCTATGCCGGTGATGATGATGTGATCTGAAACGAAAAATCCTCCCTCTTAGGATAAGGATTTAATGGTTTTGCACCACTTTGCCTTGTGATTAGTCTTCCGTCGTTCTTTCAGCCAATGGGATATAAACATGAAATAAAGCGACCTTAATTCTGATTTGCCGTAGTGATAACTCTAGTAATGGTTTGATGACAGTCATTGAAGAGCACCCGAAGGATGACGAATAAGGCTAAACAGGGAGGTCAAAGGTGTACAAATGAATGCAGGACAACCTTGAATCCATCAGTCTCCCTAGCAGCCATTCTTTGGAGAGTCACGCGATGCCCTCCCGAGAGAACTATCATAAAATACTCTGTCTTGGTGCGAGAGCTTTCCAAGAACTGGAAAGCTCTCTGTGAGTGCTCTATTCGTAAAAAGGAATGTTGTTCGGTTGGAGGCAGCCCCTCTTTCTTGGTTGGAGCGTTGTGTGATATTCCAAAGAACGGCTACAGAGGAGACTATGAACCTATCAAAGCCAAAAAAATACTTTTGACAGCTGCTGTGCCAAGAACAGAAGTCACTCGCCAATTTTTCTTAAAATAATAGTAATCCTGATTTCGATTGAGAAAGAACTATTGGTGATCAAGCTGACCTTTCCGCCTCAGAGCCGCTTCCTCGGTCTCTTCTACCGCTGTCACCCATATGATATGGAGCTGAATCCGACATCTTGCTAAAATCAATATTTTCTTGAGACAACCTAACAAAGGAGCAAAAACCTGGTGAGAATTTGGGACGGAGTCATTGGATCCACCTTAACTTTCAATCAAAGTACAACCATGAAATCTCAATAATTTCGAGGTAAATCAACCCGTGTCTTGCCTACTTTTCAATACATCAGAGTGTTAACGCTACTTAAATATTTGGCTCAGTCCATGGACCAATCACTACGCTACGACAATCACTGCAAATAATAACTGACAAAGACAGGTTTATAGGATTTTGCACTTCGTCTGACAAGCTTCCTACTTTGAGGAGACTTGCAAGTATCACAACACTGGCTGAAAACAAACTAGCAATAGGAAATGACCCAGCACAAATAATCACAGAACGTTAAGTTTAAAAATAAACAGTATTGTTTGTATTTTTTACATCAATGTTTCCAACGAAGCCCTCACATATCTTACCCCCAATTTTTTTGGTCAAATTTTCAATTTGGCGTCGAAAATGAATCTGGAGACTGGTTTAGCTAGGCCACGCTACGTTCTACGATTGGTCCAGAAAACTCGTGCCACCCTTTCAACCAATCACAGCAAAACTGAAGTAACTTGGTACTTGCTCACTTGCGTTTTCCCGCGCTTCGCGCAATAAGCCTCGTGGTATTTTCCTTTGTTCTGATTGGCTCTTGTGATAACTTTGTAAGTGGTTTAAGGATACTCAGTGAATATGCGCCATACATGTAAACCACTGACCTGTGCCGTCTCCTTTCCTCTCGACTGTAGGACGAATCACGATCGCTTCCTGACTCAGCTGAATGATGGCCTCTATGATGGTGATGGCGACATCTGAGAGAAGAGGAATTCAAATCAAAATTGACCTACCAAAAATCTGGCTGTTATTTATGATGCACAATGCGTTGTCAAGCCGACAACTTTGAGGAAGGGGTCAGCGAGGATGGGCTCACCTTTCTCTAAAACCACCCCCCTCCCCCTCCGCTGCCTTCAGTATTAGATTGATTGCTAAGAGCAAGAAAAACAAATTGCAGAAAGTTCCCTCATTGAAATCTGCTGTAATCCTCCAAGTCTTTATTTGTACAAAATTTCTAAAATTTTCTTACGTGTTTTTCTTTCATGGATAACGATTAGAATAGTCTTACACGCCCTTTAAAAAAGTATTTTAATATTCACTAATATCATATTCTCTCTACGATTATCATGCTACAAAATTCAAAGCAAAAATTCAATTCCGACACCTTCTTCTTCTCCGTCTGCCTGTGTCGTCATCAGAAGAATACGCTCGCCGACTCCTGAAAACAGAACGTCAAATGAGAACAAAGCAAACAGTAAGAGTAACGAGGCTGGCTACGAAGGGGATTGAAAAAATAAGTAGAAATAAAATAAATACAGAAAATCATCACGAAGTACCTTCTCCTGGGTGTGTCTGTTTCACTGCCGCTACTTTGTCCAGCCGATCGACGGTGAGGCCTGAAGGCATTAAACATCAAGAAGAACAATGGTTAACGAACAAATCGTCATTGGTAAACTTGCAGAGAGTTATTTAGTACAAGATGTAAAATACTATGTGACGAGAGAGTGTATCGGGTAAGTTGTACAACAACTCAAGCACTTAAAAATGGTTACCTTGGAAATTTGGGTGACCTCTTCACTCGGCCAGATCCTGAGCTCTTCAGAGACCGAGGGGAGTCGGGGGCGGGCGTGTACAAGCCGCTGTTGGTGAACAACAAGAGTTAAAACTGTTTTCCCGAGCTCAATAATTGTCACAATGCCGATAAGCTACACTGTGTGGTTTTCGTCAGAATTTTAACTCAGAATTTCCCTTTTAATAACACCATATGAATGTTAGGTTTAACAGCTTTTATATCAAAGGCAAACAAGGAAAACAATTACAGTTTAAGCTACCTGAACTTGTCATCATACCTAACAAAAAACTGCTACAAGAAGTATTACTCGGCAGCGTGCCTTCACTTTCGTTTTAAGCCTCTAACGATTGAACCAAAGAGCGTTTTTCGATTGGGTGTCAAAAAAACCAAAACCAAAGAAATCACAAAGGCCAATCAGAACAAAAGACAGTACCACATGGAGTCGATTAGAACTCTAAACATAAGCAAAACAAAAATATTTGAGGCGCGGGAAAACGATTGTCACAGTTGAGATGAATCTGGCATGTGATTGGTTATGATGTCGGCGTCAGTTTTCTGGACCAATCACAATCTCTCTCAAGACACCACTCTTTCGAAGTTGCTGATCCTGGCAATATGCAGGACGCTTCTTGCAAATAAACTTAGTTCAAGTGCGAACTTGGTCGTGCCAAAGACTTCTAAGATGGCGATGATCTGTCTGCAAGTCGAATCCTCCGAGAACAATCCGATTATTTCTTCATCAAACGCCAGTGACATATGCTTCAGATCTCTTTTTGTATGTGAATTTTTGAAAAGAAGAATTTCATATGTACACTCAATATTACAACCGACCCAGCTTATTCAACCAAACGGAAAGTCAAAAGTTGAGATAAGAAGAAAAAGGAATAAAGTTCCCTAACCCCTGCATCTGAGCGGATTGTTCCCACGGAAGGGCCGGACCTTGATGTCCATCCACAGCTGTAGTATTACCATTTAATGAGCTTGGATCACCTTCAGTTTTAACCCTAAAAATAAAGAGATAAATAAATGTTTTGCGTACTACATAGAAGTGTTTTTATATTGAGGGGATTTAGTATTATAAACCGAACTATTGACGTAAATTGGCCACCGTAAAGAGCTTCAAGCGAATTCGAGCGAATGGAGGAACTGTAGGTTGTGTGTGTGTTTATATGCAGAAAATGGAGCTACATTACTGGTGAGAATGTGGTGACTAGAAAACAAGAATAAGTTAGTTGAATGAAAGCGCTCGTTGGTACCGTGGGGTTTAAGAGTGCCGATTTTAAAAGGTAAATTTTTGTTCTTGAGTTTTAATTTTTGCAGCCTTCCAAACTGCCGAGATGTAGTTACCAACTAAGTTTATAATACTAAATCACCCTGTTACACTTTTTCACCAAAGCACCACAGTTTCTTTAGAATCGTACTCTTTTACTTTTATATTGAGAGCAGTTTAATAGAAGCAGTTCTTACCCAGTGCCATTAGAACCCGCAACTGGGACAGTTATAACTTCAGCTTGGTTGTCTGTTTGACTGAAACGTCGAATCTGAACCTGGGATGCACTAGTTGGTGTAGCTACTGAGACATTAGTTTGAACTGAAACAAATCAAAACAATCCCGCTTTAGGTTTTATCCACACACTTAACCCTAAAACCATTTTCGAGTGACTAGCACCTAATATCTCCTTACAATATCACCCCAGAATCACACATTGGGGTCATGAGAGTAAAGGAAATTATCACTACCTAAAGAATCTCTCGATTGACACACGGATTCTCCTTGTCGGTATTTTAGGAGATGTAAGGAGAACAGTATGGAGAATGTGCATACTGATGTTAGGGTGCAAAAGTTTGAACGGAAAGTTAATCTTCTTTTCATATGAATGACAACCATGCCTTTGTATCGCTTCTGCAATCACTCGCCGTCTTCAAACAAAGTTCTTGAACAACATTTGCACTGAGCAAATGTCAAGACAGAGAATTGAAATTCACATATGGCTGCGAACAGAAATTCAGTGAAATAATCATTTGCTCTACTTCTTGTTTCCTTACAGAATTATTTCTTGGATCAAATAAAGACAACATACTTTTTTCTCCCGATTGACTGATCCGTCTTTCGTATCGTTTGCTGGGTTTTCTGAAACGCAAAAAGAAGTCATTTCAATTAAAAGTTGATTTTTTTTAATATCGACAAATGAACATCTTCAAATGAGAAGAATTGAAAAAAATTTTTTGAGCCAATCCTGTGGGAACTTAACTCTTCACTCCGAAGATCTAAACTTACATTCACCTTACTGTATGCCCTAAATTTCTTATAGTTGTGGCTAAAAGAATTTGTCGTCAAATCAAGGAGTATTTCCTAGCTGATATTTTTCTTTCACCAACCTGAACTGTGATATACCTATTTAAAAGTCAGTAAAGGGAAAGCAAGCTTGCTGTGGAACTTAATGAATGGGTTGGTGAAATGAAAGACTATCTGTATTCCTTTTAATCAAATCTTCAAGTTCATGATATTTTGACTGACATTAAGTGACCTTCTTCAAGTACTCAGAAGTAGTGAAATGCACCAAAGCATCACCTTAGTGGTAAAAAATAACTCATACCGTTTCACTTGCAGATCAGGCCTTTGAATCTTCTTACCATCTTCCAATGCTTCTTTCTGTGTCCTACCACTAAAAAAATAAGCATCACAAACAGTTGTTAACCACCAAAACATAATTTAAGGTAAGAAGGTACAGTCTGCACTCAAGTCAAATAGCCATAGTTTATCCCAGTTGCTATAGCGTGAAGTGACTAGAAGTATTACAACTCCCCCCCCTAGATGGGATGCTTGTCCAACACGGGTTAACCCCAGGCATTTCCTCTGCTTTCCTTGAAATTTCACTCATACTCATTTATACTCCTGAGTGGAGAGACACTGTGAGGGTAAAGTGTCTTGCCCAAGAAAAACACAATGACCTGGATACATCTTGACTTGGAGTCCAGGTATCTCTGTACATCTGTATATGCAACTTCTGTTGCATTTTCTGAGTGAAAACAGCCTTTTCTAGTCTATCTGGCATGGTGCAGATTGGGCCTTAAATGAAAATTCATAAAACTGCCAAAGTCATCAGTTATGAATGTAATATTGTAGAGACATACACAATTGTACCTGTATCTGTATGAAGAACTTATCCTAAACAAACCACTATTGCGACGATGGGAAGTATTAGCTTTGTCTAACCTAGGGAAAAAAATCACATCTCACAAAGTAAACCACTTTGAAATGAGTAAACATGTCAGAAATAGGAAATTTTAGTTACAGTTTGATTACAAGTAATTATTGTTTGACTCAAGGTGTGGTCACTTTGGATGTGGATTGTGGTGATTTCGGTGCATACTGTAGGGGAGTTCCTTAGTGAATAAGGTTGACGAGCTGCTAGTCACAACATAAATCATTATTCTTTGGTGCAACCAAATGGCTCTCAACAGCTGTGATTGATCTGTTCCCCTCTACAAATAGTCATTTTTTCCTAAAAAAATTATACATTCCTTGCTCTTTCACTGCTTTTATTACTTTTAATAAAATACTTATTTGTTCAAGATTAGTAAATTTACTGAAAAAGAGAAAACTTACCGAAAAAATGCATGATGCTCCACACAGCATTTCCAAAGATGTTTGCATGCTGTCTTGGTTGGAAGATAAAACTTAAAGGTATACTCCCTTTCCTATAATAGAACAACCCTTACATTATTAAGTTGTCACCTTACATTATTAACTAAGTTGTTGTTAGCTATTCTTTCCATTAGAGATTACACTGAAAGGGTGCCAACTGTAGCAAATTATCATGCAATCTGTGAAACTTTGATCTCATAATTCTTTCATGTTTAACATTATGCTGAGTAAAAAGGGCCACTTTTGCACAATTCTTGGTGTCTTGGGATCTAAAGGAGATGGTCTTGTAATTCCAAGCAATGACCTAAGTTTACACTTGGTGGTAAACTTTCACAGACAATAGTTCCTTTGTGAGCTTTGTGTTCCCACAGCTGACCTCTGAGTTGCGCATAAAGAGACTTGAACAACTGCCAAGGAAATTGTGCGGAATTTAGAGGAAAACTACTCCTGCCAGCAAGATTTTTTGGAAGGAGAAACCTTGACATGTCATCTAATTTCTTTACTAATGTACACAGCATAATCAAATTTAACCATTTAACAACCCTTTTGACCTTTCAATAAACAAAATAGTTAATTTGTGTAATGGCTTCATGGAACTCCACTGTGATTACACCATGCCGGTATGGAAGTGTAAACATATTTATCTTAACTTTTTGAAAGAATGAACATCATTCAAGCTATTCAAGAATTCAAAGTCTTATCTTTTTACTGGGTAACCAACAAGTTTATTTCTCATATAGTCTTTGGGTTAAACATCTACCAAGAAATCGAACTAAATTGATAGAATCACTTCATAAAATATTTGTAACTTTGAAGAAGTTTATCACCTCTTTCCCCTTAACTGTCAAGTAGAACTTCTTTCCTTTAAAATCAACTTTTTCTATTTTTGACCTACAATAGAGAAGACAAAAATATCAGTGACAGAGTATGCAAACCACCCCACTCCCCCCCCCCCTCCACTACCACCCAACCCTCTAAAATTCCAGTTTTTTTTTGCACTTCCAGTTCCTTAAATGAAGGTACTTAAATCACCCCTTTTCTTAAAAGCTTTCTGAATTAGTAACCTTCACTAGAAGGGGAAGGTTGAATATTTCTACAAATGCATCATCAAACTAAAAGTCAGAGAAAAAAAAAACATACTGCCCAGAGATTTCTGTTGAATACCCAAAATCCACCAAACCAGAATTAAACTGCAATAAATCTGCAGATTAAAGTAGACACATTCCACTTACCAAAGGTAGGACCCAACTCGAGTCTTATTCTTGTAAACAGCAACTCCAGAAGGTTTGAGGGCAATAAAATATTCTACAAAGTCCTCCCCCTTGGAGAGAAGAAGTTAATCACATTTTCAAAAGTTGAAAACTACATGTACAAGTTAAAAGAAAATGTTTCTTTTGTTGTGACACAAACGTGGAAAGATTTGTCTCCATGAGGAATCAATCCTCAGACTGTTGGATTCCATACACTAAAACTCTACCAATGAGACTCAGAGACTCTACAATGAGCTGAACCATTACAAAGTTCTTCTGTAATTCTGCATACTTTTAGAATCAACATGCATTTAAATATATCACTTACCTTCACTGGATGCAAGTCAACTCCATACATTTCCAACCACTTGATTTTATCAAGATACATAAACTCTGCTACAGATGGAACCATATTTCTGGAGTGAAAGAAAATAATTGTATTTGATAAGGAATTCTCCCTTCTAACTGTTTTTTTTTTTTTTTATCAAAAAATAAGCCACAAGAATGAAGAGTTACATCAACCGAAGACAAACCTTCATACTAATTATTTTAAATGCATATTCTCATCACCAGGTAGCTGGATAATGCATTGATATTGTAAGGAGAAGTTACATCTTGATCTCTTTTAGAAGTTAGAGAGGTAACCACTTATCAAATCATTCACCAGTATAAATTCCAAGAATAAAATTCATGAACCAAATATTTTGTATCATTCAATCAAAACAATTTTAATCTTACCCAAGCTTCTTATGTCTGTGGTAAATCTTGCTCTCCAGCTCCTCAGTCTAAAAAGAAACCAAAAAGAAGGCATAACTTGTGAGAATTCACTCTTGGTGTTGTATATCCTAATATGCAAAGAGGTCAACACAAGAAACAGCAGTTTTTTGGTAAGTATCAGTACTTACCTGATTAGGGAGAAATCTAAACTCTGATACATAGCCTATGGTGTGTTCTATGGGGTCATACTCTCCAAGTTCAGCTACAGGAAAGAAGAAATAGCTTACATTTATACCCTACCAAAAATTAAAAGAAAAAATTATACTTAATCTACTACATGTACTGTTGATTTAAGGTACTCACACTGAAGACTGTACGCTGACACTTCAGCAAGAATGTTTGTTGAACATGGCAACCTAAAGAGACAACAAAACCAACAATGCAAGAGAATTGAACATCATATCAGGATCTTGCAGAGAAGTTCACTGTGATCTCTAATTTTACATCATCTCAAACTCTAGGCCTGACTTGAATAACATGTCTATCTGTGCAGAACCAATGGGTACGCAAGGGAGAAAGAGGACGCAAAACAAGGAGACACCTGACATATCATGTTTCAAAAATGGAAGAGTCTTAGGAAAACAATTTAAAACCGATTATGAAAATTCTTTTGCCCTTCACTTCATTCTCAGAGTGCAATGCTATAAAAGTATAGTCCAGATATCCAAACCTATGGGATCTTTCAAGCTAATCAATTCTTGGGTCCCATGAATGTTCAAGATAAGGAACTCTGCTACACATTATTATCATCAGAACATACATCAAACTGAGAAAAACATTTGTAAGAAGTGGCCTACATGTTGTGTTGTAATTTTCATACCTTCCCTGGTAGATGTCTTTCCTGACTTGCAGGAAGAACAAGTACCTGAAAATTGTAAAGAAAATGAAAAAAAATATTATCAAGCTTTTAAGTAACTATGTTGTAAGAAACTTGTGACCAGTACATCTAGCTCCTTCAACTTATTGCAGTAAATTTTGAAATTAGTCTAGTGGGGTGATACACCTGATGTTGAAACTCTGTGATTAACCTCCCTTACCCTGATCAGCTTTAGATGAGAGTGGAGGAGATTTCTAAGAGACTGGAAGAGCCAAGAAGTGCATCCAGTAGAGAAGTATATAATTTATGAATCATAAAAACCCCATGAATGATATCTGTCCAGGCATCGTCATACTGCTAGTCAGTGAAATACCTATGTTTTTTCTTACCAACATGAAAGCTTGAATCTAGACATGTTATAAAAACTGTAACAAGGAATTAACTAGTAAAACCAGAACTAACCGGGTCAGTTCTTCATGAAGTCTACAAGGATCAGCTGCATAGAACTTGACACAAAAATACAGCAAATAAGGAGGACCAGCTGAACAAAAAAACACACACAAAATTAGAGTATGATACGTATTACACCATGAACAGCATGATGCCAACAGGATTGATTTTTTTTTCCTGTGGGGTAGCAAACAAAAATAATACCAAAAATAACAATACTAGATTTAGAAAATTATAATAACAATGTATCATTACTTTAAGATTGTTATCAATACCATTATAGTTATTACAATAATCATTATTATTATCATTATTATTATTATTATTATTATAATAATTGTGGAAAGCAGCAAGTTAGAGTATTTTCTTATCTGAAAAACTGAAATTAAGGCAGAGAAACATACATAATGGCTGCTTAATTTTTCAATCTCTGATGTATAACAAACACCCTGAACAGGCACATTCTCAGTACATATACATGATACTTTACACTTACCTGTTAACTGTTTTACCACTGGTTTCAAAGGATCTAACCATCTCTGAGATAAGTTTGAAATAAAAACAAAACAACTTTTATCAATTTTTCACCATGTTTTTGACCATCTCATAGAAATTGTTTTTTAATGGTCAATTTTAGCAGTACTCTACTCTAGCAAGAGGAGGAAGGACAACAGCCCTTTACATAATAGCTTTAAAAATGAGGAGAGCAGCCAAAAGTTGAGAGTTCTTTTCTGTGGCTCTTATTATAGATCCATGGCTGAAAAAGTTCATTCCAACAAAGAAAGAACATACCGACTGGCTGTCCCGGTCAATATAGCGCAGTCCAAAATAGTCTTTTTCCAGTACATTGAGATGTACAAAGACCTTTTCTAAGACTTCCTCTCCTTTAGTCTTTTTCTGAAAAAAAAAAAAGAGTTTAGTTAACACATTTTGATAAAAAAACTTTTTCTTTCAGAACTGAAATATAATCAATTAAAACAAGGGCTCAATTGCATCCTTTAATTTTATAGTAACCAAAAGATAATATTATCCTAAGTGGCTTCCTCTATCCAAACTGGAATTCCCAAGTTGCAGAACGAGGCAAGACATATGTAGGATACTACTCCTGACACTTATCACCCAAAGATATTACTTCAAGTTGACGTGACCAAACTCCCTGAGCAGACAGAGAAAGGTGAGAAAGGGTCAAGACCCTCTTAACCCTTTAACTCCCAAGATCTCATCAGTAATTCTCCTTACTGTCTTCCATACAGTTCTTTAGATGTTAGTTTGGAGAATTTGGTATTGGATAAACTCATAATCCCCTAATTCATATTTTTCTTTGTTCTCATCACTTGTCTACTTGATATTGTAAGGAGAAATTCTGTCTTGGTTACTCGTGGGAGCTAAAAGTTAACCCTTTAACCCCTACGAATGACTAGTATCTAATTTCTCCTTACAATATCACCCCTGAACCACACATTAAGGCCACAAGAATAAAAGAAATGATCACCAACTAAAGAAGCTTTTGATTGTTCAACAAATTCTCCTTGTCCATACCATAGGCAATGTATAGAAAAAGGGACGGAAAATATGCCAACTGATGTTAAGGTATAAAGGGTTATGCCTTGGGACCCACATGCAGGTAACTCTGCATTTTTTCAGGTTTTCTTAACAGTTCACTAGTGCCCATTTACATTCCTGTGTGAGGAAAATTCAGCAAAAGTAATGTGTCTTGTGCAAACCTCTTAGGCTAGAGGCACGACTGCTAACCACTGCACCACACCACTTCTCCCTGGCAGGAAGGCCCAAATACTAAATTATTAAATTTGATTAAAAATATTGAATATGAAACTCATTGATAGTAGCAGGATGCAGTAAAACCTTACCACACTCATACTCCACAACCCTCCCTCCACCACAGAACATGGATTCCAAATTGTCTGGTCCAGATTAGGACCATTTATACAGTCAGCTTATGCATAACTCAAACTGGAACACTTATATGGGCACCACTTAGTAAGCTGCCAAGGGCTTGTATAAATGGTTCACATATCATGTCTCATGGAGTTGTGCAAGTAGCCATAAAGGTGGCAAAAACGTACAAGCACAATACAGGTGTGGGAAAAAAATTATGTTTGCTCAGTGTAAGTTTGCATCTTACATAAGCCACAAACAAGCTTGGACGCCACTTTATTCAATGTTTTGCATCTTATTTGAGCTGCCATTAATATAGGAAATGCTCAGTAACCTTGTCTTACATAAGCTGTGGCTTGTAAAAGTGAAAAAAAAAAGTGTCCTATGTTAGCCACAGATTATTTTCCTTGTGTGTATGTGATATTACAGTCATGGCTATTTACATTAAGAAATTACAGCAAAGAATAAAAATTTCTTATAAGAGAAAATGATCTTGTGAAGATCTAAACGTATCTTATTATGTGTATTTATAACTACATAACCATATATTTAATCAAGAGAGAACAAAATAAGCATGTAGCTGAAACTTTTTTCTCGGTGCTGCAGCAGGTACATTGAGTTTTTACAAACTCTTGAAAACCGAAATGTCTAATTTACTTCGTAAATTTTCTGGCCGGGAACAAAACCGCTGCAATTAACCACGCAAAAAAAAATACTAAACAGTCGATTTTCAAATACAAAGCGAACAATCGTAAATTATTCAAACCATTTAGGGATCACTCGGTGATAATTAGCGTGATGCTGAATTTTTTATTTTCAGTCCACTTGATCTCACCGCTTGTTTGATTTATTCATGAATTTTAAATAATCGACGCAGGAAAAAAAAATTATCAACAGGTCAACGAATTATAGTTGATCGCAGTTAGAAAGAAGTTTACGAGCCAAAGAACCGGTCGATCTCGATGTCTGAGATATTATATCTGAGAATAAAATTGATGCAGCAATATCAAAGTGTTGTTTAAAAGCGAATGGAAGGCCTGATATCTTTAAGTATCTTTTTGAAACGACAAGAAGTAGGCTTATTTATTGGTAAACGAGGAGAGTTTAATTAATTATTCTCGAGAATGTTGCTCCACCAAAGCTGAACTTATAGCTTCGGGTAAAATGGTGACGATAATAACAGATGCGAAGCTAAAGCATTCACTGAAACAAATAAAGCAACCACTTTTGCTGTAATTAGGATGTTCCCTAAGGGACACAAATCTTTTTTATCACATCTGATCTTATCGAACGAGCAGCGAAATGAAATCTTTTAGTTCTAAACTTACAATAACGCACGAGATGAGATAAAGCGAACAGAATTCGAACAGCGTGAAAGGATTAACAGGACTCAGTAGAAACCCTTGATGATGTCAAAGTTAAGTATTTTGTATATCGCAAGCTCTTACAATAAATTCATTCGAGTAAACATTTGTAAAAATCATTCCCACATGCTGACAAGAATACATGCCTAAGTAACTCTCTGATCATCTATTTTCCGAGTACAGCTTGATTCAAACTTTTCACCCCCGTAATTAAGGCAGAGTGTTCTCCAAGAGACCTTTTGCGTGTAGGCTAATCCAACTCCTGAACCAGGTAATTGCACGCAAAACCAATGGTATATTCGATTGAAGCTTCGATAAACCGCAAACCCGTTGCACTTTCTCCAGAGAATTGCGCTTTTAAAGATAACGCGTGTACAATAAAGTAAACAGCATCTAGTCAAAACAATTTAGAATCTCCTCCAGTGTTCTACCACAACAAGTTTTTATACTCACTTGAATTTCGACCGGGTGCTCACTCTCATCCAAAAGAAGAACATGGCAAAACCATTCGGCATTGCCTCCAAGGCAAGACATATTCCAATGCACTTAACCTTCACCTCATCACCTACAAATGGGTCCCTTAACTGCTGCAGTGTTTATGATGTCATGTCCGTTCACACACATTAACAGCGCATTTCAAGTACCAAGTAAAGAACTTCTCTGTTACTAATCATGCAGCTTTCGAGTGAAGCTCTCAAAAACGCTAACCTTCATAATATAACCCTGACACCTCCTTATATGGAAAATGGATTAACGCAACTTCCGTTACCAACACAAAGGCTGGAGAAGAGCAATCAAAAGATAAAAACGATACCCTTTGATAGAGTCGATTTGCTGCATTCTAAAACATAGATATTTCTCCTATTATTCATTTATTTCAAATTCCGAGGGATACTTAGAATGATAATCTTTTGAGATTTGCATTTTTACTATCATCCTGAAACGATCAGTGTACAAAACAGGAAGTGGGTTTCGCAGCAGCCACAAACTCCGCATTCCAAGCCGGTAGACGATTCACAGCGAGTGAATATCACACGTTTTAAAGCACTTTTTCGGGAAAAGGCTGTGCACCGGACGAAGAGCTATAACTGAAAACCACACAATTAATATTGAGGTGTTTTTTGTCTTTGCAAAGCTTCCAAGAGTTATTGGAGAAGTAAGATGTGTGGGCGCACGTGAAAACGAGACATTTTACATCTTTTGTTCTCGTTTTACATGACGGATATTAGCCGTTTCCTAAAATAGTGGGCGTAGATCCCACACACACAGACAGATGCACAGATAATTAACTGCATGCCATAGACTTACTAGGACAAACAGCAGAGTTTAGCTGAATTTAATTACCCACAAAGATACTCGATAGCTTGCAGGTGTTAACCAGATTTCATCTGAGTAAAATGAAGGAAAGAACAATTTCTTGGAGCCATTTTCTACAAAGTAGGTTTTCAGAATTTTTTCCCCATAGCATCTTTTTTAAAGTTCAATGCGTATGGTATAGAGTGATTTAATAATTCATTATTTCAAGTGAAATTTTAAAACTGAACAATGGTTGCAAGCAAATGATAATTATACAATTGAGGAGGACGATATCGATGGAGAACTTGCCAATAAAATGAGGAGAAGATTAGTAATCTAAAATGGAACTAGGAGGGAGAAATGAAAGATTTAGGGACCGATTACTATTTATCGCCTGCGGCAGGTTGTGGAGTTTCGCTGTGACAATAAAATTTACCCAATCCTCCCTACTGCTCTGTAGTCTTCGTTGATTAATGAACCCCCTCATTGGCAGTCAATTTCTATAGTCCCCCCCCCCCGTATACTATGCTACCGACTAATGACCCCTCCTCCGTTTTCCCCCGAAAACCATGTAATCCCCCCACAGGCGATGAAAAGTGACTGGTCGTTATTCATCTAGAGAGGGGAAGAAAAATTAATTCAACTCAACATGATTTTATGCATAGTAGAACCCCGCAAACATGAAATCCCAAGGAAAACAAAAAAATAATTCGAGTTACCGGGGGGATTCGAGTTAACTGTTGTCGAGTAAGCGGGGTTCTACTGTGTTATAAAAGCCTTGTTTGGAGGTAATCCATTGTTCTTGAAATAAGTTACCGCGGTACTGAGGAGGCGCCTGACGCCCGTCAACTCAGTTCACACAACTAAAGGTATCACAATTGTAAAATACCATTTCGGGAAGCAGTCAGATTTTTGACACTATTTCACAAAACTGTGTTGTTTCGATCTTGCCCCTCAATTCACAAGACGGAGAATAGTGATAACTACTAAAGACACCTTTAAATACCAGAGTCACTCCAATTTGGCTCTTTCTTATCAAGAAGTCATGTTTGAGAAAACTTCAATGTATTTCTGATTTTGTTTGTGTCCTTTTTTTTCAGATCAAAAGGCTGAAGAGATCGCAGAAGAAACCTTTCTTTCTTTCAAAAAGCTGACGCAAAATTATTGAGCTAGCCTAACATGCAAAGTGACTCATGAGAGATTTTTCAGCCGAGTTCTGTCGCCTAAAATCCGGATGGCAATCTCCCTTAATTACGTGTCCACATTGCATAGAAAGTTTGACAAGACCATGTGGCCAGCATGACAAACATGTTTCGTTCAAGGGTCAGACAAATTGCGCCAAGAAATTTGAGCAACACGCTGTTAAGCTTCACCCCTGAAAATATGGCATTATGCTCATTAGTTACGCTCAAAGTTTTCATTTGGCTCGATTTAATTAATTTGAGATGACAGCTTTTATGAGCCCCTCAAGCTCTCTCTTCCCTGAAACTTATTAAGAATGAAGGCTCACCGAAGTTCAGAATACAACATTTTACTGGATCAAATTCGTAAAAAGCAAGCAAGGAAATCATGCCCTCTGTTTACAGAATTGTCTCTTGTTGAACTGTAACATCATGGGAATTTTTAAAATTCAGTCATTATGCCGGCACTATGCCCTGACTATAGCATTATGCTGGCATATCTGACCCTATTCCGTTCCGACGATGTTTCGAATGGCATCTCACGCCAGTGGATTTACTTTCCTCTTGATTTTAGACAGCGCTATCACTGTCGTGCAGAGACGAAACATACTTCCGTCGGGCTAGCCACAAAATTCAATACATACTGGACAATCTTCAATACCTTCTGAAGATAACGTTAGCTCGGTAGCCGAAGTAAACAACATCTAGATAAAGCACTGTAGTATTTCTTCTAGTGTTCTACTCAACAAGTTTTTTGTACTCACTCGAATTTCGAATGGGAGTTCGCTTTCATCCAGAAAAAGTACATGGCAAAACCACACAGCATAGCCAAAGCTAACGCCAAATTGTGAAAACTTTGATCCAATTGAAAAGTTGCTTGTGGTGTCTTTAACCTCCATTAAGACTCGCGATAGGCTTTCGAGTGGTATGTTAATAGACTGCCGAAAGCTTAGTACCAATACAAAGAAATGCCACATTAGAGTCGCTTTCTTTTTTCTCTATGTTAGACTCTAAATTCCAGAAATATAATATTGGTATTAGAAAAAAATTGGGATAGAAAAGGACAGATTTTTTGGCGCGAGTCTACTGAAATTCCCTCAGTATAAACTGTGGCGAAATAAGGATCTTCTTCAATTAATTGAATACACTTTCTTGCACCATCAAACCGCAATGTTGAGCGCATAATGAGATTAAGAGGAACGTGCAACATCAAAATTAATTCAATTTATTGCTAATTGATAGGAATTTGTTTTATTCTAATACCTCAAATAACCTAGATACAATAAATGTTTATGTCTGTGACAAAAACAAATAGAGCTTTGAAAAAACTATCCAATATCTTCTTGACGCCGGCTTGAGTCAGCAAACTGAATTCACAGCAAAATTTTTTATCTACAATAATCTCTAAAAAGTACTATTTAAAGGTTGCAGAATTTACAATGTTCAAAGCAATAAAATGTATTAATTAAGATTTAAATATGGTTGGACTATATCTGAAACAATTTCGCTTATAGCTTTGTTTATTATTACATAATGAACTATTTCAGAAAGTACTTTTCACCATGATATTGTTAATTTGTCCGAAATACTGAAAAACATAGCCTTTATTTTAAATATCGTCTGAAGAGATCCAAACTAAAATGGCTTAACGCTGTGCGTTTTCCAACCCTTTAACTCCCAGAGGTGATTGACATGTAAATTCTACCTTTCATATTACTGCAATCTCCAGGAAACAGGTGATGAGAATACTCAAACTTATCCGGTAGAAGTTGTTATCTTAATCTAACACCAAATTCTTATCACTGATTTACATAGAAATGTGTAGCAGCTAGAGGGGAGAATTGACAACCCATGAGATCTTGGGAGTTAAAGGGTTAAATGGATATTGCAACAAACGTCGATGCTGCTGAATGGCGGTGCGTCAATGTTGATGCCAATTTTTCAACTTTGTGAATTGAAATCCTCTTGAATCTTCTCCATCGTTCAACATTTACATAAGTTTTCGGCTCATTCTCGTCCCTTAGTAGTTCGTCTACAGCAGTAAAATATCTTTTCAAGGTTCATTTTAATTGAGGATCTAATCTCTAGAACGCAGAAGAAACTCAGTGTATCATAATCCCTTTAAGAGATCATTTTCCCAAAGTACGCTTAATTTTGCTAATTAAATAATATTTCTTTATCACAACCGAGCTCAGACTTAAGTTATCTTTCTTAACGATTATTTTCTATTAACTCACGTGGAGCTTTCGACACTGTTGATCAGCAAAGTATCTTATAGTGTGTATCAGAACGCGTATAACATATGAACTTAGCAATGGCTCAGTAGTGGAGCATCGCGGTCCGGAATCTGAACGTCTGACGTTCGATTCCTCGCGGGAACTCAATTTTTTTTCTTGATTCCACGCTCATGACATGACGAAAAAAAAACATATTTCTCTAAATATATCAAGTAGACAAATATATTCGTTATACAAATATACTCCGTTATGAACTTATATCAGAGCACGAAGCGGTTGAAATGGTACTGACATAGCATGGCATGGCATGGCCGGTGACATGTTCTGAACATTACGTCATACACAAAAAAAAGTTCTTAACTAAGTAATGAATGTTCTTTCGTTCAGATCCTAATTCTACACAGATCGCCAATAGAGCTGAAACAAGAGGAGTAACACTCTGTTAAGAAAACAATTTTGGAAACATTAGGTTACTCTCGTGAATCTCAAATGCGGTTCAAGTCCTAATTTCATGTCTACTTTTTAATTTCGAAGGCAAAAATTATGTATATTATTTCAGGAGCCTACTTCCCCTTGAACTCGTGGGAGACCAGAGTGATGTCTTCGATCTTTCGATTTGTCACCAACGTGTTACCAGCTTAGCATAGAGAGGTTTTTCTTCCATTGTGTAACTAATCGACTTTAGCTGTCTTTCTCCGTTGACTGTATATATACAAGTCAGTTTAAAGACTAACGGTCCCTGGAAAAAAAGGGTAAAAATAAGTATAAATTAACTCAAGGCTGAAATTCCAAAACCATTGTCCAGCAACTCTTGTCGTCCAGTTACTCGCCCTATCGTAACTGGTGCTTCATACTGTCTAAGGCCGTGTTCTGTGTTCGTGTTAGGAAAGACAAACCAGTAAAATTTAGGACCCAAATTCGCTAAAGAATCAGTGAATGCACTCCTGTACCCTACTGGGATAATAATACAAGATATAAAAATGAAGAATTTGTGTAGATGCCGGGGAAAGGACCTCTCTGGTGCTACGTTATTCTAACCACCCTCTACCCCCCCAAGCTGGTAGGCTCATTTACTCCACAGCTTCTTCATCTTGAGGGGAGGAGCTGTGACACGTAAAGATCAGTTAAATTTCGCGCCCAAGAACACAAAAATACTACCTGCCGCATATTTATCATGGAAATTTACGCCAGTATAAAGGAAAAGACGACTAGACATTAACCCTTCAACCCCCAAGACTGATTGGCGAATAATTTCCTGTCACAGTATAACCCTTGAATTAAATGTAAAGGTCGTGAGATTAAAGGGAATGATCACCAATTTAAGGGGCTCCTGATTTTAAAACAAATTCTCTTTGCCAGTACCATAGGAAATGTAGGTAGAACAGTGAGGAGAATATGAACACCAAAGTCAGGGTGTAAAGGGTTCACCTTCCCAATTGAACTGAATAGTTGCTCTTATAAAAATTTCCGTTTCTTTTCTAAGAGTTCTTTACCGTAAGCCGTTGAAGGTCTTTGACTTTTAACGTCGCTTCTGATGGCCGGCATTTTTTTCCCAACATGTCACCTCGCGCGACACAGCATCCACTCACAACCTGAAGATGACAACAAATTTTACATAAGATATTGAGTACAGCGGTTTCACTAACCAGACAATATTCCAAATCGAATAAGTGAGCTTCAAACTTTTCAAACTTGTTGCTAAGTTACTATGACATACGTGGTGGTAACGTCATGCCCACGTGACAATCTGAGCTAATTATGATCAAAAGAAGGATGAGGTAATGCGTCGTTCGGAAAGTTTAAGGTTCAAATCTTTACGTAGTATTTCCAAATCTTTCTTCCTCATACGCCCATAGCAGTTTTTCTTGAGAGAAATTTTCCATTAAATGTTGAAATGAGAGATTACTTAGCTTTCTTCTCTCCAATACTCCTTGATTGGTGAAGAATAATTCCGTCAACCTCTGATCCACTCACATTCAAAACGAGAACTAATCACGTTACGCACGTTTTCCCGCGCTCTCAGTAGTTAGCTTTAGTGTTTTCATTCGAGTTCTCATTGACTTTTTGTAACAATTTCCTTAGTTTTGGTTAATTATCTTTATCACTACGGGTTTGGCTGTATGACATTCGATCTAAAAGCGCTATGATAACTTATAAGCCATCTCACTTACATTCGACATCTCAAACGTGACATTTAAGTTCAAGCTGTCCTCTCCCAGCGCTCGTGCATTCACTATCAAGACATTTGACACTTCTGCGTTAAAAATCAACTCAACCCTCACTTTATCATCTTGATAGACGGTAACTGGATCATTTGGAATTTCTAACAAAAGAGCAAGACAATAAATAAATAATAGTGCCTCACGTGAGAATCTCGTAACTGTGTTTAGCTAGGCGTTGTTAATAGGGGGTTTAAATCCATGTTTGTTTCAGAACATGTGTGACCACAGACGCCTGGAAGTCACGTGACCAGACTCCAGCGGTCACGTTCGCCGTTTACCGTCCACTTTTGAACTTCGGGGAAGGCAATATTTTAGCCACATTTTGTGTTTGAAATGAAGGCCCTCAGACGCGGATCTAAAACTCTCTAATAACTACTGGTCTAACTCCGTGCAGGCAGGGATTTGTTATGCCTTAAATATAATTTATAACATTTGTTTCCCTGTTTGTTGGTAAAGCCCAGCATGGAATGATCAGCTAAACTTTTTTCTTTCTTTTTTTCTTGGCATTGGTTTAGTTTGCATGATACTCTATTAGGAAGAGCGCCTGGGTTTCAAAAAGAATTAAAAAGAGATTCCACCAGTCCAGAGGTAAAGTTATTTCTAGATGCGTGTCAAGGACAATTTGGAAAAGCAGTTTGTTCCAAATTGCTTCGGTCGGTGATTTATCCATAATAATTGGCATGATCCACTCAGCTTCGCCTCCATCTGTGATTGGTCCAGAAAACTCACGCCACTTTCTCAACAATCAGATGCAAAACTAAAACCAGTCACGACTTAGTCGCCCGCGCGGGTTTTCCCGCGCTTTAGGCAGTTTGGTTATTTTTACTTTGAATTCTCATTGGCTCTTAAAGGCATCTTCCTTTCTTCTGATTGGCTGTTGTGATAAATTTGGCTTTGGTTTTACCACACTCAATCGGAAAGCGCTCTCAAGGGAGGCGAACGACGACTCAAGTACTTCAGACCATGTTTTCTCACTTACCATGAGCTGATTTCCACTTTGCAGTTGCTTCTTCAGCGGACGGATTCAATGAGATGTCCACAGGGGTCCAGAGACTCATAGGTTTGACTGAAGTGGTTATCCTGTTCACAATCTGTTTTTGATTTGTAAGATAGTCCACGAGGTTCTCTTCGTGTATACCTGACAAAATAGATAAGTGGAGAAAGGTTCCCTATAAATACAGAATTAACAAAGCGATTCGATAATTCGATGAAGGTCCTAAAAACTGTATACTAAAATGTCAGTTTGAGTTGCGAAGACAATCTGATCTGTTGAGAGAGAGGCACGAGTTTTCTGAACCAATTAAAGAGCGAAACGACGCAAACCAAGGCAATCGTTTCGTAAATCGCTCCTTTGCAGAAAATGGGTTGAAAAAATTCCGGCCTCGGTAGCTATTGAACCGCTTGCCTGCCAACGTGTAACTTCGTAGCAAAGGTTATAAAAGCGCCCAGCTGGTAATTACATAGCACAATTTCAAGCTACTTCAAAGCTTTAATATCTCAAACTTATTTTTGTAGAGCTCTTTGCATTATTTTCCTTTTTTGTGACAGCTGTCGTTGTGATTACGTAGGTTTTAAAATTATAGCACTATCTTAATGCGCTCGACATATCAGGTTTCAATTAAGTATCGACAGCAATTCTGTACTACTCTGACCTAGCTTTACTTCTCTTTGTGATTGGTCTAGAAAACTCGCGCCACCATCTCAACCAATCAAATGCAAAACTAAACCCAATCTCAACTTGGTCACTCGCGTTTTCCGCGCTTTAAACAGGTTGCCTGCTGTTACTGTGAGCTCTCATTGGTGAATGAATGATGATGTTAACCTTTGTTCTTATAGATAGTTATGTTTACTTCGGTTTTGGTTTTTCGACAGTCAATTGGAAATGGCCCTATTCTTGGAGTTAAGTAGTTCAATGCAACTCTTACCACGACTAACATGTAACAAAACTTCTTCGACGGATTTATTCCTGTGTTCATCTGAAATAGCTTTCAGGAGGTGCTTCGCGAAAAAGCCATTCTTCTCCTGCTCACATTCAAACACACTTGAACGCGGGCAACTGAAAACAGATCGACAAACTTAACACAAACTCGGCATTTGATGACCTCCTAGGTAAGTTATACAATAATTGTGGGATATCAGTTAGGACTTCCATGTACAAATGAACCAATAATTTCTTGCACAATTTAAAAGAAACTCCTTGACTAAGGTTATGAATATTTAACTGCTCCGACTAGCAAAGTAAATGGTCATGCAGCGCGCGTAAAAAAACGATGACGCCTTTGTTGTGAGAAAAAGAAACTGAGTCTACTACCAGTAATGCTTACAACAACAAAAACTTACTGTAGATGGTAGAAAAGAAGAGCAAATTGTTACGTTTTTTTAAGGTGTGAAAATAACTAAATATCAGCAAATACTAAAACTAAACAAATGAATAAAATAAGCAGAATATCCCTATCGATTGTTAGTAAACAAAACCTCTTGAGATTGCTAAAGAACAAGAGACGGAGACAAGTCACAGGAAGAAAGAAGGTCAGGGAAGCAGAGTCACGAATTGTGCCTATAATCGCGACAATTACGCATGTGCTATTTAGAGTTAATACCTGAATTTGCTTAAATCTCATAAGACTTTTGCTGGACTTTTGGCGCAGATCTGATCTATGATGATACGCTTTAACTTAAAAGACGAATTAGACAACCATCTGGAACAAAGAAAAAAGCGTGCTTACCAGCCAAATGCTACTACCACATTTGGTTCTTTTATATCTTGTAAATCCCCACTAAGTAATGGACTGTTCTGCGCCACGTAATCCGGTCTAGAAAATCAAAGTTAATGAAAACAAACAGAAGTTTGAACACTGAATCCTCTTTACACAAAACCGTTTACTGAGCTCGATGAAACCTCCAACACGAACACGAATTGCTAGTAAATCGCAAGTACTGGGAGGTAACGCTCTCCGCAAAACTCTAAAATTGTGGAGTCTTAGCGTCTCTCCTACGAACTTCAACCAATGCTGCCCTTTCTCAACTTTCTCTGTTTCTTACTCTCTTTCTCAACTTACTCTGTTCTGCAGCAGTCCAGCAACACAAGCTTTAACTTTGCCTTAGTTTCTTGCATGGCCTTAAGTACTTCAGCTGAAGCCATGTTCTCTTGCCAATGATATAAAGGCGTGGCATCGACTGGCATTAGATAGCTTAATCCACCGCGTTCAAAACCATGGCCAGCAAAGTAGAACACAGCATAGGTATCTTCGACAAGAAGCATGCAGAACTGTGCAAGAGCTTCTCTCATCTCCTTCAGTGTTAGGTTTACTAATGAAACCACCTGTAAATAGTGAAATGATATTTGGCTAAGGCAGCAGTCTTTTACAAAGAAGTCAATAACTCTTTTATAGAACTCACAGGGTTCAAAGTATACCATTAGCTCAGAAACAGCAAGCATAAAGGAGGGAATTCTCTAGCTAGGCAATAGACAACACATTTACTAGCATAATAACCCACTTGGAATGTTGGGAGAACACTCAAAAAGTTTGTAAACCATACACTTCTAGCTCATGATTTCCCAAGTGGGTCACTACGCTGTTAAATTGATATAAAGTGTGGCCTATTGCTTTCATAGCAATATATATATATAACTATGGGTTTACTTGTGCAATAAATGATAGGTTTTGACAAATCAGGACACTCATACATGTAGTATCTAGGTTATTTCATGAATAAGAAAATTCAGGAATGCCCCACCCTTAAAAGCAAAAGATTTCTCAGTCACAATTTCAAGATCAGAGTGGTTTTGTTACTTACTTTAAAACCCATATTGATAAGTCTGCCTGTAAAGTCAAAAACATCATTGATTGGATGAAAAAGCTTTCCGAGTTGTTGATGGCAGTAATCTTTATTTCCAATTAACAGGGCAACTTTATTTGCGACTAGAAAGAAAAGAAAAGAACATAACATGAAAAATATAACAACAATAACAACACTGACAGAACTAAAAAATAAATGCCATCAACAAAAAGATATCCACTCTAATAAAAGCCTTAAGATTACCTGACCAACCAGCCTTTGCATGAAACAAAATATTTCTTTAACCAGACAGCTATTTATTAGACACTATCCCTGGGAAAAGACTACATCTATTGGGAGAGATTTCCATCCAGTGAACACTTCCCTTAAATAGTCATTTCCCAAGGACAGAAACTTCCCAAGACACTTAACTGTTTCACTCCCAAGATCTCATTTCAGTGATTTTCCTAATTGTCTGCTTCACAAATCTTATCATGTTATTTTGGATAATATGGTATTGGATAAACTAATTCCTCTAATTGATATTTTTTCATTACTTTCATCACTTATCTGTTTGCTATTGTATTGAAATTGTAAGGATAAATTCTGTCTTGGTCACTCATGGAAGAAACACTTTGTTTGTTGTTGTTTTGGAATACTTGGAACTCTCTTTTAAATCATTTAACAATTAAGAACAAATCATGTTATCACCTCGATCACGTGGACCACGTGTATAGGAATCTCTGGCTGTAAGAAAAACCATTGAAAGTTACATCATAAATAAACAAAAGGTTGACAAACAGTTCTACTATGACAGGGTGAGAGAATCTGCAATATACAACTTAATACCCTGTCACAGAGTTGCACTAAAGTGCAGATTGCTGGCAAACTTTATAGGTTTCCACTGCTGAGTTTTGCAGGGTGCTTCTGCCAAAAACTCAAGACATGGCCACAAAAATGAAGTAGATCTCCTGCAAAACTCCATACCAAGTACTACCTATTTGGAAAAATCCTTCCCCTTTGAAAATTAAATAAATCCATGAATTCAATCATTTAAATTTAACCAATTATCTCTATTTTACCTGGGGTAAGATTGTCAATATTAACTTGAAAACTTTCAATAGTCACTTTAAAATTGTGTGAATGCATTTCCCCAGCAGTGTTGTACACTTTACAATAATAAAATCCATGATCTTCTGCAGAAACATTGTTTTTTATCAACCATCTGTGTGTTGCTTCCGGGATGGGAGAATCATCATGAAACCACTGATAGCTTGGAGCTGGTCTGCCAACACCATCACAGTATAAGCTTAGCCGTGAACCCAGAAGTATGTGAACATCAGGGTCTGATTGAGAAGTAATGATTGGCAAATCTGAAACAAAGAGGTTCTCCTTAGTTCCAGTAAGTTCTGTTAATTTTCAGCTCTTTACACCCTAACACATTATGCATATTCTCCATACTGTTCTCTATATGTAACCTAGGTTTTAACAAGGAGAATTTGTAAAACCATCAAGAGCTATGTTAGTTGCTGATCATTTCCTTTATTCTTGTGACTTAAACATTTGATTCAGGGGTGATATTGTAAGGCGAAATTAGAACCTTGTCACTCTTTCCAAGTAAATTATGAATAAAAAGAGTTGTAAACACTGTCTCCTAATGGACAGTGCACTGAACTCCAAGGGGCCATCAACTAAATTTAATATTGAAATTGACAATTACAGCTAAGAAAAAAAGTGAAATATTTTCTCTTGCCATGATGACTTGAAGATGTGATTTTGCTGTTTTTGTACAACACCACTGCCACAAATACAGCTTAAAGAGTATGAGGTTTGTCATTCTGAATGATCACCATTTAATTTACAACTGATACCATTAGCACAGGGTGTTTTGACACAACTTAAAAACTTAGGTGCCCATAGAGAAAGCCACAAATACTGAGGGAACTGCAGGGCAGTCACAGAACTCATTGACATGGTCGGCAAAGTTAGGTTATAAGACAGACAGCCCATACTGTCCTTGCTTATCCTAGCCTTAGTAGCAGGAAGCAACTGAATGTCTTGCTTCTTCCTCCCTGGATAGGATAATGTTACATCCTAAGGTTACTAATCACCATTTTTTTTAGAGGACAGTACCTTGTTCAATAACACAATATTGTTACCTCAGACCAAAAATTGAACACCAGCTTTTCAACACAAAATTCAGTGCACTAATCACAAAGTAAGTACACTGTAGGTGGATCAATGTCAGTGCTGAAGCAACTATGCACCTACCCCCCTTAACCAAAATTAAACCCTAATTTGTTATCAGTTGATTGCTGTTGGATCAGGGGAGGGGTAGGTGCACAGCTACTCAGATGCTGACAATGATCACTATACATCTCTGTGACTTCTTGATCAATAGAGAACTTTCATCAACAACCCATAGTATGACTCACTTACCAAAGGGTGAAGAGCTGTGAGCATCACTGTCTTCATCAATTATCAATTTGGCCCAGCTGGTGAAAATACAACCATGACAATTTGCGATGCGGCATGTATAATATCCTCCGTCACTTTCACTGACACTCTTGAGCTCTAGCTTATTTCCTGTTTCCCCTTGAAGAAGTTCTCTTTTTTTAAACCATTGAAATTGAAGTGGTTTGTGTCCTAATGCTTCACAGTGTATGTAAACATTCTGTCCTGGAATTCCTCGTATTTCTTTTTTAACATCTTGAGTTATAGTTGGAGAAAATGCTAAATGATTGATGTAAAATCAAAAGAAAATTATCCACTAGAGAACCCAAGTTATTTGTTTGCAGTTATAATTATGGATACCAATTGTTGGTGATTTTTTTTGTTGTTGCACTCTCTATTTGTGCATGCACATCCATGCTTACCCAACTGCACCTTGGTTAACTCAAATAGGAGACTGCCACAATGTCACCTAGGAGATGGGGGATATGAGCTCCACAATAAGTTGCTTTGTTAGCTCAACTGGGAGACTGCCACAATGTGATGTGAGAGGTGTAGGGTATGAGTCTCACTGGATTACCATTATAATAAGTCTTTCAGCTTAAGGGGAATGAAGGTCAATAAGTATTCTCCTCTATTCAGATGTCTCTAGCAACTTTGTTAAAGCTGTTACAAATAGTTATCATACAACAGACACAACAATGCAATGTAAGTGACAAAAATATCCATAATTGTGAAAGCCAGTCTAGATCTCACGATTACTTTGGCCACAAGCAGATATCAGGTAACGAAGAGATTAAAAGAGCATTTTTTAGGTATTAAAGGTAACATTAACGATATTTCATTCTGCTTGAAATTAGCATGTTACTTTATGAAAAACTTGCAAACTTACTTAGTAAACTAATTACTTTCTGTAAGCCTGGTGACCCTTCACTCATGGAACTGATCCAGCTTTTGAAGACTTTCACAGTTATTTGTGACTGTCCCAAGTCTTGCAATAGTTTAAGAGTTGGGCTTCCTCCTGGTGACAAAGTTGCCATTCCAATTGCATAAACTTGACATGGATCCTTATATGATGGTATCTTGTGCCTTATAACCTCATGGACAAGTGATTTCCAGTTGGGCTGTTCAGATGCGTCCAGTATTGCTGCTATCTGCTTTTTTATATCATCAGGCAAGTCTGTAATGCACCTTGAATCCATTGAAAGGCAGTGTTGTTGGTTAATCTATCTATGCTTTGTAGGCTTGATGATCTGTCAGATTGAAAGGAAAAATGTAAATTTTCATGCCCTTACTCATTGGCCATGGCAGGGTGGAGGAGGGTTCCCACCAAAGAAAAGGAAAGAATAACCTCCCCCCTTCCGCACCAACCCAAAAGTATGCTGTGATTTTGGCATATCAAAGGCATAGCTTTACCCTTTCTCTACATCAATCTCATTAGTATGCATCAATCAATTTGAAGCTTCAACATCCCCCCTACTGGATAACCCTCGGGCATTTAAACTTTCAAAGATTGGTTTGTTCAAATTCCCACACCCTTCCACAAGAGAAAATTGTGTTCAAAGCTCCACTGAAGTACCACATTTGACTGTCAAATTCTTTTTTGTGAAAGGCACGATAAGCAACAGTGACTTTCTTGTAAACCTTCCTTTCTAAGCCATTTGCTTGCCAAGCACCTCCATATTGAAGGATCAAATTTCCCCCCCCCCCTTCCACCTCCACTGCAGGCATGGACAACAGTCCAATGCCAGTGGGTTGCAGGTGGGAGGGGAGAGGGGGGATGTTGATAAGCTTTACACAAATTGATTAGTGCATAATACTCTCACTATTTGCCACGCAATACCTATGATACCTATGATGCAAGTTTGGAGAATTTAGTATGGATCAACTTTTATTACCTTCAGCTGTCTGCTTGCTATTGTATTGATATTCTAAGACAAAATTCTGTCTTGGGTACTCATAGGAGTTTAAGGATTGAGAGAGCTCTTAAGGTACATTTATGTGATACTAATGACTTTGCTCACAGTCTTATTTAAACAATTCCGTCACAGTTTGCTAGACATGGCTACCTAGGATCAACATACTACAATTTCTCAACTCTTTTTTGCCCAAAAGTGATCAACTTATAACTTCTCCTTGCAGTTTCAATATATTATCTCACAAACAGGTTATGAGAAGACACAACCTTATCAACTACAAGATGTAATGCTGTTTTAAAATTAAATTCCCCTGTCTAATTTACAAAGAATTGTATGGCAGTATGTAGGGAGAAATGCTAATTGGATCATGGGACTTAAAGGGTTAAACAGGGTCAGGGTTTTAATGCCTTGGAAGTGAACCCCATTTATAACTTCCCTTTGAAACCCTTTCCCAGGCATCTCATCGATAGGGTAAATTTTCAAATTCTCCTTCCCTCTTCCCCTAGGTGACTTTGTAATCACAACAATAAGGGACCTTCTGAGTGAGCTTATTCTAAAACGCTGTCTTACACTTAGTAATTATCTCTAACAATTGTTCCCAAAATATCCGCAAAAATCATTCATTCATAAAATACTGAGTCACGAACCTCTAGAGTGATCATCTTATTGTCTGAAACGCGGCATCAAAATACCCTAAGCTACTTTTATACGTCTACTATGTCAATACACAATACGGTTTATTACACAACACATAGTCTGACAATCACATCTGAGGCTGTAAACAACTTAACTTTCCACTTGAAATTTTTCTCACCTTCTAGCAGGAAAATTGCTTCATAAGGTATTTAGAAATCATAAACGTGACCTAACCAACAATCTCGCGTCCAACTCTTGTTTCATAGATGATAGTATTTGCATGAATCAATCGATTTAGGGAAAATTTTAACGACAAAACGGATCATACGCTGACAAAAACTCACCAGATCTTGAAGCTGAAATTTCTGAAGAACCTCACTGAGTCCACTATTTAAAGACGCACTTTCTTCCGGATTCGTTGTATTACTATCACAAGTTTAAGCTTACTTGGAACCAAAACGAAATATTCGTTATGTGCTGGCTGTACGCCGTCGTTTAACGGTCGATTCACTATGTGCTTCAATATCTTGCAAATAACCTCAGAGGGAAAAAAACCTGGCAATATTTCAAGCAATACCTTGAAGGTTGTTTCGATAAAGATGAAGATAATTTTAGAACCATTACACTTGACTAAATCAGATTTCCCGGACAAAAGTAATCATTTCCTGTTCTCGATTGTTCTTCCCAATCTCTCCCGGTCTACATGAGCCCGCTGTACTTTCCCCTATATTTTTTCCTCCGCGAGGGGAGGGTAGGGGGAGACATTGCTTCTTCCCGCCTTTTATGATTAAAAGAAACAAAGCCAAAATTTCTCAAAATTTCACTTTTCTTTAATAAAAACTTAGGTATCTGATATGTCCTTTAGGCTAATATAGGTGGACAAAATGAGGCACAACTTTTTTTTTGATGTCGTTGCTGTTTTAGGCCTAGACTTCATATTCCCAAATACCCCCAGTGGACTTTTTCGACTTCCGGCTTTTCCGGGAAGGCTCGAAAGAGAAACAAAATCAAAGGGGTCTTTACCATTACTTCATACTCCTCCTCGTGGAATAATAACGTCGTTTTACCGTTTAAAAAGACAATCAAGTCTTTAGGCTTCCATTTAGAGCGATCTAACTCGCCTTCCATATGAACGTGGGTGATTGATTCCAAGTGACGCTTTATTCAGCAAGCTGAGGAAGAAGGCACTTACGTCTTCCTGTGTACAAATTTCCCGCTTTACTCGCCGTCATTACGACCCATCAACTTTCAAAACAACGTTATAGCTTGGAGTTTCTTTAAGGTGAGCTGCAAGTCGATAGAGAATCGAAATCTGTCACGAAATGAGGATGCATATGTATTGTTTTAAAAGTCTTCTTTCCTACAGCTTAGTGCTCGGCTTCGTCCGAAACACGCAACTCATAGTTCGTCTGTTAAGTGTTACATCGCCATCGTAATGCAGTTCACTTCTTTGGAGTGTTTTTGAGTTAATACTGGATAGAGAGTGTAATGCATGGGTCAAGCCTTAAAATCAAATCTTAGAACACTTCTCAAACACGATAAGACATCTTTCATGAAGAACATGCTATCGTAAATATAGAGCGCGATCTTGAGGTGACTGCGTTCCTTTGGTTGAATTGAATTCTAAACTGATTTTATAAAGGGTCCATGTTCCACCTAAGAAAAAACCTGGAAAACTTATGACCATAGATTCTGTTTAAAATGACAAAGAATACGGTATGCGTGGACAAAAACATTGAAAAGTGTATTACATGCAAATTCCTAAGAGACAAACTCAGTGTGTCATGACCTTTTATTAGAAATTTGACTCACACATGAAATTCCTGTTTTGTTAGCTAAAGAAAAGGAAAGATCTGTTGTTATTACTTGATGATATCTACGTGTAAATTTAATTTGATGATGTCATTTTAACAGTGTGAAGAAAACAATTAGGCTCTCTATATCTCTTGTAATCAGTGAATGTGTTAGAATCTCCACGACTATTTACCAAGAGCTATCAGTTTACCTCAGTATGCACATGATTGTATCTTTTTCTCTTTGATATACAGCGAACACTTGAGATAGTGAGGTTTAGGGTTATGTTTAATTACTGAATTATTTTAATTAATAATTATTATATTTTATGCCATGCTTAAGGCTGCTCAATTATTCACAAGTAGGAATCAGGAAAATCAAAACTCTAGATCTGGCAATTGTTTATTACTAATCTCATAGGTAATTGATTTTGACTGACAATGGCGACCACCAACATGCAAATAAGACATTTGCCGTATGGCACTCTTCACAAACTGGCCCAACTGCTTGACATACCTGGACAAAGAAACTGGAAAGCACTTATCAGTGCTATGCCAAGTAATTTATATAAACCTGAAGAGGTAAGCAGGGTTTATCTTAGAAATCTAAGGGGAGTCCTTTGTCAAGAAAGGAGCCTAAGACAGGGGGTACTCAAAAAAGGTATTTGTACTTATTTGTATAGTTAAATCAATGGGAAAAAAGAGAAAGGCAATTTTAAAAGTACAGATTTAGATACAGACACGGCATACACCCCCCATGTTGGAGTTTGTAGATTCATCATCAATGTTGAGTGAAGACAAGATAGGTAGAGCAATTGAAAAGTGCCAGTAGGGATGGGTGGTGACAATTAAGATGCCTCTGTAAGTGACTGTAAAATTGTTGCACAGATAGAAAATATACCATTACATTAAAAGAGAATATTTCTCTGTTGCATCTATTTTTTGAACAATTAACACCCCTAAATGAGCAATGCCCTGGCACAAGAATTAATTTTGCACTCTGGCACTTTTTGAGTAAATAAAGTACATGACCTGCTGTGCCTTAGTTTCTTTTGGTCAAATCTGGTTATGCCTCTTTTAAAATGTCAACTTTGTCTCTTGGTAGGTGTCAGCATTTGAGATGGAAGGAATGAGAGCTAGTGGCAGCCCATCAATGAGTTTGCTGACTGACTTGGGGCGGAAATGCAAAACTGTCAAAGTACTTATAGTCTGGTTGAAAAAAATTGAAAATGCCCAAGCCCTGGACATCTTGGAATATGAAGGTAATAAAAATTCAAACATGAATGAATGAATGAGTAACAAAATAAACAAATGAACAATTCTGCAAATGAAGGGAATTTTGGAACAAACAAATGAATAAATGAAGAATGAAAGAATGATTGAGTTAAAAATAAATGAATGAGCAAATCTTTAACCTCTGACTGATACAAATTAAATGCAAGGGGATTTGTGACAGTTTGTTTGTTGATCAAGCTTTCAAAAAACAAATAAACTGAATAAGTGAAAATAAAATCTGCAAAAGGCTACTTAAAGCAGAAAGTACTCAACAACCTGAAAAATTTTTCCCAATGCAGAAGAGGTGAGGATCCTTGAACATCCGTCATCAAAGCCAGTTCGCACTGGCGCAAGTGTGACATTCAGATGCAAAGCTACAGGTTACCCAGCCCCAGAGTATTTATGGGTGAAGGACGGTATTGAGGTTCCTGATGGAATAAATGAAGAACTAACATTAGATTGTGCTAGACTGGAAGATAGTGGAAATTATGTGTGCATTGTGTCCAATCGATTGAACGTGCAGAGAAGTCATGAAGTAGAGTTACAAGTTCTTCCATCACCTGGTATGCCTTTGATGATTGTTATGAGCCCTAATAACAACTACGAACTTCTCCCTAGCTTTTAGTAAGAAATCCTTCCACTCCCCATGAGAGTAAGGAACCAGATCCTGTTTGATAGACATATGGGAAGTATGCTAGCCTGTTTTTAATAATTATGCTGAATGGTAACTTCATCCTGTTAACATTTAGTGAGGACGCATGATTATAAAGGCCAAAATTAAAATGCTACGTGTGCTGCCTCTATAAAGCACATATTTTGCCTCATTTAGAATATTGTTGTCCGCTATTACTTGGAGTTGGAAGAGGTCAAGTTAAAAAAGCTAGAAGACACCAATAATTATATTCTTAGATCTCTTTTAGGGTATGGACATACACCATACAATTATTTTTTAAATATGGCTGGTATAAGAACGCTGAAAGAAAGAAGAAAATTCCAGGCCTTTGTTTTGGTTTATAAATGTATTCATAAAGAAGCCCCAAAGTATATAGAAGAATTTTTTCAGATTAAAATCTGCAATTATAATTTAAGAGAGTCAGGGACACTTTTAACATTACCCAGTTTCAATCTAGAATGGTGCCATAAGTCATTCTCATTTTTGGCAGCAAAACTTTGGAATTCGTTACCTGCGTATGTCAGAAACGCCAAGGATATTTCTACTTTTAAATGTCTTTTAAAGAAGCAAGTTTTTAGATAGATTTAAGGATGGTAACTTTAATTTATTTCTTTTCTTTTTCATTTTTTTTTCATTTCACGCACATGTTTTAATGAGTTTTTATCACTCCTAGATGTGGTGTGGGTAAATAAAGTATTGTTGTTGTTGTTGTTGTTATATTTTACAGAAAAGCAAGTGTGATTTGCCTCCTGACATATACACAAGCATTTGAATTTTTTCTTCTATTTCAAGAAAACCTTAAGATTTCCTGAAACCTTGTGCATAAGAAGAGACACCTGATTTTATCCCTTTAATTTATTTATGTGATACATGGATTTTTCCAAAATTCATGCATGAAACAGGCTCAGGACCCTCCTTTTGCTACCCCTCTTAATGTTACATTTACCGCAGATAGAAGTTTCAATTACATTATTGTACAATGCTAATATCCTGCTCTTTTTTTTTAACCTTCTGCAGTGAATGGTTATACTGGACAAGAACAAACTCCAGAAGGTGTGTCTCAAATCTTGAACAATGTTTTACTTGAGGACATGACATCATTCAAATTTGGGAAGGGATAAAAATCAATAACTCAAAACTTAATAATTAATAATAATGATTCACTAATATTAGCACCTTTTAACACTGAAATGATCAAAAGCACAAAATTAAAATGCAATGTGTGTATTTTACAGAAAAGCGAGTGTGATTTGCCTCCTGAAATATACACAAGCCTTGAATTTTTTTCTTCTATTTCAGGAAAACCTTAAGATTTCCTGAAACCTTGTGCATGAGAAGAGACATTACCTTCTCCTTTATTCTATTTACAAACATGATGCTATCAACATTGCTAATCCTAGCAGTATGTAGGATGCACATCATATGAACTTCATAATAGACCTCACTCACTGTAGAGTCTCTGTGGCTCAGTGGTAGAGCATTGGAGTGCAAAATCCAAAGGTCTGAGGTTTGATTCCTCAGAGGGACTCACAGTTTTTCCTTTGTCCCACACTCATGACAAGACAAAAAGTAACATCTTTCTCTATTTCTTTACTGAGCTCAAAACTTACCATCTCTCTTATTCTATTTACAAACAATATGTTACAATATGCACCTGAAGAAAAAAATTTTGAGGTCAGCTGAGACTGTATTATTTCCAGATGTAATTGATTATCACAAACAAAAGCAGCACAAAGTGGCTTCAAATTATCAGTCTTCCACACACATGTATGTGATGATTCAATCTAGTGCCTTGGGCACTTACTCACATATGATACCTCTAGGGATGGCACTTAATCATTAGGTACAAGGGGCCCCTCTTTTGTCTTATTTCTATCAACAGCACAATATGCAAAACAAAGCTCTGATATAAATTCAAAACTTAACAACCATTATTGTAATAGTAAAAAATGTAAAAGTAACAAATATCCTGTGAATATTTGCATGATAATGGTTGGGAATGTTTTGAAGCAGTACTACCACTGAAACAGAATAGGTGTGCCATTGGAATGAAGATGGTTATACAACAGAAGCACCTATTGACAAAAACAAGTTTTGGAGGGGGTGCTTATTAGAGAGGTGGCACTTATTGGAACAAGATTACCAAATCGAATGATGATGTTGGGGTGTAGAGGGTTAAGTGTTTTGGATGAGATGCATATTACCATAGACTACATTTAAGCTTCCTGCTTTCCCAAACTTAAATACCAAGGTCAACGTTAATTCAGGTCCATTTTTCTCCAGCCAAACATCCTCCTGAAATCACACGTCAACCACAATCCTGCATCTTACCTGATGGTGTGGAATTCAGGCTGGTCGTTGAGGTGAAGGAAGGACCAGTGAAATACCAGTGGTTTAAAGATGGCTTTATACTTGTGGGGCAGACAAGAACAGAATTACTTTTTCAGCCATTTTATTATCGACATGAAGGCAACTATTGCTGTAGGGTGGAAAACAGTGCTGGTGATGCCCTCAGTAACACAGCATTGTTACAAGCAGGTAGGTCATACTTACTCGATCCCATATTTTCATTGATATTTAGTCTCCAAATATGATTTTCCTCATGTCTGTTCTCATAAGGTATGGAAAATTTCACCTTACACTGACTTATGTGTCTTGTCTTGATCAACAGTTGCCTATCTCTTCAATCTTTAATGAGTACAAAAAAAAAAATTGACAAGTAATCAATTGACTGGTTCAAAATTTGGGAGTAAACAGTCTTTTTTTTTGTTGTAAGATTTTCTTAATGGAACCTCCAAAAGCTTTTATCTTGTATAATACTATTTTTAACAAGTGCATAGATTGATAAGTTAATGATTTTGTTGAATGAATTAACTTTTTTTTACTTGTATTTGTTTCTAATAAATCACAGGAAGGCCTGACGATCTTCACCTAGCTCAAAGTGGTATGATTACAAGTGTATTTTATTTTATGTTATAAAGGTTTACTTCATTATTTTAACAAAAAATCCAGTGGGGACCTCCCAGGATAACTTACCCAGTACAGAGAAAACTGATAATACTTTTTACTACTCCCACCTAACAGCAATACATGTCCTGGATATGATATTACTCAACAGAATTTGGCATTGATTATATCAATATTTTCTAAACACCCGTTTGTGATAACTCTTTGTTTTAATTTCTTTTGGAAGTTTAAGCTGCACTGTTGTTTGTAACAAGCCGCACTGTCATTTGTGACTCAAGTGATTAACCTAATGGCCTACCAACAATTCAGCAAATAAAAACGGTGTCATTTTATTAACTAAGGGCAACACCCCTCACCTCTTGTCTAAGTTAGACCTGACAGGTACATAAATATGCACAAAAGACAGATTCTGATTGGTTTATAATTAATTATTGCTTCTCGAACAACAGAGGAAGTTTTGGAACAAAACTACATTTAATAGGAGTGGTAAGGGAGGAAAGTGTCTCTCATGTGAGAGAGCTGCACTGGCTGTATAAGGTGGTTCAGGTGTTAATGTCACTTATACTACACACCACCCAGGTAGTTCACATAAGATTTATGTGAAGAAGTACATGTAGTATTGTACTATTAAGTTTCTTATATTTGAATGTGTTTCATATGATTAACTAAAAATATTTTTGGCTCTTTATAATGTCACAGTGATTCCCAGATCTACTGAGCTCACACAGAAAGGTGAGTAAACTATTAACATGTAGTTAGTATGTAGTTGTACTAATTTTTTTGATGATTGTATCGATGTGCTATAATTATATTGTAATAGGCTATAACCTTCCTTTTCTTCTCTTTGTAAGTGCTCAAAAGCAACAATTTTTTTACTTTAATATCATGACAAATTTTCAGTAAATAAACAGTAACAAGTACAATTATTTAGAAACTTAATAGACTTTTTACAAATGTAGTGACTAACCAGTACTGTGCAATTTTCATGCTAAAGCAGAAACAAATAGAAGTTTTGTCATAGAGCATGTTGTTGATAATCATGGTTCTATAGATAGATGATTGATTAATCATTTATCTCACAATGTAAGAGTTGGGCTAATCAATTGCATTGACTGGATGTTTTGACTGCTACACCTTTAGCTTTCTTTCGCAGAGGAAGAAAGCAAGCCAGAGTCACCATATCACAAATTGGTGGAGTTATAGATTGGGACACTACTTTCAGAAAAATACTGGTGTATTCACTGCAGTTGTTTTGCTTGATTTCCTTCAGCTGCTGACAAAATAGCCTTGGTCATTGGAAACCGTGATTATGTGCGCTTACCTCTCAATGAAAGCCCACTGGTTCATACTTGCAATGATGCAAAGATGCTTGCCTCAATTTTACGCACTCGTGAAATGGGTTTCAAGGTCATCTCCCTCATGAACCTGACACTAGATGAGATGAATCAAGCACTCAATATTTTTTACAGTCTTCTTGGAAGCGGGGTGTATGGATTGGTTTATTTTGCTGGTCATGGGTTTGAAGAAGGAGGGCAAAACTACCTGGTCCCTGTTGATTCAGTGGGGGATTGGGTACCAGAGGAAGCTGTTTGTGCCCAAAGAATTTTGGATGAAATGAACAGATACCACACAGAGTTGATAGTGTTTCTTTTGGACATTTGCCGCAAGAGGTGAGTGGTTCACAGTGGTACTACAGCCTGCCGTTGCCAGTGCAAGATACATATTTTTCAATTACTTAGTACAGAGACTTCTAGATGGGTGTAATGCATTTCCACCATATTTTTTCATATATTAAAACACTTGATTTGTCAAGAGTCACTGCTGTTGGGGGATGGGTAGGAACTTAGGAGGACAAAAACTTCCTCTATGGTAAGGAGCTCACCATGGCAACTAAGCTACAGCACTTCTCCAGACACTTCTCAAGGCAACACTGATAATTAAAACCATTGTGTGGAATTAATAACTTGTTAGCAATGTCAAAAGTGTGGAAGGAAGAGAACAAAGCAATTAAAAAAGAAAAGTAATTGGAGGGAAAGCATTTATAAATGCATTTAAAAACATCATTTTCTAAAGCAGTCATGAGGTTAGTTTTAAGAACAATGGAGTGGCATGAACAAGCCCATCTTGAAGTAATGATATTGTCTTGAAAATATGATCATTTTTTTTTCTTCAGGGCAAATGCTGAGAAAAATTTTGTAATGAAGAGTTATGAATTTCCATACAATGCCCAAGCAGTAATGGGGTTTGCTACGTAAGTAAAACCAATCTACTGTAGAATACAGAAATCTCTTGACTGACATAACTAATTATATGTTACGGTATTTGCCTGATGTGAGGTGGTAAATATATGGTGAAACTGTGCCTGAGGTCTTTATAGGGCTTGGGCCAAAGACAAGCCAGCCTTAGCAGAAAATATTGTAATTACGTTTTATTAATCCAGGCCATCAGTTTCCATCCATATTGAGGCATTTTTTCAATTAATTGTTGTAAAACCAAAACCGAAGTAATAACAACAACCAATCAGAGGAAAATACCCATAAGAGCCATGCAATAAGAACTCGACATAAAATCAACCAAACTACCTTAAGGGGTGAGGGACCAATCACAGAGCAAAGTAAAGGAAAACCAATGCAATCTTGAAATACTTTCAACACTCAATTGAAAATTGCTCTATTTTGTTCTCTGTAACTTTCATTATTTATATGACCTTAACCTATCTTAGACATGAATACCCAGGTGCTTGTACTGTTATATAAATGGTGTCCCTTACTGATCAACAGATGTCCTCAATCTGAGGCTTATGAGAGAAGGCAAGACCCCAATGGCATGTACATGAAACACCTGCTAAAGTATGTCATGAATGACGCCAAAGTTGAGGATGTCTTGCATCAAGTGGCAGGAGGTATGAGCTGAAAACTGCATAAGATGGTTTGTAATCAAGAATGATAAAAAATGTGTTCAGTGACATTGGATATCTGAAGTCAGTAGAAACCAATAAATGACAGGCACGGCTTCTAAACTTTGACAGATACTTTGTTAGGTTCCTCAGCTACTTCAGTGCTGAATTCAAAATGTGGCCAAGAAGACAAATGGAACATACAGCAACTGTACAACTTGATTTCTCTCTAAATTTGACTGAAATTTTTCAGATGTCAGTGCAGAGGTAGAGACAAATGAGTTGGTTGAGAGACAGCGTCCACAGTTTCACTCTACCACCACCAGACAATACAGCTTGCGTGACCCAATTCAAAGAGACAAATTATACTCTGAAAGAGAAAAGTCCTGGCTTGAAATACACCGTAAGTTTAATCATTGATGAAAGTGAAATGTTAGCAGGCCAGAGCACTCCTGACCTGGAGGAGCTGTTGCATAGCTGTTGAAGATTTACTTAAGTTTAAATACTTTTTTGTCAGATTTACAAACATATGATTTGTGTTCTAGGTACATCTCTATAGTCCTGAAACAAACAACACCAAATAAACTACCATAAACACCAGCGTGTAAACTATTCCTTTTTCCATTCCTTTTTTATGAAAATTCATAAGTCTTTCCTTGTAAACTAACTAGAATTTCTCAAAAAGAAACAAAGATAAAAATTTTTCATTAATTTTGCAAGCCTGGTGGTTCCTAAAAGCTGCAAGCTTTGTTTATAAGTATAAGCTTATATTTCTTGCTGTTGAGTGGTGTTAAACTCAGTCTTCATTAAGAGCTTAGACCTTTAACCAGTTTAAGGTTGCCTTGGCTTCTTTAAGCAGCTAATTTAAAACAAACTATCATTTTACACTGCAGTCATTTTAAACTATAACAAATGTGTTTGGATAATGACCAATTTTGGCTGGAAATGAAAGGCAATATGAAACTAAAGTTTTCGTAATTTGTAAATCTTGTTCAGTTCTGTGCGATTGCCATAAATGGTTTGACACCCTGTAGGTAGAGTGTGTTTAGTCATCGTAATGTTGGTGCCTTTATTGTGTCATGCAGTATATTAAGACCTATATTCTCTCTTTGAAATTTGTACAGATCTCCCTCAGAAGCGAGAGATAGAATGTGAAGCTGGGATTAAGATAGAAATTCGCTTTGAACACCAGAACTGGCTGTCAAATGCAATTGTTTTGTGCCTAAGAGTTATTGACCTAGGAGAGGCAAAATTCTGTGATGTGGGCTTGATGTTGGAATGTCTTCCACAGGTAAAGTGGTACATTTCAATTTTCTCTCTGTTGTCAGTGTACACAATTATTGCTCAAATGTATTGAGAGTGAAATGATTTTTAAATTATCATTTTGATTTTACTGAAGCTTAGGGACAACTGAGATTCTCTTAATTCTGTCACATTCATAGCATGGAAGCATAAAATTTTGCCCCCTTCTATATATAACAAACCAGTTACTCAAAATCCTTTTGACAATCCTGTTTGAGACAAACATTTTTTTTATCAACTCCTACATGAGTCCATTCTGCCCTATAATTTTTAGGCATTTCAGGTACATGTTGTTAGTATCTTTCAGCAATGCCATCCTTACTGTGAATATTGAACTCCAATCGAATGTTCTGTATTTTAACCATTAATAATTAACATTGTCAGACAAAATTTTATTTTCACTTTGCATAACTTTGCTCCTCTAATTTTTGGCAACAGTTTTCATATGCATGATCGACTCCATTACATTATTTTGTGATATAATGCATAAATGAATTGAAAGGGTTTGTACCCTTTCCAGGACTCCAAATTTCTCCATAATTTCATCATTTAATTTCATCCATCATCCAAATTTCACCTTTCATTCTCAAGATTTCAATATCAAGTCTCCTCATGGTCTACATACATTTCTTATAAAGTGAATTCTGAAAACTTTATTGCTTAAGTTAAGCATATTTCCAGGACTTGTGGTCTTTTGCCAGGATCTTCCAGTACTGGAAAATGTCATAATAAAATTCCAGGACTTTCCAAGACCTGTACGAACCCTGATTGACCCTCACTAATCAATTGAAGTTAAAAAAAATTCACAGAATGAAAGCTTTTAATTAAATTAGGGCTTCAATTTTGTTTAGAAACATGCCCCTTAGATACCACTAGGGAACTACTCCAAATTAGGTGAAAATTAGAACCCTATGTTGTGATTAGAGCAATAATCAATTTTGTAATACCATAATGACATCCTGGTTTCCATATTAATTTAATTCACAAATTATTTGTGAACAATGATTTTCAGGATTGCCAGAGTCTTTACTTCCATCCAACTTCAACCAACAGAATGAGGCAGGTTGTTCAGGTAGGGGATCAGGATAAATTCAAGTGGCCTTAATCAACATACTGGTGGATATATAGGTCAACATAGTTGATTAATATGTTAGTCAGCAGTTGTTTGATAGTTGACCAGCATTCAACTGATGGTTGGCCGATGGTCATGATCAGCTGCCAGTTGACCAATAGTCAGCAGATGTCCCTGCCAAGACATTTATCTGCTGACTATCATCTTATTAAGAAATCAGCAGACTTCTGTATTGTGTGGGATGACCTAAGGCCAACCATCATTCAACTATTTGCAGACCATCATCCAACTAGTGATGCTCTATTGGCTGATTATCAGCTGATGTTATAGATTAACTATTGTCCCACCATTTGAGTGGCTTGTGAAACACTTGCTGACTAACCTTACCTAAAATATGTCTGACATGTAGTCCTTGAGGTTCTCTTATTTTTAATAATGGTTATGAACCAATTAAATTTGAGATATACTTTAAACCCTTTTAACCCTGTAACACTAAGGTGTCAAGAAAAGCAGGTTACATACCCTCACAGCCTTCTCTGACAGACACTTCACAGCCCTCTCTTACAGACCCCTCACAGGCCTCTCTTAAAGACCCCTTACAGTCCTCTCTTACAGACCCTCACAGCCTTCTCTGAAAGACCCCCCACAGCCATCTCTTGCAAACCCTCACAACCCTCTCATGCAGACCCCTCACAGCCTTCTCTGGCAGACCCCCCACAACCATCTCTTACAGACCCCTCACAGCCCTCTCTTGCAGACCCCTCACAGTCGTCGCTTGCAGACCCCTTACAGCTGTCTCTTGCTGACCCCTTACAGCTGTCTCTTGTTGACCTCTTACAACCCTCTGTTGCAGACCTCTCACAGCCATCTCTTACAGACCCCTCACAGCCTTCTCTTACAGACACCTTACAGCCATCTCTTGCAGATCCCTTACAGCCCTCTCTTGCACACCCCTCACAGCCCTCTCTTGCAGACCTCTTACAGCCCTCTCTTTCAAACCCCTCACAGCCTTCCCTTACAAATCCCTCACAGCTGTCTCTTACATACCCCCTCTTACAGCCATCTCTTGCAGACTCTCTTACAGTCCTCTCTTGCAGACCTCTTATAGCCCTCTCTTGCAGACCCTTTGCAGCCCTTTCTTTCAGACCCCTCACAGCCATCTCTTACAAACCCATCACAGCCATCTCTTACAGACCCCTTAAAGCCGTTCTTGCAGATCCCTCACAACTGTCTCTTACAGACCCTCACAGCCTTCTCTGACAGACCCCTCACAGCCCTCTCTTGCAGACCCCTCACAGCCCTCTCTTGCAGACCCCTTACAGCCCTCTCTTGCAGACCCCTCACAGCCCTCTTTTGCAGCCCCCCAACAGCCCTCTCTTTAGCCATGTTTGGGTTTTGCCTGACAGCCCCTTTTCTGAGCACAGCTGCCTCTTACACCATTGGCAGTAGTTCAATGCATAAAAAGTTAATAAAACCCCTGTTTTACACCTATAATCTGAGTTCTAGAGCAAACTATTTACAGGAAGTCTCACTCTTTCTAAACAGCCTCCTGACACAGTTGCTCGCAGCCTGCCTCAACAGCGCAATGGACCCTCTTCAAGTCTTGCTGTGGAAAAGATTAGTGAGATCTACAACATTCAGAGACTCAAGGTGAATTACAGTCATTGTGTTATATGTTTTACAATCTTCTTGTACATTTAAAACTTGCTGTTTGATCAAATATGATTGTACTTATTGGTCTCTTTTCTTCCCTAGTGCAAAATCTGGAAACTCTTACCCCATATCCTAGGTCTTAGGTCAGATTCATTGTAGGTGTTCAACACTTGAGAGATATGACTTAGAACTCAACCTGGGAACAAGGGGAAAGGAGTCAAGTCTGAAAAAACTAGTCCAGATTGAGTTCTATGGATGAGTGTGAACTAATTATTTTGGTTGACTTAGGAATATTTCACCAAATACCACAGTCCTGAATTCTGTTTTCTAGAGTGTATACTACAAATTGATTTGATGCTGTATTATTTTTAATGGTGTGTTTGCCATTAAATTCTGTTTGGTTTCAAAACTGATTCTTTTCTTACTAACAGGAACCACTTGCTTTGACATTGATTATTAAGTACATCCTGAAGGGATCTGGTGAAGAACGAACAAAGCACAGGGTTGAGGTGTTCAATTTCAAAGAATTTGGAATTGCTGCAGCATTTTACAAGGCTAATTATCAAAAGGAGTGAAGTGTCAGTTGTTAAATAATCCTGCTTCTTACTGAATTTTTACAGTGTGGACACTGCTTTTAAGTGTAGATAATATCAAATATTATATGTATATATGAAGGTATTTGAGCAATACTAAATACTAGTCTGATCAAATTTCTTGGAACTACTTAGATAATGAATTATTTCCACACTTCCCTGTCTTAAACATTGTCCCTGATTAAACACCGATAATGGGAGAAAAATTTAAACAATGGCTGGACAGCATATTATGTTAGAGTATTCTTGAGAAAAAAATTAAAAAAAAACAATTTACAATTTGGCATTTAACACCATACACTGTACTTAGAAATTTTCATCCAAATATCAATGCATTCAAACTTTACACATTTCATTTCATATTTCATAAAATCTCCCATATCTAGAAATTTTTATCAAAAGAGCAATGCATTTGAACTTTACACATTTCACAATTAAGGGATAGGTGATATCAGTGATTTACTCTACATGATTTGGAATAGCCCTTGAGAAAACCAGGTATTAAAATGCTAAACATTCAAGTAAGTAAAAACAGTATGATGAAGAATTCTATGATTGATTTAAAGTAGCGTTTTCTCTCCTGGAATATATGCAATTGTGGGGATATTTAAGAGGAAATTCTGTAAAATTTGAAAATCAGACAACTTTTGATGTTACTTACTTTACCAAATTATACAGTCATAAACTCTACTGAATGTATGAAAAGACCTTCTCTAGAATCTTACTTACATTTTTTTAAGTTATCACTTTTTTGCAACAAGGTAGCAAGGGAGTACATATACATTACTCTCCTTGTTTGGGTATGCCTTTGGAAGGACTGGGTACAAATTTATTGACTGATCCAGTTTTATTGAAATATAAGAGTTGCATCTGAGCTGGATTCAAGTGACCAGCAAGTTAACCTTAAAGAAAGTTACATACCAGATGCAGAAAATAGAAGGAAAATTATACACTATGATTTTCTTGTATGAAGTGACATACGAAATGATTAATCTAGATCTGCTACTAAAAATAATAAATAAATGCTAAATATGAGCACAATCAACACAAAATGCCTTGTAACATAGCACAGATTCTATATATACCAGAACACATTGACAGCGTACATTGTCATGGAAGTCCTTGGAGGCAGAGTTATTTGACCAGGGTCCAAATTCGACTCTGTCATTGATGTGACTCAGGAATGGCATCATTTAGTTAGAATACTTCATGGAAGGATGACAGCTGAAAAACAAAGCCGTATTGTGGCAGGAGAGTAATTTGATTTTAATAAACTAAAGGTACCTGCCTAAAAGGAAAGAGATCTATACTTGTGTAGAGACTTAATTCACAACAGAATGGCAACCAGCTAGTCCATAATAAATGAAGTCCAACCTTTTTAGGTTGAAGCATTTCTATAAACAATGCTTCTTTTTACTGACTTTATTACAATTATAGAGTAATCATAGAAGTACACATTTAGTCAGTAGGATTCAATATTTGGTATTTTGTAAGTTGTTACAGGTTGATACAAAGTAAGCATATTATGGCCATAGTTCATTACCAGTTTGTGTTGGTAGTGTGTTGTAATAAAAATGCTGTAATTTTGCAACATTGAATGTTAACTTTTGCCAAGCATCTTTCCATCTGGGTTTGTATGTGTGTATGTCGGGTGGGGGTCAGTACTCTAAGTTGCTTATGCCAGAGAGACTGGGGTAAGTTCCAGTGCCTTCTGGGCCACTTTATTTGAGTGCAGACTTTACATTTTTACTTTACTATACCTGAAGTTCAATTAGTGGCTGTTACATTGCTTTTCATTATTTGACCCCTCTTGTTAGAAGCAATATATTCAAAATTCATCATGGAATGGGTTCCTAAAATATATTTTATCTTACTACAAATATCCTAGCATGAATGTCCCTATTCCATAAATTGCTTTTTGTCATATACTCTTGAATTTTCCCTTCTTGGATTCAGAGTGTCTTTACACACAAAATATAATTCAATTCAACTGTTGCCAAGAATTTCCTTGGAATAAATTATTTTAGGATGAAAGATTTCATGGACTTTATGCTAGTTCTGATTACAAAATTAATGTAGATTAGTGTAGTTCAAGAACCATTTTTGTAAACAGAGGTTGAATGTGGGAAAGTGGGTTGGAGTCTATCATCCTGCTGAGTAAAAAAATTGGACATTTTAAAACCAGATACTGTTGTAATAATCATTGATTTTTATTTAAAAATTCAATTAACAAATATCAAATACTGTATGGCTTTCATTGTTTATATGTACACTTTTCATCATATTAGAATTGTAGGAACACCCTGATTGGTTGCAGGAGAAAGAAAACAAATGTACTTTCTATCATTATCACTTTGCACTAGCTTCAGTTTGAGACAGCTGCTGTATGATCTGTACTGTTTCTTAAAAAAAAAATACCTTTGACAAAAGGAAATAACTTGTTTTGATAATAACCTTTTCATTTAACTTTTAAAACCCTTAGAGTGACCAGCAGCTAATTTTTCATCACAGTAATACTGACGAGTTATTCAGTAACATCATGAGAATAAAGGAAATGATCGGCAACCTAAGGAGCTTTGATTGTTAACTAAATTCTCTTTGTCAGTACTTAAGGAAATGCATACAGAAGAGTATAAAGAATATGGATACTGATGTTAGGTTGTAAAGGGTTAAGATTATTTAATAAATACAAAAGCTCAGTGAACAACATCCAATGATATGCCCTCAACTTTGTCCCCAGAATATCAAGCAACATCAAAGTAGTGAAAAAAAAAATTATATCATTAATGTAAATAATCTAATAAAAGTACTGTTTAAGTATTCTATCACAAGCCAAACTTCTTGTCAGTCTCGTGAGTCTCTGAGTAAAATTCTTAGGAAGTTTTAAATGTATCAGAACATAGACGATGATGAATCTCCAGGTCCAGATAATGATATGATTATAAGCACAGGGTGGTGTATGTTTGTTCTTCTTAGTTACATTATTTTATAGAATATTGTCATCAATGTGATCAGCAGTTCTATTTGTTTATTGAAACAATTGGATTTGACCATTAAACCTCTAGTAATCACCAACTAAAAAAGCTCTGGATTGTTAAACAAATTCTGTGTCATTACCATAGAAAATGTATAGATGACAGTACAGATACAACACATATTGATTTTAAAGGGTAAAATACAGACAGGAAAGTTCCCCTTGCACTGAGCTGGATCACACCATTAGTAAGGCAGGTTTCATGGTGACTTGTGGCCAGTTTTGCTTGTTTGTTTTTTTTCGGTTTCACATGACTTTACCAAGAAGTAACCTTACAGTCCTAGTCAGTAAAATATCCAAACTTAGCATGCATACTAAAAAATCCCTAAGTTATCAACATTTGGCTTAGCTGAATATTCAGAAATATCAACCAAAAAAATCTGAAAAGAGTATTAGATATTTGATGGAAAATGCCAAGCAAGTCTAAGAAATACTTTGGTTTTGAACTAATTAACTTTTGCAAGCATGTACATTATTATACAAACCTATAGGTTGCAACATCTACACGGTAGAGTAACATTTTGTAATCAGATTGCCAAGCTAAGTTCCAATACACTAATACCTGGCAGTCAAACATGTTCACCAAAGTCCCACAGAAAACCTCATGCAGACCTGATGAGAGTCTACAATGTTTCTTTAGACATGAAAGGTGATACTAATAATTATTTTAGTTTTGGTGGATGGATTTTCCATACTTGTGTACACCAAGAAAATACAAATTTTTTAGTGTCACTGTAACATAGTGATTTAATGGTAAGCTCAAGTTCAGATATCTTGTCAAGTACAAAATTTACATAATTTTTGGGATCCCTTGACATCTGTTTACAAATAGCTGATACCCTCAAGAAGTATGAAAAAAAATTTTTCAATAAAAATTCTGGGAGAACTGTTTAGCTGTCAGGCATGTAACAAAAGCAAAACTTAATATGCTGATTTCTGTTGCCACAGTTTACCTTTTTTGTTTTGCTTTTTTAAATGAGAACATTACTGCAATCAAGTGGATACATATATAAAATTTGGAAAAAATATTTTGCCTGATTCTAAATTTTAAAAGAAATGATAAAACAAAGGCTGTACTCTGGCAGAGGACCATTGCCACAGGCAACTATCTTTTGCTTGTGGGCAATGTGTGTAAATATGCTTTTATGAAAGCTGGAAAGTGCTAAGAAACCAAGATTTCTGAGACAAGAGCCTTCATGCACCCTGTGATTCTGTACATATACTTCATCTCAAGATGATGAAAGATAGATTTCTCCCTCTGTCTCGTTGTTACATACATGTAAACCTTAATGCCTTGTTTCAAATGTAAAAATCCTCATCATGGCAAAGAGGGCTAATTAACATAAATATAAAACAATAATTACATTTTCCACTTTGGTATGAGCATAATTTATGGGTTAAATCCAAAATATTTTTAAAGTTGTTGAATTGGAAAATGTAAATTAGAGTTCATCTCTCACCAATCTACTTACTTCAATACATGTTACAAAATCTATTTTGTTACAAAAATTACTATAAATTTTCAAATTTCATGTTATACAGTACTATGTATTGATACTTTCATGCCACATTTAGCCTTCAAAGTTCTCAAAATATCATTAATTATTTCTTCCACGGTTTGATCCACAGAGATGTGAAGCGCAGAGTACTCATCACAAGTGACAGGTTCCTCCAGAGTTTCAAACTGAGAGGCAAGTAAACTTAAGGGCATATAATGTTCTTGCCTTTTTTCCATTCTCTCCCTTACCACATCCTTAGACCCTTTAAGTAGTACAACCAGGCAATAAAAAGGTGATGGCTTCGACAGTTTTTGCCGCTTGTCACCATTTGAGCAATAAGGTGTGTTGTTAGAGCTGGCTTCTGCTCCAAAAAGGATTGTTTGTCTGTATTGTTCTTTGAGAGCTGAACAAGCAAGCACTCCAGATTCAGAACGCTTGCTCCATCTACAGAACAAAGCAAATTTAACTGAGGAGTTACTTTTTAAACCAGGAAAAGGAACAAAATGATACATGCAGTTCAGCAGAGATCTCTTAGATGGAAAGTCCTAAATCTGTGGGTTTGATCAATGTTATTGCTCTAATAAAAAATGACTGCACTAAAATGAGATCTGGAAGTAAGGGTACATTTAACTTAGTTCTTTCTGTTACTGGTTCCAAAATGAATTCTCCCTTGCCAGAAGCATAATCAGGAGTGGGTTACACAGTGGCCTTCATAGACAACACCAACTCTGGATGGAATCCTTCAGGTTTAGACCCCTGCATAATCACAGAGTTCTTAGGCAGGAAACTAAACTCTCACAATGCTTCTCCCCACTCAGGGATGCACATGAGTATCTGCAACCCCTCAGGAAAACCTGAAGGAGTAATAGATGTGGAGGGAGGGGGGGAGAGAAAAGAGGGAGGAGGAGGGGGGAGAAAAGAGGGAGGAGGAGGGGGGAGAGGGGAAGCAGCAGTAAACTGTGATGGACAAGCATCCTGAACCAGAGGAACAACAATACTCAGAGTCACCTCACGCCACAGGAGACAGAATTGGTTATTATAAATTAAGTAAGTTTACTTGAACTTAAACCCTTTTTCACTCAAGAGTTTGCAAAAATGAATTATCTTTTAACAATATCAAAACCAATTCAAGTAGAATGGTAATGTGAAATAACAAAAATCAACTACCTGAGGGAAACTGATTGATTTAACAAGCACTTTCTGAATTTAAAATTTTAAGAAATGTTTGGCCAAAGGTGTGGAGAATTGATGTTTCAATCTAAGGAGTAAGAGGGTGTACCCTCATCACTCAATTATAAAATCTCTAGACTAACTATCAAAAACATCTACTTTATGCAAATTTCTGTTCACTTACAAGCAAAGATCAATCAACAGTAATTAATCCAACTGAGTTTTCTCATTATGGTGTTCTACAATGCCATCTTTAAGCTGGCTTCCCTATTAACAATTGCTTAAAAATATCAAATAGATGAGTCAATTATCAATTGAAATAAATCTCACATACCTTTCAATAACTTTGTGCAAAGCAAGAAGCCATGGTTGTCTGTCCTATAATATATAAATTGGTAAATAATCATAATACCAGTACTTGAGGAAGAAAGTACACTTAAAAATTGTTACATAACAAGCTGAATTATACACAAATTTTGATGTGTTCTTACTTATGATCTCTTGGAGGACAGATGCATAGATGACAACACCATTACCCTTAAACTCCCAGATCAACTTTGTAATTCTCCTTACTTTCAACCATATAATTCTTATAATGTTAGTTCAGAGAATTTAGTATTGGATCGACTAATTATCCCCAAATTGATATTTATCTTTGTTCTCATCACTTATCTGGTTAATATTATGCTGACACTGTAAGGAGAAACTCTGCCTTGGTAACTTGTGGGAGTTGAAGGGTTAACAACATTTTGTGTTTCTTTAATTATCTTATTAAACAAATAAATTCCAAGTTTCTGTGGAGCTGTACAGTAAAAGGTTGCAGAAGAGGTGAAAATGTAGTAAGAACATCACTGACACACTCTCCTGTGCCTCATGTACCAATTTTTTTGTTCTTACTGCACTTTGACATCATCTGTGGTCTTTTATTGAACAGATGCACGGCAACATGGAACCTATTCGTTAGGAGAAGACTACCTATCATGAGAAGCAAGACAGTGTACTTTAAAAAAACATTTACCTCATCTGTAAGTGCAATCCCTTGCTTCATTTTTGCAATATTTTCCTCTGAATGGAAAGTGTCTGCATCCACATAAGGGCAAGACAACTGTCCAAAAAAAATAATCAACTTCATGAAGGAACTAAAAGAGTACCCTGATTCCCCTAGAAAATCTCTTTGAATAAGCACTAATCAATTTTCAGCTGCAATAATACGCTACGTTTTTTACATTCTGGTGTCTCTTAAACCCTTTAACCCCTAAGAGAGACTAGCACCTAATTCCTCCATACAATATCACCCCTGAATCACACATTGAGGCCATAGGAATAAAGGAAATGACAACCAACAAAAGAAGTTCTTGATTGTTCCACAAATACTCCTCGTCGGCGCCTTATAAAAAGTATGGAGAACAGTATGGAGAATGTACATTCTGATGTTAGGGTGTAAAGGGTTTAGAGTACTTACAGTTAGAGAGGAGATTAAAAAATCACACTTAAAAACACGACACCAAAGTACCAACTACCATAAGACAAGTCACACCTCTGATGATAGTATGCTGCAATGTGGCTGAATGGCTCTCTTGGGTATTACAACACGAATAGCACAAGCATATTAAACCTTGACTGCTCATCTTCAGCCAAATATCACTCTGAAGCTTAGTTAGTTCACCTTTTCACTCCTAAGGTCTCATGAGTAGTTCTCCTTATTGTCTGCCATACAGTTGTTATTATGTTAGTTTGGAGAATTTGATATTGGAACAACAAATAATCCCCTGATTGATATTTTTCTTTACATTTCTGCGTGATGTTGTATTGATATTGGAAGGAGAAATTATGTCTTAATCACTCATGAGAACTAAAGGTTTAAAAAATTTAATGAAACCTCACATAACAGAGTCATACAATGAACATTCCTAAGACCCACCTTCTTTGCCAAAGCACGTGCTACTGTTGTTCTATTAAAGAAAATAAAGAACACATTCTATGATATCTGTGGTGTTAATTTTATTAAAAGCCTCATAATAATACCAGAAATTAAGCAGTGGATCTTCTTGTCCATGCTTCAAGGCTGAATTGGAATTTAGAATTTTGGTTTTTGTAGAGGGAAGAAAACTCAAGGACTTGGAGAAAAACCCACTGAGCAAGAATGAAAATCCCTGACAAACTTGACCCACATGTGACACAAGGTCTTGGAATCCAACCCAAGTCACAACAGTGAGAAGCAAGTGCTATTACCACTACATCATCCCTCCTCCCCACTGCCAGTGAAACAAACTGACCAGAGCATAAAAGTATGAGAGCTTGTCTTGACTAACAGTGTCTTAGCAGAGGATAAAGTGGAAAACCCTCAAATAATTTTTTTGAGTGAGTTGTGAAATTTCCTACAGTTGAACAAGTGCAAATATTACTGGTACAAGATTTGTATCCTCAAACATCCTTGTACTGTTCTATTCATTAGTAAGTTTAAAAAATAATGTTTACTCTAATAGCAAAGCAAACTACATGTAACTAAAGGTAAAATCTTTTCCTCTAATCCTCACATCAGCTCTGAAGAAAACTTGAAAAAATAAACCAGTTCGGAGACATGTACAAATGGCTGAATGCAGGTGGCAAGAAGATCAGTTTTTGCTGTCTGTGCCATTCTGCAGTTATATAACATTCTGTATTTTTATGATACAGTAGGTAAAATGAAAGCATTTAAAAAAGCACCAACTGTGGCTGTGACAACACCGTTACTCTGAAATGTTTACAACAAAAAGAAAAACAAGGATTTTGATCAATTTTCATGACTGTTTGCCAGAGCTGGAATAGGGAGTTGCTCATGAGTGGCTTTTTTTTCATCTGCAACACAAGTGGTCACATTGAGAAGCAACACCATGATTCCTGCCTTTCTAAACTTTTCTGAATGAACTTGTTTTGTTATGACCCTTGGTCTGTTCATACGATAAAGAGAAATATATTAATTTTTCGTTCTTGTGACAAGAAAACTATCTCACTTGTTCACTAAGATCAATCATGAGATATCCTTCTTACCACTTGACAATAAAATTCATATCTTGTGACCACTGTGTAATATACTCTCTTTATAAGCTGCAGCAAAATGCCAGTAACATTAACCTCGATGTTTGTTGTCCTGCTTTTTATGTATTTTAGGATAGGGAAAGTTACTGTAAGTCCTTAAAATCTATTGACATCCATCACTTAAAAAATACAAAATTGTTCGGAGACATGTACAAATGGCTGAATGCAGGTGGCAAGAAGATCAGTTTTTGCTGTCTGTGCCATTCTGCAGTTATATAACATTCTGTATTTTTATGACACAGTAGGTAAAATGAAAGCATTTAAAAAAGCACCAACTGTGGCTGTAACAACACCGTTACTCTGAAATGTTTACAACAAAAAGAAAAACAAGGATTTTGATCAATTTTCATGACTGTTTGCCAGAGCTGGAATAGGGAGTTGCTCATGAGTGGCTTTTTTTTCATCTGCAACACAAGTGGTCACATTGAGAAGCAACACCATGATTCCTGCCTTTCTAAACTTTTCTGAATGAACTTGTTTTGTTATGACCCTTGGTCTGTCCATACGATAGAGAGAAATATATTAATTTTTCGTTCTTGTGACAAGAAAACTATCTCACTTGTTCACTAAGATCAATCATGAGATATCCTTCTTACCACTTGACAATAAAATTCATATCTTTTGACCACTGTGTAATATATTCTCTTTATGAGCTGCAGCAAAATGCCAGTAACATTAGCCTCGATGTTTGTTGTCCTGCTTTTTATGTATTTTAGGATAGGGAAAGTCACTGTAAGTCCTTAAAATCTATTGACATCCATCACTTAAAAAATACAAAATTGGTTAAAACTTACTTTCCACTTCCACACACTCCAGTTATCAACACAACAACCATAATGGGAGGTGTTGCAATCTGATTCCTAGGCTGAGATGTATGCTGAATCAAACCTTTGAAAATAAAAATGCATATCTTCAATCAATTCTTTACCTTAGAGTATTTTCCCAGTTCCTGCTATAAAAAAACCCACGTGATGGATATATAAGCAATTATGGATTTAAAACTCGATTCTTAAAAGTCTATTTCTCAGCATGTTGTAATATGCAAAATTAGTTTAATTTATGATATGAAAAGTGATCTTAATACAGTTAAGACTTTGAACTTAATGATTAAAAGTAGAGAAAATTACAAAAGTCATGACATTTTACCCAGGGAATATATTCAGGTAAAAAAAACCAATCCTGAAAATATCAATAAGGATCTTGCAAGATTCAAATGCAAGAGAAGTTGTCTGCATCTGATTAAAGTGGAACATTTAACTCTTCCACATTTGAAATTCAAAACACAGGCATTACACAGCCCAGACTTCCTTCCTACTTAGACAAAAGGTTTTTGTCTGCATCATTTTGAGACATTAATAGATAGGGAAAAAAGATCCACCACAGCACCTGTCAGCTGGGTCATGATAGCACCTGGGACAACTTAACCACCAAAATTAACTTTTTTTAACTTTCTTGCCTAAATAAATCTTACTTGACGCACAACAGCTACAATTTCTCTCTTTTTCAAACCTAAAATAATCATACACTTCTTATTAAAGTACTGGGAGTACATTTTTTTTTTTTGGTATACAGCTGTTTGAGAAATGTTGTCAAAAAAAGTGGAAAAGTGCATGAAACAAACCCCAAAGGTATTGTGGGTAGTTTTCAAGTCATGGTTCCATGACCACAGGATTTGCAGGGAAATCTGAGAAAGTATCACTGCATGAACAGGGATCACAGGTTTGATAGTTATTTATTTTTTATTTGACTTGTTGAAATTCATTGATTACTGGATGCTCAGATTACCTTTTGAGATTGTCGTGTGCACTTTCGTCCTTTTTTTTTCCAACAACCTTTCTTGAAACCAGTTGTATACAAACAAGTATGCAGAGCACACCAAACCTTAGTGATCAATCAGAAAGGCCAGAATGAATTGAGCATCTCTAAAATTCAGTTCAATTCAAGGGGAGACAGCTTGACTGACTAGCAACTGGCAGAAATAATGGCATGTTTTCTAGCAGAGGCCTTGGTGCATATAAACACAAACCATGGGGACATTCACACTGTCAATTATCGCAAAGGTGCTACCTTATTTGTGGAGCACTCTTCTCATACATGAGAGGAATGACACTTTTCATATTTCATAATCTACCAAAATCATCCATAAAATGGTGCATATAATGAATTAATGGCTGCAAGAGGACTAACATCCTATATAAGGGGATTGCACTCTGATTCTGGTAGGTAAACACTGAAGGAAAATACTCTTGACTTCCCATAAGCCACAATCTACCAAATTCATTACAAAGATTGGGTATTTGATGAAATAGTAAGGGGTAAAGTGCAAAGAACTAGCATCCTACACCAAAGAGTCATGCACTTATTTTAGTTAGGTAAACACTAAGAGAGACTAAGAGTCTCCTTTCAGGTTACCCCTATTACTTCATCATATAACTGATCTTTGCGATAAATTTGATAGATTGTGGAGTTTAACCTAACTAGAATCAGTACATGACCCCTTTTATGGGAATTGTTAGTCTTCCTGCTTTTTTCCCCTTGTACTTCATCTTATGCCTGATCTTACAGATGAATTTTGTAGATTGTGGATTATGGGACGACTTATTTCCCTCAATGTTTACCTATTAACAAGAATCAGTGTACAATCTACTTTTATGTGATGTCAGTCATCTTGTATGTTACCCCTTGTGCTTCATATTATGCTCAATAATGAAGTATTGAATTTGGCAGATAGTGGATTATGGGAAGTCAAGAGTTATATCTTTTTTTGGTGTTCAGAATTGAATTTTCTTCTATTACATTTATCACTTCCCAAGTAACATTGACAAAATGCAAGGCAAAAACTTTGAAATTCAGTGCCCCTGCTACAATCACCTCACACAGGGTGATTATAGTGAGATATGAGGCAATCTCTGACTAATTAGAGCATGTGCATCTCTACAATCACTGGAGCAATTAAACTAACTATGCATAAGGGGGGAGTATTAATAATCCTGGTTATTTTGATAATTAAAAGGAGTAGCAGAGGTAAGAGGAAAGGTCTGGTTGTCTGGACCCAGTGGTTCTTATGCAATACTAAAAATTAAAGCCAGAAAGATCTTTTGTTAATAGCTTATCCATATGAGCTGATAGATCAAGAGAGAAGTAATCAGGTAAAACCTCCTATCATAGGGAAATTTCAGTTTTTTCACCAAATTCAAACCAAATAGGCCCACTTTAAAGTGAAAGCAAAGACCAATGTACATGCTATTCTATACACATTCAAAAAGTCATCAATGATTGAAAATATTTATATCGACAAAAGGTTAACACAACTCAATAATATCCACAGGGCATATTTGAAGAGAAACTAAGTTTTACAAAGTGAAGCTGGTCAGCACAAAATTACACTTTGTAAAATTATCGCAATATAGGCTTAATGATTGAACCTACATCTACAAGGAAAAAATGTTGAAAATATTCTTCATAACACTGCCAACGTGATACAGTATTGACTTGGATTTGTTTCAATTCCTATCAACCAAAAGCGCCATCATTCTTTTGTGATCAAGACATAATTGAAAGCAGAGATTTTAAATTCCTTATCACGTAGGACATTGCGATTTTCTCCTGAATCTACTCAAAGTAACGAAAACTCCGAGATATGTGACGAAACGACAAACAGAACACGAACATGGGGGTCGATATCGAGATTGTTAGAGAGTTGCGGTGTACAATTTCTGGCACGTTTTGGCGCCTCGCGTAAAAATTTAGTAAAATTATTAAAGTTGTCGATAACACGATATGATTATTCTTCTAACCAGCCTCAATTCATCTCTAAAATGAACCCACAAAATAATAACCAGTTACTTTACAGTATCTTGTTGTTGTGATATCTTAACTTAATCGGTTTCCTATTCAAAAGGGCTTAGGCATTCATGCATTCACCGCGCACAGAAACCAATACATATTTTTTTCGAGTAAGCTCTCTATCACCTCTTTTAAAAAAATACACATATCAACTTAAATATGAACTTTACCTGTAAAGAAACTTGTCAACAGTAACCCAAAAACATACTGTACCTCATCGGTACAATCTCCGCGAAGACCGTGACAAGTATTGAATGTTCGACATTAGGTCCATAAAGAAACCAAAAGAGTCCTGCTCAACTCCAATTGGATGGTAAAAATAGCAACATTTAACTTCACAGTCCTACAACTCCGCGATATCAAAATATGGGACACTCCTGCGTCTTTCACCTTGACTAAGTATAAAATTAAGGCAAATAATGGCAAGAATCTTCGAATCGAGTTTCTCTCTGCACTAGTTCGACCCCAGGACTTGGCGTGAGCGCACGTCCACAACAACCAGAAATGCAATTCATGCTTCAGCAACTGCTTCCGTAGCCTCTACTCGCTTTTCCACTACTGTCAAACTTTAAAGGTTTCTTGAGACAGTCTTTGCCTTAAAATACAAGAACTAACGATATCAAGAAGATTGTTCCTATCTCACAGCGGAGTTGGGTGTTTTCATTTGATGGAAAAAAAGGTTGTAACATCGGGAGAGGGGACGCCGCCGGGAACATTAAATACATTTTATTTATACATATTGGTAAGCCATTCTTTTTAAGGAAAAAGCCGGGCAGATTTCCAAATATTGATGGTCATGGATGTCATTGAGAAAAATGAATCATTTCCTTGCAATGGTTTCCCGTGACATTCTTAGCATTCTTAGCTGGGCATTCGATAATTCTAATGTGAGAACCAACATCACAGCGTAATAAAACGAAGGCGAATATCGGAGAGAAAAGAGCTCAAGGTGTGCAGTAATTAAATCTCTTGAGCGCAATGTTATCAAACATCTGATCTTCTGTAAGGAAAGGAAGGACTGGGATATTGGAAGCAGACAAGTGAGTTTCCTAAAGGGGGGGGGGGGGGGGACACGTACTTAACAAGTTGGAAATATTTGCGGGTGTGGTGAGTGGGGGCGGTGAGGAAAGGTAGTTAAGGTTTTCTTGGGCAGTGAAGCCCAATTCGCTGCGTGGCTTCACGGTTGTGATTCCACGAAAACCTCTCCAAATTTTCAGCATTCCGTTAAAGAGGAGATTATTGGGAGTTTAGGGAATTAGGTTTCCGATGGGATCTAGTCCAACAAAACTTTGCTTGTGGTTAGAGCAATTTCCGACGGAGTGTACCAACGACCAATCAGATCGCGGGCGAATATCACAAGGAAATTATAAGAAAAATGTCTTAAATACCTCTCATTAACTTTAAATTCTTACGAGTGACCATGACAGAATATCGTCCTACAATATCGACCCAATAACAAGCAGAAAAGTGATAAGAATAAAGAAAAATATCATTTAGGGGAGTATTAGTTGATCCAATACCAAATTCTCCAAGCTCACATCGTAAGGGTTGTATGGTAGACAGTAGAGAGAGTTACTAATGAGATCTTCGGAGTGAAAGAGTCAAGAAAAGTCTGAGGAAGGGCAATTCATAAATTCATTTTCTTTAAAATGTTCAGTTTGCTGGGTTAGCTCCTACATCTAGCCTTTCCAGCCATAGAACGTAGTAGGATCAAAATCGAAGACATTTTTGACTCACAACTGAAGTTTTAATGTCAACCAAATGCTTTACAATGAAAGTTGGCGAAGTTTATTTCAAAATCCTACAGCAATATAGAGCTTGAACAACCTAACCTTTCTAAGACTGACCCCTTATGGAATGTTTCCACGAAAAAAATTCCCTCACGATCACATTAACATTTTTAATAAGCAAATGACAGACAATGCTAAGAAAATACATTTCAGCGAGCCTGTGTACGTTTGCCTACCTAAAAAAAATCATAAGGCTCATACGACTGTTCAAAGTTTTTTTGTTTTAAACCGTGTATCAGCCACGTCACATGTAAAAGAAAACGTGAGGCGCTTCTACATCGATGCAAACAGGATTCCTGTCTATTCAAGTCAAGTCGAAGGAACAAGAAATCAATTGGGCTTTGTCTCCGAAAATGGACTGGGCTTACAGTCACTAAAAGACATGTTACTCGGAATCGCGTGGTATTCCTGTGGCACCGCTGAGAAACGTCCTCTGGAAATATGTCGAATGGTCATTCTATTTCTTGATTGGCTAGAAACAAAAATAACCTTTTCCGTAAATTTCGACAAAAATTTACCGACACACTTGCTTCTGCAAATAAGTGACCGTGTGGCTTAAACTGGCGAATACACTGAGAAACCTATGACTTTACGACAAATTCATACCTACACAACAATATTACATACCTAGCCTCTGCTTATTTTACATTAGCGCTTCGCTCTACTTATTGAACTAGAAAACATTCAAAATTTATGTCTTAAATACCCCTTGCAGAGGTGCAATGCCCTCAACCTAACAAATCTATCACATTACAAATAATAATTACAACTGATGATATTTAAGTTAAGACACCTCGACCACGTTTGAATTATGTTCCCATATCACGTACGACGCCAAAATATTACATGAGCCAGCAAATGTTGTCCGTGGGACCAATCAATGATTTTTCGCAAAGGGCGGGGGGGGGGGGGATTTAGTCGGAGTTACTTGGGTATCACATGGTTTTCAAGGGGGACAGGTGTGGATCAGTCGTCGCTAACAGAGCATAAGGGAAGGCCTATAGAGAACTGACTACCAATGAAGGTGGGGGTCATCAGAATACTACAGAGTCTAAGGGGGGGGGGATCAAGTAAATTTTATCGACAAATTTAAAATCCTCCAGCCCCACCCCCCAGGGGATAGATTACAACCGGAAAACATGACGACAGTTGTTATGATAACCGCTGAGAAGCCAATAAAGCATTTAGAGGGAAAATGTTGTCTCCGATGCACGAGTCACGCAAACGCTTAACAGTCTCGTTTTCTGATTCTACCATCCCTAGCCAGTCACGTGCTTGCTTATTGAAGGAATACCGAGTTCCTGCTTTGTCTTTTTTACCGAACTCTCTTTTAAGCTAAAGACCCTCTGTTTTTTTTCACAGAGCAGGGTTGTTTATGAAAACTTCCTACAAATGAGTTTTTGTTATCCAGGTCACTCAAAGAAATATCATTAATTCTCTAATAAACAAGAAATATGGAAATACTTTTTCATTCCAATCAGATTGTTGCTGCATATAATTATGAATTAACTTCGAATCTCTTCCCGAACAAAGTGGAAAAACTGCCACCTCTCCAAAAATCTTAATTTTCTCTTTTACGAACGGAATTTCAACTGACCGACTTCACCAAATCAAGAAAAAAAACCCATCTAACTAATAAAACACAAAATGGATGAATGGTTGACTAACTAATACGAAGAACTTTTCAACGACAATGCTTGACGATGAATTGCTAGAATTGTACCTTGGCTATTGATTAAAAATTCTCAGTATCTAGTTACCCGTTAGATTTTGTAACCAAAAGATCTGAAGACCCATTTAGCAAGTCCCTTATATGCATCTGTAGACTTGATGTAGCTCTTTCTAGTTTCCCAAACGATGGCAATGGGAATCATTATCAACGCTAGAATGAACATAATGAAAATAAACATCTTAAAGCCATAATTCTCCACTTCTGCGGGACTTGGAGGTGCACTCTTATTGTTGGCCTGCAACACAATGTAGGATAGATACAATTGGTTTTCTTTGTACAAAGGTTCACTAGAATTGAGTATTTAACCATCATCTCCCTAAGAGTGATAAGTACCTAATTTCTCCCAACAGCATCAGCCTTGAATCATTACGCAAATTCCCCTTGTAATTACCGTGGAAAAGGTAGAGAGAATTTGCATACTGATGTTCGGGTGTAAAGGATTTAAGGATCTGCACAGGTCAAAGCCCAGTTTTCGTGGTTTCGAGTTACGTAATTTGAAAGTCATTTAGAGCATTGTTAGAATGGGTGTCGAGAGTCATCCGAGACAACTTTGCTCATGGATTGGTCTAGAAATCACGGACAATTCTCTCAACCAATGAAGTACATAACCAGCGTGGGCCTGGAGATGAGTGACGATGAAGACGATTGGGGTCTCCTTCATTATTTCCCTCGCCCTACCCGCTATTTTCTTTTGTCCCACTAAACTGACAACCTGAAAAATGTTATTTTGGGTCGGGAATTTCGACCCACCTCATTAGAAGGGCTGACGTCAGGGCCCACGTGATTCGTTGCTGGCGGACCGTCAGGCATCTCAAAAGACGTAAGACTCTCGTCAGGCGGAGGACTGGGGGGAAAAACTGAAGTTTCGAACCTCTTTAATTCAGTCTCTTCATTCGGAGTGATGTCTCCACCAACTTGGCCGTTGGGAGAGTTAGGGATATTCAGTACTCCGGTACTTTCCGAGATGCTATCCGAGGGAACTTTTATCCGCCGGGAGATCCTTACACTTGGTGCCCTAACAAACCGAAAAAATCGTGTAAGTGTAATTTTTAACCCAGAGAAAGGCGTCAAACGATGCAGTCAACGGCTAGTAGTTTGAAAACCGGATAAAACAAGGACTATCTTAACTAAGTCCTACTACATTTTGCGCCAAACTTAATTCTAGCGACGACTAAATATTTCTAAAGAGACCATCTCGACCAAATTTCATTCACCACACAATAATTTCTTCAGAACGACGCAAGTCGTCAGTTATTGTGAGGCGCGTTAAGAAAACCTGAAATATTTCGTAGAAAAGGTTGTGGTTATTCATCGTGGTGAATAACAATAAAAGCTAAGTTTTTCGTTTGTCTCACAATGTAGTCAAGTGTGATGTAGATCGCGACGTTTTGACTGCATACTGCTAGTCTTCTTCAAGCGATGAGGTCGACTGGTCATCCATGATCTTATGATCTCATGATCATGCATGACCAGTCGACCTCATCGCCTGAAGAAGACTAGCAGTATGCAGTCGAAACGTCGCGATCTACATCACACGTGACTACATCGTGAGACAAACGAAAAACTTAGCTTTTAAAAACTGAAATGTATGGATCTTGGGTGACGCTGTGCCACAACTAATCCGCAAAACCGCCACAGAATGTCAAAGTTGTTATAATTCTCGAATGACGTTGTTCTGCAAGGGTAAAATAGGGATTGTGTAGACGTTCTAATCGCCGTCGAACAAAGGCTCGAAATCTTAACTGGTGATTATTAGAGCTACATTTTATTATTCCCTGCCACAAATAAATTGATAAATTACGCAGCGGCCATTTGAAATGTCGCCATCACGTAGGGTACAGATTATACCAAGAGATATAACATAGTCATCAACCAATCAGAAGGCACATATTCTTATGGCTGATCACCTGCCACCTATTAATCGTTTAAAAAACTGTTAAAGATTGTCCGACGTTTTCCGCGTTAAAAAAATTGGTGATAAAGAAGACTTCCTTGCATTATTTATGTTAATAATTCATCTGATAAAAACCAATATGGATCTCATTTGATCCTAACATCACAGCAATAGATTTCAAAATAAATCTAGAACAACAGTAGGTTGGATAACTGGCCGATGTTCGGAAAAGGAAGACAACACTCGAGATAACAGCGGAAATCGAGCCAAGAAAAACCGAAGGAGCCGAACACATTCCGAATAAATGACGAAAACACAGAAGAGGTTTCGAATTCTGACTGGTCCAGAAAAGAACCACAGCTATTTCTAAATACGTCCATGATATTTTTCATTGTTCAGCTGTTGTTTTGCAATGAACACTCCTCTCGCATACTTAAACGACAAACGAGCGCTCTTCCGGAAAAAACATATACCAATAAGCTTTTAACCACACGCAATTAAACTGTTCACAAATCGAAACCTGAGTGCATAAATAGTCCATGTCGAAGTAAGATTTAATGATTCATCTCAGCTTATTTTCTGACCGAAAAAGCGACCGAGAAATGAATGCCAATTGTTTTTTCTGAGTCTGGGACTGAGAATAAAAAAATTTCGCGCATTGAAAAACAAAAAATACATTTACGACTGCCTTTGAAGCAGTGTTGTATTGAATGTAGTATTGAATGCCCCCTTTCTTTTTTTCTCTGAGTCCGAGAGAATAATGAGATTTCACGTCTCGAAAAAATAATGAATTAATTTACGGCTGTCTTTGAAGCAGTCTGCTGTATTTTCGTGAAAACGAGACAGAAATAAACGCCTCTTGTTTTTTTTCCTGAGTCTGGGAAAATAAAAAGATTTTACCCCTCCAAAAGATAAATAGGCAAATTTATAGCTGCTTTTCAAACGATCTATTGTTTTCACGCGTAAAAACGTCTTAATTTGCGCACCTTGTCTTTGAAAGCAAAACTCTGAATTGTTTTCAAGGTGGGATCAACGTCTTCACATAAAACAAACAATCCAAAATATACCATCGAAATATAAAATGACAACGACAAGAGGAATATTGAAAGACATGGACAAAATTTGCAAAAACATCTGTCGACCAAACGGGAACAGACGTAATCTGCCTTCATCAGAGGATATAAATATGAATCTAGATATCCTTGGACTTGAAATGTGTTTCTTTGGAACAAAACAGAACTGCAGTCTTTACTTGAAAGAAATGTAAATGTTGAAAGTTAGAACGGAACTGGAACAGCTGCTCAGGAAATGGAATCAGGTCAAAGGGATACATTCGATTTTAAAACTGAACGGACGTCACCGGGGATTGCACTGGTCGCAGGTTACTGCCCATCAGCGCGGTATATATGGCAAACAATGCAGTACGGTGATGCAAGTCAAAGTATACAACTGTACGTATAAATAACTAAGTAAATAAATGTATAAAGCTAAAAGGAACTCACCTCTTGATCAGTGGCTCTGGACGACTGATCTTCTCACTTTCTGCGATCAGCTGGTCTTGAGTAGGCCCGCTAAAAGTTCAATAATTCAACAGAAGAATCCACTCTTATTTCTCCACGTAAACTCAACTCTAAAAGCGAGAACTGCTCGCTGCCTTTTGCGCTGAACTGGTTTTAGACCTCAACACAGCAGTAAATTCAAAACAGAAAACCTACTTAAGCCGTATTTACACGCATGTCTTAATATGGAAAACAAGCGTCCAATCAAATACATCTATTTCTATGCAGATCGCCCTCTTAGTAGACTAGCGGTCTACCGCTGCCTTTGAGACCTCACCGCCCTCTGTTTAGGCTGCGAGCAGGCTCTGTGTTTGGGTTTCGCCTGACGGCACAGCTGCTTAATATGCCATCGACGGCTGCTTATGGAAAAAAATTGAAGCCACTGCGAGTGCAATTAAAGAGGTTTTTACCAATACAAAAACAGTTTTCCCCTCCAGAGGTACAAACAATGATTTCACATTCACACCGCGCGAACACAGATTGCACAGCTTAGCAGAGTCGATCGAGGCGTACACAAAATAACGCCCTTAATATCTCAGAATAGTTTTGATTGCATGAGCCTTCCAAAGGGAAATACTTTTGAAAATAACGAATTGCCTCGATTGCGACAGTGAGAAGTAAACACTTTCATAAGAAAATTTACAACTTTCTGCGGGAATGAGGCTGTGTTACGTATCTCTGTTACGTGTTCCCTATACATGTTCCTGTCAAGGGTCCCTGTGAAGTTCCTTTCCCCTGTTCCTACTACATGTTTCTACAACGCGCCCCTCAATAAGTTCCTTTCCCCTTTTTCCATATTGTGCGCTCCCAAAACATGCCCCTAATAGGTTCCTTTTACCTGTCCCTGTCGCGAGTCATTGTTCCATATCCCTACCGCACCTCTCGGTTCGGTGCCCTTCACCTGTCCCCATTGTGTGTCCCTTTTTTAGGTCCCCACCACGAGTGAATGTTCCCATGAGGTTACCCTTGCCGAATTATAGATGCCCCGCTCCCGCACAGTGGTCTTGTTGCATACACATATCCCCTTACACGAATCATCGCAGAGACATACTTACATGTACTTGTGCTTTGATCTTCTAAAAAGCCTCTGAGGTGAAATTGCCTTTCGTTTGGGCTTTACTACTGGAGTCTCTGAATGACTATTAAGACCAAAAAGACCAAAAAATATTCATGGAACCAAAAACAAGTTACGAGCATAGACTTTTCAAAAACATTTATGTATCAAAAAAAATTAAAGTGCAATTAGCCAGCTATCAATCCAATGGCTACAAGGGAGTCAATGTAGCCCCCACCCCTTTCCAAGACGGGATCTAAGTCCACCGCTAATATCCTAACCTTGCCCAATTGAGAAAGGTGCAGGAGGTCGAATGAAAGAGTGCTCTGGGAATGATACTCACCTGTCACCCCCCTCCCCCTTCCCCCTAAGTATTTCATCAGGTTTCTTGGATAGTTCATTTAGAGAGGTTTAATCATTTTTAATAATTATTCTTTTTTCTCTCCAGATGGAGTGGTGGTTTGACAGTTAAGTCTCGTAACAAAAAGAAAGCACAACAAGCCTTGCTGGGGCTCAAACCTGGGTATTTGAAAGTGTAACTTTGTATTTTCCCTGAAATCCCAGATGGGTATCTGTTAGTGATGTGATTGGTATGTTTGTTCCAACTTCACTCACTTGATAATTACCTGTAAAATGCAAGATGTTCTATAGCACATTTCCATAAATGCTTGCATGCCAAAGGATCAGGGAGTCTGAAGCCATAGTTGGCCTTGCGCTGAAAAACAACAATAACAACCAAAAGGCCAGTTAAAAAGATAAGTTGCCCTCCTGTAGAAACTTTCCACCCAACAGTAAAACAATTATTATAAAGTTGGCTTTTACTCTGTTATCATAACTTAATCTGCTTTAAATTATAACCCTTTCACTCCTAGGACCTCATTGATAATTCACCTTACTGTCTACCTTACAATATTAAAGATGTTGGTTTGGGGAATTTGGTACTGTATCAAGTCATAATTCTCACACACAAATATACTATTTCATTCTCATCACTTGTCTGCTTGATTTGTACTGATAATGTAAAGAGATATTCCGTCTTGGTCACTCAAGGTTGAAACATTGTACATAGTTCATAAAACATCTGTCAATTTAATCTTCAAAACTCAAGAATAAACTTAAGGGAAGTTATTCTCTTATTTTACTTACATCATCCTTTTGAACCTGCACATAAAAGACTTTGTTCTCATAGGTGCACTTTACAACTTCACTCCTTCAAACAAAAGAACAGAAGGAAAGTTTATTCTTCTTTCAAAAGAGCATATTTGGGAAAGATAAATATACATATGGCAATTACCTGTCTAGGTATTTCACACCTCAATGGCTGATGATCCATATTTAATATGTTTGGATATGAGCCAGAAAAACTGAGTCGTACACTTGAACTAATTGCTTACTTGTAAACTTTCCAAATAACACTCATACAAATAGGCAAACAAAGTTATCTTTTCTGGTTTTTACTGGTTCTGTTTGACTTTTCCTTTCTTTTGATAAGATCCCACCAGAAATATTTTTTTCCAGCAGTGGGAAGGAACAACAGCAGAGGGAAAAAAAAGGACCAATTTGTCATTTCACTGTAATTGGAAGTTTCCCTGCCAGTGTTACTTTCACAACAAATGAAATATAAAGAACATGTATAACAAAAGGCAATCTATGACTGCATGTGCCTACTGTTGTAGCAGTAAAAAAGCAATGTGATGTAAAATGCAGAGGGTAAACAAAACAGCCCATGTTGAAGCCAATTTAGTGACAAAAGGAGGACTTGTTTATAACAGAGTTTGTACACCTGTTAATTGAAAGGCTGTACAGTAGATAGGGCAGGAAATGAATGTGCATCAAATGTATTTTGGAAGGCATAGGAGGCACAAAAAGAAAAAGAGTGAATGAAATTAAATTGAAATGAAAATTGTGGGAGGTGTTTGAGCTTGAAATTTTACACAATTACCTAGTCCCACGACAGGTGCTGCAGACACAGAGACTCCCATGAAACAAGAGCTATTGAGTTGGAGGATTTGAAACTGGTAACCTCTGATATCAAATTCACCACCCAAAAAGACCACTTTGCTATGCCCTGTTCTCCAATTTACATGACAACAAAATGGAAGATCTGATATACCCTACAGCCAGAGCATACCCTATATCTGATATACCCTAGCCAGAGCACTGACTAACCAAACAAATCCTGACACTTTCTTTCCTTCTCTGATGATGGCAATTCCTCCTGGAGTGAGACCAAGGTAGAGTTGAACATTGTCTTGATCCTGTGAATGAAACAAGCATTGATTCTGATATTTAGTATTCTAGAAACCCCTGTGTACATCAAAGTTAAACACAAAAGTACTACAGAATCTACCTTTCTCAAAGATCAGCTAGCTTCAACTAAGAAAGCAAATCTAATGATGGTTGAGAAAAATAAAGAAGCTGCCTGTGCTTGAGCCAAATGGTTTACCCAGCCAGAGCTTATCCTGGTTTCCTAAGCATGAAGTGAGTATTACTAGGAGTGTTACTACATGTACTTCCCCTGGATGGGATGCCAGTCCATTTCAAGGTTACCCCCCTCCTCCAGCATTTTATCAGGCTACCCTGACAACGTGCTGGTACCCACTCAGACTCCTGGGTGGAGAGGGACACTGTGAGAGCAAAGTGTTTTCCCAAAAACGCCAGTTTTCTTGAACCTTGACCTGTTGTCCCAAGTCCAGTGCAATGATCAATACACCTCCTTGTTTCTCTCAATGATTATGATGAGGTGGGAAATGATGACAGCATCAATATCACGATGTTAATCTGTCTCATACCTTGCATGGGTGAGGATCCACTCCATACATATCAAGAGCCTTGACTTTGTCAAGAAAGTTCTTCTCAGCCACAGAAGGTACCTGGCCACTGTGAGAGAAAAAATGTTTGACATCTGATCAATTAAGGGTCAAATAAAGCTGTTTATTCAAGACAGCTCTTAAATAGTTAGCAAAGTATAAGAATTCTTGTGGGATATCATAGCTTTGGGACAAGCAAAAGTTTCCTGTGAACAAATGTGCCCCTCAAATGAAGCAACAAATGTTACAAATATTTTCAAACAGTGAATAGAGGTGCGCCAAATAAGAGGTTCACTGTATGAACCCATCAACTGTGTTTTTTCAGATGTCCAAAGAAACTACTGTCCAACAGACTAGATGCACCTGTTAACATATATCTATTTATTTCCTGTGAAATAAGTTAGGAGCATGGTTGTGCTACATGCAAGTCTCATCGTAGGAAAGAGCATTTAACAGACTTACGCAAGCTGCTTGTGAATTTCCATAATCTTCTTCTCAAGCTTTTCTGACTGTTTTGGAACAATGCGGAACTCAGATACATAGGAGTCACCGTGCTCATCTGGATCATAATCCCCTATCTCACCTATTAACAGAGAAATGAATCAATGAACTTTTATTGAACTTTATCACACTTCTCAAAGGAATTATAAATATACTTATATCATAGACTTAAATGAAATACCAGGATTTCCACTGTTTTTAAAACATGATATCTTAACTGCGCTCAGTCAAACATACCATCCATATCTTCATGTGTGAAGATTTGAATGTTTTTATAATAGCTAGGTCAATCAACATGGCACTTTTACTTTTCGTGAGGGTTTTATTTAAATTTGCTAACAGTACAAAGTTTTAATTCATTTTTCCTAAGATAAGGTGGATTTTCTGGGGGCTGAGTCTACATGTACGGTACATGTCTGTGACCTCTGGTTTTGTAGTTTTTTCCTGAATATTAAATATTTTTATCTCAATATGTAACGTATATCTTTAAAATAAACAGAATATGACACGTTTGTTTTTTGATACAATTTGATCTGCTTTTGTTGATAACATCTTACACTTGTTTACTTCAACCACTTGTGAGGGATATTATTATGCACAGTGGAAGATAAACTTCCCCTTCAAGGCTAGTTGTGTGGTTTCCTTTACATATCAGGTAAATCTAGGTCCCTTGCACTTATGCCAAATTCAGTTTATATAATTAAGTAAATCAAATCGCAGTGATAATAGAATGATAATTTTATTTTCTGAATTACCTTGCACAATGAATGCTCCCAGTTCAACCAAATCATTAAATGAGCAAAGGAGTCTGTTACAAATAAAATTGAGAAAATTCTTATTTAAATAGAGTGAAGCATATAACATGATGATATTGAATTTTGCGTGAGAAGTGGAGAGAGAGTATACTTAAACATCCGCAAAGACACGCCTCAAGTGAACAAAAAAAATCTTGTCATCTGAAAATAATTCTGCTTATTATTGATTAGAAGAAGCCCACCAAGACAGCCCACTCCTTGAAAGAATTCTATGATTAATCAATCTGACAGGATCATTCGCTTCCTAAATTGTATCAACTAGAATACTTAAGCTAGCATTAATCTGATTGAAGATGCTTATTCCATTTGATCATATACAATATGTTAGTTGAAGCAGACAAACAACAACTACACACAAAGGTTTCCTCGTAATAATTTCTTTCACACGAACCAACACATGAAATATCAGGCTTTTCCCAAAGCCAGTTGGCAACACGACCAGTAGATCCTTTCCAGAACCAGAGTAAAAATTGCTTCTTTTGGTTCCAATTTTGATATACAAGACATATTAAATTCCGAAAAGCACTCAATTGCCTCCTCCAAAGCGAAATTGAAACTAACAACTACATCATTCACATTTTCCCGCAGGAGCAAAATGTCCAAATGACACATTTGGCTTATGATTGACAGCTAGAGCTTAACTGCATCAATCAGGAACTGTTCATGGGTGAACAGAGTTTTGCAAAATATCATTGACCTCAGACAGGTATAATCTTCACTCCCCTATCCCCCGCCCCTCTCCTTAATTTTTGACCGTCAATTGCCCTCTTGGTACAAATCGCTTTCTCTCCTTAGCCTTGCGCTACAATTGAAATCAAAGACAGTGGCCATAGTTTTTCATAAAGAAAATACAGAGCATTGTTTACCAAAATTATACCTGCCCTCCAGGTTAGCAATAGCACAGCCTAACAGAGAACCAGCAAATCTGGTGTACATCTCTTACCTGCCATGCAGAATATCCCTTTTCACTTGAAGGAAAAACTGATACCTAAGTTAACATATAGAAGAATTATTTCATTTCAACAAATCACTTCTTAGAAAATGAGGAAAGTGTTTCAGTACACTCAAACATTTCACTCCTATCCCCTTGCTGATATATTTTTGTTATTCACATCACTTGTCTGCTTGATATGGTATTGATATTGTACAGAAAAAAATGATCTTGGTCACTTGTGGGAGTTGGAGGCTTAAAACTCCTATTATTTTTCACCTTCAGGTCCTTGGAGGCCATCTACCAAAAAATTTAACCGTTTTATTTCCTCATTTCCCCTGCCAAATTTTCATTTTATGGAAAGGATTACAGAAAATACAATTCCAATTATCATTAACCTGTATAACACACCTGGTTATTTCCTCGTGGAGAGTACTTGGATCCACAGCATAAAACTTCACCCTGAAAAACAACTTGTAGGGAGGCTTCAGAGCTGCAAGTAAAGAAAAACAAACAAAAAGTTTAAATATTAAGCATACAAACACCAACCCATCATCCTCAAGTGGTCTATAATGGATCTCTGGTCACTGACAAAACAAACTTGTATGACTACAGCTTCAAAATTACATTTTCTTTAATATTACAAGCTAAATAAACTCAAAACTAGACAAAAAAAACATTACACCATGACAATCATCCTAATTTCCACAAAAACCTTGATTAAGAAAAAAAAGAGAGAGAGCTGAGGAGAGAGGATTGTGTCCAAACTCTCTGGAATATATTTGGAACTTTTCAAGTGTATTTGGAAGTGATCATATCCTGTGCAAAAAAAAATGCTGCAATTTCAAGTTAAAAACGAGTGGCTGGTGTACTACAACACTTGCCCCAACTTTAATCCTAACAAGACCGTCAGTTCAAATCTTAAAAAAGCCAGGAACAACAAACTGCTCTGAATTAGCCATAACAAGGGTGATACTGGTTGAAAAAAACCACCTTGACTTCAGCCCAAAAAAAACCCATATAGTATAGAATTCTGCTTTACTTTAACTAGAAATACTGAAGGTAATCTGAATAAAAATTAGGACTAGAAAATACTTACTCTTCATCTGTCTGATAACACTCTTATTAAGATCAAGCCAATGCTACAAACAAAAAGAAAATGTCAAAATAAATTGGTGATCATTTCTATTCTTCTCATGACCTTTACATTTGATTTAAGGGTGATACTGTGAGGAGAAATTCGAAGCTAATCACTCTTGGGGGCTAAAGAGTTAGTGCATTTGCTCTTTACCAATCTGATGCAAGGTACTTTGTTAAGTACACAACAGGAAAACATTTGTTGAACACAGAAATTATGGTGAAGTTATCATGGGTCATGGCAATCAAAACTTATTTACTAAAAGCTAATCCACTTGCAATAATGACAATTTAGAGCATGATTTTCAAGGCTCATTGTGTGACAAAGTCCTTCAATTGAGCACGTGTCATTAAAAATCAATGTGTAGACAAGCTTATCTCCTGAGCAATCACGGAAATTAGTGCGAGAAAGGGCGTTGAATTTAAGTAAGACACACATCAAGACCCTTTTAATTAATACCGCTGTGGGACTTTAACTTTTTTATTTAAAACTTGAAAAAAAAAAAATAAAAAAGATCACAATTAAAAACAAAGAAAAACCTAAATATTAGGAGCTGCAAAAGACGCCATGCCGTAAACAATAATGGCAAACCTCTTAAAGTTCCTAAAGCAAGCAACTAATATACATCACCTAATAGATTTCAAAGTAATTTGCACACAAATACGTACCCGTTGTTTAGCATCATCAACAAAGCGAAGGCCAAAATAATCTTTCTCCAGCAAATCAAGGGTTTTGCAAACTTCATCAAAGACTGCCTGGCCCTTCACGTCTCGCTGTATTCACAGACAAACAAAGAAGAGTTGATAATTAATCTTTATATTTGGACTGTGAACAGCAGCACCAAGCCCAAAAATACAACATTTCAGGATAACACAGGATACAACCCACTACTGCTTCACAAACCGGCCAAATCAACTCGCTTGAGCTACATACAACATGTCACCGTTGGTAAAAACCAGCTGGACGTTGCATATCATTTAAGTTTCGAAGGGGTTTCGAGCTGCATAAATTGATGAAGCTGACAACATATATGCAGATGTTTGCCGGCGAGGTAAATGAAAAGAGACACACTGTGATTTGGTGCAATTCCCCAAGACAAAGATTGTTTCTACTTTGATATTGACCACGACTTTTAGTCAATAAACCAGAATTTTTTCAAACTAAGGTTCCTCGAGGTGGAAATTCTTGTGAGCACTCTGGTTTCACGTGCTCACTGCAGAATACAAAGATCAATACCCAAACATCGTACGCAAACAATCCGACACTGTACATTAGCACGTTTCCTTTGACACTCAATTTTTAACTAACTAAGTAAGAAATACTGACAGGTAGTCTGAATAAAATAAGACAAGATCGAATAAAGTAACTCCACGAGCAAAAATCTTCAACCTCGTTATGTCACGCTTGAACAAGTTTAAGATGATCGCGTGTAACTTCAGCTAGTGTTCATTTCGTCGCTATAGTTCGTGAAATTTCTGTCACTGCCAATATTGCCATCTCTTCGAATGTGTGACTCTAAGCTTTTCTTTAACAACTTACGGACTTTAAACGCATTCGTGTTAAAAATGCTAATTAGTTTTTCCCTAGAACAAAAATGGTTTTAACCACTCCGGAGTGTGTTTGTATGAATCGCATTTTACAAAGCGACCGCGATGGGAAAGTATTATTCACAAAAAGTTTCCGAAATTCTACAAATATCGGGAGGGCAAGGAGAGAAGTAAATCCCATCGATTTACAAAAAATATGCTAGTCATGACAAATTTACACAATGAAAGATATATGGCAGTTCGATGTTTCTTGGTCATGCACGAACAAACTTTTCGAAGTGTAGAGGGAAATAAAAATGAATTAGGCGAGATTCCACGAACGATCGACACAAACAAAGTTTGAAGACAAGCAAAATTCGAATTTATCTCTCCCTATAAAAAGGGAATACGAATTTCGAGGCATTTGCTCCGAATCCACTCCATGTTGCAAATTTATTCCACGAAACGTATTCGTATTTGTTTACTATCATTCCGGTCCTTCGAAAACGCACAGTGTGTCTGAGGTTTAAGCCTTAATGATCCCTACTAAAATTTCAATAAGCGCTTTCCCGACTAAAGCTAAATTACAGGATCTGTTGAGAGAAAACAGGGAAAGATTACAGGTAAGTTATGCAAGTCTGACCGCCATAATTGCAGAAGGAAGCAGCAAAGATCACTTTGATACAGCTCGTCTTTTATTACTTACTCGAGACAAAAATCTTACCTTAAAATCGCATGTCAATTCCGTATCGTCTAGAAGGCTGATTTTACACTGAAACTCTCCCTCTAGGTTACTCCTACTGCCAAACTTTATCATCTTTGGTTGACTTTAGAGTAATTTGCCTGAGCTGCTCATGGACAGGGTTGCACACGGTGATCGGACGCCGAAAGAGTTAGCCTCACTGCCGCGTTCTTTCTAGTGCTCTCCCAAGGAACATTGCGCATGATCATGAATTTTTAAGAAACCATTGCCCGGATGTAAAAGCCACAGGTGTACGTACACGTTAACTCGCTTAACTCTCACGAATCGACCGCAAAATCTACCGTTCGTTTTCGCAATTTCACAAGGATAGGTTCAATTCGAACGGTTCTGAGGTTACGTTTACAAATCAATTCCGTTAAAAGGAAACTGGGGAAGGTCTCAACGAAGGCATTCTTAGAACATTTTCACCCTCGGAATTAGCAAGACAGCAAGCATTGTTCCTCTTCAAGCAAACGCAAGTGCCTGCAAAAAGCAGCGTTCAACTTTCAAAGAGTACTTTGCACTAGCAAGATGGCCGGTATTTCATTGATTTTTTTAGATGGGAGGGGGGGTGAGGAGGGTGGTACCGGCAACATCCGGGGAAGGCAAGCAGGAAGGGTATGGGACAAGGGATCGAGAAGTTCTCACTCTCTGTCCCACCCCGACTCTCCCTTTCCTACTAATACGGCCGATGTGACGTCTCGAGAAAACGTTCTGTTTCTTTTTGTAATCTACGACTTTCACCTGAAAAAAAGGCAATTTGTATTTTTTTTTTAATTTTTAATCTCCCTTTTTATGTTTAACAGAAAAATATTGCAGGCAATATGAGGTTAGTGAAGCTGCTATTGAAACTATAGTACTTATAATGATGTTGCGTTTCGGTCAGCTTTGCGGAACAATCTAAACAGTTCTCAAACCTAATATCTGATAACGTCGTGTAGTTTATGGCTTATTTTGAGCATAGCGGCCTCTTCTTACGATTTCTCTCCTTTGTCTCAAGAGAGATAAAAACGATATCTCACCACCGAAGACGCCAGACTATCTTCCCAATGACGAAAACTACGACCATGACAGAAATGAATGTCTTGAATGAAGAGAATGATGATCAAAACCCGTCAAAACTCTTTACGAGCCGACCGAGACCTTCCAATTTACGCATTTCGCCTCGTGCGACCCACCAGGCGTAAAATGTGGTTTCATTAAAGGCGAAGCAATAAGACTGCTTAGAACTAACTCTTCAAAAAAACATTTGAAGAGGGCCTTTTGAAATTCAAACAACACCTGAAAGCAAGAGGGTACCCAGAAAACATCATAGAAAGGTCTCTGTCAGGGGTCAACTTTGTCTCTGGACAATCGGCTCTTACACATACACAAAAGCCAAAAGGTCACGGACGTTTATTGATTTGTCACAACGTACCACTGGGCCGTTTAAAAATTTAAAACAAATATTGATGGAACATTAGAGTCTGATACACAATAAGCCCTTGCTGTAAACAAGTTTCACAAAACCTCCAATCATCTCCTACAAAAAGAGGGGAAAATCCCTTAAAGACATGTTTGTAAGAGCAAAAATATAATTTGAAGGCGATAATGCGACGCGACCACAAAAGTCACATGGGGAGCGCTTGTCTGTCTGTCTTTACTTTTATTCTCATAATTTGTTAATGAACTAATGAAATGGTAAGCCTGGAAAAATGCCCAAGACCACTCAGAGATTGAAAGTGCCCTTTATCTCAGTGCCAGCCTGGAAATTTAATTCGTTTGTGTGCACTTTACTAATTACAATGATGTTGTTTGGTTCACGAAATTCAGAATGTCTGTTACTTATTTTGTCGCATGTGGGCGAAGAAAATTTTTAATAACAGAGAGTTTCCGCCGGATTTCGTCTCTGAAAAGGTCCTTTCCTTTTTGACTGTTATTCTGTTATTGTTGAGGAGAGGGACAATCCGTATCAGAAGAAGAGAAAAGAATAGTTTTAAATTGAGTTTTGTGGTCCTTTCCCCATATTTTTCTTCCGATTTTTTTTGCAACTGAAATTTATCGCTTCCCTGATCATGACTTCCACTCAACTAACTCACTTGATTTCTTGTTTACAGAGGCGTCAAAATTTGCATCGATTTGTAAGATGATTAAATCAAAATGCAAATGTATTTTCGGTAAATATCTACTGTCATCACTTTGTCGGGCATTGTGGCGCGTTTTGCGGGTTATAATGGAGATCTTGGCGAGCTAAAATGTATTTCAGCCCGCTTGCACGTTCGAGTAAATGTTCAAACCGTTTTTGTTTTTTTTTTTTTTTTTATTATTTGATCAATGCCCTCTACAGTGATAGTAATAGAAGTTTATGTTTTTGTACATAAATCTGTTCTGGGCCCCTGTCAAAGTTCATTCTAGCCATCGCTTTGTGACTCAAACTGAAATGATTGTGAGTCGTGCTCAAATCATATTGATGCCCGCGAGTATGCAGTCTATTGATTTATTATTTTCCTTTTAAGAAATTCCTTCCATATTGGGCACGCGGTCCTCAGAAAAATCGGATTTTAGAATCACCAATTATTCTTAGCATGTCATAATATCTACCACACTGGCGCCTTACGACTTATAATAATTACGAGCCAGTTTTTCCGGATTTGGATCTGCTTCAAGTGTTTACCGGTATTGTTGTATAAGAGCGAATCTACGAGGGGCTTCGTCACGGTTTGTGTTGCGCATGCGTAATCGATCGGCGTGCTCGAAGAACCTCATAGCTTTTATATCTGTCACTAAAAAGAGTGTATGACAAATGACTACTTACCGTGGTTTGCGACTCCAAACTAATAAATCGTTCGACTGGATTGTCTACAGGTTTGCTGAATATTGGTCTTTAATTGGACGCTGCCATCGAGAAGGGTACCTTAGTAACTTGGCCGTACCAACAAAACCACAACGCGTGAACCAGAAGCAGTTGCGGCTTTGGTATTCGGAAAAAACATCATCATTTGAGTCGAGAGTGACTTTTTTGTAGCTCTTAATTGTTCAAAAAAACTGGCTGGCTGCTGGAAAAGTGGAAAGAGGATCAAGACTCTATTACATCACAAGCGAACGGCTGAGGCAACCTCGATCCCAGGGTTCGTTCTCTTCTTCTTCTTCTTCAGGGAGGAAGATAGACTACTCTGAGACCTTGGTAATTTAGTATTATCAACTGAGTTGATAACGTGAATTGGCTAACGTTAAAATCTGAGTTTAAAAGCTTACGTTTCGGGCGTTAATCCTTCTTCAGAGCGATTGGTAGGGTGTGGATTGTGTGTGTGTTTATCTGCAGAAAATGGAGCTACGTTATTGGTGGGAATGTGGTGACGAGAGAATAAGAATAAATTATTTGAATAAAAAGCGCTTGTTAATACCGTGGGAACTAAGAGCGCCGATTTGAGAGATAAATTAATGTTCTAGAGTTTTGCGGCTCGGCGAACTGCTTAGATGTAGGGAAAGGCCGCAAACTGCCATATGCTGCTTAGAATGGTTAGCGACTGGTTTGGATGCGTCCTTGACATTTCTTTCTACGTCGCGAAGGTGTTCTCGGAATCTGTCGCCTAGTCGTCTTCTTGTTTCACCAATGCACAATTTTTTGCAATAAGTTATGAAGTAGATGACATTGGTGGAGGTGCACCTGAAGTGATCAGTGATCAAAATGGATCTATTTGGTGCCGACATTCGTAGAGAGGTCGTAAAGAATTTATTGAAATCGAGACAAATCATACAGTTTCAATAGCATACTTCTCCAATAATCATTTATATTTCTTCTTCCCTCATTATTACCTTTCTGGTGGTTTTCTGTCTTAGTAAAGCAATATTTAGTAGTTCCCTGTAAATTGAAGGTAATATTAACAATATTGGGCGTCGAAAACATAGACTTAGAATATCATGACTTAGCTGCTATCTTCAATCCGCTCTACCGATTATCACAAAAATATATCGCTCACACATAAACTCAAATATGACTTAACACGCTCCACATGATAAACTGAGTTTTAATCGAAAAACTTCGAAAAGTCCGAACTCTTCAACAAAATCAGTGCAAACGGGAAAATCAGGGATATCGTCTAGGATTACTTTCGACACTTAAATTGAAAAATCCTTTTTCTCTAGGCTGATACGCCTTAGGACAACGGGTACTAACCCTAAGCTGAAACAAATGAACTGCATCATCCATTTGCAGGCATGCAACGGATATTTCTTGCACTTTGGTAAAGACTCCAGACGCCGTCATCATGGTAAAAGACTCGAGAACAATCAGAGTTCACGGCTAAAACCTCTGCCCCCCGCACTTGAGGAGTCTTGTCCAGGAGTGAGCGCACAAGTACGACACCTCCGTATGCACAGCGATCGATGTTGAGGTAGTAATGCACCCCTTTAATAAAGAAAACGTGAAATATGAAATAATCTTTCACAAGGATATTTTTGAGGAGGGGTTCTGGTCGGTTAGTCTACACAAAATGGCGTGCGTGTGTTTAATTTTGGACTTATAATCGTTGACGAAACGCATTTGATTTCTCCGAGCTTTCACATACTCTGCAGACCAACTGACTCAGGGTAAGGTAATAATCCCGCTTGAATACTGGGACTACAAACCTTTCATTAGATGTGATGTAACATATTTGTCAATAGAATAATTCAACGATATCATGCATCTGGGAGCACTTTATTCCTGCTGTTTTATTTCATTTTTTATTTTCTTCATACAAAGTAAATTCGTTTTCGTATAATTCAGCCCTTTGAAAAGAGGCTTTATCTATTTCATGCTGTTGTTTTCTGGAGCAATTTTTGTCCGAACGTCGAATATAATCTGAGATTCCAAAGGTTTAGTTTAAATACGTGCTGCGATTGTTCTAGAAATCTTGCACCATCGTCTCTATCGATCAGAAAGATGGAAATCAACTGAGTGGACTTTTTCCCGCGTTTGAGTCCTTTTACTTATCTTAACTCCGATTCTTATCGGCTCTTCGCAATATTTTTTTCTGTTCTGATTGGACGTTGTGAATTCTTTGATTAGTGCGCTTTTCGATTGAGCGCCGTAAAACCAGAACCAAAGTATTTAAAAAGGCCAATCACAACAAAGGAAAAATCCCAAGGAGCCAATGAGAACTCAAGGTAAAAATAACTACACTTCCTGAAGCGCGGGAAAACACGGGTGACCAAGTCGTGATTTAGTTTTAAATCTGATTGGTTAAGAAAGTGACGCGAGTTTTCAAGACAACTTACTGAGAAAGTTATCCCGTATCACTTTCGATGCTTACTCGAAAACTGTTCCAAGGTTGCCAAAAACGTAATTGAAAATCACTGAGGTCGTTAGCATGCTCTTGGCTGCGAAGTTAATAAAAATAAATACCTGGCTCATTATGAGGACGGATCTTAAGGTTCAATTTCTTTCTTAAAGCCTCCCAGCTGAACTCAATTCCATTCACTGACGGTGTCTGTTAAGATGTAACAATAAGAGTAATAGTTATGTAAACGAGCTCCTCTTAATAAATAAAACGTCGTGTAACGAAACTGTTCTGAATCAACAGAATGTAAAGTCTGACCGTGACAGTTAATTGTTACACTTAAATAACAATCCATTCATATTTATTACATTGGCTGATTTAATCAGTTGATAACAGTAATCTCTGTTTGCAAGCTAAAGGCTTCAGAAAAACAATAGCATTTTAACTTCACCTTTGAATTTCACATCATTGTCTATTGACAAAGAATTCAATTTAATTAGGTTAATCAGACCTTAGTATTTTGAAGAAGTCAGTTACAGGATAATACCTGTTGTTCTTATTGAGTAAATAAGTTATTTGTGGAATTTTCTACAAAATTTCCAATCAGTTTCTCTCCCTTAGTTTACTCTTACAGTCAACCATAGGAGTTTCAGTAACTTTTACCCTGACTGAGTGGGCCTGGGAAAGGGTTTGTAGGGTGAAACCCAAACACAAGAGCTGGCTGAGTTTTAAGAACAGAGGAGGAATTATCTTAACCTGAACACTTAGTTTACCTGGTGATCATTTGTCTTGAAAACGAAAGACAAAGTGTGGCCTTGGATGCTTTCCCTTCTACAATGCCAATAATGAAGCTTAGATCCTGGAGTATAATACTCATATAGGAAAATCATGACAATACTCAGCACTAATGTTACAGGGATTTTCCAATGGAGTCCTGAAATAGCAAAAAGTGAATCAACAAGATTTGAAGATTTATTTTTGCACTGAATACCACATATAAGTTACAATAGTAACATACATGTACTTACACTTCTAACAGTACCATATTACATGACAATACTGGCATTTTTTCAGAAGCATGTATTGTTATTTACAGAATGTTATGATCATCCAAATTACCTACAGTATATAGCATTACTCAATAGCCAAATACATAACTGAAAGGTGAAGTCTACACTCAAGCCATGTTGCCCATCCAACCAGACCTTTATCGTAGTTTCAGTAGCATGAAGCAACAAAGAGTAATTTACTACTCCCCTTTGGATGAATACCAGCCATTGCAAGGTTACCCCCCAGAATTTCATCAGGCTTCCCTGACAGTTCCCCAGGACCCATTTAAACTCCTGGGTGGAAAGAGCCTTGCCCAAAAACACAACACAATGACCCCTCCAGGTCAAAGGGATGTTTAAAAACTTGCTCTTCTTCTACACTAAAACAATTTCAAAAATTATCAATGACATTGACTAATTTTCAATCATAAATTTACCACTTGTGAGCCAATTGTTTCCTTCTGAAGTCAACTTTTCCATTCCTTGAGACAAACCAGCAACTTTCCCTTCCAAAACCTCTTGTTGACATTGAAGACCTTTGTGTTTCTCTTCGTAACTATCTTTAACATGCTGTATGAGAGATGCATTTGATGATGCTATCATTTCATTTTCCACTAGAGTTTCTTTCATCCTCAACTGATCCTCTTTAAGGACACTGAGGCCACTTTCTAAGGCCACATGGCTAGCTTCAAGTCGCTTGATGTCAAGTTCAAAAAGTTGTGTCAAACTTTGCAGATTCTTTCTTAGTCCCTCATGATCCTGCACCCAAGTTTCCTTATTTTTTTCAACAGATATAACCAATGTTGCCATTTCCTCTTGTACAAGTTTCAGCACATCACCATTAACAGGTTGTCCAAAGCACATGTTTGTTCCTATTATTGTATTTGAAATGATAAATTAGGTGTTACCATCTCATGAATATTAAGCAATTATTGGATGAGGTTGAGCATGATATCATGAATTATCAATGCCATGGTTGGAGTTATTGACCAAAACCAAAAGCTGAGGCAGATAAAACAGAAAGGAGGTTGAAAATTCATGACATCATGCAAAAACTGAATTCAAAAATTATTTTACTTTGATACATTTATTTGACAATCTACAAAAGAACACACTTTTCTGTGAGTTTACAAAAAGTTACAAACAGTTCTTCACTGACAAGAGGTTAGGAAACTAGGCAGACTTTGAACTCAACATGATAACCCAATATCTGCTGCAGATTTTGGGTTGTCATGTCAACTTTAAATGCTATTGCACATTGACTGGGTGCTCTCAACCAATCAGAGTTTTGATAGTAAGTCTAATAGTACTTGTTATAACCCCCCCCTTAGCCTAGTGATGGTGACATTAAAAAGCTGATCTCAAATACTGCAAATTACAAAAATGAACAAGAGGGTTATAAAATAAATAAACCCCCTTCTGGCTTTCTGGTATTGATCAGTCAAATTTCACATTTGCCCCAAAAGCTTTACTTCTTAGCCAAATATTTACTTCTTGGACGATATCTCAGCCTCAGGAGACATACCATCTGCATGAAAGGGATTATTTACTACGTATCATTGTCTAGTGGTTAACCCTAGTAACCCTAAGATTGACCAGCATCTAATTTCTCCATTTAGTATTAATAATGCTGAATCATTCATAACAATCATGAGAATAAAGGAAATGATCACCACCCTGAGAAGCTTTGAATGTTAAATGAATTCTTGCTGTCAGTGCCAAAGGAAATGCACAATGGATATTATGGAGAATATGGAGACTGATATAAGAGTGTAAAGGGTTAACCAATTGAAGACATATAACAGTCTAAAGTGCACTCCTAATTATGGAATTTGCTTAAACCTTTAACTCCCATGAGTGACCAAGACAGAATTTCTCCTTACATTATCAATACAATATCAACCAGATAAATGATGAGAATTAAGAAAAATTTCAATTTGGGGATAATTGGTTGATTCAATACTAAATTCTTTGAGCTAACATGATAAGAATTGTATGGTTGACAGAAAGGAGAAATACAAATTTGATCTGGGAGTTAAACAGTTAAGGTTGAGTGGGGATCTGGGTTTAGTCCCAAATGTATCAATAACATTCAATGGTTAAATGTCATCAAATAGAAGGCTATTAAATGGTATTATTTTGATTTGTAGCTGTATCAGGGCTATTCTGACTCATAAAAAGGGCTAACTTCTTCGCTAGACTTTCAGAACTGAAGGTAATTTTTTAAAAAAATATATAGATTTAAAAAAACTTGAGGATCAAAATGATAAAAATAATTATAAAACACTGTTATTGAAAAATATTGGAGTTCATAAATTATCCCTAAAAGCCAAAGGCTGAGGCAAACAATTTGCGTGCCCTCCCCTAACAACTCCCAAAATTTTGTCAAATACAGTCTGCTAAGTGTTAATTATTAGCCAAAGAGTACTTTACAAAAATTACTCAACTAAAATGTTCCTTGATGTCACTTACCTCTGTTTCTCCACTCTTGCAAGTCCTTCAAAACATCTTTTTTCGATGCTTCAGGAAGGTTCAGTCTTGTGATCAGTTTTTCCATAAGCTGAAAACAGTTCTGGTAATAAGCTTCAGTCCAAGTTGCAAACTTACAATGGCCCCATTCATTACGAACCAAATCACGTACATCACTTGCAATAATATCAATTCCATCATAAACAAAGTTTGGTGCTACACATAAAATAGAGAGTGCTGCAGATGAATCCAATGTTTCATCAAAACCTGTGAAACTAGACATGAATGGCTTCACAAACAGTTTAGCTAATGACAGTTCATCTTTAACACAGTAATCATAGCTGTGATAAGATGATTGTGTTGCATTGTTGTTGATGTTCACATAATTAAGGCGTACAGTAGAAGGTGGAAGTCTTTTAAGATAAGAAGACAATGTTCGTGAATGAATGCATGTTGGTGGAAGAACCATGTTCTGATACAACTGATGCATTTCTTGCCCAATAACCCTCCTCATTGCAGGTGTAAGAACTTTTGAAAGGCAAATTCCAACCACAAGCCATCGCTTTTCCTCAGCCTTCAACATATCCATGGTTTACCAACTTAGTGTTCTCTGCAAGAAACATTTAAGCAGATCTGATTAAATTTAAGTTTTTTTCCCTCAGATTCTTGCACTCTCACATTTTCATAGCAACTCTCGCTTGAAATATTTCTAATGATCATTCTTACTCATACTTTTTCTAGACGTGAGTCAAAACGTCTGTTGGTACCCAGGGTAGAAAAAGCCTAGTCAAGTCAGTCTTGACTACGAGTTTGTTATTTTAATTGATTACTTTTTGGAACTTGATAGTTCATTTTGTAAAGCTCTTAGGTGGTACTTAGGTGTAGGTGGTTTTAGGTGGTTTTAGGTGGTTTTAGGTTGTTCCATGTTTTAGTACTTACCAACCTGACTCTGTTTAAGACAAAATCCAGCCATCATAGTGTTTTCAACTCAGGAGGTGAAGTTAAGCCATGGCTAACTTATTTGAACAGTAATTAAAATCCATTTTTTTCCCATCACATGCACATACTGGACACCCCCATTATCACACCTTAACTGAAGTGACTCCCAGTCCAGGAGGACCCTCTGTTGAAGATGTTATATGGTAAACTAATGCATGCTCTGATAAAACCTCAAGATACCCAAGCCATACCCTGCTTGTTGCATATTCCAGTTATTCCACATACTAAATAAAAAGCCCAACCCTACTGGAATGAGATGCCAAAGTGACAAGAAAGTCCTAGTCTACGTGTAGCCGTACCCTCCCCCGCCAAGGCATTCCGTTACTCCTTAGGGGAGAAGGTGCGGCTACACGTAGGCTAAGAAAGTTCATGATTTGGATCTTACACTGGGGCACCAAACAGCCTTGTTCATTCTATCTGCGACTCCCTTCCCCCTTTTTTTTCTTCATTTACTGTGTTCTCTACCAGACAGATTATTCCTTTGAATATCTTTCGACTCTCTTTTTGACCCTCACATTATTGGAGTTGTCCATCACCTTATGACACACTTCCCTACTCCGGTCAATTTTCCAAAGTAGACATTATAGACTGTGTACAAGGCTATGCCGGCGATAATTGAATAACAAGCCCTTAATGCTCTCTCTCCTCCAAGAATAAAAATAAAGGCAGTTTACCTGCGCCCGTAACATAGAAATCGCCAAACAGCAAAGATCCGTTAATTAATAAGAGAGTTCCTCGATCCAACAGGCTCTTGAAAACCTCGAGAGTCGCGTCTCAGTGTGTTTCTTTAATTGGTTATTGACTGCTTTTCTCAGGCAGAAAAGTCAGACTTTCCATGTGTGATTTCAATTTTTGTTAGAGGTTATTGAAATATTTACGCTCTTCATTGGAAATACCTACCTTTTGGATCAACCTGGACTCCTATCGACCTCAATTCTCACCTCAGGTCTTCAATTCCAGTTTCTTGCTTGATGTAAGAAAGCGAGGGCTTGGGTCGGCTCTTGCAAAGACTAGGAAATCCTGACCGAATGTTTCCTTTTAAAAACAGCTGGCGTTTAGGAGAAATACGTCATATTTTTGATCTGTGAATGATTATAAGTAACAGACAATGTAATTTCTTTAGACTGCATTTCACCAATGAGTATAAATTCGTTAGATATTTACTTCTTTGTTTGTTTGTTTATCTGTTTTTTTCAATTTTCGCTTCCATCTCGCTGTTGCAGGAAGGAACAAGAGATCATTGTCATTATGAACATCTCTTGGAGGGAAAATTATTACGAAAATGATCATGATTATTATGAACATCTCTTGGAAGGAAACATCACTCTAACAATGTGCAAGTTTTCTTTCATTTTCCAAGTAATTTACTTGGAATAATGTATTTTCCGCTGGTATTCGAAGTAATTAGGCGTACTTGTTTCGCTTTGACACCTGCCACTCCCTTTATTGTGCCTTCTACGCTGTTATTGGTCGGCTTCTAGTACTTATACTCTCTACTGTTCACTGTACACCATTCACGTTTGCGGTTTCCTACTTCACAGTTTTACATCTTTTCGCGAGTGTTTTCCCACCCCCCTCTGCTTACTATGTTTTCTTTTATTACTTTTATTCAGGCCGTATAGGCGCTTCTTGCGACTACTCACGTTGCTACAAGTGTGGAAAACTTGGGCACTGGGTTAAAGACTGCAGATCCATGTTCTGGCCAGGAAGTTACCAGTTTCCCGACTACAATACTTACCCTGGACTCTCCTACAACAAGCCAGCCGGAAGCCATTCATCCCAATACCAAGCAGTGAAGAGGACTTCACACAGCACAGGTAGAAGAAATCGTACAGAAATACGAACTTGAAAGCGGACAGTCTTTAACCGTTAAGGGTAATTTGAAGAAAAATAAAGGGTTTTGGAGATCTATTGGTGCTCCAAATTTCATTTTGACTATTATTGAAAAGGGCTACAAATTACCATTTGCTAGCCTTCCATTAGCTGTAAGGCTAATTAAAGAATAATAAGTCTGCTCGACTTCATGCTAATTTCGTTGACCAAGCTGTTCTTGAGTTAGTTAATTCAGGTCGGGTTTGTAGGGTTGATAAGCAACCTTTTATTGTCAACCCCTTATCAGTATCTATTCAGCCATGTGACAAAAAGAGATTAATTCTTGATTTACGTCACGTTAACAGGTCCCTAATTAAACAAAGAATCAAATACGAGGATTGGAAAATTGCTATGGCTTATTTTGCCAAGGATTCGTACATGTTTTCTTTTGACTTGAAAAGTGGCTATCACCCTATCGAAATTTGGCAGGATCACCAAACGTTGTTGGGGTTTTGTTGGCGTGCTCCAGATTCCAATAACGAAGTATTTTACGTTTTCACCGTTCTTCCGTTTGGTTTGTCTACAGCTCCCTATATTTTCACAAAGCTTCTTAAACCTTTAGAGAAACATTGGAGAATACAAGGTACTTGCATAGCTATTTTCTTAGATGATGGTTGGGCGATAGTTCAGGACAAAGAAGGTTGTCTTCTTAAGGCCCAAACCGTAAGGCAGGACTTGTATGGTGCGGGTTTTGTAGTGAATGAAGAGAAATCGGTATGGGAACCTACTCAAATTTTGGACTGGTTAGGTATAACCTGGAATTTTTTATTGGGTACTCTAAGAATTGTAGAGAGAAGAATTACTAAGATTACCAACACAATAGATCGTATTATTGAGGCCGATTTTAAACTTTCTGCTAGAGAGCTGGCTTCTTTCACGGGTCAAATTATCTCTACTGCGCCTGTGGTTGGAAACATTGGTAGGATAATGACCAGACATTGCGTTATGTCTACCTTGTGTGTAGATAATTGGGATTCAGTATTTTGCCTTGATGATTATTGCAAAGAGGAATTATATTTTTGGAAAGATAATTTGATTAACCTCAACAGCAGATATTGCTTTGTAAGTAAAGATCCTAGTTATTTTGTTTACTCAGATGCTAGCGCCACTGGAGGCAGTGCATTCATTGACTTTAACAATGACTTTGTGTGTCACAAACTGTAGACGGAGAACGAAAGTTTGCGAAGCTCAACATGGAGAGAGTTATCTGTTATTGAATTTTCATTGAAATCATTTGCCCCCGTACTTAAAGGATCGCACGTTAAGTGGTATACTGACAGCCAAGCCGCTGCCAAGATTGTTGAAGTGGGCAGCATGAAACTTGATCTACACAGGATCGCGCGGAGCATTTTCAGTATTTGTATCCAGTCGGGGATTCATTTAGAGGTCCAGTGGATTCCACGTACTTTGAATCAGCAAGCTGACTATATAAGTCGATTAATTGATACCGATGATTGGCAAATTACCGACGAATTTTTTCTATTTTTTGATGAACGTTGGGGGCCCCATACTGTTGATTGTTTTGCCAATTATTACAATCACAAACTCCCCAAATTCTTTTCAAGATTCTGGAATCCCAATACTGCAGGTGTCGATTTCTTCTTTCAGCCTCTTGGCGGGGAAAATTGTCTAGTGGTTCCACCCGTGGGTATTGTTCCACGTGTTTTGCATTATATGAAGTGTCAGTATGCCGTTGGTACACTTGTTGTACCCTTCTGGCCTTCAGCTCATTACTGGTCATTAATTATGCACAGATATGGTGATTATCTTGTGGCCCACGTTATTCGTGCTGGGAGGGAGGTTCTTATTCATGGAAGAAATCATAATTCGCTGTTAGGGTCTCACCAATTCACAGGCTACATTATCGCCTTAAGAATGGAATTTACTGAGTAACAATTTGGACTTGTTCATCAAATGTGTTGGCACTGGCCTAAGCAATGGTTTGATTTCATGAGGCACTGGCCGAAACAATGATTTGCATCTTGTGGCACTGGCCTAATAATGATGTCTTGTTTTAAGGGTACTGGCCCAGACTCCGGCCCAAACAATGATCCATTGGGCACTTTGGGATTCCCATCTTATTGTCACTACACTAAGGGCGTGCGTTTGTTCCTTTTAGTTTGTATGTTGTGTTCTTGTTTTTTCAGATAATTTCTTCAAGCAAGTCATGGAAAGGTTCCCCAGTTCTTTCGTCATTGAATGCCAATCAGGTTTTAGACGTGATGTTGAAATCCAGAGCAGATGCTACAGCAAAATCCTATATGCGAGTTATTAAGAAGTTTTTGGATTGGTGTAAAAGCAAGCAAATAAGCTTTGAGCTACCTTTTCCTTTAGGTGTCGTATCTCTTTATTTGTTCGAAGTCCAACAGTCTTGTAGTTCCAGTTCTTCTGTAATTTTGACCCATGCCGCCCTTAAATGGCTACATTCATTTGTTCCTAGTCTTGATTGTAACCCATTGGATAGCGATTTTTGCAGAAATATTATCGAATCTGCCAAACGCCAGAGGTCACAACCGATTATGAAAAAGAAACCCATTACCACAGAAATCATTAGGAACATATTGGACGTTCATAACAAGGAAGATTCTAATCTGAAGGATCTTCGTATTGCCGCATTATGCTCATTAGCTTTCGCAGGTTTTCTTCGGTATGACGATTTATGTAATATCGTTCCGAAGCATATTGAGTTTCATAATGATTATATAAGGATTTTCTTGCCTCGAAGCAAAACCGATATTTATAGGGAAGGGAATTATGTCTATATTAGCGCTTCCACATCTAAGTTCTGTCCTGTCGGTGTCTTAAGAAGGTATTTGAACCTTTCTGGGATTGACAGCAATAGTAATCTTCCTCTATTTAGACCTCTAACTTTTCACCCTAGTAATTCTAGCTATACCCTGAGAAGTGGTAAGATTTCTTATACTAGATGCAGGGAAATTCTTAGAGATTGCCTGAGTAAGCTAGGTTATAATCCTAATAATTTCGGTCTTCATAGCTTAAGATCCTGTGGCGTTACATCTGTAGTGCGGAATAGTGGTCATTCGATTTCAGAAAGACTACTTAAAATACATGGTAGATGGAAGTCTGACTCTGCCAAGGACATGTACATTGAAGAGAGCCTTGAGAATAGATTACAAGTAACTAAGTATTTACGCTTGTAATATCATTGAGCATTTATATTTCACACGTTCCTTTATTCTTTGCATTAGCGTAAACAATAAAGCGTTCTACTAATGAATTGTAAAAAAAAAAAAAAAGTAATAATTTTTGTATTATGATTTAATGTACTTAATGTAATTAATGTAATATCATTGAGCATTTATATATTTCACACGTTCCTTTATTCTTTATATTAGCGTAAACAATAAAGACTTCTACAAATGAATTGAAAAAAAAAAAAGAAAAGAGTAATAATTTTTGTATTATGATTTAATCTAGATGTAATAAAGTGTGTTTTGGATCCGCTTACGCATCCTACTATACTGCTTGTCTGATTTATTTATTTATTACGGGAATTTAAGGGTAAAATAATTTACGTTCGTTTGAGCGAAGCGAATTAGAACGTAAATGAAGTTTGGTTGGGATGGGTGGGTCGCCAAGGCCCTTAACTCATGTCCATTATATAGTAAAGGGCCCCTGTTGTGGCATATCGACTCCAGGCCGCAAGCCACCGGCTCCACACCAAGACTTATAGTCCAGAAAGGCACCCTGTACAAGAGATGAAACAGTGAACGACGTTTTTACACACGTACTTGTTCAGGTTAAATGACTTAGTGCCCCCACTCCCCACGGGATTTCTACGAAAACATTGAAGTCACTTCCGAAAATAGTTACATTGTGCAAACATCGTTGTTTAATTGAAATTGCTTTTTGCTTTTCTTTAGAACAGTGGCTTTCGCTGGAAACCGGCATCTCCCAGGATAAGATGATACACCTTCCAGGTATAAGTCAAATCAGTATACGATAAAACAGTGGATAGCGTAAAAAGTGTTTCCTTACTCGGAACTGGTTAGATCAAATCAATCAATCAGTCAATCAATAAACTTTATTTACCCTCGAATTTACAGTGTAGCCCTCGGGTGCTAATATCTTCGAGCAAACTACATTAATAAATAATTATAATAAAAAGATTAATTCTACAACAAATAGGATAACTAACTAACTAGAAAACTAACTAGCAAATTGTCTTGATGTAGAAAGGTTTGCAGTTCCTTCCCTTTTAAGTAAATTATTGTACCAAGTAGATAACAGTCGTCGAAAAGAAGTAAAATCAGAAATAGGGCGGTGATGGTCAGGAAGAGAATTCCAAGATATTGCTACTAAGTAACTAAAGGAATTGATACTATAAGAAGTGGTCAATGGTCATTAAGTAAATTATTGTATTCAGAGTTAAAATCCTTGAAAATAAATCGAATACGTTTGTTTAAAAGATCCAATTTATCAGAATCTTGCTTACTAGAGAAATGTCACACCATAGAACAATAATGAAAGTGTGGAAGTATAAATGCCTTATAAAGACGTAGCATGGTTTCAGTAGACATCAGTTTGCCGAACCTTGTCATAACGCTAAACTGATTGTTTACCTTTTTAGATATAGAGGACACATGTTGCTTAAACGTAAGATCTTTATCAATTGTAACGCCAAAAAGTTCCACTGAGTCATTTACTGAGAAATTAAACTGATGATCAGTTTTTCCTAGTATCATCCCTTAGTGTTTGCTGGGATTTGCTATCATTCCATTGATCTCATACCAGGCATTTGCTGAGCTTACCTCACGCGAGATACGCCTTTCCAAAGATACCGGATCCGTATCGGCAGTGTAGAGTTGTCCATCATCTGCATACATGTTTAATTGTACAGTTTTAATTTGTAGGAATAAATCATTTATAAAAATATTAAAAAACATTGGTCCAAGAACGCTGCTTTGAGGTACTCCTCGCCTGACTTCTTGCCAATCAGAGCTTGTATCACCTACTTTCACCCGCTGCATCCTACCGTGTTAGTAATCTTTAAGAAGCATACAACTTCTTCTGTTGACACCATAAGCCTTCAGCTTAGCCAGCAAAAGTCCATGCGGTATGGTGTCAGAAGCCCTAGATAAATCCATTGATATCACTACCACAATTTGTTTGTTATTCAGACTACGCTTCCAATCTTCTGTTAACCTCGTTAACGAGGTTTCACAGCCATAGTGTCTCCTATACGCTGAGATGTAGTCAGACAATAGTTCAGTGTAGAACTGGTCTGGTTGAGAAGCAAGGAGTTCCTCAAAAACATTATTTAGAGCCGGTAAAACAGTAACTGGTCGATAATTTTCTTTACTTAATTCACCATTTTTCTTGAAAAGAGGTGTTACCTGCCCCATTTTCCATCGAGAAGGATATTTACATTGTTTGATCGATTCATTCATGAACTCTGCTAGAGGACCAGATATCACAGACGCGGACTCCTTAAGAGGCCGCGGAGTTATGGTGTCGTGGCCGCAGGCCTTGCGTGCGTTGATGTTTAGTATGATCACCACAAACCGCATAATATCAAGCCAAGCTTTAATAATTATTCGATTCAAAATAAATAAATTTATAATTCGCAATTAGAACAAACGCAAATCAAGTCGTAATCTCGTAGCTAAATTCAAAAACTTCACTGTAAACTTACTTCTGTGGAGGGTCGTTACAACAGTCTCACTTTACAGGTTAGCAGATTCTCCAGGTAAGCGGATTTAGAGACAGAAAAAATGATAACAAAATGACTTCTTTCTCGCTTCGATTCCGCTGAAAAACTGACTTGAAACATAATAATCTAACGCTTTTAAATCAATCTATAGAATTAATGTCAATCACGATCCTTGTCATTAAGTAAATCTATCAACAAGAGGCAACGCCTATTCGATAAACGAAACAAAAAGATGCATTCTGATTGGCTACTCGAACTCCGAATGTCCTTTGCTATTCATCTCCAAGCAACTCGTGTGGGACTTGCGCCAAAAATATTGCAATCGTTGCAGGAATAAACGAGTTTAAATCGTCTTTGTGTGCTATATTATCTCACTAGTCATTTCCGCTAAGGTGAATAATTGTTAATCATTTATAGCAGCAAGGACCACAAAACAACCTTAGTAATGGGAGGTAGGCGACGATGTCAGAGAGAGAGGAAGAGAGGAACCTAGGACTAAATTTGTATATTAATCATTAATGACCTGAAAATAGTGTCTCACTGTGTTGCCTAGTAGTGGACAATCTCACAGTATTCAAAGGGTGAGGAGTCAAATCTGCATTACAAAAGAGAGATTTTTCCTTTTAACCCACGCTCGCGATAAATTTCCTCCAACATTTCAGTTGAAGAAAAGTTTTCTAAGCTGTCACACATTAATGCTTTCTTCATGAGGATTCTGTCCCCTTCAAATAAATCTGCTGATTAATCTATCTATGTTCGGTAGTATAACGGATGTCTCTTGCACTTATATAGGGATGCCACTCGCCGTCGTCGTGATAGTACACTTGAGTGTACTCAGAGTTTACCGCAAAGATCTCTGGACCTCTTACTTGAGGAATGTTATCTAACCAAGAGGCCACTTGAACAACGCCTCCGTAAGCACAGCGGTCTATGTTGAGGTAGTAGTGCATTCCTTAAAGAAAAGAGGAAAGGAAATGAATCAGTGCAGCGATTACTTTGAATATAGAAAGAGTTTCCTTCCCCATCCATCCTGATTAAGGAAGACTTAAAATTGTTTAAGAATAACAACTTGACTCTTCCTCTCGCTTCACCCTCGGGAACACGTGTGTCTATTTAGAAAAACGTGGACTGCAAGGCACCTTTTGTCAGAAAGATCGATTTTCTAGCTTTTGCTATACCCAAAAAGGTCATAGAATGACTGATAAGTGGGCGAGATAGCCCCCAATACGAAGTTCACATCTGAGCACCATAGCTTTATGCTAATCGTTCCTATGGTACATTCGCCTTACTGTGAAGTCAACTGTATTACAGAGAACATTTCAAAACACTGCTAGTCTAGAAAGCTCCATCAACTATGGGAATCCCATTTTTGTGACTTCCATATTGCAATGTGATAATTTTTTTCGGGTTCACATTCACAAAGCAGATGAATCCTATTACAGAAAAAGAGCAATCAGATTCTATATAACTTCTTTGTCATCTTAACTTGGCTAAGTTCTGAGCACAGGTCGGTACAACTGAGCTAAAGTGAATCATTTTTCGTTCCCTAAAATATGGTTAGGTAAGGAGCAGGATTATCAACAGTGCTCTGTGCTCAGTGATCAGTGATCACAACTTAAGGTATTGTAATGTGTGCTATTGCGAGAAATCTCCCTTTTGATGATTTTTGTTTTGTAACCTTAGAATACACTATTCTATTTTATTTCCGGTTCGTTTTTTATTGTTCTGAGTCTTAAAGGACGAATTAGTCAAGATTAAGTAGTAAAATACCTTGACGATCCATGGCTTCAAATGTCAAACTCAATTTGTTTTTTAACTTCTCCCAATCAAACTCTACTCCATTTACCTTTGGCGTCTAAAACAATGGAGTTAAGATGTAGATAACACTGTTAATCATCGAATAAAGTAGCTTTAGATTCCTGATCTGCCATCATTTAACCCTTTAGTTCCCAGAAGTGATGAGCATGTAACTTCTCCCAACAATATCAATACATTATCCAGCAAAAAGGCAATGAAAACACTCAAACTTATCAGGTAGAAGTAGTTATCTTGATCTAACACCAAATTCTCTCACGTAATTTAAGAGAAAATGTGTAGCAGCTGGGGGGGGGGGAGAATAAAGAATCAGAATCTAATGGATTAAGAGGTGATGAATTACAAAACTGTATCCTCAAAACGGCCTGTTACCCAAAATGGCTCTTTTCAGATCCCTTCCTTTGTTTGGGATCCCAAGAGGGTGCAGAAATAGCCAGTCCTATGACACCGAATGGTACATTATTCTCAGAAAACCATAGAACTTAGAGGAGAACTACGCTTCAGAAACGAAAACATTTTCATCCCCGCCACTAAAAAGCGTACCTAAAAGTTTTCTACTTTCTGCCTTTGGAGACTCCTAAGACTAACCTAACAATTCGAAAATTGTCTTCAAAGATGTGGCAATATCACGTTTCTGTCGGTGTTAATGTTCTGCTGTCGTCTATACCGAACAATAATATCTTTGCTCCGCAAAATTATCATGCCGCGAGATATTTATTCAAAGATTAACTGTACGTATCGTACCTGTCTGTCAAATGTCTTGAAAACAAACGAAAGCCTATGGCCTGGTATACAGCCACAGTTAGAGTACCAGTAGCGAAGCGTAGTTCCACGGGAGAAGTGCTGATACAGAAAGATCACAACCCCAACGAGGAGAATAACCACTAAGATTTTCCAAAACAGTGCTGAAAAAAAAAAAAATTTTTAAAAATTCATTACCAGTCGCAATGCATCTATTGAAACAACGACAAAATCTGAGCTCGATCCAAGTGACCCCACCAGCCGGAAGTTATCCCAGACTAGGAGTATTACTACTCCCCCCTTGACGGAGTGCCAGTCCATCGCAAGCTTACTCCCAGCGTTTCAACAGGCTCCCCTGACAATTTGCTTACAAAGTGCCTAGTTACTTCTGGTATATTTGTAAGGCGTTAGACTCGCAAATATAGACTCCACATCCTTTAACTTCACGAAGTTTTTGTAGACTGACATATTGACAACAACTTGTTTCCTAAACGACGTTTGTCAAAGTGTGAATTTTGATGCCAAACTATTTCATGTTTTCTCTTTTCACCAGCTATTCTTGTTCTTTCTTCTATCTCTCTTTGCTTCTTAATTTATGTGATAATTTCATTAGATCAAGGAGCCATTAACTTTTCATAATAAGGGTGGATTAATACACTGACAAGTGGATAGCAATGGCGTGCCATGAAACAGGTGAAAAGTATCTCGGTGTTTGAATCTACCTGCCCTGGAGTACCAATAATGGAACATGCCGCATTCTCCGAAAGATTGTTCATAAAGGAACAATACAAATGCGAGAAGAAGAACGAATACGAGTAATTTCCAGTGGAGTCCTGAAGATGAAAAAGGAACAATTATAAGTACAACCCATGTTATTACATTTTTAGTAGTTAAAGAAACAGCACCAGACAATGCTTTTCAAGCTGCTAATTAAGCCATCTTCTATAGCGTTGTGAACTGAATACTACACGCGTTATGATTGGTCGTTATAATCGTCATAATCTAGCTATCGGAGTATCAGACTTTGTTCAGCTTTGGTTTTACAACTCTTCATCGTAAAGGACTTGAAACTCCAATTAAAACTTAATTACCGCTCGCAGACATGTCCGGAGGGACAGTCTCTTCTCTTGAATTCAGCCTGTCGATTTTTTGTGACAAAATCACTCCTTCTTTTTTCAGTTTCAAGCAATCTTCTTTAACGAAGTTTAGACCTCTCTTCAAATCAGCATGTTTCGCTTCAAGTTCTTTGACTCGCCCTTTCAAATTGCTAAGATTGTCTCTCAGTCCCTTGTGGCTTTTTCCCCAGGATTCTTTATTTTCTTCAACAGATGTCCATAATGCTGCCATTTCCTCGTGAAGAAGCTTTAACACCTCACTGCTGATCTGTTGTCCGACACACATCTCGATCCCTTAAATAGTAAGGAGAGATATTCGTTGGACAAATCCCAACATTTTGTCAAACACAGTCCGCTACGTGTTAATTATTCACCAAAACGTACTTTACAAAAGATACCCAACTAAAATTTTCCTTAATGTCACTCACCTTTCTGTCTCCACTCTTGCAAGTCTTTCAAAAAATCTTTTTTCGATGCTTCAGGAAGGTTCAGTTTTGAGATCAGTTTTTTCATAAGCTGAAAACACTTCTGGTAATAAGCTTCAGTCCAAATTGCAATCTTACAATGGCCCCATTCATTACGAACCAATTTACGTACATCCCTTGCGATAACACTAGTTCCATTAGAAACATAGTTTGGTGCTGCACATAAAATCGAGAGTGCTGCAGATGAATCCATTGTTTCATCAAAACCTATGAAACCCGACGAGGATGGCGTCACAAACAGTTTAGCTAATGACAGTTCATCTTTAACACGGCGATCATAGTTGCAATCATATGGATGTTTTGCGTTGTTGTTGATGTTCTTATATTCAAGGTCCACAGTAGAAGGTGGAAATCTTTCAAGATAAGAAGAGGATGTTTGTAAATGAATGTAAGTTGGTTCAAGAACCATTTTCTGATACAATTGACGTATTTCTTTCCCAACGACACTCCTAATTGCAGGTGTAAGAACCTTTAAAATGCCAATTCCAACCACAAGCCATCGCGTTTCCTCAGGAGTTAGCTTATCCATGGTTTACCAACTTAGGACTAACTGCTGGAAACAATTAAAGCAGATCTGATTAAATTTAAGTTTTTTTCCCTCAGATTCTTGCATTCTCACATTTTAAAGGAAACTTTCCTTGATAGATGTATGAGCAGCACTAATTCAACCCCTACACATCAATTCATATGTTATCAGAATATAAAGCTCCCTATTCAAAGAACAAAGATACTTGTCAAAAATTTTGAGTCATTTCCCTAACGGGGACTAACTTGATCCTGGCTTGGCTCAATGTGATCACTAAAAAGATGCAGAACTATAATACTCATGTATAATTTTTAAAGAATATTGATACATACTGTAAGAGGCAGTCAAAACACTGAAATTCAATTTCTTCGATCCTAAATGACAAAACACTGTGAGTGCAGACGTAAAAACATCTGTCTCCATGTCAAATTCATGATCACACTGAGGAAAAGGTGCCCGAAATTCTACCTATAAGAAAAGACCTCCCAATGATACGCTTATTTACAGCTGAATCAACTGGCTTATTATAATTTTTACTGAATGGCTTATGGTAGTGTATTATTTCCATTCATTTTCAACGTTTAAATAAGCACACACTTTTCATTGGACGAAAATAAACAGTCTCTCTTAGCCATTTCCCACAAAGTCAACTTTCAGATTACTATTTTTTAAACAATTTAGGGTCTTCTTATTCCAAAAATCCATGATTGGGACGGATATGAAAAATTTTAAATTTCACCATTTAAGCAGTTGTAAAATGATGTGGGCCTTGATGGTTTTCATTATTTTTATCATCCCCTAAACGTCAATCTGGTCATCTAATGAGATATACTTTTACAGAAACTGAACAAATTGGCTGTTATAATTAATAGCTATATGTAATGGCAATTTATGAATATCTTGAACATGTTGAATTGTTTACACAATCATCACAATTTTTCCAGCACTGAGTAAGATTTTGTGCTTCAACATGCTACAAACATCATCAAAAGTAACCTCCACACGAAAAAAGTAATTAAAGTGTCTGCTTTAAATCCTAATGGAACTCATTCGCAGCCACATGTTCCAACTTTGTTTTTGCTAATCAGGAAGTTGATAATTATAAACACAAATATTTTTAAGTAGAAGCATGTTGTGAGCTTGCTATCACCCTTCTCCCAAAAATCATATGGAGGGTCACAAATACAGAACCTTGCATTACAGCGACCAGTTGCATCCTACATTGGTCATTACACCTGTAACGACCAAAGCAACTTTTTAATCATTAGAAGCATTTCAGCTGCCAGGTGCAACATAATAAGACATGGTGTCAAGCACTAGTGAAGGATGACAACATCCAATTTATACTCCTGAGCATAAATTCAAAGGATTGAACCACTGGGTAAAGATTGATGCAAATTTAATTAGTGACCTATCTTGCTACTTTACCACTATGTTTCATATTCAAAGCAAAATGATATTCATGAAAAAAAGAGAATAGCAAATAATAACATGAACATTTTTCATTCTCATGAGAATAAGACACAAAAAATCCTTACATATATGTATCATATTTAAAGAGGGAAAAAATGAAAAAAAAAACATATATACCTACCCTGTTTAGATTTCCTGCCTTCAAAAAATCACAATATGAGCAGTCAGAAAATGATGGACATGTAATAATTACTGTAAAAGAAAAACATAAAATAAATATTAATCAAATGTGAGAGATATTGACAGTCACAAAAATTCCATTTAAGGTGCTATATTTATTCCTTTAACTCCCATGAGTGACCAACACCAAATTTCTCCTTACAATATAAATATGTTATCAACCAAATAAGTGACAAGATTTAAGAAAAATATCAATTCGGGGATAATTAGTTGATCCAATGCTAAATTCGATGAACTAACATTATAAGAATTGTATGACTGACAGTAAGGAGAATTACAAATTGGATCTGGGAGTTAAAGGGTTAAGGCAGTAATTGTTGCTATTGAACAGTGTAATGAACTGAAGAAAGCTTTAGGATAATCTGAAAGACATAAACAACATAAGGCTGTTTCACTCGATCACGCTCAAAAGGGGTTGTTGGAAAATAATTGAACTCAAGAGGAATCCTATAATGGTAAAATCTTCAGATATATCAATTCATGGATACTGCATGTGTCTGCTAACTTCAGTCAGCAGGTTGAAACTGGAAACTGAGGAAATCTAATATGTAAATATGTCATTCGACAAACTGCGAAGGAAAATATTGATAGTCTTTGGGAAACTTAGCTTCAAATTGGCTGTTGCATAAATTTAACATCTGTAGACTATTCAGTGGTTCCTGTTACTAGTGAAGTAAAGCTATATGCTGAAGCACAAATGCTCAATAGCCTCTTCAGTGCACACTGAACCTCAGTCGCCATTTTCTTTCCATCCCACCCTCTTCCATGGTTAATAATTATGTTTTAACACTGTTAGATTTATCTGCTTATATGCACCAAATAAGAGCCACATTTTGTGGAAAATTAGTTAACTATAACTAAGACTGGACGATTTGTCCCAAACATTACTTGTGGTCACAATTGTCCTATGGTTTATCAGATTGAATTTAAAGGCACAATAATTTTGTCGAAAAAATATCATCGATAAATAATGCCTAACTCGAGTTCTCGGAAAACATATTGAATTGGAGAAGGCAAGTCATTCTCTAGCGACGGAAATCGAACTGCGAAGAAAGGGTTTCGCTTTCAGTTTCCTGTCGCCTACGGAAACAGCAATTTCCGCCCTCACTGATACGCATTACGTGTTCCAATCTTAACTAAAGCATTTCCCTGTCCCTTTAATCTAGATCAGTAACGACTGCTGGTAGTAAAACAACTGGTCTGAGTACAAAACAGACTCTTACTAAAGTATGAAATTTAAATAAAGTGACCTTTTAGTGCGCATCAATTCATATTTCATGAATCTTCTTACCCTTCACATGATATTCTCGAGAACGGTCCTTCAAACGAAATAATTACACCCGGAGCTCGTGAAGAGGCGACGCAATCGTCCTGAAAAAAAGAAAAAAAGTAGCTTATGTATCAAATATATCTTCACCATACACTTATTTTCAAAGGCTTGTGTTAAAGTATTCGTAATCATACGCATTTACGCGAGAGAAATACCGTAAGTCAACAACGGGTTATTAAAGTTAAAGTTAAAGTTACGGAGTGAATAACTTTACTATTTTGTCTGTACCTGCTCTTTCTTCGGGTCAACTCTTCTCATGGACAGCAATGTGAGTTTAAATCAAGTTCCTTATCGCAAGATCGCATGCAGAGTAGAACTTTGATCACATGGAAATTCAACTGGAAACCCAAATATACAAGAAAGGGATGATGTCAAGATTTCTGAAAAAGAGAAACACAATTAGTATTAAACGGTGAAATAGAGAGAGTGGTGCACTATATAGAATTGATATATTCTTACTTTCTCCATTCTTTAAAATGGATTACTAGGATTGATTACCAGACTGATAAGTTACGTGTGCAGTAGAGATGCACGAGGTTAAGGTATGCAACACTAAACACGATCTATAGATATTACTTGTATGTGAGTCACACCTGTCAAAATTTTCCTGAAACCAGCAAACAATCTACAATCAGACAGAAGTTCTTCAGGATCTTTTTCTTTCCAAACAACGGTCGGTGCGTAACAGTGAGAATAAATGAAACAATAAAAATTTGCATCGAACTTATTCAACTGTGGTGCCTGTGCAATTTAAGTCTTCCTACTGAATGTACGACTTAAAGCAGAAAATGACTTTTGCTTGAGAAATCAGCCATCTCTCGCAAAAGGATCCTGTTTTTCAAACCAGATATTTTTATAGTTGAACTGTATTTGGCATTGTAGAAGATCAGTACTGCGGAAAATATTTTTGCATGACCATTTGGGCAGAACCCCACAAAGCTAAAAAAAATGAGAACATTACAGTTTTTGCATATCGTAAAGCTCTAAGATTAATCCTTCAAGCATTTCATCTTTAATCCATGTCAATATTTTGGTTGATTATTCTCTCCCTTGTATTTTACCAGCTTTCTTATCAAATATATTTTATTAAATCCTTCAAGTTGGGCTTTCCGCTAATTTGTTCAAGGTATAATGTCTCACAGACAAAAAACATTACAGACTACAATGATTACATTACAGACTATAATGATATTTAATGATTAAATACCCGAGTCAGATCTCCATGCCTCCTTTCTTTCTTTTTTATTTTTGATTGGGTTCTTCCTAAGAAGCTTTATTAACTCTTAGATGTAACTCTGTTTAAAACAGTTAGATTAGAAGCTCGAGATTTCTATCGCGTGATAGTTGAACGGTCGGTGCATAACAGTGAGAATAAATAAAAAAATAAAAATTTGCATCTTACCGAGTTAACTCTGTTGTGTAAAAAATTAAATTCCTTCTTCCAAACGCTTGACTTAAAGTGGAAACTAATTTCACAGGGAAAGCAGCCGTTTCTCAAGAAAGGATCCTGTTTTTCAAACCAGAGATTTTTATCCTCAAATTTTGTTTAGTATTCTGGAAGATAATTATCTGCTGACAGTCATTTTCAAGATTATCGGGGCAGAATCACAGCAAAATAACTTCACATGAGTTTGCATATTCTTAACTCAAAGATGAATCCTTGAAGCAGTTCATCTGCAATCCACGCATATATTTTAGTTGAATACTTTCTCTCCTATATTTTTATATCTTTCTGATAATTTATTTAGTTGTATCCTTTACGTTTAGGATCAGTTGGCGCGGCACCATGTTAAAACTATGTGACATTGCGTTTTAAATATAATTCAGCTGATCGCCCACAAAATGCGTAGTTTCTTATGTACCCAAAAGCAAAGCATTTAAGGTAACTGACAAAGACTACGAAGTCTTTCGATAAATCAAGAGTCAGAGAAAAAGAATTTTGCTTGAAAGCAAGTCTCAATTGCAATATAAAAATAATGCGTCGCTCAAGTCAACTAATTAAATAACCACAGAGTCATTCATGGCTAACTGACTTACAAACTTTCCAAAAGTTTTCCTTGTTGCGAAATGATTCAAAGACATCCAATAACAATAAAGAAGACTAAGAGAGGAATTTTGTTTGACCGTAAAGGTAACACATAAACGATTTCACTTGCTGAAAACAAAGTTAAAATTTTACTGATGTAATAATCTCAAAACAAACAACTTTGCGGGGAAGTTGAATGAAAAAACTTTAATCCAGTTGTGTTCACGATCAAAACGCAAATACCACTTAAATTTTTCTTCTAGCTTTGTTTCAAATGAACTATAAGAGTTTTAATGAACTACTCAATCAACTTGAAAGTGATGAGAAAACTTAGTGACTCAGAGCGAGGCCAGTTGACAACAGAGTGAGACAGGCACTACCAAATTAATGGCAGCCACGAGGAAATTTCTTTTGTATATGAACTCATTTTTAGAACTAACATACGTTCATTGGTCCGAACGAATCAGAGAGACAAAATTTTGCTTTTACCTTCTCGAAGTGCTCTATAATGGTCGTATCAAGTTAATTAGATCTCAATTAATCACTGGTTGCAATTGATGAACCTACAATAAACGAGCTTAAATTAAATGTGCAGTACGATCATAAGCGTATAAAACTCCAGTTTAAGTTGGACGATGACAGCACGAAGTAAAGAATTTAGAATAATAACTTAAGTTTTCCTACATTTGGTTTACCAGAGCCAAAGTGAACCAAAGTATCTACTTTTTTCATAGGGAAAGTAGCTGTTTCTCACAAAAGGATCCTGCTTTTCGAACCAGATAGTTTTATCGTTAAATTTTGCTTGGTATTCTAGAAGATTATTATCCGCCGGAGGTCCTTTTTCATGATCATTTGGGCAGAACCACAGAAAAATAACTTCACATGAGTTTGCATTTTATAATCTCAAAGATGAATCCTTGAAGAGATCATCTGAAATCCATTATTCTCTGTCTTATATTTTCTCATCTCTCTAATAATTTACTTTGTTTTATCCTTCGCATTTAGGATGAATTAATTGGCGCGACATTATTTTAAAACTATCTGACAATGCTTTTTAAATATAATTCGGCTGATTACCCACAAAATGCGTAGTTTGTTATGTACCTAAAAGTAAAATACTAAAAGTAAGCGTCGAAGACTACGAAACCTAACGATAAATCAAGAGTTAGAGAAGAAAACCTTTGCTTGAAAAGCAAGTCTCTTTTACAATAGTTAAAGACTGCGTAGAAGATCGAGAAATGCAAAGTCTTACTTTCAGTTTCGTAAGCACAATATCTTCAAAACTAATTACGGTTTCCTGCATTAGCATGGTGTTGTCGCTAGTGAAGATCACAGGACAGCTGTTAAGAAAATTTGGTCGCTGCTATCAAAGTAAAAATAGCCTTGTCGAAGCATGCAATCAGCATTTCAGCAAAAGCTTCCTGACTTTACCGAATACGAGTCAAAAACCACCCAGAATGAAAATTCTTGTTTATTGCCAATTTTGTCTTTTAACATTTTACCCATAGCTAAGTTGTTTAGCTTTTAATCCCAGAAGGACTTTCAACGTTACAGCTGTTATACTCCTATAAAAGTATTTCTACCTCCAGCTGTTTTTTCCTTTACTTTCAAGTTCAACACCTTTTGCACGTAAAATTGCAAGTCTTTTGTAGAATATTGTAAATGGAGAGTGTAACTTTGTCAGCAGCAACTACTTGGTTTTCGTTTAGATCAAGTGGAACATGTTCTTTGTTCTTTACTTTAAGAACAACTTAACTTACACACTTTATGAATTAATTTACGGCTGCCTTTGAAGCAGTCTGCTGTATTTACGTAAAAAAAACGCTGAAAAGGAGACAGAAATGAATGCTTCTTGGTTTTTTTTTCTGTGTCTGGGAAAATAAAAAAATTTTATTCCTCCAAAAAAAAAGACACGCTAATTTACAGCTGCGTGGACCAGAAGTAGTTGCGGCTTTGGTGATGGGAAAAAACATCACTATTTGAGTCGAGAGTGACTTTTTATTGCTATCAATTATTCAAATAGATTGCTGGCTGCTGGAAAAGTGGAAAGAGGATCAAAACTATGTTACCTCACATCATTTTCCTTTGGTTTTGTTGATGATGTGAATGAAAAATGCATTTTGTGTAAAGAAAGGTAAAATTTAGCTCCTAGCTAAGTTATGGTGAGATGATATGTCACTATCAATTTGGCCTTTATTAAAATTAAAAGAATTTAGCTAAGGATAAAATTAAACCACAGCATACCTATACTAAACCCTCAGTCTATTTGTATCAATATTATTATTTTTTCTGGTGTTTGCCCAATAGATTCAATCCACTTACAGACAAAGATGGCGCCCCTACATTTTACCATTATTCTTAGGGTAAGGCACATGTAGAAAGCAATATTTCACAAAACAACAACATTATGTATGCAAGGTTTAAATTTTTCAGACCTTTTCTGCTTGTTTTTATGAGCGGTTCCAGGATTTTCTTGTGCAAAGAGTTCTGGTTGAATGTACCAGTCGCCATGTTTTTTGGTATGGTGGTTTACAGTAACTGTTGTATGAAGAAATCTTCACTGATATTAATTTTGTGAACTTGTCACTGACAAAGAGCTAGTTCATGATTAGACATTGATTGTTTCAGTGATTCCCTTTGTTCTTTACATTTATCATTGAAGTACTAATTAACTCCTTCACCATCAGTAATCGCAATAAATATACTGTTAGAAATCACAGCACTGTGCCCCAAAATCCAATGTTGTCCTGAGCACAATTTCATATTTTTGAGCAAGGCAAAGGTAAAAATAAAACAAGAGTAAGTGGATAATACCCTAAGTTCCCATATGCTATCTTTACCCCGATTTTGCATTTTTTCAGAGAATTCCAGAAAAACGGGGTAAAATCTGAAAATTCATCCTCCCAATGAAATAGATCCTAAGTTGTCATATCCAATCTTCAACCCGATTTTCCATGTTTTTTTTTTCAATGAACTCTAGATAAACAGGGTAAATTCTGCTAACTTATCCCGCAAGTGATAGCAATACGCTAAGTTCCCATAAGCCATCTTCACCCCGATTTTCCATTTAATCAGTGAATTCGAGAAAAACATGGTAAATTCTGAGCATCCATGCAACGAATGAATAATACCCGGAGTTCCCATATTCTATCTTTACCTCGAATTTTGAGAGAGGCCAATGATCCGGTTCGTAATGACCATAGGATAGTAAGTTTTCTTGAAATAAGTTGGAGGTTGCTCATCCGTTGTTACCGGAAAATACTGGTCGAATTTCCCACTTATCCCGACCCCCCTTAAATGAGTACCTTTGCTTGAAGACAGAACTACAACGGAGTCTCTTAACCAGTCCCAAGCCGCGTGTCGCTTGATAGATCACAGGATATGATTGGCCACTGTATCACATTACGTCAGGGAACATATTTACAATGAGGGGACATAAGTGCTACGGTACACCTATCGACCTCAATTCAACAAGACCTCAGTTCAACAGGTCCTCAGTTCTAGTTTCTTGCTTGATGTATGAAAGCGAGTGCTTGGGTTGGCTCTCGGAAAGACTAGGAAACCCCGACCGAATGTTTCCTTTACAAACAGCTGGGCTTTAAGAGAAATACGTCATATTTTTAACCTGTGAATGATTGCAAGTAACAGTCAATGTAATTTCTTTAGATCGCATTTTACCAATGAGTATAAATTCGTTAGATATTTATTTCTGTGTTTCTTTGTTTATTTGTCTTTTTCAATTTTGGCTTTCGTCTCGCTGTTGTAGGAAGGAACAAGAGATCATGGTCATTATGAACATCTCTTGGAAGGAAAATGATTATGAAAATGGTCATGATTATTATGAACATCTCTCGGAAGGAAACATCACTCTTACAGTGTACAAGAGTTCTTTCATGTAATTTACTTGGACTGATGAAGTTTGGTTGGGGAGGGTGGGTCGCCAAGGCCCCTTAACTCGTGTCCATTATATAGTAAAGGGCTCCTGTTGTGGCATATCAACTCCAGGCCACAAGCCACCGGCTCCTCACCAAGACTTATAGTTCAGAAAGGCACTCTGTACAAGAGATGAAACAGTGAAATTTTATACCATGTTTTTACACATATACTTGTTCAGGTTAAATGAGTTAGTGCCCCCACTCCCCACGGGATTTCTACGAAAACATTGAAGTCACTTACGAAAGTAGTTGCATTGTGCAAAAAACGTTGTTTATTCGAGAATGCTTTTTGCTTTTCTTTAGAAAAGTGGCTTTTGCTGGAAACCGATATCTCTTAGGATAAGATGATATACCTTCCAGGTATAAGTCAAATCAGTATATGATAAAACAGTGGATAACGTAAAAAGATGCATTCTGATTGGCTACTAAAACTCCGAATGTTCTTTGCTATTCATTTCCAAGCAACTCGTGTGGGACTTGTGCCAAAAATATTGCAATCGTTACAGGAATAAATGAGTTTAAATCGTCTTTGTGTGCTATATTATCTCACTAGCTAATTCCGCAAGGGTGAATAGTTTTTAATTATTTATAGCAGCAAGGACCACGCAACAACCTTAGTAATGGGAGGTAGGCGACGATGTCAGAGAGAAGAAGAGAAGGCCCCAGGACTGAATTTGTGCGTTAATCATTAATGACGACCTGAAAATCCTAAATTTATCAAAACGTTCTAAAGACTCAGTTCTTTAACTAGTTGCAACATTTGCATTTCCATAACTACAACTCCACATCCTCCTTTGAGAAGTAGCTTTGTCTTACTTGCCTCACTGTGTTGCCTAGTAGTGGACAATCTCACAGTATTCAAAGGGTGAGGACTCAAATCTGCATTACAAAAGAGAGATTTTTCCTTTTAACCCACGCTCGCGATAAATTTCCTCCAACATTTCAGTTGAAGAAAAGTTTTCTAAGCTGTCACACATTAATGCTTTCTTCATGAGGATTCTGTCCCCTTCAAATAAATCTGCTGATTAATCTATCTATGTCCGGTAGTATAACGGATGTCTCTTGCACTTATATATGGATGCCACTCGCCGTCGTCGTGATAGTACACTTGAGTGTACTCAGAGTTTACCGCAAAGATCTCTGGACCTCTTACTTGAGGAATGTTATCTAACCAAGAGGCCACTTGAACAACGCCTCCGTAAGCACAGCGGTCTATGTTGAGGTAGTAGTGCATTCCTTAAAGAAAAGAGGAAAGGAAATGAGTCAGTGCAGCTATTACTTTGAATATAGAAAGAGTTTCCTTCCCAATTCATCTTGATTAAGGAAGCCTTAAAATTGTTTAAGAATAACAACTTTACTCTTCCTCTCGCTTCGTCCTTGGAAACACGTGTGCCCACTTAGAAAAACGTGGACCGCAAGGCACCTTTTGTTGGAAAGATCGATTTTCTAGCTTTTGTTTTAACCCAAACAAGTCATAGAATGACTGATAAGTGGGCGAGATAGCCCCTGACATAGAGTTCACATCTTAGCACCATAGCTTTATCCTAATCATCCATATGGTGCATTCACCTTACTGTGAAGTTAACTGTCTTATAGAGAACATTTCAAAACACTACTGGTCTAGACAGTTCCATCAACTATGGGAATCCCATTTTGGTGACTTCCACATTACAATGCGATTATTTTTTTCGAGGTTCACCCTCACAAAGCAGATGAATCCGATTACAGAAAAAGAGCAATCAGATTCCCTATAACTTCTTTGTTATCTTAACTTGGCTCAGTCCTGAGCACAGGTCGGTACAACTGAACAAAAGCGAATGATATTTCGTTCCTTGAAATGTGGTTAGGTAATTTCATGTACGCATGATCAGCAGCAGTGCTCTGATCACAACTTAAGGCATTGTAATGTGTGCCATTGTGAGAAATCTCCCTTTTGATGATTTTTGTTTTATAACCTCAGAATACACTATTCTATTTTATTTTCTGTTCGTTTTGTTGTTGTTCTGGGTCTTAAAGAACGAATTAGTCAAGATTAAATTATAAAATACCTGGACGATCCATGGCTTCAAATGTCAAACCCAGTTTGTTTCTTAACTTCTCCCAATCAAACTCTATTCCATTTACCTTTGGCGTCTAAAGTAATGGAATTATGATGTAGATAACACTGTTAATCATCGAACAAAGCAGCTTCAGATTCCTGATCTGCCATCATTTAACCCTTTAGTACCCAGAAGTGATGTGCATATAACTTCTCCAAACGATATCCATACATTATTCAGCAAAAAAGGTAATGAGAATACTCAAACTTATCAGATAGAAGTAGTTATCTTGATCTAACACCAAATTCTTTTACTTAATTTACAAGGAAATATGTAGCAGTTAAGAAGGAGAATTAAGAATCAGAATCTAATGGGTTAAGAGGTGATGAACTACAAAACTGTATCCCCCAAAACGCCCTGATACCCAAGAAGACTCTTTTTCAGATCCCTTCCTTTGTTTGGGATTCCACGAGGGTGCCGAAATGGCCAATCCTGTGCCGCAAATATGGCTTCACCTACCGTTGAATGGTACACTATTCCCAGAACTTAGAGGAGAACTACGCTTCGGAAACCAAAAAAATTTTCATCCCCACCATTAAAAAGCGTATCTAAAAATTTACCACTTTTTGCGTCTAGAGATTCCTAAGACTAACCTAACAATTTGAAAATTGTCTTCAAAGATGAGGCAACATCGCGTTTTTTTCTGTATTAATGATCTGTTGTCGTCTTTACCGAACAAAAATATCTTTGCTCTGCAAAATTATCGTGCCGCGAGGCATTTATTCAAAGATTAACTGCACGTATCGTACCTGTCGGTCAAATGTCTTGTAAACAAACGAAAGCTTATGGCCTGGTATACAGCCACAGTTACAATACCAGTAGCGAAGCTTAGTTCCACGGGTGAAGTACTGATACAGAAAGATCACAATCCCAACGAGGAGAATAACCACCACAATTTTCCAAAAGAGTGCTGAGACAAAAAAAATCATAAAACAACATTCATTACCTGTTTCAATGCATCTATCAAAACAACAACAAAGTCTGAACTCGAGCCAAGTGACCCCACCAGCCAGAACTTATCCCAGTTCCCTTGTCATGAAGCGACTAAGAGTATCACCACACCCCCATGGACGGGGTGCCAGTCCATCGCAAGGGTACCCCTAGCGTTTCATCAGGCTTCCCTGACGATTTTCTTACAAAGTGTCTAGTTACTTCTAGTACATTTGTAAGGTGTTCGACCCCCCTCAACCTCCCCTCCCCTCCCTTCCCGGTACCCATGTATACTCCAGCTGGGTGGAGAGAGGCACTGTGAGAGTAAAGTGTCTTGAACAAGAACACAACATTGACTCAGTTAGGTCTCGAACCCAGACCTCTCTACCCTGACTCCAGCAGACTAACTGTTGGGGAACCGCGTCTCCCACACGGATAAAACGAGAGCCATACAATGAAAACAAATCAGAACCGACAGAATCGCAACCTTGTACAGGTGCAATTAGATTCTAATGGTCATGACTGTAATGACGATGATTATAGGAATTTCCAATTCTTATAATCATTTTGTGCCGTTTCTTATCTGACCCCGGTTGTTGAAAGTTTGGATAATGCTATCCACTGGATAAATCGGTATCCGTTGGATAGCGCAGTACGTTTTCTTGGCAGTTATCCTCTGGATCGCGATTTATCCGTTGGATAGCGTTATCCACACTTTGAACGACTGGGCCCTGGAGTTCTGAACCTAGGTCACTCCTCGCAACTCTCAATTGTAGACTCCACACCCTTTAACTTAACGAAGTTTGTGTAGACTGACATATTGACAACAACTTGTTTCCTAAACGACGTTTGTCAATGTGTGGATTTTGGTGCCAAACTATTTCCCTTTTTCTTTTCCACAAGCTATTTTTGTTCTTTCTTCTATCTCTCTTTGCTTCTTAATTTATGTTACAATTTCGTAAAATCAAGGAGCCATTAACTTTTCATAATAAGGGTGGATTAATACACTGACAAGTGGATAGCAATGGCGTGCCATGAAACAGCTGAAAAGTATCTCAGTGTTTGCATCTACCTGCTCTGGAGTACCAATAATGGAACATGCCGCATTCTCCGAAAGATTGTTCATAAAGGAACAATACAGCTGCAAGAAGCAGAACAGCTACGGGCAATTTCCAGTGCAGTCCTGAAGATGAAAGCAAATGATTATAAGTACAACCCATGTTATTAAGTTTTTAGTAATTAAAGAAACAGCATCAGACAATGCTTTTCAAGCTGCTAATTAAGCCTATAGCGTTGTGAACTGAATACTAGACGCGTTATGATTGGTCGTTATAATGGTCATAATCTAGCTATCAGAGTATCAACCTTTGTTCAGCTTTGGTTTTACTACCCTATCGAAAAGGTCTTTAAACTCCAATTGAAGCCTAATTACCGCTCGCAGACTTGTCGGGAGGGACAGTCTCCTCTTTTGAATTCAGTTTGTCTATTCCTCGTGACAAACTGACTCCTACTTCTTTCAGTTTCAAGTGATCTTCTTTAACAGAGATTAGACCACTCTCCAAAGCAGCATGTTTCGCTTCAAGTTTACTGAAGTCGTCGGCAAATCGCTCTCTCAAATTGTGAAGGGTATTCATCAGACCCTCGTGGCCTTGTTTCCAGGATTCTTTATTTTCGTCAACAGATGTAGATAATACTGCCATTTCATCTTGAACAAGCTTTAACACGTCACTGATGATCTGTTGTCCGAAACACATGTCCATCCCTTAAACAACAAGAAGAGATATTCGTTGGATTGGCTCACAATCTACGAGTTAAAGTTTTGAGTGATTGCTATATAAGAGACAAGAATCCAAAACAATTAGGCCCAGTAAATAATAAAACTTGTTATAACCTCGCATTAATTTTTGTGCGATTCTATTTTCTACTTTATATCACGTGGTACAAAATTATTGGAGTGTTATCACCCAATAACCCCCTACTTCCTTAGAAAAGAAACAAAGCCAGCAGAAAAAAAGCCAGTTCTAATGGGAAAAAACAAACTCGTTTTGAGGAGTCCAGTAATAGTGACATTAAAACTCTAAAGTGCACTCCTAAATAGAGAATTTGATTAAGGTTGAGTGGAGGTCTGGATTGAGCCACAAATACATCAATAACATTCAGTGATTTTGTGTCATCAAATGGTATTCTTTCCATTTGTAGCTGTATCAGGGCTATTCTAACTTACAAAAAGGGCCAACGTCTTTGCTAGGCTTTCAGAACTGAAGGTAATTTTCACAAAAAGAGTTTTGAAAAATAAACTTGATGATCAAAATGATAAAAACAGTTATTGAACTCTGTTATTGAAAAACATTGTAACATGTCACTACCTGACGGATAATTTATCCCCGAAAGCCAAAGGCTGAGGCAAACAATTTGTGTGCTGTGAAAACAGGGTTTTGCCTTCACAAATGAACGGACGGACGGGGACAACTCTTAAAACTCTTGTGGGTAAAGGCTCTCCTTGGGGGCACTCGCTGGCTGCGGGGAGGTAACCGGAATCTATTACGGCTGCTGACTATCCTTGAGAGAATGACTAACAACAACAGGGTTGGCTCCAACGTAGATTTATTCCGCAAGCTCGACTACAATTTTGACCAGAACGGACCTGGCCAGGGCGGGTTCGACCCCGTTCTCTTCCTACCTTTCTCACCCAACTCCTAAGCTTTACAGGACAGTCCTATTTAAACCTAACGTACATGGATAACGTAATGTCATGAATAATCTAAAGGATCATGTAATCTACTAAACTATTGGCTTAGTAGGAATTTCGCCTTTTACAATATTAATTACTTTTAAAGAGTTCCGGTGGATAACAGTTACACAAAAGGACATGACAGGTGGCTGTTACAGTTTAACACTAATAACAACTGTTTACGGGTGACTGAAGGAGAACTGGTAGCGTTTACGCTTTGCTGATCTAAGCTTTCTACGTTGAATATTGTATTTTTGAAGCGCAAGCATGAAAGAACTCGATAACTAAAAATCCTATCGTTACAGTGCCCACCCCCAACAAATCCCAAAATTTTTTCAAACCCAGTCTACTAAGGGCTAATTATCAGCCAAAAAATACTCAACTAAAATGTTCCTAAATGTCACCTACCTCTGTTTCTCCACTCTTGCAAGTCCTTCAAAACAGCTTCTTCTGATGCTTCAGATAGATTCAGTCTTGTGATCAATTTTTCCATAAGCTGAAAACAGTTCTGGTAATAAGCTTCAGTCCAAATTGCAAAATTACAATGTCCCCATTCATTACGAACCCAATCACGTACATTACTTGCGATAATGTCAATTCCATAACATACAAAGTTTGGTGCTACACATAAAATAGAGAGTGCTGCAGATAAATCCAATGTTTCATCAAAACCTGTGAAACCCGACATGAATGGCTTCACAAACAGTTTTGCTAATGACAGTTCATCTTTAACACAGTAATCATAGCTGTGATAAGATGATTGTGTTGCATTGTTGTTGATGTTCACATAATTAAGGCGCACAGTAGAAGGTGGAAGGCTTCTATGATGAGAAGACAATGTTTGTGAATGTATACATGTTGGTGCAAGAACCATGTTCTGATACAACTGATGCATTTCTTGCCTAATGACACTCCTCATTGCAGGCGTAAGAACTTTTGAAAGGCAAATTCCAACCACAAGCCATCGCTTTTCCTCAGCCCTTAGCATATCCATGGTAGCATAACAAGATTAAGTCTGCCAACTTGGCATTCCCTGCTGGAAACAATTAAAGCAGATCTGATTAAGTTTAATCTTTTTTCCTCAGATTCTTGCACTCTCACATTTTCAAAGAAAATTCCCTGGATGTAGATGTATAAGAAGGAACAACGAAGCCTTAGCGTATACAATAAGTGAATAAATCTTCTAATTTAGATAATTCATGACAATGCAGGCATGGTTCACGATCGCTTACTTAATTCCGGGCTCAGTTTCTCCGAAATACATCCTTTGCCCTCAAGAACATCACATGACCTGAATGTGCAAATCATTCAATTTACCCATAGCTAAGTTGTTTAGCTTTTTATCCTAGAAGAACTTTTACTCATGAAATAATTTTCGTTCTGTCTACTACAGCACGGGGTCAACAGACAGTTAGACTTACATGCGGAACAACGTTGTTTGACTTTGCAGGATACAGCATATTAATCGTTCAAATAAGACTTACCGCCACACTATTTTGTTTAAAAGTAGGGTTCTTTTCAAAAACTATTGATGTACTCAAAACACGCAATTCTCAAGCGATGGAAAACCACTACTCTTTGATTGTTTCTATGCATGCTAATGAAACCTTGATGCTTTGTCTCAAGCTGAAAAGATGTCCAGGTTCTATCTGACGCATTTCGCGAAAATACTGGGTCAAAGAGTACTATGATCTCGCTTCTATTGCTTTTGTGAAGAGTCTCCTTCGTCGTTTATATAGCTCCCTATTTGCCTAATTTCACGCTAACAGCCCGTCGATAAGCATTAAAAAGTCGTGAAATACGATGACATACCTAACAAAAGCCAGAAGACTTTAAACGAACGCTTCACTGAACAAATGATTGTATGGTATTACATGTGCTTGACCATGATTGATAAACCTTTCTTCAGTTTTAGTTCTCTTCAAGAGACCAGTTCTCTACCTAACGAAAGATCTCTCGACTCTGAAATGAATTTGTCAGAGATCAGGTGTCGAAAATGTTAATTGAATCTAGGTTAGATTCTCCTATACAATCTTTGAACGAGGCAGACAGCTGTAAATAAATTGACCTGAGCAAACGGTCTTTCGAGGAGCGGAAAATAATTCTTAGAAAGGAGTTGATTTGTCAAAACTTGACAAGCCAACGCCTTGCGGTTTACCTTTAATACTTTTAGTTTTGCGTTTTATATCAAGTATTGGATGTTTGAGAGAAATTTTATACAATGAATAAATCTTTCAATGTAGATAATTCATGAAATGCAGACATGTTTCACGATCGCTGACTTAATTCCGGCCTCAGTTTCTCAGAAATGCATCCTTTGCCCTCAAGAACATCACATGAACCTGAATGTGCAAATCATTCAATTAACCCATGGCTAAGTTGTTTAGCTTTTTATCCTAGAAGAACTTTCAAAGTTACAGCTATTATTCTCCTATAAAAATTATTTCTACTTCCAGCCGTACAACTTACAACAGCCGTAGAGTACAACTTACTTTACACACGACATGATTTTCGTTTTGTCTACTACAACAAGGGGTCAACAGACAGTCAGACTTACATGCGGAACAATATTGTTTGACTTCGCAGGATACAACGAAATAATCTTTCTGCAGCTTCCAAATAAGCCCATAACATTTCCGATTTGTCGGCCACTCTCCGCAGATCAAGAAAATGTCATTTCATATAGTGCATTTACCGGCAAGCTCTGACGGCAAATAAGACTTGCCACCATACTATTTTGTTTAAAAGTAATGTTCTTTTCAAAAGCCATTGATGTACTCAAAACACGCAATTCTCAAGCGATGGAAAACCACTACTCTTTGATTGTTTCTATGCATGCTGAGGAAACCTTGATGTTTTGTCTCAAGCGGAAAAGATCTCCAGGCTATATCTAACGCATTTCGCGAAAATATAGAGTCAAAGAGTACTTTGATCTCGCTTTTAGTGCTTTCGTGAAAAGAGTCTCCTTCGTCGTTTATATAGCTCCCTATCTGCCTAATTTCTCACGAACAGCTCGTCAATAAGCATTAAAAAGTCGTGGAATAACGATGACATACCTGACAAATGCCAGAAGATTTTAGACGAACGCTTTACTGAACAAATGACCGTTTGGCATTAAAAACGGAGTCCATCTGCTTGACCATAATCAATAAACCTTTCTTTCCAGTTTTAGTTCTTTACAAGAGATCGATATTTCACTTGTCGAAAGCTCTCTCGAATCTGGAATGAATTCATAAGAGTTCAGGTGTCGAAAATGTGAATTGAATCTTTGAACCAGGCAGACTACTGTGAATAAATTGACCTGAACAAACGGTCTTTCGAGGAGCGGAAGTTTAGCAAGGAAAACAATTCTTAGAAAGGAGCTGATTTGTCGTAACTTGATATGCCAAAGCCTTGTGATACATCTTGAATACTTTTAGTTTTGCGTTTTATGTCGAGTATTTGATGTTTGAGAGAAATTTTATACAAATATTAACATATTATCTCTTCCATAGAAGATTTTGATTCTTTTTGGGATTTGTGGAATGACTTTGTTTTTGCTGCTGTAGACACCTTCGTTCCAAAGGTAAACTATAAACATTCAAATCGTCCTCCATGGATATCAAAGGACTTAGCAAAGGATATCAACAAGAAGAAGACCTTATGGCGGCTTATTAGGAACTCAAAATCTCCTCAACAAGTGAAAAATTCCGCAAGTTCAGGCAACAAATTAAAAATCGACTTCGTTATGAACAAAGAAATTATGTTAAAGAGATATCAAAGGA